AAGCCTGCAGAGACTTGGCAGGATGGGCCATCTTCTACACTACTAAGACAACCTGACCTCTGCTGCCTTGTCCCTTTGTTCCAGTCTCCATCAATTCCCTCAGCAAATGCAAACTTGGTGGGTTCATTCCCATTGATTGGCAGCATCCCCTACATCAATTCACCTGTTACTGATGTTCATGCCTTGGACATTGGTTGTCTAACTGCCCAACTTGCAGTAGCAACTAACAGCAAAATTCATTCCTGGGTGATGCAGGGCCTCTACCTGCCTTTGGAGGACCTCAGGCCTTTGGGGGGGGATGTTACACTGCACTCACATTATTCCCTTTTCAGACTCTGTATGATATGTTTGGTGCTTGTCATGCTTTTGAGTGACAATGTTCTGCCCCCACACAAACTCCTGTCCTTACAGCCAGACTTATGTTTCATATGTTTCCTTTTATGTCTTGCCCCTGTTTACCCCATGTTGTACCATAGCCAGACTATGTCCATTCACCCTTCCTTCCATGATCCACTGGTGGCCCTGATCCATGCAGTCATGTGACACATGTACCCCCAGTACATGTTCACCCCTGTATGTCATATATGCAGTTACCCCTCCTTCATCGTACATCCACCCCTGGCCTCCTCCACTGTGCAGACTTGGTCACCCTTATGCCTAGATGCAGTTACCCTTGTGCCTGCATAGGTCTGACTCAATGATGCCTTAGTTGGAAGGCAGGTGTATGTTTAAACATTTTCAAATGTTTGTTCCATGTTGGAGATATATTCTCCCCTGTGTTCTGCTCACTTTGGTGCGATGTTTGGGTGCTTACATAATCACCTTAGAGCGCACATTTTACAGTAGTTTGTTCACTGTTCCCTCAGTAGCTTGTTGCACTACTGAGGGTAAGCTCACTTTCACTACCAGTATTATACTTACTGATATCCTGTAGATACCTACATGTTGGTCTAATACATCAGTAGCTTGTTGCACTACTGAGGATACCTACAGCATCCTTCAAAATTCCACAGGTACTCTACATACATATATAAACCTGCATGTATTGTACTGCTCCCTCATTCAAAATCTACTTTGCAACCACCCTTAGCTCTGCTTGCTGTACCCATGAGGACTTGATAGTATGACTTTGGTTGGCCAAGACTAGTGTCCTGTTGCTAGTGAAGTTAAATTACATGTCACTTCTCACACAGTCACATGCTTGTGTTAACACACTCAATTCATGGTGCAATATGAGTCATCAGCATAACACTCTGCTTCATGGGTCCTACACCACTTGATAAGATGATTGGTCCATGCAGTGTAAGTCTTCTTCCATATAATGTGAGGGACCACTGCTTTTGTCACTGATCTGGTGGGTTGTGATGCCAGGGGAGGAGCAGATGGCTCAGACTCCATGGCAGCTATGGACAATGTATTCAACAGAGAGCAGTTGGAGTTTGAATACTGATATTCTCAGCCAACACTCACCACAAACACCCAGCAAACACCCAAGGAATTAGCCAAACCTCTAGCAACTTTGAGGTGTGCTAATGTAACAGTGAAGACTTTTTGCCAATGTGTCAGGTATGATGTTGTTGGTTCCCTTAGTCTGTGACTGGAGTGATATGTGCTACATCAGTAAAGCTAAGTGTTCAAAAACCTGGGTTTTCAAGCACTTAATGTTTGCCAGTGTTTGCTGAGCATTCAAAAACTGTCTAATGTGCATGCTGTAATTTGGCTGAATTTACTGATGTAGTATCCTGCTGTTGCAAAAATAGTTGAATTCTGTAAGCCCTCATGCTTATCAGACCACATTTCTAATCTGACAAGAACAAGAACTCGCAGTCGACGGAGGGGGTCGTACGTCCAGCCTTTAACGGGTCAAGTTGGTTCAACGGATATGCGCAGGCCCATCTACTGTAGGTATGTACCTGCTCTGCAAATCCTCTGTCATTACGTAACGTACGAGAGTAGAACCTGATGACATCGTTGGGCGGCCACAAGTCATTTACATCCACAGACGTCATCCACGTAGGTAAGGGCGAGCATCACTGCCAATCGGCATCTTTTGCAGCGCTTATTCGGTTGTGAATCCTTCCCTTATCTTCCTCCGAGTCGCACAGGGACAGGAAGCGGGAAAATCCGAACAGGGTGCCTAGTCAGCACCGGTGAACACACTGGTAAGTACGGATCATCACAGGGATTGTGCTATTCCGCCGTTTCTTTATATACGAGGAAATGATAGTTGAACATCTTTAGAAGCTTCCGCATATTCTCGCAATTTTGATTGAAGGAGGTAAGAATGAAACCGGTTCATCATATTCTGGTGGCAACTTTTGCTTGCTCAGTTCATAAGCCCAGTGAAGTTCATAGTCCATCTATTCATCATAGTGAGCAGTAACGCGGGAGGAACTTGGAAGTGTTGCAGATGACATCTGAGCCGTGCAAGGCGCGAATCCAGACTTGCTGGGAAGAGCCGCCGGCATTCCACACCGTGTTACTTAGAGCCGTCGGCCCCACAAAGAAATGTAGATGCCACGTTCCAATCTACAACAAGGACTCCAGATCATCGAGGGGGTTGAATGCGAATGGTCCATCCAAGACATCGTCTGGCGAATCCTCCACCATTTCATTAAAATCATTAAATGACCTCGAAGGGGGATCGGGTCGGAAAAGCTAACGTTTCAGTTCGACTTCGCAAGCCATTAAGTCAATCACTTCCTTTATGCACGATTTCGTTGGAAATTCGACAATATTCAATGAATGCAGCATACCGCCGACTCTTGGTTTTGAACCCGTTCCAGTACCTTTGGCATATGCCGACTCGCCACCTTCGTTAATTCTCCTGTACCTCGGATGCTGTTGGGGCCATTTCAGAACAGATCAAGATCTCTCACCTACGCCAAGACTTCCTCTCGAATGATCCGTCTTCATCTGCCTTCACTGATCAACACGTTAGTCAGGGGACACAAGCATATGACCACAGTAGTGTACCCAACAAACTTCTTTTTGCTTTATGGCGTTATCGACCAATTTGTGACAATCTGTGCGTAGAGCTTGTCAAGCATTTTGTTCCGGCAGGTTGGTACGTTTATAGCATTAGGGAAAGTGATGGAACGCGGGAACATGGCATTATTCAAAAAGACGTTGGGCAAGGACACTCCGAAAGTGTCAAGGACTGAGGTCATGGTGTCTACAGTAGTTTTCTATCAGGAGAACTGAGGTCATGAGAGAATCCTGTAATCCCAAAAGAGTCGAAGCTGAAAAGAATTACAAGGCCGCCAGAATGGCATAGCAAACGAACGTACTAGACGCGATTCACCCTGCAGCAGAGCTAAGACACCCAAACGGTCAGCGTATTCTATATAACGTACCATTTCTGAACATCAAGGACAACACTCCCGCCTCCGCTTGCGTGATTGCATGCTTCCCAAGCTGCCCTCAGCCATCAGAATTTGAGAACTTGGTTGAAATAGGCGTAGCAACTGCATTTGCTTACCTTGGCCACGGTTTTATAGATAGCGGGGTTTGACTTTCGAATGGCGGTGGAATCAAATGAAAGCGCTGTGAATCTTCTCTGCCTGAAAGTACAGTAGTCCAGCATCGGGACGTGATGAAGCGTTGAGCCAGGGAGAACCATACCTTCGGTGCGGCTCGCCTTCAGCCCAAATCAAAGGGTCCGGAGTTGAGAGAGCCATGGGAGTATACGAATACTGGAATCGTACGTACCCTCCGTATGATGGTCGCTTTGACACCCGGAGAGCCTACGTACGGCAACGTATCGCTAGCTAAGAGTTCCGGGTCGTAGAGCATGATCCCTCTTTTGTCCACACATCATAGGAATTTCATATACCATACCGTACTCCTTGGACCATGCCTCAAATATCGCTCAGAATCGAGCAATTCGAACAGCTCTTTACTCACTCCAAACAGCAGACTATTACTTTTGAGTACCCTCAGTTTCGTCGTCCTGAACTTCTTCCGAATTGCTACACGTAATACCTGGATGGGGCCGGCGCAGTGGCTACGCAGATTAGAGACAGAACGAGCGAAGTCTCGAGACGTATCGTAGGTGCGAACGAGCGTGGACATTGGGTCCATCTCGATTCCAAAGGTCTGAGGTTGAGGGACGCGAAAGAAGTTCTTGTTCGACTCTTCGCAAGGTGTTAAATACGTGCAGCTTAATGACCCCGCTTCGGAACAACATGGTCGATGGCTGTTCCATTCATTTCCTACACCGCGGACATTAGCCTTATCAGGCACATGAGTTACTAGGAAGAAGCAAACACGATACAATTGCGTCGGAACCGCTGAATGGACTATGATACATGGTTCGCGCAAGGAGTCACCGCATCGTAAGGTCACGCTTGTCATCGACTAGTCACTGAACCTAACGATGAGCTGGGAATATCGTTAGCGCGGTTACCGCATACGCCAGGACGCTCACCCGAATGGAGGGACTATCTCCTCCCTCTGGTATACTATCACGCTTCCAAACGGAATCTGTTGTGACTCGACACTCGGCAGTTCAAGTAATAATCGAGTGATTGTTAAAATAATAATTCCGTCTACTACCTACGTAGATCCCTTACCACACTCGAGATCTCGATTCTCGATGCTACCAAACACAAGAAGTTCAGCCGAGTAAGCGGTCAGGGTAGACACTCACAATGCATAAACACATCCTCGTCTCCCACGTCCTCTCGTCTTCATTATCCAGCAGCCCGACCTGATTCCCTTACCCCGTCCCTTTGGCTCTTCACCACGCCCAATCCCCTTCCTCCAGGTCACAACGGTCCTGTCTGCAAAGGGAAAGCTGATAACAGTATTAGAACCACGAAACTAAGGGAATGAGTCGCGGTTATTTCTTCGCCGTAGCAAACACTATAGTATCTTTATTGCTTCAATCAACTTGGACTGGCCTTTGTCAGCACACGCTACCATGCGTGGATTGGTTTGATGATCGTAACTAAACTTCCATACAATATCCGGATTATACATACATTTTTTGCTAAATGATAAATACCTCAGTGAGCGATATAAGTCTGTATATGAGAAGGTGAATAGGTACGCACAGACAAGTTACAGTATCGATGAAAACATGCAAGCTAGCGGTAGAATCACGGGACGGTAGGTCGATAGTTCTCCAATGGATCTCCGTATAAATCAACCATCCGAGTCCGATGTGCCACTGCGTCTGCCCACATCCTCGCTATCTTCGGATCCTTTGCGACCCACTGTTGCTGGTCGACGAAGATGGGGCAGAAACGCTTGTGAGGGTGAGTGGAAGGTTGGGCAGGGGGAAGATGTGCCGAAGGGAAAGGAGTCTTAGCCACGACTGCAGATGTGGTTGATCGTGTTGGTGAGGCATTATCCGAATGCGATGCTTGTAGCCTGTGTGATCGTCGGGGTGTCGATGGTTGTTCAGCGGTATCTGTCCGCGTGCCACGAGCGCGAGGCGAAGGGAATGCAGGAGGGTTTCTCGGGCTAGAGGGTCGTGACTGGGCAGGTGTTGAACCCGCGAGCGCTGCCTGAAACGCAGCCAGGCTGGCATCTTCATCGGCGACAGGCGACATTGTCAGTTCGCGTCTGAGGCATGATTTGGCGGGCGATTCGATCCTGCGCCTTTTCGTCGGTGTTTCAGGCTCGCCCATATGATCTTCTCGGTCAAGCAAGGGCTGACAAAACGCGACAGTTCGTTTCTGGGAGGTTGCCCTCGATACCATCAACTCCCGTTCCCGTTCTGTCCCCTTCATCGCCGATTTGGTAGGTGATTTTGATTTCTGCGGTGACAAACCCAGTAGCTGAAACGGTGCGATCTGAGGTAACTTGGAAGAAGCGCTGGCTGGAGTGGTAGAGCGAGAAGCCTGGATTTTAGGGAGTGCAGATCGAATGACATCTGCTACAGTTCCACAGTGCTCGTCTAGACCTTTCAAGATGTTCTTGAACTTGATCGGCTTCAACTCGTAGTCCACACAGAACGTTTTCTCTGCCATCGTGTTCTACAAAGTTTTTCAGTGGCCATTACCCTCCAAGAACAGCGACCAAGACTGACCCCCATCAAATTATACACCCAGAAGAATATCGCACACGTCATCATATGCAAACCGTACCGTTTCTTCATCATTTCTACCTGTGGCAACGTGCCCTCTGCTTGTTCCATCCACCGAACAGCTTCTTGTGGAGGGTACAGTCTATGAGACACGATCAGACCCTGGTAGGTAACATCTTCACCAGAAGCACGCTGTCCGTCTCTGTCGTCATCTAGCTGGAGAGCTGTGCGTACGGTCTTGAGCATGTCTTCGAAGACGCGAGGCTTGACACATGCGGCTGTCGCTGCGCTCTGGAGGGAGACCTCATTTGCATTCAATCTACATTATTTCCGGCTTCAACCAGTCAGTTTTGCGGAAAGGGAACGTGGCACGTACTGCTCAGATGCAAGATAAGCAGCGACTGCAGGCAGTGCAGCCGCGTTGACTACGAAGCCGGTTCCGCGGCCCGTCCTAACTGATGCGAGGTTGAGAATGGATTTTGCGTGTTCGAGTGTTTCCTGGGAGGTGCAGAGTGACCTGAGTTGGCGATGATAGATAACTGTCGCCATGACCGCTGCCCTTGCCTAGCAGAACGTTGTTCAATTAATCCCCGTCGCGTCTGCACGGTCACGTGCGCGCCATGCCACGCGACAAAATATGTGTGTGGGAAAGTGTTGAGTAATCGAAAAATCACATTTTTCTGCCCCTCCTTTTTACTGTCTTTTTTTTTTTCGAGGCGGACCACTGGAACGTCCGTGCGCTGAACGTGCCCACGCGTTTCACGACAACTGGCATTTTGTTTGTAGTTGTGCGTTTCGCCGACAGCCTTAATACAGTGCCCATTTCTCAGCGCTTCTCCCCGTTAGGTTCTATCGGCTCCTTTTGGGCATCGTGTGAGTTACAACTGCATTAATATTACCATTCCCGCACTATCCGCGACCAACTCGAGAGTGTCGCATGCTCCACCCTGATACTTGGGACTTGCCACCATAATGACCACCTTGCCATTTTCCGCTGTCCAACAGGTCTTCTTGGGCAGGGGAATTTCCTGGATTGTGCTGCAAGGTGTAGTTGTAGGACTGAGGATGAGTCAAGCAGGCAAGTTAAGGTCATTTAGAGTCAATACAGCTGGAAAGGTCATAATGCACGCCATCGAGCGCAGTGTACAGAAGAACGGGCATTCTGCATCGGTAGTGCATGCATTCTGACCCTTGCAGCTGTATAGATTTGTCACAATTTGGAAAACTAATGACCAGCTAGCACCGTTGGGGATGTCTGACGAGATTCGACAGTATGAATATTCCACACCAGATAAGATAAGGTCACCGGCCCGAGAACCGGCACCGCGGCGCGGTGTGGCCAAGAAGGCACGCACAGCATGTGGGTGACGAATAAAAGCAAGGAGTTCACGAGGTTTTGAAACCCTCGTCTTTTTTTCCCTTACACAGACATTCATCCGCAATACACGATTATGAGCGACAACAGGGGCGGTTACCGTGGAAGAGGCACCCGAGGCCCTTCTGGAGGGCCAAGAGGTGGTCGAGGCGCCCCTGGAGGGCCAGGCGGCGGTCGGGGATTCCCTGGAGGGTCAGGCGGCGGTCGAGGCTCCCCTGGAGGGCCAGGCGGCGGTCGAGGATCCCCTGGAGGGCCAGGAGGCGGTCGAGGATCTCCTGAGTCGTACAGAGGGCGCGGTTTTTCTGATTCTGGCAGAGGTGGTCCTAGAGGGTTTGGTGGAAGGGGTAGACCATTCCGTGCTCGCGGAGGGTAAGTGGTATATGCATTATTGTGGTTGCTTGGCCGTCTAAAGCGCTGTCTACCATAGCGTGTTCCTGGCGGGTCGACCCGCAAATGTAGACGACCGGATTGCTAACAATTCAGACAAGACACTCGTGTCGTCCTTCCGCACGCAAGGAAGACCAGACCCTGACGAAATGCCCTTGCGCCCTGACTTTGGGACTGCGGGCAATGAAATCAAACTCCGTGCGAACTTCTTTCCTGTTCGTATCCCCAAAGGTCCGTTGTATGAATACGACGTTGCAATTGCCCCCGCTGCTGGAACGTCGCCGCGCCGCGTGAAGCGCCGAATTTACCAACTTGCTGAACGAACGCCCGCGTGGCGACAGGCTGGCCTTTCTGGGCAGGTGGCACATGACAACAGTGCCAAACTAATTGCCGCCAAGAGGCTCCCTCAGCCGTTGACAATCAAGGTTGCTTACTATGATGAGGATGAACAAGGCCCACCTGCGACCGGTGGCAAGGAATACACATTAACAATAAAATTCATCCAGGAAATCGATACGAGCTGCGTTACGAGGTATGTTTCATTTGTCTTGGGTCGTCTGTACCACTTTTATGCGACGCTAGGTACATCCAAGGTGATCCCCAGTACCGCAATTTCGACATACTGCCTGTTATTTCAGCCCTGAACGTAATTATGGCGTCCAGTCCTGGAGGAACAGGTGTTGTGGTCGGGCGGAACAAGTACTTTTTCCGCGATGCTGCAGTGCCCGTCTCACTTGGCGGCGGCTTAGAAGCCCTCAAGGGGTTCTACTTCTCCGTCCGCCCTGCGCATCATCAGCTCATGGTCAACGTCAATGTTTGTACCACGGCATTCTATGTAGCTCAGAACTTGGCAGATGCCATGATTGAGTTCCGTAACGCTACCTTTGGGGCCCGGATGAACGCTTTTTGCAAGGGGGTGAGGGTGAAGACTACCCACCTTGGGCACCGAAGGACCATCAAGGACGTCTCACATTTCAATGCAAAGCAATACAGATTCCGGGCAGAGGAATTTGGAACGGAAGTTACCGTAGAACAATATTTCAGGCGAAGTGAGTCGATGACCATGCACATTCCGCTTTGGCTGACAGCAGTGTCTTGAAGAATACAACATATCACTGCAGCGCCCCGAAATGCCGCTCATCAATGTTGGTGGTAAAGACAAGGCAATTCTTCTGCCCCCTGAAGTTTGCACCATACTACCGGATCAGCCCTTTCGCGGAAAGCTCTCAGACCAGCACACCGCGAACATGATAACCACGGCCTGCCAACCCCCCAATGTCAATGGTGAGGCTATTATTAACCAAGGTCTTGATCGCCTTGGCTTTCAGTCGTCCGGAGCCGTTCTGCAAGCTTTTGGAGTGGGGGTTGGGCGGGAGATGGCAGTTGTCCCTGGTCGCATCCTCTCGAGACCTGCAATCAAGTACTCCCAAAACAACTCTCCTGCCATAGATGACAAGGCGTCGTGGAACCTTAGAGGGATCAAGTTCGCCACTGGCGCTACCCTTGAGAAGATGGCTGTCTTGGTCATAAAGGACGGGAAACCAAGAGACGAGTTCGCAGGAGCCAATGATCCGGAGCTGCGCGACGTGGTGGCCGGTTTCCGTAATATGTGCGCTACCAGTGGAATGAGGCTGGGTGGAGAGCCCACCTACCTCGAGGCCCATCTTCCTGCTAAAGAAAATAGTGACCCCATGCGCAAGAAAGCTATCGATAGCATTCGCCAAGCCCTACGCACTACGAAGGTGAAACCCACCATTATCATGGTGATGCTTGCCGATGGCGACAGAGCGGTATACGAGGGTCTTAAACATCTTTGCGATGTCTTCCTTGGGGTCGCCACGGTGTGCGTACATTCCTCTAAGATCAAAAAGCAAAGTCTGCAGTATTACGCAAATGTGGCACTCAAGTTCAATATGAAGCTGGGTGGCGTTAACCACAATTTGAACGACCCTGGCAGCGTTAGATGGCTTGGTGCCGCGCCGACCATGATAGTCGGTATGGACGTTACGCACCCTGGCCCCGGAAGTGCCAAAGGAACCCGTGTGTACATTGCTTGCTCAATGGTTCTTGGGGCTTACAGTATCTCCAGCGTCTATTGCCGCAGTCGTTGCCAGTATTGATAATCAATATGCGCAGTACCCTGCCTGTCTTGAAATACAGGAGACGAAGAAAGAAGTAAGGGTTTTTTTTTTATGTTGAAGAAGTCTGATAGACATGGCCGTCAGATGATCACGAAGCTCAAGGATATGATGATCAGTCGTCTCGAAATATTCAAAAACCGCAACAAAAAGCTGCCAACCCGAGTCCTGGTATATCGTGATGGGGTCTCTGAAGTATAACCTTATTTCCGTCTTTTTCGCTGTGTCATAATGATAATGTTTGCAGGGACAATTTAACATCGTACGAGAGGAAGAATATCCCGAGATCTTGAAGGCTTTCCGGAAGTTTGACGCGCCCAAGCAACCATACCGGCCCACGCTCACTATCGTTATCTGCGGCAAGCGGCATCATACACGTTTCTACCCTACGGAGGAGAGTACTGCTGCGGGTGATGGAAATCCGCGTCCCGGAACCGTTGTCGACCGTGGCGTGACCGCCGTATATCACTTTGATTTCTTCTTGCAAGGTAGGTGTATTGCTCGTTGTGTTCGTTCTTAGCTCACCCCCTGTAAAGCGCATGGTGGTTTGCAAGGTACCACGCGTCCCACTCACTACTATGTCGTTCACGACGAGAACGGGTTCAATGCCGATCAAATTCAAGGACTGACCCATGCTCTGAGCTACATGTTTTCTCGCGCAACAAAGGCTGTTAGTTTGGTTTCACCGGCGTATTACGCCGATATCGCGTGCGAGCGTGGTCGGTGCTACTTGCGCAAATTGCTGCATGGCATCGCCGGGGAGGGAACGACGGCCAGTGGCAGTGGTTCCGAGGAGGACGTCATGAAGGAAGCCCAGAGCCTATGGCACAAAGGCGTGCATGAAGCTATTAGGAACACCATGTTCTATCTTTAACCGATCTCTGGATCATCTAGGCGCCTCATTTGTATAGTAGGTATCTCCCATCCGATTTTTGTGCTACCCGAGTTAGGTTCTCTTGTACCAGATCATACTTGCTGTTGTATTAATACGCTTATCTTGCCACTCATGTAACTTCAATGCAGCTTTCTTTTACGTGTGAATCAGTGTGATTGTGTTGCGTGGTTAGAACACTTCTATCTGTATTCACCATTTAGCAAGACCTTAGCTCTCACCGTGCCATCCTCCAGCAAGATATAAGTGTCAATTTCATCACTGGGAAGGGAAGAACGAAAGACCAAAGAACGGACCCCTCTGCCCCAACCTTCCTCACTGTAGCCACCGTATCTATATGAGGCGTGGTTAAGTATGTCCTACCTGGACAACAAGATGCTCACCCGAGAGTGCTTGCTAAAACAGAAGATGACATCGTAGGCTGGCTCTCGTGCACACCATTCATCCCCGTGGTCTGAGAAATTCCGAGGATTATGAGTCCAATTTGACCACACCTGCCTCAGCAAACGCACCGTGACCGGATATTACCACTCGTAGGTTTTTGACATGCGTATTGAGTGCATCCCAGAATGGCTGATCATTGCCTGCAGATGCAGGATTGCTGGTCGCTTGCGTCGAACCTTGTCCTAACTCGTCCGCTTGCACACAGTCGTTAGGGCTAGTCCACAGCAACTGGAGCCGTTCCCGTGACAGTTGGCTTACCGTTGAGACCAGGGTTGATAGTGCTATTTAACGTTTCCTGCACAGCTCGGATTGAATGGCTACCCTCACTCGTTTCACGAATACTGCCCTACATCGTGGTACATTCACTCACGGGGGTATATGAACGAACGCAAGTGCACTCCTTGACTCAGGAGGTCCCCAGGCGACATTCATAGCTTCGGTCTCATCAGCAATCCAACCAGCCACGGATTCGTCCACCCAATCTGGCATTGCGGTGCCATTCGTGTGAACACCCCCTGATCAATGAAGAAAGTTAGAATCACAGTGTGGTAAGCCTTATGAACACCCTGAGTAGTACCTCGTGAGTCAAAAAACCACAGGACCAGAACGGGAGAGATATCTGCAGCGACAATCGACTTCTGGCGGTTCAAGATGAGGATGGCAAGTTGGCTTACCTGTCTGTTTTTCATAGACAGGTACCCAATAGTTACCTGGTCCACCAACCCCACCGACACCAGGTGGCGAACGACGGGTAAAACTGAAGGGAGTTATGGACGTTTCTCGTGCTATTTCTTCAATATGGGTAATGTTGACCTGGTTATCATGGTTCTTTGAATCGGACCGTTGAACAGTGTGATGTGGATAGGTTGGAATAGGACCTACCCCATACGTCGAGGAGAAAGGGACTTTGGCATCATCCAAAGATTGTACGATGGTATCGATAAGGGTGGTGGAATTCTCTCGAAATGTGTCTGGTAAAGGCAAGTATGTGATTTGTTCTCGAAGGTCACGCACATATGGGGCAACATACTTTCCCCTGTAATGAGGTCCCCGTTGATGATCCTGTTGATATGGATGTATCAGTTCATGTGCTGCTGCCCGCAGACACCAGACTACTACACATAATCAGGTCGCTCCATCGCCAGCATGGTTCTCATCAATTGACTCGTGTTAACATCTTGCTCAGGGCCCCACCAATCCCAAGGGTTCTCGCCATAATGAATGTCGGCGAAGACCGTTAATTTGAACGACCCATCTTTCCCGAACACGACACGAGGTTTGTCAGGGTAGGGGTCAAGTATCCAATCAGTTATGGAGGACTTGCCCACTGATTGTGCGGTGAGGCTGGCGAACGTAGGAAGCTCATCGAGGGTGACTGAAGCTACAGGCAGGGCTCGTACACGCAACAGGAACTTGGATGCCACGAGTAGGGTACATGAGTTCCACAACATCAGTTCCGGGAGGTTCAGACTGGCACCCGACACTCTACAAAGCGTTTCGAGCTATTACACCTGTGTGAAAAGGACGTGACAGTGCAATGTGGTGTGTCACATGACGTTCCTCAAGGAATTGACAATGATAGAGCTTTTTGTCCAGGACCCTTGACACAATGAATATGCAACGTTCCTTAAAAGTGTGTCCTTTCATTTCCGATTGTTATCGGTTTGTGTGCGCAGCATGATCCTGCGTCTGTTATCAGAGTTCTGTTTCGTGCACAGCATAACTGTGGCGTATAAAAGTAACGGGGGTGCGGCGTTACAGTAAACGTGTCTTTATTTCTTTTCTCCGAGATGGTTCTATCTCTACCACCTTCAATCCGCAACTGTGAGCAACAGAGGCGGTAGCCATTCGTGAGGTGACTGACTTGGGCCCCTCCCAAGAGGTTGAGCATCCCCAACCCACGAAGGCTCTTCGACGTGGCTCTATTGGTGCTTCCAGACCTCGAGACGGCACCTAGGTCCCAGAAGACCTTCAGGCCCACATAGCTGACAGTGGTGGTTAGCGCAACGGGATTGGCTGGGTTTATGAAAAGCCAATCTTGTTGTGCTAACCAATGCTCTCAGTTACATCTGTATGATTGATCAGCACAACAAAGGTGGTAAGCTTGGTTTCCTTGGCACATTATGTTGATAAAGCTGCCAGTGCATGAATTGATGGAAGTATCTGCTGCATCATATGGTTAGGGCTGCAGCGGCAATTCCAAGGCAGACGTCGACTATGACTCACGAGGGACGCTAAGGCCTACGGCAGGGATATGTTCTTCATACCCTTAAGTATTCCTTACAGTCTCATCTGTGAACTCGATATCTCAATACACGCCAGTTCATGTACACGCCGTCCACTGTTTATGTGCTCTCTAAAACCGAATACAAGGACCCAGATTTTTTTAGATGTCATGTTACACCAAACCTCATGTCACTCTGACCCCTACAGCAGCTTCGTAATCACTACGTCCCTTTCACCTTTATCAACCCCTTCATCATATCGAAGCTATTACCGTCTGGCTGTAAATCGATGTAGTGACTACTTCCGGATGCACGGCCGCCACTCAGCGGTACCGTTCGCAAGAGTCCATAATCCGTGGTGATACCCTCGATACGCACGGTAGTATGTGGTGTGGTCGTGGTCAGCGTGACGATTTGATTCCTGGGGGGCAGGACAATTTGAGCATGTGCGCACAAGGTATCAACTTCGCAAAAACACAACGTACGAATGTAGCCATCTTGAAGTGTAGCGATCGAGGAAAGGTTCGAACCCGCGTTCTTCGTCGTCGAGAAACGATTCCCATATACGTTCAAAACTGGCTAGTATGGCTGCGGCGACTCGTTCAATGCGGGGATTAGACGAGGCCTGAGTATCGCTTCCGAGAGCCCCCAATTGTGCCAGAGAGGCGATGGGGAGTTCGTTCAGGACATTCAGCCCGCAACCTTCCAACAACGAAAACCATACAAAGCATAAGTCGCTACTCGGGTGAGGTCGTGTCTGGGAACTCTTACCGATGATGATATCTACCATCCCTCCCTCAAAATGCAAATTGACCAGTATCCCACCGAGCTTCTTCCATTCATACTTCTTACCCGGATCTTTTTGGGCGGCGGGGAACTCGCCGTATATGTCGTTGGGCCATTTGAGTTTGATTTTGTCAGCCCATCGACCGGATGGGTCGAGGACATCACATGCTTCGGCTACCGCGATCGCAAAGAGGTACTGAACAAATATTAGGTTGGAGGCTCGAATCGAGCGAGCGGGAAGTGCGCCTGGTCCGGTGCTCTTGAGGGGTACACGAGTGAGGAGGGACATTAGTATGCATCCCTCTGGTGATACCCATGCATTTGCACCCCTCCCTCGTCCAGCGGTTTGCTTCGATGCAAAGGAAAGGATGGGAGACGGGAGAGCGCGGAGGAATTTTGGGTTCCTTGGAAGTAGTAAAGAAAATTTGAGCAGGTATCGGTCGCCGGTGAATGCCAGAAGGTAACTCACTTGTCTAGCAAGCTTTGTGTGCTAGTGACAACCTCACCATACATAAGCACGTCTCCCATTTTCCAGGAAGAGGAGGCATCCGTGTGAGCACTGTTATCTCGAACACGGAACTGGTCGAGTGCAGAGAAAAAGGTAGACGGTGAGAACAAGGGAGTATAAAGCTGCTCCTGCCCAAGGGTAAGGGGCTGCTTTGGGAGGATGACATCCTTCACTTCCTCCGTGGAACTGGTTGCCGACTGCGGAAGGAGCTGGAGTATCGGATGGTCCGAGCCCCCTGTCGACGAAAATTCACTGACGGGATGAAAATGGAATGAATCGTTTGCGTCGGAGAAACGCATCTTATCGGACAGCTCGTCAAGCTGGCGTGGCGCTTTACCGTCATCGGGTTGAAAGCCAAGGGAAGCGAATGCATCATGGATATCTCGCCCAGGAAACAGGGACTGTAGGACGAGGTCCCGGGCTTTCCAATTAGTTGGGCTCGCAAGGAGTAATTGTGGAAGGATGTGCGTAGCCGATGACTGTCGATCGTACGATGGAGCACCAAAGCGCAAACCCAAGGCCGCGAAGGTTGCATGGACAAGTTTCTCGTGTAGGGATGGTGCGCATGACCAAATTGCGATGTGACCGCTTTGGGACGACACGCCGGCAAGCGAGTTGTCGTTGGAGAAACGGGCAAGAACGTTTACCTTGCTGGCGTCGACGTCGATCTTTGCCAAAGGTATACGAGATACGTGAATCTGTGTCGCATCGATATCAATGGTAGCTTGTGAAGGGGTCTGCGTTGGAAAATCGATATGGAACGACGTCAACCCTTCGGTCAAACGAAAGACGCTAGTATCGGTTCCAAGTCCGAGCACTCCACCGCCGGAGAGTGCGTGCAGTGAATCATGAGCGCCGAATATTCCATGGGACTGCTTTGTCCCCGCCCCCAAAGCGAGCACTCTCCCGCCGGTCTCAATGTATTTGCGGACTGCTGTGTGATCAGCGGGTGGACCGAGAAGGACCAGGAGAGCACACGTGGAGTGCCAAGGATAAGCTGGAGATGCGAGGGCTGCGGATGAGATGAGCTGTGGGAGGTAGTGAGGGGTGAGGAGGGAAGTCAGAGACTGTGCTACTGTGTCCGCTGTTGGATGTGTGCTGGGATGGATGAGCACGTCCATCGTTGACGACTACGAGGAGAAATATAGCTTGTCTAATCTTATCTAGGTAATTCATCACTCAGATAGCATCGCCGGACAAAAGACTGTCGAGCCGTCGTAGCACAATGGTAGTGCGTTGCCTTCCTAAGGCAAAGGTTGTGGGTTCGATCCCCATCGGCGGTACTTGGGTACTTCACCACGGCTCACTTTTTGGGTTATTTTACTTCTGGTAATGGGACCGCTCAAAAATTTAGCCGAGTATTAGCTGGTATCAGCATGCAGCATGATCATAAATCCGTGGGCACGGGGGAAAAAGACATCAAGCATCCACAACGCCACGAGAAAGCACATCTCGAGCCCTAGCCCATATTCCTACGAAGAACGGACTGAGGAACACCGCTCGCATGGACACTCGTTGATTAGGAGGACAGCCGACAAAGGTGGAGAAGGTCTGATGTGTTTGTACATTGTTTGGCAACGGAAGACATCAGACAAGACAGCGTTCAACTGGAAGCCTTTGCATTGAACGTCCGTATCGTAGATCTTTCTGTAGCCCAACATGCGGCCCACTCTAATTCGCTCTGATGGAATGCCAGGACGTGGGTTCTTTTGCCTTGTTCTCGAGGGTCACGTATTGACCATGTTCTTCTCGTTTCAGCTAAAACATACGTGAGTGCTCAGCGACCGGACATTTGGCTTGGATATTCACGGCCGCATGTGTGCATAGAACCCGTGGTGGGGTGACACGAGAAACTTGAAGCAGAGGGGAATCATCTCATACAGTAAGTTCTCCACTGAACATCGCGAATTTAACGACGAATCCTATTTTGTCTCGCAGCCATCTGGCGGTCCTGGTCAGAGTCGAAGACGTTTGTCTTGCAGTTTCCGTTCAACGCCTTCCAAGAACAGTAGGCGACAAACTTTAGAAGAATGCAATTCCAAAGTTGCCAAGGCATGTCGAAAAGATAAGCGGGACTAGTGCGTTGGCGAATCCGAACTTCCATTCACGTCCGATCCAAGGTCGTGTCAATTAATCATACAAATTTGTCGGTACGCGACGTTTCTTCCAGTCTTCTTGCACAATCATTCTTTTTGTTGAATCACCTTCTTGCTCCTTTGGCTTCCTCGAATGCTGAATTGGCCTACGAGGTGTGAGAACCTCATAAACACATCCAGTTACCTAGGCAGACTTACTTTGGATAGGAACGCTTCGTCTGTTAACACGCACATACCGACGGCAGCTAGCGCCTTCGACACGTCGATACACGCCTCGTGGGCCTGGATGGTGCTGGCAGGCTTCCGTGAATGCCGACGTATGATTCCCTCCATTTGGTACGGTTGGTATGGCTGTAATTAGGGCATGACTCAGTGTCGCTTCAAGGCAAAGAAAAGCGGACGCACAGAACCCGGGGTGAAGGCCAGGGCATCAATGAGGACAAGGAGTCAACGCGAGATGGACGCTACGTGCGATAAGAGACATTTCCTTATCGAGTACGGCATCAATTAGGAAACGAGAGTCCTTATGCCTGCGGAGACTACACCCAAATTACCCAACGCAAGCCCCTTCTGCTCAGGAAGTCGCGGGTTGCAATTTGTGAGTAATAGAGACGTGCGTTCGATCCCGGCTTCACGTTCGAGGGAGAGAAGAGTTCGCTGGCGCGATATGAAGGCTCCAAGTGACTCTGCCGTGTCGGACGACGGATCTGAGGCCATGACGATGACGATCTCCCTAACCAGCGATATTGTAATAAAATGGTACCCCTTCACACCAGGCCTTGGAAATTCAGGTGTCGAGTCAACTTCCATTGAATGGGCGATTCCAGGTGGAGAAATCTGAAAGCAGTGATCATGCCAGTGGTCATGAGCTCACAAAGTTTATGGATGGACGTACTGCTGACCATGTGAGTTTTGGAACATGCAACCGTGTTCAGCCCTGTCGGCCAATCCCCCTTCTCTCGGCCTCGCCCAAAGCCCCATCTCCAACTTCGCGTGTCAACCATAATCGATTAATCTGTAATAGTGTTTCGTGCACTAAATACATTGATACCAAGCATGTCGACAGACTCCGAGGGATCGTCAACATTGACTATTCCCCGTCGCGCACCGCGGTATTTCGGTCACGGGTATGGAGGGTACGGGTTTTTGGCGGGTAAGCCCCTGAAAATTTGTTTGTTTGTATATGTGTATGTGTATGTAGCACGGATCTCCGATCGTGGCTGGGTACGACGGGGTTCCCTCGTAGTGCGGCAGGGCATCTGTGCTGCTCCAGATTCACTTGACTTCATAAACTGTGTTGCAGTCGTGACGACCCGAAAACAGTGAGAGAAGGAAAAGTGGGGTTTAAAAGCTTGGCCCCCCCAAGAACTGGTAATGCACAACCCGAGTCCATTTTCCCTTCGAGCCATCATGCCTGCCACTTCACAGTCTGCAGAAAATGCTCGCAGGGCGGCGTCAAAGCTCTCGAAGCGTGTTACGACCACCATCCCTCCTCGCAAGGGTAGGGAAAAGGATGAATATTGATGGCCACAAATATTCATCCTTTTCCCCACTGCTGGATTAGCAGTCTCTTCTGAGTGCGCCATCCCTGAAGCCGTACAAGCAAATCCCTAATTTCCTTTTTACTGGTCCTACCCCCACCACCAGGACCGCAGGGACCACCTGGGCTACCAGGACCGCAGGGGCCACTGGGACTGCAGGCGAGTCTGGGCCAGCCAGTGGTGATCATCCCATGGTGATTGATACTGGATACAGGACACTAGTAAGTGAGTCCTTGATAGCATATTCATGACTTACAATGTAGCAGATTGTTCTTGCTGGGATCGCCTTTGTCGCGACTGGTGCCATCAAAGACAGATACTTACCTGCCATCTCAGATAGGCTTGTATGGGCGGGAACGGTAGTTGCATTCAGTAGCGTCGTCGTTGCCGAACTTGGATTGGTGCCACTCCCTGTAAGTTCTCGCCAGTCGTCGGCGTACTTCGACCAAACTGGGACAGAGAACAGGCAATATCAGTCAAGACATTATTATTTTCATATCCAGTCTCAGCGGCCAGGTTGGATATGTACACAAAGCCACTGCCCTTACTTCGTTTGACCTACCTCATTGTTACAGCGGCGTACTCTTCGTTGCCGGACTCGCCAGCTTCGCATGGCTAGCTAGCCGCATATCCATTTTCGTTTTACTTGTGTTTCCATTCTGGCATTTTTCGTCCTCATACCCATTCTCGTGTTTCATGGTTGGGAGTCCTGGCACTGCCTTCAGCAATTTGGAATAGACTTAGTACTACTTACATGGCAAGGTTGCTGGCAAACCTTGCCATGTAAATAGTACTAAGTCAATAAAAGGTAGTTGACTTCCGATTCATGGTCCGGTGACTTACACCATGCTGGACAAGTATATAGTACCCTGCTGGGAACCGGCCAGTGGGCACCGACAATCCAATTCCCTCGGTAACAAGTAGGAACAAAAGGTCACCAGCACATGGAATGACTCCAGATCACCAGTCCATACTGTCCAGAACTAGAGCTCCATCACTGACCGCCGCTTATTTTCTACCTGGACCTCATGGCATCCGAGGATTGACGTCAGTGAACTAATTGTAGAAGTCATTTCTGCTGCGAGCTGTGTCCCACTTGTAAGGATTGATAAGGACATTCCAACCGTACCTTGACTAGGATCTAGTTACCATCTCCCTACTGATTGGTTACACCTATTCATGATACAAGGAATACAAATAATCGACGTTTAAAAAAATCACAAATCTTATCTATCCTAGAAATACGACGAGGGGATGGATAGAATAGCAAGATTGACAAGTGTCAAGGAACCATCGTCACGAATGCCCCCCCTGGAACCTACCAGCCCGCTCGAGACTGCCATCTGTCAACTCATACGCTGGTCTGTATCGCGAGGACGTCGATATCCGTGCGTCGAATGACTTATTCTCGTCCGGGCCCGCACACTCGAGGGTGCACATAGTGTTTGGGTCTGCAGCGATCATGCGAAGGGGACCGTAACCGCCTTCTGCCGACGAACTTCGAAGATGGAAAGAAGCTTCTGGATCTGTATTGGGCTCAGGGACACATATGCCATCCGGGTTGCTAGCCACGATGGTAAACGCTCCGAAGTCTTGGTCTTCCAGGAGCGATATTCGGGACGATACAGGAGTCTTTTCAGCTTGGCACGTTGCATTTGGGTTATCGGCGACGACAACATAAGAAGTGGGGAAGAAATCGGAAGCATCGGAAGACGGGGGGATACGTAGTGTAGGATTAGGGAACGTGTCGAACGTCGAACCAAGAGAGGTGTACCTAGTTGTTGCAACGAATTAGAATATAAGCTGCGCCGCGACCCAAGATATACGGATAGTGATCGCAAACCACCCACCCTTGATCATACAACGCGCAGTAAGGCACTTGCAGCTTTTTAAGGAATGTCCAAACATCAGAATACGCCCAGTTGATGATCGGATTGATGCGCTCAAACGACGGCCAACCGGGATCGCACATGTTCCGATGGGTGAGCGTTGCTGGTGAAAAAAACAAACAAAATAAGAGAGTTATGAACGTTGCCACCCCGCAACGAAAATGCAACCCCGGAATGAAGTTTTGATTAAAATTACTTACCCCCATGCGGATCTGTTCGCCGTGTCCCAATCAATATTGCCTGAATGTGTGGAAATCGTGACTTGTACAGTTCCAACGCGCGCCTCATTCCTTCACCTCCCCGACTTTCTCCGACGGGAAGATTTAGTGTGCCACTGTTCCCTAGATAATCATGCTGTGTACCAGGTGTCGTTATTGGTGGTGTAACGCTCTCGACTGGCAAGGGAATGCCCGAAGGAGGAACGCAGGTGAAGAGGTCCAGACCGTAGGCCTTGGCAGCCTGTGCGATGAAACCCTCTAGTTCATGGAAGGGTGAGGGAATGGGAATGTAAACGGCGGCGATGGACTGAGTGTTTGGGTGACAGCGAGCGAGAGCAGCGACATAAAGATGTAGGAGCACAGTGCCTGTGTGAAGAAAGAAAAAAAAGGTCACGAAATAGCGAGCTGAGCATGTGTACGATGAGACACCCACAATCCTTTCCTCCATTGAAGCTCAACGATATCCGTTCCGGCCTAGGAGTGAAGAGTTCACACTTAAGTCTGACGTGGAGAAATTCAAACTCACCCGTAGGTAGCCAGAATATGTTCGATAACGTCCAGCGACTCCTTGACCAGCGCGCCAATGGGATCCTGTGATTGGGCGAGATCATAGACGTCCCCGGCCATCTTCTGTCTGTCCATGGTGTTGATGGTATGACTTTAGGAGCACACCCACACCACCCGTCGGTGGGAAACCCCGAGTCGATTTACGCACGGTCTCAGCCTCAGCCCCTCTTGAGATTATACAAGTCTGCCTAAATGTCTGCTGTTATCTTGGTGACCGGTGGAACGGGTCTCGTCGGCAAGGCCATTGAATATGTCATCGAAAACGAACCACAAGGCTCGCGCTTCGCAAAACGCCCTGGCGAAAAGTGGATCTTTGCCAGTTCTCGGGACGCTGATCTCAGGTACGTACGGCCCTCCCAAATACTAGAGACTCGGTGGCATCTTATTCTACCCCCCACCCCACGCTAGAGATCCCAAACAGGCGTTGGAACTGTTCGAAAAGTACCAGCCTACCCATGTCATTCACTTGGCAGCGCTCGGTATGTCGCCAAGTTCGGTTCCCAACCTATCTGATTGAAAACATAATCAGTCGGTGGTCTCTTTGCGAACAGAGAGCGCAAAGTCAGTATCGTGTATCCATGTTCTCAGACACAACCGATAAGATGACATTTCACAGGCAACGTTCCTTCGAGACAACATGTTGATCAATGACAACGTTCTGCACACGGCTCGCATCAAGAAGGTTCAGAAAGTCATATCCTGTCTTTCTACCTGCGTCTTCCCTGACAAGATCGACTACCCCCTGACCGAAGAGAAGGTCCATCTTGGCCCACCGCACGATAGCAACTTTGGCTATGCCTACGCCAAACGCATGGTCGACGTCCAGAACCAGTTAGTATCGTTTGCGTTCGCTTTGGACAACATCCTCTTATTTGCTCTCACAGCGCGTACAAGGAGGAATTCGGCTGCAACTTCACCTCTGCCATTCCGACGAACGTCTTTGGACCTCATGATAACTTGTCAGTCCATCCGAATTGCACTCTTGTGTGGCTGGCTCTTAATTTGTAGAGTTTCCATAGTAATCTGAGACATGCCCATGTCATTCCTGCTCTTATCCACAAGTGCTACCTCGCCAAGAGTAAAAATACTTTTTTTTGGCTGTTCTATCCCGCGGGCCCATCTTCTGACGCTCTCTGAAACAGAAAACGGAACCCCTTTCAAGGTCATGGGGGACGGATCTCCTCTGAGACAATTTATCTACTCGCGGGATCTGGCCAAACTCTTCATATGGCAGTTGCGGGAGTATGACGACGTAGAACCTGTTATTTTTTCTGGTACTAGGCCCGTTATCTGGAAGGTTTCCTAGATCGACGCTCATGACCCGTGATTATAGTGGACGAAAACGATGAAATTAGCATCAGGGACGTGGCCAACGCGATCGTCGAGGTTATGAAATACGATCTTGGCGCTCAGGTGTGCCACATTCGCCTAACTTATATGAGTTTCTTAACAAACTATTCTGTCCAGTTTGAGAACGAACCTAATGATAATGGTCAAGACCGCAAGCCCGCTTCGAATGCTAAGCTCATGAAACTCATCGGTGAATTCAAGTTCACGCCGTTTAAAGAAGGTGGGTGTCCTCGGTGCTCGTTCGTTTATCTTTCAACCTAACGCCTTTTGCAGCCCTGCGAGAAAGCGTCGCTTGGTTCCTCGACAACTATGATAACGCCAGGACTGGGCATGCTTCCAACTAGTCGCTTGGACAACGGAACGCCACAGCTCACCGAATCTATACAGTGTATACTAGCTGGCATGTAACGGATACCGGAGGCAGTTTCGACGTTGTAGACAATCTGATTGGACTCTTTTTTTGTTTCATCGGTTTCCGTACCACTTGCATGTTCATAATAGAGAAAACACCCGTTTCTGCAATATTCATCACGAACGGTTACACGTTTGTATGGTAGGTATGCATCGATTCACGAATGCTTTTGGCAAAAATGGTACACGGTCAAAAGTGTTCGAGATCGTGAAAGGAGTCCCAAGTCCGGAAATGCTAAGTAAACAGAGATCTCCATTCAATTCTGATCTTCGACAAGGCTCTTGGAGGCATGGAGATCGGCTGTGACCATCTGACGGACCAGCGAGTCAAAGTCCATCTTGCGTTTCCACCCTAGGATGCGCTCCGCTTTGGCGGGATCGCCGAGCAGGAGGCTAGTGTACAAGGTGGGTTTAATCAGTGAGGCAGCTCTCAAGCACAGAGATAGGGCACATACTCGACTTCGGCCGGACGGAAGTATTGGGGATCAACCTTGACGATGACTTTACCCGTCTGCGCATTGTAACCTTCCTCTTGCACGCCAGACCCACGCCACCTAGGAAAGACAATATATGCGTGAGTAGAAGACGAACAAGAGATAAGGACGTACTTGACAGTCACGCCGACAACGGCGAATGCCTTTTCGACGAACTCGCGAACGCTGTGTGTTTCGCCCGTCGCAAGAACAAAGTCTTCGGGAGCGGGCTGCTGGAGCATCATCCACATGCCTTCGACGTAGTCCTTGGCTGCGTTTGTCCCTGTGAGTTTGCGAAGCGACACGTCCTTGTAAAAACCTTACCGTGACCCCAATCACGTTGGGCATCGATGTTACCGAGATACAGACAGTTTTGTTTGCCGAGGCTGATATCGGCGACGGCCCTGCTAATCTTCCTGGTGACGAAGGTTCTCCCACGCCTCGGGCTTTCGTGATTGAACAGGATCCCATTGCACGCGTACATTCCATATGCCTCGCGGTAGTTGACGGTGATCCAGTAGGCATAAAGTTTAGCGACGCCGTACGGGCTGCGCGGGTAGAATGGGGTGGTCTCACTCTGAGGTGTTTCGACGACTTTGCCGTACAGTTCAGAGGTGGAAGCTTGATAGAAGCGCACGTGCTTCTCAAGGCCGACGGTTCGGATGGCATCTAAGAGACGTAACGTGCCGACACCATCTACGTCGGCGGTGTACTCTGCCATCTCGAACGAGACTTTGACGTGAGACTGAGCACCAAGGTTGTATATCTCCGTGGGGAGAACCTGGGCGAGGATGTAGACCAAGTTGGTGCTGTCGGAGAGGTCACCATAATGCAGCTTAAATTTGTTGGGGCCTGTGTTAGTCGGGTAAGATGGGGGGAGCAGTGATAAAGGAACGACTGCGCACGTTCGTGTTGATCGGCGTAGAGATGTTGTAGACGGTTCGTGTTGAAGCTTGATGAACGACGGATGATGCCATGGACCTCGTAGCCCTTTTCAAGGAGGAGTTCTGTGCTACACAAACTAGTTGGTTGCTATCGCGTGCCAGTGGGAATAACTCACAGATAGGATCCATCCTGGCCAGTGATGCCTGCGACACGGAGGTGGTAGCGTGCTCGCAGTCAATGATCGTGGATGGACCTACCACTGATCAACGCGACCTTTCTGTTCCTGTACTCCTCTGGCGGGGGGAGGTTGAGTTTGACAAAGGGCGAGTGTGCGTCGGACATGGTGGATTGGAGGACAGGCAGAGATCAGACACGTGCAGGGTCTGTCGATTGTCTGTCGGGATAAGCGGTTGGGGGCGACATATCCCAATTAGGAAAGTCTCTTCTCTCAGAGTGTCCCCCGTCGCTGCTCAACGCAATGGCCTCGCTCATCGCGATACTCGACCTCAAAGGTAAACCGCTGATCCAGCGCTCATACAGAGACGATGTACAGCCCTCGTGTATCGAGCGTTTCCTGCCTCTGGTCCTCGACATCGAAGAGGAGGGCCAACAAGTCACACCTTGTTTCTCCAGTCAGGGGATCAACTACCTGCACATCAGGCATTCTAACCTATACCGTGAGTCTTGCATCTAGTTGCGGGAGAATGACACCGTTTGCAGACGTATGCGATGTGTCAAGTGCTTGCTCTTTCAAAGCAGAATAGCGATGCCGCCGAGATCATCGTTTTCCTACACCGACTCACGCAAGTCCTCATCGAATATTTCAAGGAACTCGAGGAGGAATCGATACGAGACAACTTCGTCATCATATATGAACTTATGGACGAGATGATGGACTTTGGCTATCCTCAGACAACGGAAAGCAAGATCTTGCAGGAGTGAGTCTGCCATATACGCAGTGTGCTTTTCTTTGGTATCGTGAATTGGGGTTCACCGACTGTTTGGAATGGCAGATATATCACGCAGGAATCGCACAAACTCGAGGTACAAGCACGACCACCTATGGCCGTTACCAATGCCGTGTCCTGGAGAACGGAAGGTATCCGGTATAGGAAGAATGAAGTCTTCCTGGATGTCATCGAAAGTGTAAACCTTCTCGTACGTCTTGCCGGCCGCTTACTCTGGTATATCCATTAATATGTTTATGTATGTACGTAGGTTAATTCGAATGGAAACGTCGTCCGTTCAGAGATCCTTGGTGCCGTCAAGATGAAGTGCTATCTATCTGGGATGCCAGAACTACGACTTGGTCTCAATGACAAAGTCATGTTCGAGAGCACAGGTCGCAGTACGTCTCTCTTCGTTTCCGCTCGTGGGACGACTTCTGACTCGGAGAATCCCTACCGATCTGGTACCGTACCTTAGCTTCCCGTGGCAAGTCCATCGAAATGGAAGACGTCAAATTCCATCAATGTGTGCGGCTCAGTCGCTTTGAAAGCGATCGCACCATCTCCTTCATCCCCCCAGACGGCGAATTCGAACTAATGTCTTATCGACTCTCGACGCCTGTAAAACCTCTGATATGGGTCGAAGCATCCGTTGAAAGCCACCGTGGTTCGCGAGTCGAGTACGTCGTCAAGTGCAAGGCACAGTTCAAGCGGCGCAGCACGGCGAATAACGTAGAGATATGGGTACCTGTCCCGGATGATGCTGATAGCCCGAAATTCAGGGTAAGTATGATCAAACTGAAGTATCGAAATACTGACGTTGAGACATTCCGAATCTGTAGGCTACAACGGGAAGCGTGCAATATGCACCAGACAAGTCGGCATTCGTCTGGAAAATGAAACAACTTGGTGGTGGTCGCGACTACATTATGCGCGCACACTTTGGGCTACCGAGCGTCAGGAGCGGTATGCCTCTCTGCACTAGTTGTTCCATGCCCTAACCGTGGACCTAGAGTCGGAACCCCCAACACGTGCCCCACTCACCGTCAAGTTTGAAATCCCTTACTTCACCGTGTCCGGCATTCAAGTGCGCTACTTGAAGATCGTCGAAAAATCAGGATACCAAGCGTTGCCTTGGGTACGCTACATCACACAGAATGGTGATGATTACAGGTGCGTTTGAAATTTTGCACTGCTAGCCTGTTATCATACCAACCAACGTGTCGTTAGTCTCCGTACGGCGGTCGAGAAAGGGAACCCGCCACCCGTCATGCAGCCGTGAACTGCGACCGCCACTTACATGCATAAACGGTGGGATGTATTTGGGTGTCAGTCGATGTCTGCATAATACCTAACGATGTCATATTATTTGTCGCATCTCGTTACCAGATCTCATCAAATATATCTGAGATAGTGGTACACGATTAAAACTTTACGTGCGCTCTCGATGTAGATGGTTCAAAAACACGGTATCATCGAATGGATAGAATGCCTCTTCCCACAGAGGTCTCTTCTTTTGCCTTACTCTTCTTCTTCGCCGCCTTCGCTTCCCAGATCCTCCAAAACTTGAGATTTTCGTCACCTGCGCCAGTGACAAGGACCTCGCCATTGGGCGATAAGGCTGAGAAGAGCACGCGGGCATCGTGGGCATCCCTAATCTCGAAGATCTTGGCGCTCGATGATGATCCTGCGGCAGCACCTGCCCCTGTTCGTGATCCAGACGACCCAGACGGCGGGGGGTACGCCCACCCTGCGAGGGCGTTCCCCGGGAAACCGTGTGTGCTGACAAGCTCCTTCCGGTCTCGCGCCCAGTGCACACCAGTGACCTGAGCACCCGTCTGGTACGTATGTAGCCGTGCACCAGTGGTTGTGTTCCAGACGTGGATGCAAGTATCAGATGTCCCACCGCCTGATGCAAGGAGCGGGGCCCATGGTGCGAAAGCGAGGGCCTGTTCCATGGTGAGTCAGTAGTAAGCATAACGGCGTAGCACACGTACCTTGACCGCTGCAGTATGGTTTCGCTTCGTCCATTTTGGTGCGCCCCTTGTAGTAGCGCCTACGTCGCCCCCACGTCCGTCCCAGAGGTTGACCACGTTGTCGTTCCCTCCGCTTGCCAAAACCTCACCGCCAGAACTCCATCGAAGACCGCACACTTCACCTGCATGGCCTTCGAGTGATGCAACAAGGTGGCGAGGGACGCGTACGTCATGATGATGGATGGTACCCGACGAGTGCCCAGAGGTCAGGACATGTGCATACCATGCGAGTGATGCACATTGTCCCCCGGCATCACCTGAGGGTTGCATCGTGCGCAGACGCTGGCTTGTGCTGGCATCCCAAAGTTCAATCGCACCCGTTCCGAGCCCAATCCCGAGATAGGCACCATCATTGGAAAAGTCGACAGAAGCGACGTATGTGCCTTGTGGTGCGTCTCCGAGGTGGGAGACCACGCCTGTGTCGGCACTCCATAGATAAGTACTTTCTCCAAGAGCAACACCGACAGTATTGAGTGCGCTCCACGAAACCAAGTTAAGATAAAAGTCATCGACCATGCCAGGGGCATCGAGTACTCGTTCCGGTGTAGTGGGTACTTTGCGACTCTTATCCTTGAAAGTACCGTTAGAGCTGGGGAGGTCTGCACGGGAGTACAGAGGCCGTGCGAGGTTGCGTTGAGTTGTGAGGAAGGCAGCATTACTAGAGGCGGGAGGAGGCTCGTGATAAGCGAGAACGCGCCGATTGAGAGGCACGCCGGTCGCGTTCGCGAGACGAGCTGTGTGGCCGGGAGAAGATGTTGCAGTGGGCGCGAGGTTTGCGGTGGCTGTAGACGACAGCGATGCGGGGGCAACATCGTCCTCGCGGGTAGTGATAAAACGGTCTCCATGAGAAGACGAGTGTGAGAGGGTGCGTTCACGCGTAGATGGCGTAGACCTGGATCGCTTGAGTTCTGGACGTGCGTTCTGGTTGACCTTGGGAGGGTGGTAGTCATGCGAAACGACCTCAAGGCGAGACTCGATGCCACCCTTTCTGATGACACCTCCATGAGTTGCACCACTTGACGAGGGGAACGCAGCAGCACCAGTCGTGGCTCGTTTGACTGGCGAGGCTGGCCGTGAGCGGGCTAAGAAAGGATTGGAAAGGTCAGCCGGATGTTTTTTAGGCGAAAGTGAAATCGCATTGAAGGACGAAATAAGAGATGGCGTGAGGGGCGTCTTTGCATCGCTGCGCGAGCGAAAGCGCGACGGGGTTTTCGGGTTGCTCGCCATCGTAGTGAAAGATTGGATTTCAAGCCAGACACGCGGTGACCTCGCGTTCACCAGCCAGTCACGTGTAAAACTACAACACATCACGTGGACACTACATTTACCGCCCCCTGAATATCAATCGCATACTTGCTCAGCAAAAGAGGCTCGGGTGTCAATATAACCCTATTCCCCCTGGCCACCTGCAAGATGATGTGTTTTGTCTCGATGGCATGCACTGGATCACCTAATGCAACAGCAGTGTTCGGCTATACATATCATCTTCAGTCCAGGCGATACTGTAACAGAGACGAGAAACACACCAACTCCGCAACCAATGCTGTCACCGCATCCGAGATGGCAAAAAGAACGGAATCAGTGCCCCTGACCAGGAGATCACGTCTCACTGCACGGAGACCGCTGAAACCAAATGGTTTCGCCTTATCCCATACGAAGGCTCCTAGGACTTCAAAACCCGGAACAGCCGTTGATGCGTATGCAGTGAACCCGTCACTTTCTCCCACTACAGCAGGTGTCGGTGCAGGTATCAGAGCCGTTCCGACTCTGTCCTGAACTATCAAATACTGTGCTTCAGATTCCCCCTCCAATGCCATCTTCGGCTGACATAGCCAGTACCATTCTGGGTGCGCTGTCATATCCGGAAATTCTCCAGACATCACCCACCTGTAAATCAATTCAGTGGGCACTTCTCAGATAGTATGCTAGCCACTCACTTTCCGATGAGAGGTGCAAATGCCCCAATGACTTGCTGGCATATTTCGGGTTCTAAAAGCTCTATAATTGGAACCGCCTTCTCGACCTTGGTAACCACCCAGCCTTGGTACCTCTCGGTGGATTGCAACCAAGATGATACGTCTTCGGCGAGAGAGGACTGACCACCCTAAGGGATTCCTGTCAGCCTTGCGGAAACAGTCGGTAACATGGCACATAACCCACATTTGTCCGGTACCGGATGCGTACACGCGTATTCCTTTCAATGTTGGCATCCACGTCCACAGATTGGGCATTTTTCCATTCACGAACGCTAGTGTAAAGGACACCTGGAAGTTTGCTTCCGCGATCCATAATATCCTGCCAGTGTTGTTCCAGTGCTGAAGCATTTGCGAAGGGAGCATGGCTCACCGTAACAGAGCCTGAGCATTGGGAATTTGATCCCAGCCATATACGAGTTTGGAATAGGTGTCCCGAACGATTGAATACAGCCCTCAGGCTGTTTTGTACTTCCTCTCGAATTCCTGCTTGCAGAGCAGTAGAGACAGATTCTCTGAACTCGCTTCTGACACTTGATCTCAGTTTGTGAACGTTAAAGTCAACAAGGCCTCGAACACGATGAGAAAATGCACAACTGAAAGTAGTATCGCTGTTATCGAGGAGCGATATACCACAAGTCAAGGAAATCCTATATGTAGTTAGTAAGGGGAAAGGTGGGAACTGCGAACGTCCATACCACGGGATACAGGAATTGATCGCACCTCCGGTCCACCCATTCTCCATGAACGTGCGCGCATGTATATTCTTGACAGACGAGACCTCGTAAATAGTATTGTTCATTGAGGCGGCAGGTAGTTCATCCTTAAAGTCGAGAATGTCCCATGTACTGGGCCGCAGCCCATCGGGTGTGAAGATAACACCACGGAGGAGATTCGTCCTTTGAATCTTCCGAAACAAAACATCAATACGGATTCTCCCCACGTTTTAGGAAGAAACGAACAAGATCTTCGCGCATTTGCGAACTTTTGTTGACATGGTGGAGTACCTGGTCACAGAAAGCGACTTGTGGGGCTGGAGCCCGATTGTTACTGCTCTCCTGTGAAGCCATTCTATTGGCAGCGGAGATCTAAGCGACACTCGCGCGAGACGTGTTTCGCCCAACGACCAAGGACACCTGATGGGTTGACGACTTGGCGCAGCAGTCACTGAGCGGACAGAGATAAGGATACGGTGGAGGCGCCCGCCTATCGAGGTTGCCACACGAACGTGAACTTTGTACGATCACACCGTCGAAACGAGTAGCAAAGCCATGCGGTTAGTACAAACAAGTTGACATATCATACCGCAAGGATGTCTTGCATCGAATCCGAATGTGGGACATACTTTATGCAAGTTGGGGAGATCCGACCCTGCAAGGCGTTGTCTACCCTTGAAAATTGACCAAAAAAGTTCCTTTTGCACAGCTCTGCGCAGTGACGGACATAACAACGATTGCCAAATTTGCAGCTTCGCACCATGGTTATCGCGGTGGCCCCGAATCTCGGAGGGCTGCATGATGTTGAAACGAATGGGCGGTCTCAAAATCTCTGATGCCCAACGTTGCCTTTTGGTTGCAGTTCATCGTCAAAAATGAGTTCAACATCATGATGATTTTGATGTGCAGTTATGTATCGGTTCCGCATTACGTAATCATATCAGAAATGCAATGTGATTGTAATTGTGATTGTATTTATGGCCGACTGCGACATAAATACCAGAGGACAGCAACAAGTTCTCCCAACTGTTGTCCCGTCTGCTTCGCCCTAACTCGTCTTCTCAGGCAGGTCCTACTTTGCGTTTCCTTCATACGGTCATTTCTGCTGGATAGGGGCCGAGCTTCTTACTTTCGCTATGGACGACAAACGTTTTTCCGGCCTCGACTTTAAAGATCGCGATCACAACCCTTTCATCGGCACAAACTCTCTTGTCGACCCGCCTGCTTATGACTATTCAGGGCCTCCTCTCTACAGAAATAAATCTGAACGGGCGAGACTACAGGGTATCCAGCAAACATGGGTAAAACCTAAGTTCACAAAGATCCAAGAAGAGCCCCGTACTCTCGGTCAGAAGTTCGACCTCTGGATGATCAATGAAGGCGGAAAGCGTTTATTCTTCTTCACTTGGATATTGTTTCATTGCCTCGTCATTGCTTTCGGTTTCTTAAACTACGACTTGAGCGACGACCTCACAACGGCTCGAGCAACCTTCGGAATTACTTATCGTGAGTACCACTATTTTAAATGGGTAAAATGAGGTTGATAAATCTCGTCTTCAGCAATCGCTCGTGCGGCTGCTCTTGTGCTCCACACAGATATTATTTTCATCCTGCTACCCGTCTGCCGAAATCTCATTTCGCTGCTCCGCCAAACACCCCTCAATCAGCTCATACCGTTCGACAAAAACATCACGTTCCACAAGGCAACTGCTTGGTCTATCGTCGTGTTCACTGTCATTCACATTGCAGCTCATATGCGTAATTTCCAACTGCTTGCCCTTTCCGACCCTAACGCGACAACAACTGGCCAGCGCATTGTTGTTTTCCTAGAAGCCAACTTTACTACGGGACCGGGCGCAACTGGTTGGTTCATGACGATCTGTCTTGGAATTATGGTGTGGTTCGCCATGGAGAAACGCCGACGCGCTAATTTTGAGAAGTTCTGGTACTCTCACCACCTATTCGTCTTTTTCTTCTTGGCATGGCAACTCCATGGCATGTGGTGTATGATAAAACCTGACAGGGAGCCTTTTTGTTCGTGGAATAGTATTGGTGTTTTTTGGGTACGTGTCGTCATGGTGATTGTGGTTCCTGTATTGTCGCTCATAGGTTTCTCTAGCGCTACTGGCTCGTTGGGGGTCTGATATGGTCATTCGAGCGTGTCCTGCGTGAAATCCGGTCGCGCCACAAGACATACATCTCCAAGGTTATCCAGCACCCTTCTAAGGTGGTCGAGCTTCAGATTAAGAAGGAGAAAACATCGATCCGTGCTGGCCAATATATTTTCATATGTTGCCCTGCAATATCCTATTTCCAGTGGCACCCTTTCACGCTCACTAGGTAGAGTGATTGATGTTGCTACTAGTTCCATGAACTCATCCAAATCTAGTGCTCCAGAGGAGGACTATATTTCAGTGCACATTCGCGTTGTCGGCGATTTTACTACCGAGCTCGCTAAAGCGGTTGGCTGTGACTTTAATTCCGAAAAAGCCAAAGAACTTGATGCTGCTGGCGGAAGGGTAATTGGCACGAACACTAACCCGCCCCTTAACCGTGTTCTTCCTCGTATTATGGTCGACGGACCATTTGGCAGCGCATCTGAGGACTTCCTCAACTACGAGACGGTTTTGCTCGTAGGGGCCGGTATCGGCGTCACACCCTTTGCTTCGTAGGTCCACCCGTTTTATTGGAATGAGCTCTTTTTATTTGGTCCTAGGATTCTGAAGTCTATCTGGTATCGGATGAACAATATGAATAACTCCAAACCAACGCGCCTATCGAAAGTTTATTTTACCTGGGTTATTCGTGACTTTGGCAGTGCAGAGTGGTTCCATTCACTCTTGAAAGCTATTGAAGAGCAGGATATCCATAACAAGATTGAAATCAACATTTACTTGACGGCGCGGGTCAAGGAGGATGACATGACAAATATCATCGTACGCCCATATTCGTCATCCGTTCTTCGCACTGACGTCTGATATGTTTCCCCAGGTCCAGGATGTTGGGGCTGACCGGGACGCGATAACAACGCTCAAATCCCCTACCCATTACGGTAGACCGAATTGGGACAAAGTGTTTTCCTCGCTAGTGGACAAACATCCGGAAACTGACGTCGGTATAGTAAGTACTGCGCTTTGGATCCCCGTTCGATCTTCCGAGCCTGACGTTCTCTTCCCAGTTTTTTTGCGGCCCGCCTCCGCTTTCCAAACAATTGCATCAAATGTGTAACAAGTATTCTAACCCCAAAGGGACGAGGTTTTTCTATGGGAAAGGTTCGTTTCCGTACTTGCTTCAATGATTTTGCACTCAGCAGTCTCTTTCCGTAGAAAATTTCTAGAACAGGGCCCACATGTTGCTATCTCCGCATCTCTCGTTTATCGTGTGCTATTTAAGGTTGCAAGTCGACGTAAAGTTTGTTCATTTGGAAGGATCATCTCGTTGTCTTTGATTTATGCTACATGCTCATGCATTACTCAGTGCATCCTAGACGGTGTTACTGGCCGGCCGGTTTCACTGCCTGCAAGGGTTACTTTTGTAGTATTAGCCACTTTCTACGTATTGGGATACCTATTCGTCGGTGGAATACATATTATATCTGGGTAGGTGTAAACTCGTTGGAGGGAAAGTAAGAACAACACAGTTAGCAGGGAGTGGAAGGAATTGAGAATGTGTGAAATTACTAAGGATAGGTGCGGAACGGGGCGCGGACGCTTAAGGCTAGATGGCAAGAGTGGTATTTGGGTATTCTTCCTACACAACATTCTGCCTCGAGTATTGATGCCGGGCGGAGCTTTTGACCAAGCGACAAGGCAGGGATAAAGGAATTGTCGTCAGGGATAAACTTCGCCAGAAGCAATTTCCCGCCAACTGTCGAGGGTAAAAACCCTAATTTGATATTTGGGAATGCGCCATGACAATATCATTGAAGGAACGGCGAGCACAAAGCAGACTGCCGATAGTCCGCATACATAAATTCCAATTTGTAGCTTGAGATCAACGGGACACGGTAACACGCAATTCAGGTTTGCATCACTATTCTCGGCCTCCGCGATGTGAACCCCGTTCATGCGCCCATGTCTGTGAGAAGTGAAAGAATAGACCTCGCCTTTGCAAGGTCCAGCAACGTTTTGATGTGTTCTGGCCTCGGTAAGAAAAATAACTGCTCCACTTCCGACTGCATTCCAGTACGGTCACCCTACAGGGTTTAGTTTGTAAACAACTCCACTACCACTTCCTGTTAAGTCACATCAGAGGCCACCCCGCGGAATATTCGACAGTAACCTTGGCAGGCCGTGACGTGGCTTTGTTCATTTAATACCGATCAGAGGTCTGGAGGAAAGGAGAGGCATCGCAGCCACGACAACAGCTGTTGCCAACCTTCATTTTTCTTCCTTCTAGGGATGAGTGCCAAGGCGTAACGACTGCCAGAACGCCTGAGCTGGACAGCCCTAGCACAGCCCGATAATCCGAGGAGCAATGATTCTTAGAAGCCTTCGAATAAATATCGCTCTCAACTTGATGAATCATCGACATCGGACATCGGACATGAATAATGTCGCACCGAAGTTAATGGGGAGAGCCCCCACAAGAATTCTGCTGATTCGGAATGCCTTTGAACACCGAGTTTAATCCGAGAAATTCTTACGGCTCGTAGAAACCACGGCGACCATTTAGGACTCACCGCAAGCATCACTGAACTCAATGTGCTGTATGGTTAGCAAGAATTTTACACGAACGGACGGATCCACTAACAACTTGACCGAAGAGAGAAAGAGAGAGGGAGGCTGATCCATGAGGGTTAGAGCCTACACAGTCGCCTGCCAGCTAATTTTCTAAAGCTGCGATTAGCACTTGCACGCAGCAAGTGATTCCAAATCCGAGTTTCAACTGCAGTGGGGATTAATACAAAGCGGCAAGCGACGAGGACTCATACTCCAACGAGGCACATCTGCCTATCACTTGTTGGACAGCCTACCGCACCGGACGCAATGAGGAGGGGTACAACACTACTGTTCCCTGTCGCTCGACTTGACCACTTCGCTGGCCCAGGCCCTAGTTCCCTTAGTGACAGTCCAGTCTATTATTACTCCACGGACTCATCCGATACTGCTGCCAGGATCGGATCGGACCATAGAATGGACAGCGCAACCACCGCAACATAGCCTGCCTGGGGTGTCGAGTTCTGTGGCCGCCTTTACGATGTGTCATGAGTGAACGTGAACGCCAGCCAATAAGCAACCGAGTATTGGTAATGCTCCCCTCGAAGATCCTACCATGGAGCCTGACTTTAAAATTCAAATGACCACTACCAGCCAGTCACAAGAAGGCGAATGGTCAGTACTCCGTAATTACTTTGCGGTCAAACGAACGGCCAGTAATGGAATCATCCGTGCAGTCCATCAGGCCTGTGACAAATGTTGGCCACCTTCCACCTCACAGAGGTGGCGAAACTCTCAAAGAAACGTGCGACCATTAATGTCTCGCATTTTTGTGTACTGATATTGTCGGCACGAGTAGTTAACTGACTTCTACTCCACGGATCGACTGGGTTTGGCAATAAAGCATGCGTCCTGAGCAGGAAGCCAGCATGGCATTCATTTCAACAAGGTTTGTCTGGCGCAATTGGTGTGGGACAACGCAAGAGAGCTCAATGGGCGCCTTGTCATTCCAGCCTTCAACCAATGGCTGGTTTCCTATTACACGACAGGTGAGGCTCTCGGACTGTATAAGAGCCTGCAGACATCATGGCGTATTCGATCTCCAACCCTCGAATACTCCTTCCCCCACTCGCCCTGCGGTTGCTTTCTTTCATGATGTTCTCGGAAATGCATGGCGCACCCGCTGTTCCTATTTCTGTAAACAAGGACACTAATAACCCGCCCAAACCGTCGGTCTGGCCTCTGGATACCGTTACAGAGAGTGCGCCTTCAACGTTACAGACAAAGTGCGACCGACGTGCCCGAGAGGGCGGCGTCTGCTGCAAAGACCTCAATGATGGAGATAATCGAACCCTCTTGGACCCGGACATTGTCCGTGACATGTGAGCCCTTGACGTCTACGGTCCCGTTTCCCTCTCATCATAACATATCGAACTCCAGTGTGATTGGTCTATCTGATGGCCTTACTGTTCCCTTCGCCCTCACTGCTGGTCTTTCTTCTCTTGGACAGTCACGGTTTGTCGTTATGGGTGGTTTAGCAGAACTTATTGCGGGTGCCATCTCGATGGGCATTGGTGGCTTCCTCGCATCACAATCCGAAAGGGACTACTACCGCTTCAAAAGGCGTCAGACGTCGTCAAGAATGCATCGCTCCTGCATGGGAGAAATGGAGAGGGAAGTATTTTCCATTCTTGGGCCTGTGGGTGTGGACGAGCGTACTGCACAACTTGTGGCGAAGTGCTTGCGGGATGTCGAATGCGACCCGGCAGACGTGGGAAGCGTGGATAGGACTGCAGGCCTCGGAGATGAAGAAAAACAACTGACGAAAGCAAAGGAAGATGTGGGTCTAACCTCGTTCCTTCTCAGATTTGGACTGGGTCTAGGTGCGCAATTGGTCTCCGCACTTCTTTCATTCCAGCACTAATTGTCCTTCGGGTGAGTAGATGAGGTACCAACAAAACGGTTGTATATGTCTGCTGTGACGATAGGGGTCGGGTACCTGGTTGGTGGGATTGTCCCACTCATACCCTACTTTTTTATTAGCCGTGCACGCGTCGCACTGCTTTATTCTTGCATTATCACAGGCGTGGTCCTGCTGATTTTTGGTGCATTCAAGGCTCGCGTTACGGGTGCTGCGAACACTCTACTTGGCTATCTACGGGGAGCAGTGAGTATGCTAATAGTAGGGGGCGCTTCGGCGGCTGCGGCCTATGGGATGGTGGTACTCTTGGAAAAGAATTACGGTAGTACAAGCACATGATGACTGGTGAATCTACTTCACATGTATTAGCCTTTTAGTTACCTCTACCGATATTTACCATCAAGCCGACCACTCCCACTTGTCATCACGGTGGCACTTATTGGATCCAGAAAATTCCCAGATGGGGCAGTCAATGATTGAACAGAGGTAGGCTGCTAGGATAATACTGGAACACCATGGCTGCCCACGACACAGCAGAGAAATCTCGAAAGTCCAGTTCATTCATTCCCGCTTGCCTTGTTGTCTCCTGCACGGAGTATTGTCATGACTCTATCTCAGGAGAGGGCATTCCATGCAGACCTGACTTGTTTTTCAGATGAAGGGGACTCGGTAGTGAAACCTCCTGCTCTACCATTCTTTGCTAGGTGTCACATCATCGCATCAAACTAGAATATAATATTTCGAACTAACGAGGGTCCAGAGAGAAATAGCAAATGAGTGGGCTAAGTGTACAGAGTCTAGTAGCCCGTAGCCGACGTAGGGTTAAGGAAAGGATCGTTGCTGTAGTTGAAAACGGAGCAGCCACGCAAAACCGTCTGGTTACACGAGAAGCACCAGTTGACTGTGGAATTGATTGTGCTCCACTGTAGACAACGTCGTTAGGGAAGGACTCAAGTGTTACAACGAAGAACTTACAGCAATGCTGCTGACAAGGTTATCCAATGAGATGCTGTTACTACCCCAGAACTGCAAAGTACGGAGCTCGTTGTCGGTACCGTTCTTGAACTTCATGGCGACGTTGTATTGACCCTGAGTGTCTTGGGAGAGCTCAAGAGCAACAACCGAAGCATAGTCCGCTGCTACAAGTGAGGACCGGAACGAAATACATTAGACAAGCAGACCCACCAATTCCGGAAATGTTGGGGTTGGTAACTGTAGCGTTCGTGACGTTGAACAGAGAGATGAACGGCTTGTAATCGACCTCCGTCAATGCAATCTTGACTTTATTGTTCGGCAAGGTCATGTTACCCAATGACCACAGCATCTCGGGCCAGAGAGTACGAATAGCAACTATAAGTTGTCAATCCAGAAACTCTCGGCATCGGATTCTGAGACTGCTTACTTTGGCCAACACCGTTAATGACGCTGTCTGTGAAGACATTTTGCTCATGTTGGTTAGCGAAGTAACGAGCCTGGTCCAGAAGGGTCTTGGGGAAGTTGTTGTAGAACGTCTTGTTGTGGGTGTATTGGACATTGAGGTAGTCATAGATCTAGCCAGAACATTCAATACCCAAATCAAGTCACTTTCTGACTACTCACGTTCCACTGTAATAATAATAATAATAAATTAGTATAGGAAGAAACCTACAGCTGGTTCGAAATAAACTCACCATGTTGAGGAAGCTGTTGTTCAATCCATTCAGGTAGGGCGTGACTGCTTCCAGGAATGGAGCTGCGGTAGCAGTAAGGTCCTTGAAGACGACACCGCTGTTCAAGCGACCAAGGTGGGCTTGGAAGTACTGGCAGGAATGTTGTGCAACTACTTCGCCGCTCGACAGGAAAGAGACGTACCTCGCACTCCATCCAGCTGGTGAGGGATGGGGCCTGCCAGTACTCCAATGATTCCACTGGTACGTACTGGTAACCACCAAGGGGTGGAGTAACTACTTGTCCATTCGCCAAAGTAATGGTAGAGTTTGGCGTAGGAGGGTAGAGGCCTTGCAAAAGGGCATACGCAGAATCAAGGATGACATCGCCTCCACCAGCATCGGCGCGGACATAGAGTTGGTCAACGTCCACGACATTGGTGTTAATACCGTTAATATAAGAAGGCGACCCTGGGTTAAGGTAAGTGTTCCGGAGGAACTGTCCCAGCTGATATTCTTGTTGCTGTTCAAGAAGTAAGTACGCGTCGTAAGGCGAAGGGGTATCAGTATACACACAGCACCAAAGGGAGTCAAGTATCCCTGAGTAGAATTGTAAGTAGCTGGGTCTTGGTAAACCGTCGACAACCGATCGCCATGGCGGGCAAGCAGCACAACACCAACGAGGCCAGCAGAGGTCGCCGTGTTTACCATTTTCGCAGGGAAGTCAAACTCGGGGGAGACAAAAATTTGTGGGCAGAAGGGGGCCAGTCTTTTGTAGTCTGTCGGCAGCTAGCCGGTAACATTGCTCAAGCGATGTTCCAACTTCCATCTCGGCACCCAGCCGCTTCAAATCCGATTAATACAGTGCTACGCGTCGTTGGCCGATTTGAGTCCTACTGGTTGTCACTTTTGTGGCGGTGAAATAGGTCATGACATTGCTGTGGAGTTAGCACATATCAGGCAAATGTTTAAGCCGCTTTATTTCTCATCACACGCAGACAGTGCCGCCCCGGCGATCGTGTGGACATGTATCCAACACTCGTAGGCGTCCATCATCCCGCTCTACTGGCAACGTTACATCTCATCTCATTCACCTTTATGATCCCCCCTGCCAAGGGCTCCTTCGAAACTTGTCGGGTGGAGTGCGCTGATCAGTGACGACGGGTTCTTTATTTCGTCAGATGCATGACGTGATCATGGGCATCCCGTTGAGAAAATTTCGAACGCGCTACTAGTGGTACTAGCGGCGCGGACCCGTTGACGAATCATGCACGTCCCTTAAAATAGCGGCAAACACCCACATGTGCCAATCAGTTGTCCAGGGGATCAAGTGGGATTGTCAATTGAGTTCGTCCATTGCAGGTCAATGGAAGAGGAATCTCAGTTAACCAATGGGAATCGCCGCATTGTACACATAGACCACATAGATCTTGACGCCCGACGTGCCAGCTTGGCCTCCACTATTACGTTGTCTTAAAAATGAATGGTGAGCTTGCTGTGTCTATCTCCATCAACAGCGACCTAAAACAACCGTTTCAAACCAACCTACATGGTTTCTAGAGTCCGCAACTCTAGGAGAACCTGTACCTCTTCGAGCGAGGGCCGATAGGGACGGTCAAGGCAGTGTGGACCTCAAGGATGACGACAAACGCACTCTAGTCGATCCGGACGTCGTTCGTGACGTGTGAGTCCTCATGTTGTTGGTCTACTATCTCTGCTCAGCACCGACTGTATTAGTGTGATCGGTCTGTCTGACGGTCTCACTGTCCCCTTTGCTCTCACAGCCGGTCTTTCGTCCCTCGGGGAATCCAGACTTGTGGTTCTTGGCGGTATGGCAGAGCTCATTGCGGGCGCTATCTCCATGGGCATTGGTGGCTTCCTCGCGTCCCAAGCTGAAAGAGATCACTACCAGTTCTTGAAACGACGCATCTCCGCTCGGGTGCAACGTAGTTGCGATGATGACATCGAAAGAGAAGTATACGCGATACTAGGACCCGCTGGAGTTGACGAGCGCACCGCGCAGGCGGTCACCAACAGTTTGCGAGCTGTCGAATCTGAAGGGAGCGAAGGTCCAATCGATGAGGAACGACAACAACTTACATGGAAAGATGACGTCAGACTCACTACGTTCCTACTCCAATTCGGTGAAGGACTCAGTACGTAGCAACGCCTCACCCTTCTCCAATTATTTGACCATTATTGCTTGAACAGAGGAGATACCGGCCGAACGACCTTACCTCTCTGCCATAACAATCGGACTTGGTTACTTGGTTGGCGGCATTATCCCCTTGGTCCCGTACTTTTTCATCAGTCGCGCACACATCGCGTTGCTTTATTCTTGCATCCTCACTGGCCTCGTCTTGCTTGTCTTTGGCGCCGTTAAAGCTCGAGTCACTGGTGCCAGCGACAATGCGGCAGGATACGTATGGGGCGCACTAAGTACCTTAATGGTAGGTGGGGCTGCAGCAGGCGCTGCGTACGGAATTGTCGCGTTCTTTGAACGGAAGCCATAAATTCAAGTCAGGTTCGGCTGCTCCTCACCATACGGTGTAGTGGACTGCAATAGCAAGAGTAACCCTACTACATCCGCAAGATACCACGTGTACGATTGCATCTATGGCTTGCAATACCACGGTTATTCAGACTCGTCAAAGAATGCATAGTGTGGGAAGTTCGTAATGAACTTCGGCCCAGTCTAACCTATAGTAGGGAGTTGCACGATTTCCTCGAGGCGCAATGTACACCCGATGTAGATCGTTGCAATAGGTAAAACTCTTAATGTGCAGTAGGATCAATACGTAGCATCATAAATCCGTCAGCACAGGGAAAAGACAGCAAGCTTCCACAACACTACGGGACCTACATATTAGTAGGCGAAGAACACCCTGCTATGGTGTTTTAATCTTCGTCAATTTGTGGTATCCTAACTTCTGGTGACTAGTTTGTCGACGACTTCTCTCGTTAGCCACCAGATCTATGTAACTGTAGGGACCGTCTTTGACAAAATAACAAGGAATGACTAGTCCTTTTGCATGGATTGAACGTTTTTTGCTTGGGAATACTCTTTAGAACGTGGAAAACCTCTAACTTACGTAATTGTCTAGCTACCCGCGGTTACTAATCAGCTCGCCGCTGTGGAGGGGGAGGGACCTCGTCAATAGGTGGTGACCCCTAGCACCGCACTTTGGGGCTGCAAGCGATACGACGACAGAAGGCAAGCTGCCTTGCACAGGTTTTAAATTGCGCTGCAAATTTCTCGTTTGGTTTCTGTCTTGGATTGCGAGTGGCGGAACAGGCGCAGCGAAAGCGATTGCAGCAATTCATTGGAGTCTTCAACCGAGTGAGAAGTGGATCAGGAGACCAAACGCCGCACTCCTTCTCAAGCTGCTACGACCTACGAGCGTTCTGGATTCCCAACGTCTGTAGTCCTCTGGAATGCTGGTACAGACGTCTGAAACGGCCGTGAATTTGCTCGCTGAAGATGAGTTTGGGATCGTGTACTTCATCCAAAATGCCCAGCAGTTTTGGTCCGGTATGTTCCATGCTTCCATGTCAGGTGTTACCTCTTCACATCGATATTTTGGGTTGAACATTAGAATTGGATGACCTCCTTCGCGTCCCGGCTGAGGTAACATTGTCGTTGCTAGACACGACTCTCAGGAGGTTTACATCCTTATGTGCTTCTTATCATGGTTCGTTGCTCCATTCTTGATTGCACTCTGACAATTGATCCTATTATTTCCGATGGTCAGAGCAATACCTCCAGAGCCCATTGCAGTTGGAACATGCTTGCCAACAGCTCTTGGATTCGGAGTTATTCACATTCCACTCTGAGCGGATGTGCGAGCTGATTATCGAAGATGCCCAATCAGTAACTAGTCCTCGTATCTGCGCACCCACGCCAAACTCATTTCTCCGTAGAAAACAGATCCTCACGTGCAACTCATATTATACAGCATTCTTTTCTACTACGGACGTCGACATACAAGCTTTCTCCGTTCTAGCAAGCGATGGAAACCCGTGATACCCTTGCTGATGGATCACGTCCTGGTCGAGATAGATCCTGAGACCGAATTCATGAATCTCGCCCCGAGCTCCGCGAGCGGTTCTCGACAGAGCGTCTTTATGGGTCCCGTGACAATCGAAGCCAAACTGAGGTGCCTCAGTGTTAGGTTGCTCTACGAAGTGTGCCGGGTACAAAATTTGTCTGTGCAGGACCTCCGTATGTTGTTGTCGAACCATCGGTTTCAGGTTTTAGTTTCTGTTAACCTCCCTTCTCAGGTGTCTTCACCAATTCGTTCATAGACCACTTATTCGAGCTTGTCGAGCAAACCAAGTTTGTACCAGACGAGACATTTAATTATTCGGTTATCAAACTTCTGGTAAGCAACCCTTCAAATTTTCCGTGAGCATTGCTGACTATCGCGAAGGTCGCACTTAATGAGCAATTCATGGTGGCAGCGCTGGACAAAAAGACAACTCTCTCATCTGGGACAGCCCCCGAAGTTCAAAATCGAGTAATACATGTGTTGACGTCTCGCCTTGGATCCAGTAAAACCTTCGGCGAGAACATGATCTTCATGCTCAACCGTGCATGTATGTTATTAGATTTGGCTTTCTGCATAACTCTGACCAATTTTTGGCAGCCCAGTCAGCCGATGATCAATGCATGCAATTGCTAGTGTTGAAGCTTCTGTATATTCTTTTCACTTCCAAAGCCACTTCGGAGTTTTTCTACACCAACGATCTCTGCGTTCTCGTGGATGTCTTCCTACGTGAAGTGGTCGATCTTGGTGAGGAGAACGAATCTGTGAGTACACTTCAATCGCATAATGACCTCGACCTTCATGCTCATGGTTGTTACTAGCTGCGGCAGACGTATCTTCGTGTCTTACACCCTCTGCTTACGAAGACGCAACTCAGGGATGTGCCTTATAAGCGGCCTCAAATAGTCATGACATTAGAGTCTTTGATACGACAAACGCAGTTCCGAGAAGTTAACCCGACAACAAAACGTTTAGTGGAACGGTGTCTTAGCGGCGACTGGTGTATGCAGTTGCGGAAGTCGTCATTCGACAGGGATGCTATCACAGCCGAAGAGCAATTCCGTGAAGCTAGTCCTAGTCGTGAGGTAGTGGCGTCAACGATGCATGATACCTCTCCGGCTCAAACACCGATGTCCGCCACGTTGGAGCGCTCGTCAAGCATGTCTAAACCGAAGCATATCAAAAGCAGCCGCAGCATAGATAACTTAAAGGTCACGCTATTTTCACGGCTAGGCATAGAAACGCACAGGAGGCCGAGCGTGGAAAGTGCCCCAACCTTCGGTGGCGCTACTTCTGGGGCCACGGGGACTGCGACCAGAAGACCCTCCAAATCGGGATCCGTGGACAACGGAACTTTCCCTTCTCACCAATACGCAACCCGTCATGCAAATCTTCATGCGTCACCATCATCACCTGGTGCAATCAGCCTTCCCTCCAACCCTACAGCAGTGCCTCAGAAATTACGCAGGCCACCGCCACCGCCGCCTGTAAGGCGGAAATCACCGCCAACCGCTGTTGGCATGACTAATGGCGGAGCCATTATTACCGCTATAGCGAGTTCTTCGTCTTCGGTTCTTAAGAAACTCGGCAATAGCAGGGGAATGTCATGATCCGGTGAGGGCGGGCATACACGCTCAAACGTATCTTTTTGCTTTTCATTTACAACGACTAGATCTGCCATAGCCTCACTACGCGCTGTTCCATCTCTTTACGAGATACCCTACCTGCCTCTCAATGGTGGCTTAGGGCATCTTATTATGCCATGGGACAGCCTATTGTGCCTTAACCTTGACCTACATACTGTAAGCACTAATTGCACTTGTCACTGAGTTTGGAGCTACAGCCGAAAAGGTTATAATGCGTATGTCATAATGCGTAGTGCACAGCTTCTGAGGGGAAATTTTGATCAAGTATCATTCACCACCAGCTAAATTGCATGCTGATAGTACAAAATTCTCATCATGCACTGGATTTCGTCGATCCCATTCGCATGCGTTATGACCTTTCCTACTGTATCTGCTTTCAATTTTTTCAAACGAAGGCTTCGAATCTACTGGACTCAAGGGACAGGAACACATTAAGAGGAAAACAAACAACTTTTACCTTTCTCCGTAGGGTACATCTGCCATCTTACTGAGACCCACAGGGGTGGTAAGTCTCTGCGAAGCTTGAAAACGGGCGTTTTGAGAGAATTTGTACATCGGGTTTTGCCGAGCCTCTGTCTTGCCAGCCAAACTTGGAAAATGAGAACGTCTGTCGGAGGAGCTGAGCCAATACGTTCAGCGGCAACAATGTCTTCAACGGAAGCAGGGACCGTCGATGGTGAAAAGGCAGAATAAGAACAAAAAGAAACCAAGGCACTCCCTACGACCGCATCAGCTCAGAAAACTCACTGAGAAGCAGGAGTTAGATGCACTCGATCGTGCAGCAATGGAATTCGTGAGCAAGCCAAGGTCTTATATATCGCAATCACCCTGCAATTCACTTTTTCGTATAGGAGCCACCGAATGATCTGCGAGCTTTCGCCGATCTGCCCATATCGACTCACACGAAACGCGGTACGCGAATACGTGAACGTATGAACAAGTCGTGTGTACTTACTGTTCTCAGGTCTGAAGAAGTGCTTCTTTGTTGAGATGACGGGTATTCAAGCGTCAAGTATACCTGTATCGCTCAAAGGCAAAGATGTATTGGGTGCGGCTCGTACAGGCAGTGGGAAAACACTTGCATTCTTAATCCCCACACTTGAGATTCTCCTATCGTCGTAAATGGGGCCCTCAGGATGGTCTTGGTGCTTTGATTATTTCTCCAACTCGTGAACTCGTGAGCACCGTTTTTCCTCTCAAGCTCTGGTTGGTTTCTAGGGTTGTTGCAGGCGGTTCAGATTTTTGAAGTCTTGCGATCAATCGGGTGCTTCCACGGCTTCTCTGCTGGTCTTGTCATCGGAGGAAAGAGTCTCAAAGATGAACGTGACCGATTATCTAGAATGAATATTCTTGTGGCGACCCCTGGAAGGCTTCTTCAGCATCTGGATCAGACTTTCGGGTTCGAGTGTGACCACCTTCAAGTACTTGGCCAGTGGCTATTTGTATCTGCGCTTTCCAACACTGACGTGGGTATTATAGTCCTCGACGAAGCTGACCGTATACTCGACATGGGATTTGCTCGAACTCTGTCCGCGCTTCTTTCTCATCTCCCAAAATCTCGTCAGACTCTGTTGTTTTCCGCCACTCAAACCCAATCAGTTGCACAGCTAGCGCGCCTTAGCCTAAAAGACCCGGCTTTCATCGGTGTCGGCGAAGAGCAAAGTAAAATAGACACGCCCGGGACGCTGTCGCAATACTACAGTATATGCGAGCTCGACAAAAAACTTGATGTTCTCTGGTCCTTCATCAAGGTGCACCTGCAGTCAAAAGTTCTTGTCTTCCTATCAAGTGGAAAACAAGTACGTTTTGTATTTGAAACGTTTCGTAGGATGCAGCCAGGCGTTTCGTTACTCCACCTCCATGGAAAGCAGAAGCAATCTGCTAGACTAGCGGTGTACACTCGTTTTACATCCTCACAACATGCAGTTCTCTTTGCGACTGACATCGCAGCTCGTGGGTTGGACTTCCCCTCTGTGGATTGGGTCTTGCAGGTAGATGCGCCTGAGGATGTTGAGACTTATATACACCGTGTGGGTCGGACAGCACGGTATGACAGCTCAGGAAAGGGCCTTTTACTTCTACTTCCTAGTGAGGAGAAGGGCATGTTGGCCGCCCTTGAGAAAAAGGGGGTCAAGATTGAGCCCATAAAAATCAGGGCCAGCAAAACGCGCAGTATTCAGAACGAGCTACAAAAACTGGCGTTCCAAGATCCGGAGATTAAATACCTTGGACAGCGTGTACGTCGGCGTACTCGTCTCTTGTCGACCTTCGTTCTCACATCTACTCCCAAGGCGTTGGTATCGTATGTTCGTTCCGTGCACCTTCACAGGGACAAGTCAATATTCAAGGTTAAAGACCTCCCCGTGGAGAAATATTCCGAATCGCTAGGCTTACCGGGCACCCCTAAAATCAAATTCTTGAGCAGGGAACAGACGAAGGGTCGCAAGAATGCATCTCGAATCACGACCGTGACTGAAGCCGAAATGGAGTCTGAGCGCGAAGAGGACTCATCATCTGGCGAGCGGAGTAAAAGCTCTCAGGGCCCTGACGAGAGCAACGATTCTGAGAGCTCAGCCGAGGAGAACCAGGGCGCACCACGGAAACTGATGGAATCAGGAAGGTCGGACCTGCCTAAGGTTCGCTGCGTATTGTCCAGGATCCTGTTATTTTCTGCTCACATGGTAATGATGACATAGCCTGCTGTGCGGACAAAGTATGATCGAATGTTCGGGCGCAAAAACCAGAACATTCTTTCCGAGCATTATGCTAAGATGGTTGATCACGAGGACTCTGGCGATGAGGGGTTCATCACACTGAAGCGAGCCGATCATGATCTCCCAGATTCGAAGGAGGCCGATGGGATAGATGTCGAGGACTTGTCAAAACGGAAGCTGAAGTTATCGCGAACGAAACGAATGATTGCAAAATATGGACAGCTCGGACAGAAGCTAATATTTGATGACGACGGAAACCCGCATGAGGTGTATGAAATGGTTCCAGCCGAAGAGTTCTACAAGCATGGATCAGATTCTGTAAGGGAAGCGGGGAGAACGTTTGCGGAAGGAGAAAGAGGTCGGTTGAAGGAGGCTGATGTCTTGGATAAGCAGCTTGCCAAAGAGAAAAAGCAGGAGAAAAAGCGTAAGCATAAGGAACGCGAGAAAGGGGTGAGTGGGTGTATCTGTTTCCGTCATTATGACACTGACCAGGCTAACGTGTACAGCTTCGCAACAATGAAGAAGGGCTGCATGGACCTATTGTTGCTCCGTTGTCGGACGATGACGGTTATGTTACTCCCGACTTTGACTTACCCTCAGAGAGTGAGTCAGAAGTGGAACCACCACCAAAACGTAGGAAGCCTTCCGCATCTGGATCACTTCTCCCCCCACGCCCACAAAATCTGGAGGACGAAGAAGAACTTGCTTTGCGCCTCTTGCGCAAGCACTGATGCCAGAGACAACTGCAAGCCGCTCTTCGGTTGGCCCACTCTTCGTTTCGTAGTAAATGTTCACTTCAGATATCATGTAGGTGAACTTTGGGTATCTCGTAGTCCACGGCACGTTCCCAGCGTGCAATGTATTAGGTCTACATGGTGCGTCCAACACCATGATGAGACTCTACAAGAGTGAATGCCCGTTGTGCGATATCCTTATCATCTTGGAAGGTAAGTGTTCTGATAGCATCATCTACTGCAACGAATTCCGGACGGAAATCCTCCGAATCAGTTTGTGTACCCTCTTCCTTTTCGCCACAGACAATGGTCAAATACCACCAGATAACTTTTGTCCCCTTTTGCCCCAGGTCTCTAAGGGTGACAGCGAAAGATTCTCTAGAATCATCCACGACTCGCGGCTGGTCAAGCATGTTGGTACGTGGTAGGGGAGCTCTGGTCGTCATCCTACATGGTAAAAGCTTGCACGGATACCCTGTCTCTTCGAAAGTCTCCCGAACTGCGGCCTCTTCTATGCTTTCTCCGCAGTCCTTTCGACCCTTGGGCAGTACGTAGATGTTGTCCGCACAATCATGCAAAACGCATATCTGCCATTTTCCCGTCGTATCACTTCGGAAGAGTACTGATCCTGCACAGATGACGAATGCCTCGCTAAAGAGGACTGGAGAGGCATGCGGCCGTGGCAATCCTTGCATTTCTGGAAACGTGGATCAGCGATATACATCTTGCAAGCACCTTGTACCCATACAGTATGGAAAAACTGAAGGTCCCAACTCTTGTGAACGTTTCTGGCCTAAAAGATTATGTTACGTAAGCAACATGATTACGTGATATATGATGTTAGATAAGCCACTCGGGCCTTCGGCCGCTGTGGAAGCCAGCGTGGTAACAAGTGCTAGCTGTATCGAGCACTACAGCCAAGGAACACGCTTTGGAACTACGAGACTGGACTACCCACACGACTTCCATCGACTTAGATACCTCAAATCTGGAGTCATTACGGACTGGGAGGACTATGGCTCCAGATATTGAACATCCGGATAGCGAAAGATATCCTTTTGGAGGAATACCCAGCTCAAAGCAAGGTAGGGTGCAGACCGCGCAAGAAAGTGGTGTGAGTTGACCGCCGTGAAGGAGATGTCTCTCCGTAGTCGTTCCTCGACTTGAGGTCAAGCAGTGCGACCACACAAGAAACCCACTGACAGCGGTTGTTCCCCGTCCTTTCGTCATCGCATGCTCATGGTTTCTATATAGCAGGCGATAGGCGACTGTTAATCAAGCTCGGCTTGTCGTTCTTCCTTTTCGGGCTCATCAATAACGGTATGTCTAGCCCCACTGTAGAACGTCGAATATAATGCTGAAGCCAATACAGTTCTTTACGTGATCATTTTATCTGCTGCGCTTGATCTTGTACCACCATCCACTCCCAAAGGCATCATCGCCTTCTGTAATATCGCCCCAGCGCTACTTGCGAAACTCGGATGGCCGTACATGTTGAAGGGCAAAATAAGATATACCAGACGTATCGTCGGATGCTGCTTACTTAGTTTCACTGGCATGCTGGTAAGCGAAAGCTACTTGTGCGACGTTAGGAGGGTTGAAGGGTATTCTCAGGCCGTTGCCCTGCACGAAGCTCTACTTTCAAGGCTCTTTGGAATCTGCCTCGCTTCCCTCTCTTCTGGTGAGCGTGAGCGTTTATGTCCCGCTTATGATGAATTCTAAAGTGACGCAGGCCTCGGTGAACTCACCTTCCTACAGTTGTCTACCACTTACAGCCCAGCGGCCATCGGGGGCCATAGCGTCGGGTAAGCCGAATGTATGTCTTGGTTGGTAATGTTGAGTTGAGTACCTTCCAGCTATTGGTCATCCGGAACTGGAGCTGCAGGACTTCTCGGCGCCTTCCTTTGGTGGGAATTACGTGCGTTAGGTGTTGAAGTTGGCGTTGGGATCTCATCGGTAAGCCAGCGGGACTTGCAGAATGGCGTACAGTGGACTGAACCATGTTCCTTCCAAGGTACTGCCATTTGTTATGCCACTCACGTACTTCCTTCTACTTCCACGGCCGGCTGCTTTCCTTGATCCTACAACCTCTATTGCCTATTCTGCACTTCCATTCGATGATCCTGAGATACCCACAATCGACACGTCGGAAGCGTCTTCACTTCTCGAGAACGAGCCTAAATCCGAAGCGGTTTTCCTGACAGCTGCAGACAAGTGGCGATTGTTGAAACCTATGCTATTCAAATACATGCTCCCACTTTGTGAGCTTTCGTGCTTTGCTGTATACGTGCACGTGTACTAATAGCCTTTGGTAGTCTGTGTTTACCTTGTGAGTACATCTCTGCAACGATACCGAAGCACTCACCCTTGTCATCATAAATCATAGTACGAATATACTATCAATCAAGTAAGTTATTCATTGCACTCGAGAACGCAAGTTTCTGAGTCCACTTTCAGGGTATTCGCGCCGACCCTTCTGTACCCAGTGCCTTCGCCGGAACGATATGGCCTTTTAAGCAAAATCATACATTCTGTGAGGGACTATTACCCACTGTGGCAGGTACGTCGCATATTCTGCCACCCTTTAGACAATGACCCACCCACGGTACCTTGGATTTATGTAGCTTGTTTACCAAACGACGGTATTCATATCTCGTTCTTCCATATCTCTTGGAATTCCGCCATTGTCTGTTCGACTCCTTCCACTGCCAGCTATAGTCCAACTTGCGATTCTGATAACCTTGGCATATGAATCGGCATTTGGCATATTCTCTGAAGATTATGAAGGGCACAGTATCGCGTTTGTTTTTGTTCTCGTCAGCATGGAGGGCATCTGTGGCGGCCTCGCTTAGTGAGTCTAGTGATACCTTCTAGTCCGTGACCACGGATGATACCTGAACGTTTTTCGTTAGTGTCAACGTTTTCTATCGGATCAACCAAGAGCGTCCAGATCCGTCGACTGTGGAGAACGAGGAGCTGGCGAAACAGGAATGCGAGTTCAAGATTGGTTCGTTAGGATTTTCAGACAGTTCGGGCATCCTGTTTGCTTCTCTCTTGGCTATGCCAACTGAGATAGAGCTTTGCAAGCTACAAGTAGCAAGAGGAAAACTCCTTTGCCAAGGGCTGTAATGTGCATTGCACTTCCTTATGCCTACACTACACTATGACTACTGCTATTAATCATCTTGATCAATTTTGTACAGTAGGTGTACCAGAGGTGAGAGAAATGCGACACCCACAGAAACTACAAGATGTATAAAGGGCCTGCTGGACAACTGGGGACATCTACATTGGGAAGGGTCTTGGGGACCCAACATAAATGCCGAACGACTGCCAGGTCTCCTGCAGGTGATGTTCAGGTACATAGTCGGTCGCGGGATGAAATGCAACGGGTTGGGTCGCTGGAATGTGATTAGAAGAGGAATGTACAGAGTTGCGATGCTGCGACCCAACCCCACTTTGTTGCAAGGAGTATGGCTGACGGTCGACGACAGAGTCTGAATGAAAATAGTGTGACCGATTGTTATGCGGGAATGTTGAATCCGAGTAGCTACTTATGTCATTTCCGTAGTGTTCGACTTGATGTGGGTCCGGAGGTGGAGGGTGAGACATGTGGTTACGACATGGCAGCGGGAATTCCGACTGAGAGTGAGAGAACTGGCTCGCATCTGGTTGGAACTGGTGCGGCCCAATCGACGGTACAGGTGAGGAGAAATGAAGCTGCGCACGTTGTTCGGTAACCTGTTCCATCGACTGACGATCCCTGTGACTCCTTCCGTGCCATGTCGTAGAGTACCCAATGGAAGATGTCGGCGGAAACGGAGGATGTCGTGCAACCCCAGGAAATGAGGAATGGGCGGGTTGCCATTGGTTCTCCGTAGTCAGTGATCCGCCCTCAAGAGGAGCCTCACTATCTTGTTCGGAACAACCATCATCCCATCGAGCGTCAGATATCTCAGAGTTGAGATGTCCATCAAAATCCAACCACTGTTCACGCAGCATAGGATGTAAGTTCGGGAAGTTTGTAACTTCCATGTCTGAGGTGCCAGCCGCCTCAGGCCGGGTGGGGTCTTCTATGGCAGCAGTGACAGAGCGACCGCTGCCGGATCCCAGTGTGGACCTCACCGGTGCCTTTATTGATACCTTGCGGGTCTGACCACTGAAGATAGTCAGCTCGTCTTTGGGTCCGTCGTGGGCCGATAGAGTAAAAATATCCTTGTTATGGTCCACTACTGGAGTAGAAGTCTTATGGGCGTTCTCCGCCTTTTGCAAGAGTCGCTGAAGGATAGGCTGCGGAGCTCGTCAACAGAGTGCAACAGTATACCACAACGTACGAACCAGAAATTTGCCCGCACGACTACCATATGTGGAGGCATCTTTGAAGAGGTCAACAGCCTGGTCGTAGTTGTTAGCATTACAACCAACTCAGCTACTATATTGCTAACCCTGCGAAATCCTGCCAGGGCGGCACTGGTAACCTTCGACCGTGTACCTCTACTTGTAGTGTGCGTCACCACAGAGGATAGTACAACCTGTAGAAATCAGAAGGGGTCGCCAAAGATCGTAACTGTCTTACAGCAGACGAAAATGCGTGCGACCATATACACCACAAACGTGCGATTTGGACTGGGTGGAGGTCAAATTGATTGCGTAGGCTCGCAAGAAATTCCCAGGAACTTCGATAGCCCGCTAAGAACGAAGGTGCATATGGGCTTTTCATTGGATTCGCAGGGTTGCTGGAGACAGCCTCGGCAAAGAAACATCGATGAATATACAGCAGAGCTATGCAGCAGAGGTTAGTGAGCAAGTAAGGAGTTGGTCATATCACGGCAGTACGGACTCATGTTCCGGTAATTAGAAGGCATGTAGTATTTCATTGTCTCCTCCAGTCCTGCCCCCGCCTTAGGAGGACACTGTGCATAGATCGGTAAATTCATATCTCGAATCTTCCGATCAAGCTCAGTGATATCAGAGTACTTCGGGACTTTTGCAGCTTGCATGTGCTTAATTACAGCAGACACACAATCACGTGCAAATTTCGCTCTCCAGGCTGGAACTGTCAAAAAGCGAAGTTCAGCCGGTTAGTGAGTAGGAACCCATACCACGTACAACTAGGAACCACGGAGCCATCGTCGTTAATACTTGCATCTGGATCATTCGGTAGTTCACAGTCAACATATGGCAGGTGAAATGTTGCAACGCGTCCCGTTGCAAGTGCCTGATGTGCCACATTCCCTCGAATTAATTTTCCACTTCGTCAAGTGCATGCTCCTACCTGCCAACAGTCAGTGATATAGAGCTCCCAGAATAAAGACCGTCTTTTCTGGATTTCTGAGGACGGTAGATGCCAGCGAACACAATCACGATCTGAACCTGGGTAAGTTGGTGAATGGGCGTTGGGTCCAAGGCTTACGGAGGCCAATCTAACGAGACGGATTTTAAGGCAAAGCCGAGCAAAGAATGGGCTCACGCACACTTTGCGCCAACCTCGTTGCAAGCCCGAGTATATTCCACATGCCCTCAACATTATTGTCACCGCCGAAAACTCCCTGAACCATAGCCAGTAGTGCAAGCGCCTTGCACGGTCGCGACAGACGGCGTCCGGTCTAACACTGGCTCAAGGTTCAGCGCCGCCCTCGTTAGCTCGACATATATACGTGCTTCCTCATTATCGGGTGCGGAAGGCAGTGCATCATCCATCTGCGCCCCAAGACAAAATACAACGAAGAGTAAAGCTAGGTCGTGTGGGCCTTTGCTGAAATGTTCAGTGCTGGATTCCAATGTGGACGTCACTGGACCCGAAGGGATAAGATCTCTAGCTTCACTGTACCATGATGGAAGACACTCTTCCATTAACTGTCGCCTGGTCACCGGGCCGAAGAACCACGGTGCTTGGGACAAATACAGTTCACTTAGTTGCTGAGCACGTTTCCAAGGAGGAAGCCAGTTGTGTATTAGGTAGTCGAGATCAATGGCGCCTTGGAATGCGGGCGGGGGGAATGGAAACAACGCTGAAAGGCGCTTCACTTTCTTGGGCAAGTCACACGATGAATCAGTGTCTCCTGCAACTGATGGCAGTGAAACACCGGCGGTTTCTCCCTAACAAAATCTTTAGCTTCCTTGCAGAAGGCATCCAGTTGCGGACTCACTATCAGTAAGCTCTGCCAAGTTGGCGATCAATGAGCCTCTGGATCTGTGAAGCGCCATATATGCCACACACCTCCGCACCAGCAGAGGGACCATAAAATGTCGCGGCACCGTCGTCCCTCAATGCCAACGTACCAAACGCTTCGATATTGCTAGACAGTTCGTCCACGTTTGAATTCCCACTGGCGGTAGTGTCCTCCTCCGCAGCGGCATAGAGTTCGATGCTAGACTTGACCGAAAGTAGATCCCTGCTTAGCAGAGGATGTTGCTCGCCAGGCGAGACGCTCGATTGCAAGATTGCAAGTGCATCCTCAAGATGTCGGATGCGATCACTCATTCGAGACATCTTATCATGAAGTTGTTCCGTGTCCGCTAAAACGAACCTATCGCAGCACGATCGTCATATATGGCTAACAGATCCGTCGTTCCTAGTACTCACCGAGTACCCTGGCCAGTGATAAGGCTCCCTAATCAAACCAATAAATTAACGATTGCCGAGTGCTCTCTAACAGTTTGACTCACCGTTGGGACAGATAGCAGAGCAACCTCGACGTGTACACGACGAACATGGCACTGTCTTGTCGCATCTTAATTTCAACCTGGAAAACAAATGCTCAAGCAGAGTTGTATGGGATATCAGAAAGTACGTAGGGATACCTTCGACACTCTGCACACGATATCGCACCTCGGTTGCGTTTCTGCTCCTTGTCGATGGATTTCTGGATAACCTTTCCCTCCGAGCGAGCATTCTCGCGCGGCATTAGAAACGCACTTCACTGGACTAGAAAACACTGGGAAAGATAGCACGAGGATGACAGCACATTCCGCATGTATTTGAAGGTCATGGCACCGAGCGCTATTCTACTGTACCACTCACCGTGTTAGGTAACGCTAAATGTTAAATTAGCCATTTAATTACGAGAGCCTAGAGCCCGCAAGTTGATCACCTGTTATGCCGCAGAACGCATTGCGAATGTGATGGTGTCCTTCACCGCAACACATTTTATTATGTACGCCAGGTCCATTCACGGGGGTCATGTTTTTCATCACCAATGGCGCCTTTACTAGGAGGTGAAGCTTGGATTCCTCAAGGTTCTGCCGGGGTCCATAGGGACTATACTGTGCAATATGACAGGGGATAACATGCGGGACACCGGGAAGCTTCTGGGTGTCATGGTGGCACCCCCTGGTAGAGGCAGGCACTTTTCAGCGTGCGTGCCCAGGATTTTTCCGATGTCCGCGCAGTGGTCTGCTCACCTGCGTTCCTTGCAGTGGAAAAGACCACGTAGGTGGACTCGATGGTGTTTCCCTCTCATGTACAGATGACAGTACCTGACGGGAGGCTGAATTATTAATGGGGCAGCTTCGCAGTAGCCTGACTGCTTAATCAATTTGCAGCGGTGGCATGAGATAAAGCCGTGGATCGCCCCAACCACGATCCACTTGCAAGGTGTGAGGCCAAGTGCTGCAGTCGATCGACGTGCGACCACGGACAGCCGAGTAAAGATTAAGGCATGCGCATTGCGTGTGGCCCCTAGGATCCGTTCCGAGAGGACCGGGTCAGTATTCACCTGGTGAAGATAAACTGGGAAAAGTGCACCAGCAAGGTATGTCACAAATGTGCCAACGGCGAGGTCAGGTACACCTATTGCATTATCCTGGTGATCCCATCCTCGCGATATTCATTGGAATGACAGATTTCCCTCCCACTGTGAAGACAGTGAATATATATAGGTGATGACCCGGGCCACATGAGCAAGAAATTATATACGGTGATCGGGGAGATATCATTAAATCAACTACACTGTCATTACTATTACCTTGGACCACCGTCAAACTTCGTCACTCCCTTTAGTCCGACTTCTGCTTCCCAGATGCCGACCAGTTCATCCCAAACCAACTGCCGGGCCGCGCAGCAGTGGTCTCTGGCCCAGGCCCAGGCCCTTCCCTACTACCAACGTCGTATCCTTCTGTATCACTCGGCACATCCACTTCTTCAAAACGACTGGACCCCATTCGTTCACGTAAGTCCGAATCAGAAGAGTTGCGAGAAGGCGGCTCGACTTGGTGTCGATGAGCATAGTTCCTGGCGGCCGGCACCAGAAAGTCTAGGAGAGTTGACGGGGGACCGCCAACTATCAGTCGATGCGGTACCCTGGTGAAGGAAGGCAGCCCCTGAAGCTATGATGCCTGGGCCATATGAGCGCCAAAGACCCATAACAAGTTGAGCGGGTCCGGATGCTGGGTCCGTGAGGTTTGGCGCAGCACCTGTGTGAGTTGCTGCAGAGAGACCGCCAGAAGACTGAATTTGAGATGTCTGACCAAGCACGCCTGAAACCTGTTCCCAGATGGCACGGAACCGCTCCTGCACGAAGGCGTACAGACGAGCCTTGAATGATGCAAGGGTCGCATCAATTTCGGCTTCGTGAGAATGAAAGAAGGGTTGTAGGTGATTGATGTAGATATACGAGGATCCCTGCGTCTGCGGAAGTACGAGGTAAAGTAGGAAGAGCGTCTTCAGGAAGTAATACATTGGGATCCTGGATCATAAAATGAGTGCGGTATGAAGCGGCTAAACTAACGACGCACCATGACACCAGCCATTCGGCAACGTATTCAACCCCAACTATGCATCCCAGCACGGACCAGTACATGAGCCACCGCTCAATGTCTTGTTCACACGCCGGCCTGCGCGACAGCGTCTTGTAGGACGCATACCCTGGATAGAGGAAGGCAACAACCGAGCTAGATCGCAGATCGTTAGCAGCAACACGAGCTGTACACTCGGACTACCTGCCTGGTTAAAGATGATATCAAGTAGAAGAACATGACCGTCGTAAGGGATCTTGAATTCGAGCGCAGTTGCCACTGCGGGCCTGCACAAGTACCGCTGCTGGCAGGCTGGCTTACCACGCGTCACGCGGATTACGTGGTCAACTCGCTTATGTAATCAGCAACCCCTGCATAACGTACACTACGACTGACATATGTACCGCAACCTCTACCCAGCTTACAACCTCCAACCACCACCAGTCCCAACCTAAATCGAGGGAAAATAACATAGATAAACCCATGCACAAAGCGCTCCCCGCTGCCGAATAGGTAAACTGGTATGCACTACGCTGGAACGTCCCGTTGCAGAGGAATCCGAGTGGAGAGAAAGCGCAGTTTTACTCGTAGTCGCTATCGCTTTCAGTCTCCCTTTCTTTTCCCTTCACGGGCACACTCCCCGAGGCGGAGGGAGGTGATTTTCTCTTGCGTTTTCTCTCGGTTTCGCGGGTGTTCAATCTGACACCGTATCTAGCGAGTTGCTGTACATAACAATGGTAGATAGGTCGTGAAGATTACTTAAGGAGCGAATCAAATTCACCTTGGTAAGTTCCGTCGAAGGTTGAAGTCCAGGGAACTCCTTTGTAGAGTAAATCCTGAACTGCCCACCGTAGCATTCGCCTTGAATGGGTACTTCCTCTTGGCCGGATATACGTGAGAATAGGTCGAAGCAACGATACCGAAGGAAGAAGTAACCCTCGACTTTAACGGCAAGGTCCTACAACCGTTGACGGCGTGAGTGATGGTGGAAGGAGTGCAGCAAAAATTCGGTACGGAAAAGAACAATACGCACTGAAAAAGCAAAAAGAAGTGCTCTTCGGCCGTCGTAGTCAATTACAGTAGGCTGGACAAACATCGCGCCTGACAGGGAAGTGGTACACTTCATCTCTTCCGTGACGGAGCTGCCGAGGTTTGTGGGAGTTACGGAGGACAGCAGCGCAGGCATGTTTTCATGCGAGCCACTCTGGTTCAGTGTTGATGTAGTATGTGGATTCGCATCATAACGCGGGTACCGGTGGTAGTTTGGTGTGCAAGACGATGAGCATTGAGGAAGGTCCAGGCTACCCGTGAAACGCGAGAGCTGACGTGGTTCGCGCCCTGAAACCTGTGCGGATTCTGGGGCACGCACGGGGAATAGGTCCACACAACACAGCAGACCGAGTGTCTGGACTTCCCTAGGGGGCAACATCGCATCGATGCTCCTTTAGTTGAGTGCGTTCATGAAGAGGCGACTCACGAGTAATCACATAACTCCTTTTCATATTGGGACTCAGTACCATAGTTAAACACCTGGTATAACTTGAGCTGGACGACAGGAGGCGGATCAAGAGGCCTTCGATCCACCCTTGCATACCTAGCCACGGTAGCGGTGAGCCACGGGTCATAGATAAAAATGGGTACTATAGACACCTACTTTCTGCCCAGATCAGCTTTTTGAATCTCCTTCAACTCCGCACGGATAGTTTGTCCCTGGAAATAGCCAGACGCAAAGTGGATTGGACGATTGATCGAGGATACGTTCATGCGACGTGGTGAGGCTGGTGAGCGCAGGGAGGACTCCATGACGAAGCGATCGCAACCAACACAACACAAGGGCGGATCTTTATCAATATATGGCGATCGCTTTGCGGTGTGCAGAACGTAAGCCAGTGTCGTCGAGCTCGATGTTCTTGCGAAACAGAGAGGTGAGTGTTGTGTCGACGTATCGGGATTTCAACGAGCCAAGAAATGGATGTTTGTCGAATCGGTGTGTACCGGAATGGTCGTGAGTTCTTTTTCTCTGGTGAGAACATGTTTGGCCTGTGACTGACTGGCTGGAGACTGGACGTCCTCCTCAACACGCCGTCCAAGCGTCGTCGCAGTCCAGAACTGCCATTGGGATCGACGACCCCTTCATTGACTACTACATTAACAATCGCCTCCATAGGGCGTCCCCCAGTTTCCGGGGATTTGGCTCAACGTCATGGCACTGACCCAGGACGATGGCGGTCCGACCACGTGAGAGCCCCTCCTCGACCACACCAAATTGTGGTTTCATCCAGCAGCTCAACCGATATCGAACGCTCTGTATTCGGCAGCTGCCCGCTTTACCCGCGGTGGCAAAAATTATTGTCCCACCACCTGTTATCGTCGACCACGGAAAGTCATATGTACCCTAGATTCCGGCTCTGGGAGCTTTCATGAGGCTGGTATATGGGTACATTACACCAAGAGACGTGTCCTTGCATACCGGTATAGAAAAAATGGCCAGGAGGCAAATAGGGAGCGTCCTTGCGTGAGAGTCCGGGAGCATCAAGCGGAAGCAATGATAACAAAAGAAGTGATGAAGAGGAAGTACATGCAGTCGTTATATGAACGTGATCTAAGGTGACGCACAAGAACGAGTGGTAAATTGTACGATTACAAAATTTGACACAACGAACAGTTAAACTGAACGCTGGACTGCAAGGCCACCGCTGCTCCGCTTCATCAGGATATGTTCCAGACAACATCACTAGCACTTACGAAGCACGATGAGGGCGGTGAAGATTATGAGAGCGATCACGTAAACGATACCGTATTTGATGATCTGCGAAGTCATCAGTCAATTAAACCCCATGGAGCAAGCTTGCGTCTAATACTCACTATCCAACGACGTTGCTTTTTCTGTTTAGTTGAATACAAAGGAGGGCGAATTTGTTTCGACGGACGGAGCCAGACTGTCGGAGACGTTAGTGACGATGGAAAACCAAGTACCAAAAAGCCTTACAGAGGAGCGTAGCATGAACACGATCCACAAATGGAATAAGATGGGAGGAGTTAACATAAAGAGCAAGAAGTGGCCCAGAAGAAGATCGGAGCTCCAAAGTGACAACTCGATAATTTTGACGATGAACTCGCGCGCAGGTTGGGACATTGCATGGGCTCCAAGACCACGACCATACCATCTACCCGTCCACCATGCACGGTTGGTCTCATCGTGCTTGAACTCGCGGGAGAGACAGACAGCGATCAAGATCTTGTAAACGGCACGCTGGATCGCGATGACAGTGATAAGGCCGAGGACAGCATGGGACGCATTCCAAGACTCGAGGAACCACTGACCCCGGTGATCAGACCGCTATCACAACTCGGGTGCTTGTGACTTACCAGGAACTCGAAGAATCCAAGCATTCCAACCACTCCGAGGATATGAGCAACTGACGCCATAACCGACCCAAACTTGGGGTATGAAGGATCCAACATTGGCCCGAGGAAGAGCGAAATGATGAAGATCACAAGAAGAATCGCTGCGTTCCAAACGATCGGCCCAAGTGCAACAAAGGCAATACGAATGAGCGGACTCGGCGGGAACTTGCCGGTAGAGTCGGGAAATGATTTCACAAACATGTACGCAATGATAAACAAGAGCGCCATCACGATCGGGAAGATAACCTCTGACACAATCACCGCGCGCCAACCAGCCCGCGGAACGTCAGCGGACAACTTCTCAGATGGTACACCAAGCTTCTTCCTCTTGTACCCGGTGATCATCGTTCGGGACAGGCGACAGTAGCCGATCCAAGAGTTATTGTGCGACCGCGAGTTTCCTCGAGACATCCACCGCAAAAATTCACTAGTACGCCGTCAGTAGTACGCAGATATGAGTATAGAGGACTCTTACCGATAGTCGATCATGAAGTCAGAGAAAGAGAATTGATGCGGGTTGAACAAGAAGGGAGCGATACAGAGGGCCAAGATAGAGATCCAGAAGTAAATGAGGTATGGTGTCCACATTGCCATCGTGACATAAAGAAGGCTGATCAGCGTCCTCATACCGAAGTATATACTAGGACCGGCAAAGCGAGAAAACAGGACGCTGAAGGAAATTCGGGCCGTTGCAAAGCCTCGTCCAGTAGCGATGTACCTTGCTCCTCCAAATGTCAGATTACTGATAATGGAATGGGTATAAATCTGCGTCGAGAATACTTCGAAGACCGGAGAAAATGACAGGAACTGCTTTCCAAGTCGGATGATTGCTCTCATCGTACCGCGCTCCACAAGTTCTGTAAGAGAGTGTAAGCACTAGGAGAAAGCCACGTTATGGAGACTTTACCTTGAATGAAGAGAGGTAGGAAGGCAATCATCCAGACCAGGAATATACTGATGATGCAGCGCTGAATCCAGTCGAAGACAGGAGTGAGATTGTAACAGCCATTCATGTTTGGCAACAAGCTCCCATTTGAGGAGTACTCGCAGATCTTGAGGGAAGAGTTCAAGGTAGCCAAGAACACCACTATGCCACAATGAGTCCAGAGAAACCAGTGAAGAATACATAATGGAACTTACTCGTGATAATGAAACACTGAACCGCGAGAATGATCAGCATGTTGTTGATGTGGAAACCAGGATGCCCGTAGTAGAACGTCAAGAACCGGTCGATAGGAAGCTGTGTACCCAGGTAGTAATATTCTCTACTAAGCATTTGCTCCCCCATTCCCGTACCGATCTTCGTCTGGAAGTTCAGGATGGTGCCGAACCCAAGGTCACGACCCTTCCCGCACTGATAGTACTCGGTGTGCTTGATGCGGCCGCCACGCCCGAAAGCGTTCATTCCAGCGTAGATATCCTCGTTTAGATGAAGTCCTTTCTGAGCCTTCGAAACGCCACCACGAGTGTTCATGTAGACGCCATTGAGGAAGTCGGGATGACCATAGTGAAGCTTTCCTCCAATCCAAGCCCAAGCACGGGCAGACAGCGTACCAAACGTCTGTTCCTTGCCAGCAGCAATATCACCAAGAATACCGATACTCTCCGAGAAGATGTATTCACGAGCGCCGACGATGGCAACTGGGGGCTTCTTAAACTCCTTGTGACCATAATCCGCATATGGGCTCTGGGCCGATACAGAATATTCCTCAAACTCCCCAAGCACGTTGCGGATCTTGAGACACTCTTCCAAGTAATTGTCCTGGTTGGCATCGATAAGTTGGAGATATTCGCCCCGGTAGAAGATAATGGCATGGTTCTGATTATCCGATTTTCCGTCACCAAGAATGGGGTTCCCGGGCAGTTCAATACGGAACTTCGGCTTGCGACGGCCGGTCTCCGGAATAAACTCGGAATGGCCATCGATGAGAACCGAGAACAGTCGGGGGTCCGCGCCTTCCTTCCGTGGAGGTTCTTCTTCCAGATAAGCGATTTGAAGGTCAGGATATGCACGGAGCAGGAACTCGGCATTCTCATGCTCCTCCTTGTTGAACTTCGAGTAGCGCTGCATCGAGACAACAAACTTGAATTTCCGCCTGGACATACGTTCCAGTTCGCGCTCTAGCCTGTCAGTGTTGCCGCCAAACAGCTGCACAACCTCCGGATTCTCCACTCGATAGAGAAGTTTGATGGCTTTCGCATAATTCATCATGCCGGATACCGTGCGATATAGTGTTTGAGCACGTAATGAAGCCCAGATACGTGTGCGTAGAGTATATTCCGGAGCACCGCTCTTGAATCCGACACAGTACAGTGGAAGATCATCCGCCTTCGACTGTCCCTTCTCCTCCGTGCCGAAAGGACTATGACCATTTTCTATCGCGGACTCTTCAGCAAGGATCTTCGTGTCCTTGACGAAGTTGTCCCACTCGACAGGATGAAGCTGCTTGAGGTACTCGAGGAGGGTGACGCGGATGTTCTGGTCTTCTTCTCGGATAATCTCCCTCAGTGATAAAAGGATCTGTCGACAGTCACTACAATATTCCGAGAGGAAGAGAATTGTTTCGCACCTTTTCGCTGTAGTGAGGTGTGAGAACTGTGAACGTCGGCATTGCATCGACCGGGAGCGGTTCAGGAACAGACGTCGTGAGGGACTGGGCAAAGAACGAGATCCGACGGCCCGCTTCACTCTCAGGAGGGAAGAACTCGCCCTTGAACCCTTTTTCAGCCTGGGAGATGAAAAAGGGAGGGGCCCTGAGACTACGTTTGCCCTCTTGACCAGAATCGACTTGGTGGTACAGCAATTTCTGAACATGCTCGATAGACAACAGGTGTTCACGATACATGGAAATGATGATGGCATTCCAAATTTGAGAAACCAAAACCTGAGAGCCATTCAGAAAAGAAAAGAAAACTGCACGCCGTATAACTGACCTTCGGCTTGTACTTGACCTCCATCTCCCGTGTGGCAAGGAGCTTGGAGAATATACGCTTCGGCAGCCGGGTGTAGATATCCTTCCATGGTGTCCAGATGGAAAGACCCAGCATGAATGATCGAGCGATACTAAAGACGGAATTCCAAATGATGTACCAAAGGAAAGTATCCAAGAAGAAGAGCACCAGATCCATGATGTACATGATAGTCAACGTGAATGCTGCTTGATTCGAGCAAAGTCCCATCCCGAAGAACTTGTCATTGCATCCTTGGATCTTCATGCCTACCATGACGGATATGGGATCTCGGAACGAAAGCGTAAGGAAGAAATAAGACTCCGTGGCCTTGCAACCGAAAACCAAGAGCCAGAGGGCAATGGAAGCCATCCTTGCCTCTAAATGCAAGCTAGGGTATGATGCCGTAAATGTCTGACTGGCAAGATATTTTCGGGACTTGCCCGCAACTCGGTCACCGAACATGCGACCGGATGGCATGATAGCGAATAGGAGAGTCGCAACGACGGAAATGAAAAATTGAACGATGCCGAGGATGAGTGCGAGAGAGCCAGCATTGCCACCGCTGCTATATTCTGCAATTGCCACATAAAACGTAGGACCAGCCGTCAGAGCAAGTGTGATGAGCAGAAACACCAGACGACGCGTAAGATGAGATGCGTTGTTCCAAGTGAGCGGGATATACGAGAATTCTGTAAGTGTAGCGGCGATCATGATGATCGTTGCCGTCGCGCCACCCAGGGCAGTAACGGACCACGAAAGTGATTGGGGAACGACCGCCGTATTATCGGACCCGACAATCTGATAAATCCTCGGGGAGTTGTATGCGGTATAGTACCAGTATAGAGATACGTGAATGACCCATATCCGATTAAAGTTGACCAATAAATGGCCAAACGATCGTTTCTCGTAATAAGTCTTGAAAAACACTCGATTCCAGTCAATGCGTTCGAATCTTGTGTAGCGATGCGATGGAGGCAAGTCGATGAGCTTCGTCTGAAGAATATGAGCCAATGAGAGCTGCAACCGACAACTTAGCAGACCTTGTCTACGAGCACAATCCTGGAAATCCCCTCCGGATACCAAAACAGTTGGTTAACATCATCATAACCAATGATGTCTGCGTGGTCACGTTCCCTCCGAACGAACCGACCATCAACAACTTCGTAGCCTTGATCACGGATGAAACGGTAGAGGGGTTTGGTGACAGTCCTCAGGTACAACCCTTCCGGTACTGGATCCACTCGGCTTTGACATTCTGGCGAACGATAATAGTCGTCGGCACATTTGAAGATGAAACACAAACATTCAGGAACGAAACGAATTTGTGCGGCTTCACCCCATAAGAGAAGGTACAATGCGATCTGACGCAGACGGTCATACTGGCTCATGCTGTTCATTGCCTGTCGCCAGCGTTCCATGGCCGTTTGCAGCGACTTTTCATTTGCATTTCGAGGACCTTTGCGTTTCGTGGACTTGAGCCGCTGCAGGCCGGGGTTCTGGACGTGGCCAACTGCGTCATCGAGATCCAACTGGGCGGCGAAATACCATTTTCGGTAATTTGCGTGTTCGCCACCGATGTAGTCCGCATGCAAAGTAAGCAGGGCCTGGTTCGGTGACATGCGTGACGCACGACTATCGAGCAAATGCATTAAAAAATCAAACTGACGTAGGTCCCAGCGTCAGCGTGCAAATGCACATTACGAGTTGGTGGACTGACCATGTTTCGCATCGAGTCCCTTTGGAACCCGAATTTCTGCGCCAGGTCCAAAAAAATGTCTTCGATTTCCTCCTTTGAAAGAGGAATGTGGCGTTCCGAGGACCAAGCTGGGTAGGCTTCTCTTGCTGCGGGAGGAGCTGTGTAGTCGGCGTAGGCTGCACCATCCGACGGCACCAACCTCGATGGGCCGAGTGATTCAACAGACTGAGCGTACCGCGCTCCATAGACATCGACATCTGAATCGGTGTCTTGAGGTCCTGAAAGGAGATGAGTATGTAGAGAGGAATAGTGGACAAAATTTCGACGAAGTACCATAGAGATCATAGGCACCATTATTGTCATAGTACCTGTCATCGTTCAGTCCGTTGTGGCTGCTGTCGGAAGCATATGTATCCCTGCGCTCGTAGGGTTCGATGTTGTCTGAGTCGTTGTCGCTGTAAATATATCTGCGCGGGTAGGCTGCGGATGAACCGAACGGATCTGGCGGGTCAGCCATTGACGAGGAAGAATGAGGGTGCATGGCGGGAGCCCCTCGAAATGCCTGTGTCGACCGGCCAACGGTGACGTGGAGGAGGAAAAGAAAGAACGGGGGCTGCGGTGTGTGGAAGGGCAGGCAAGCGGAACCACGTCTCCGCCAACCTCACAGGCAGTTGACAATTCCCACTCCAAACAAAAAGCAAACCAAGTCAAACCAACCCCCTACGCAAACCAACACACAACCATTACCTTATGTAGCCACTACAAGTACAAACAGGGATTCCCGAAACCACTAAGAGTCCAAAACCCATCCTATGTACAGAACCCCCACCAACGGGGGGCACAGACCACCCAGCCCGGCAGATGTAGCGCAGTCCTAAGAGCATCCAGCTCATGACCAATAGGAATCTCTTATAAACAGTGAACAAATTCTGTCACCATATGATACCGCCTGTCCGCGGCGCAAACCAACGACGAAGTGTGAAGAAGGCAACCAGGACCAATGCCAGCACAAAGACAACAACAGCCTTGGTGCCAAGAACGCCAGTCTCATTTTCGACCTGCACGGAGGATGATAAGCTTGCTGCTTATGAGCCTGAAGGGAAATAGGCCATTACCACAGAAGTGAAAGGCGACAAGATGGGTATAGTAAAGTGAGTTGCTGATCGCCTCTTCTCAGAAGAGCTGTTCGGGGTTGAAGTGCTCCAAAACATGTACGCCAGGAAAATCACGAGGGCCATCTGAAAGTACATTATTGGTCCCTGCGTTCAATGCTGGAATGGAAAACAATAGTACATACCATGAGTCTCTCCAGATTGTGTTGTCTCTTCTCATTGGCATGCACGAGAGTCGTTATCTCTTTCTTCAAATAAGACGATTAACACCCTCGAAACGGGAGTGGCGCGATACGCGACTCACGGTGCGCCTCTCTTCTTCTGCCAGCCGGACTTGAGTGAGCTCGTTTTGGTGCCGGACATACTGGGAAAACACGGTCTCTGTCACCATGGTACGAAGGGCCCAGTACTGTGCAACAGCCGTTCGTGGTTCCATCCCCCTCGGTACTTGGAATGTCATCGTAGTGTCCCCAACTTCCATACGCGTAGCAACAGCGGTATCAGTGGATTTAGTTGCACATTGTAGGAAGGGATCATCCCTGAGCGCAAGTTGCATGGTTCGCGACATGGGGGTGTCTTTCATAGTCGCACCAGAGGAGAATCTGGTGGGCTTGGGCTTTCTGAGCTTGTTCATAGACCCAAACATGTCCTTTGTGCTCGTTGCATTGTGTGTTACGCAGCCAACACCAGGGAAGTGTGCATGTGAGTTCCTTTCTGGGATGAGTGGACCGCTGGAAGCCTGGGATAATTTCATCGCTCCTACACTTGTGTTCACTTGGGACTGAGACTACTCTGGTCATACACGGGGCAAATTACAGCTCAACATTGCTACGGAGAACTAACTGCCCGAGTCGTTCAGCCTTCTCCAAGACTCGAGTCGGTCCAGCTCAGAAGTAGTAGAACACACAAGCCAGCAATTCGGCTGATAGCATCGCGCGCTCCTAATTCGTACTAGCATCCCCAAGATATCCATGCCAACGAGGCGGTCTTTCCCCGACCCGACGAGCCCGCAGAGTCATAGGTATGTACCATGCATGTGACGCTCCTTATTTTGCATTCTTGTTAGCCAAAGCGACCGTGCTAATGTGCACACCTGATGCATACATAATGTGTGATCTGTAAAGATTAAGTCATTAATTACGACGAAGGTGGATTTTGGGAAGGGACCTACTAATACCCTTTTTTCCCCAAGGAATTGCCATGTAACACGAGTGCCTGTGGACGCCGCACAAGTCCGGTGGTACGTTTTAGTTCTCGACGTGGTAAAGCTCACCGTATACTCCATATGGGACCCAGGTCTTGTCAGGCTCTGCTGTTCTCAGCCGATTAATCCGAGTCCGCCGCACAGCTAGCGCGTCTTAGCCTAAAGATTCGACTTTCATATTGAACCATAAGCCAAGAGCAAAGTAGAATACACGCCCCTGAGAGGCTGGCTTTCAGTATCTATTACGAACTCAACAACAGGCTTGGTATTCTTTGATCCTTCAATAAGATGGCATCTGCAATCAAAAGTGTTTGGTCTCTTGTCAAGTACGAAACAATTGTTTCAAACTTTTCGTAAGATGCCGCCAGGCACTCTACTACTCCACCTAGGCTAGCCATGTACGTTCGTTTTACGTCCTCATGACATGCAGTTCTGTTTGCGACGGGGCTGATGTATCGATGTGTCTTGACAAGCAGTTTGTGAGAAGGTGCGATAGGAACGCAAGATAGGGGCGGGTGGGTACGAGTGTCCGGCTCATCAGAGCACTACGTATGTATGTACAGCTTCGCGGAAAGGACGGGGGATCTAATTGGCTATGCATGGACCTGCTGTTGGTCCGTTATCAAACGAGGATGATAACGTTATGCTTGAGTTTGACAGTCAGAGGTAGAAACATAGGAAGCCGAATTCCACGTCTGGACCATCACTCGAACTTCCCTTGCACTTCATGCGCGAGCAACGATGCCAGAGGTTGGTCTTCGGTTGTTTTAAACCACTCTTGGTAGTAAATATTCCCTTCAGATGCCATGTAGGTGAACAATCGACGGAGACAATTAATAGTTTGAGTAGTGTAGACACGAAGTAGCACAAAGTGGATCATAGCCCCTTGCAGAGCAATTTTCCTCTTGCCATTTGTAGCTTGCAAAGCTCTATCTCAGTTGGCATGGCCAAGAGAGAAGCGAGCAGGATGCCACAACCATCTGAAAATGCCAATGAACCAATCTTGAACTCGCGTGCTTGTTTCGCTAGCTCCTCGTTCTTCGCAATCAACGGATCTGGGCGCTCCTGATTGATCCGATAGAAAACGTTGACACTGAGAAAATGTTCAAGATTGAACTATACGCTTGGAGGCATCACTAGACTTACTACGCAAGCCCACCACAGACTCCCTCAATGCTGACGAGAATAAAAATGAGTGCGATACTGCGCCCTTCATGATCCCCGGAAAATATGCCAAATGCCGATTCGTATGTTAAGGTTATCAGGATCGCAAGTTGGACTATAGCTGGTAATGGAAGGAGTCGAATAGGGATTGGTGGAATTCCAAGAGATATAGTGGAACGGGATATGAACACCGTGATTTGGTAAACAAGCTAAATAAACCCAGGGTACCATGTATGAGTCATTGTTCATAGGGTGGTGGAATATACGACATACCTGCCACAGTGGGTAGTAGTCCCTCACAGAATGTATGATTTTGCTTAAAAAGCCGTAACGTTCCGGGGAAGGTACGGGATAAAGAAGAGTCGGTGCGATACCCTAAAAAGGGCTCAGGAAGTCGCGTTCTTGTGGCGAAAGAATAACCTACTTGATTGATGGTATATTCGTACTATGATTCGTAATGACAACGGGAAGTAATCCGATGTCATGGTAGAGGTGTACTCACAAGGTAAACACAGACTACCGGGGCGCGTTAGCACATATACAGGCATACAGCGAAGCAAGAACACTTACAAAGAGGGAGCATGTACTCGAGTAGCATAGGCTGCAGCAATCGCAACTTGTCCGCAGCCGTCAGGAAAGCCGATTCGGATTTAGAGTCATGCCGAAGAAGTGGAGGCATTTGCGATAGGTCGGCCGTGGGTATGTCAGGATCATCGGATGGAAGTGCAGAATAGACGGCAGAGGTTGTAGGATCAAGGAAAGCAGCCGGCCGCGGAAGCAAAAAGAAATACGTGAGTGGGAGAACAAACGGCAATACCTTGAAACATCGTTCAGTATGCCCAGCGCCGTCCTACGGCTGACACTGGCTTACAGATGAGATTCCAATGCCAGTTTCAACACCCAACCCACGTAATTCCCACCAGAGGAAAGCGCCGAAGAGTCCTGCAGCCCCAGTTCCAGACGACCAATAACTGGGAGTTGTTCGACTCAACATCGTCAACAGAATACGCTGAACTTACCCAATGCTGTGGCCTCCAATAGCCGTGGGACTGTAAGTAGTAGACAACTGCACGAAGGTGACACTGCCAAGGCCTGTATCATTTTTGTATCTATTATCAGTGAGGCACAAAGGTTTATTGTGCTCACCAGACGAGAAGGAAGCGAGGCAGATTCCCAAAAGCCTCGAAAGTAAACTTTCGTGTAAGGCGACGGCCTGAGAATCTCCTCAATCTTGCCGATGTCACAGGAGTAGTTTTCACTTACCAGCATGCCAATGAAGCTAAGTAAGGAACATCCGACGATACGTCTGGTATATTTTATCCTTCCCTTCAATATGTACGACCATCCGACGTTTGCGATCAATCCTGGGGAGATGTTACAGAATGCAATGATGCCTTTGGGAGTGGATGGCGGCACAAGATCAAGGGCAGCAGATAGAATGATCACGTAAAGAACTGTGCCGTCTTCAGTGTCATACTCGGCGACGTTCTGCGTAGTGGGGTTGGCGTACCGTTATTGATGAGTCCGAAAAGGAAGAACGACAAGCCGAGCTTGAATAACAGTCTCCTCTCGCCTGTTTAATAGAAACCATGAGCATGCAATGGACGAGAGGGAGAGTAACAACCGCTGGAAGTGGGTTTCCTATGCGTCCCAGGACTTCCACAGCAGCCAGAGACGACTACTAAGAGACGACCACCATTCTGTGCGGTTTGCACCCTACCTTGTTTGGAGCTGGATATTCCTCCAAAAGGATATCCTTCGCTATCCGGAAGTTCAATGTCTAGAGCCATGGTCTGCCCAGTCCGCAACGACTCCAGATTTGAGGTATCTAAGTCGGTGGAAGTCGTGCGTGTAGTCAAGTCTTGTAGCTGCAGGGCATCTTCCCCGGCTGAAGTGCTCGATATAGCATGCATATTAGCCTGATGGCAAGAAAAGCCCCGAAGTGAAGAGCCGCGTCTGCAAAACTACTACCACCCGAGGGGAATACGAGCAGGCTGTCCACGGTGTCAACCTCCATTTGGAAGTGACTTGTCGTAAGGCTCCTTTGCACCCATACGGTTCTTGGCCAACTTGAGAGACTCCGGGCTCGCTCAAGTTCAGAGGAGCTGTTGGGTGACAGCCGCGTCTCCACAGCAAAAGCACCAAAACCCAGCAGAATATATTTGGCATGTCTATGAGCACGGCCTAATACGCCTCGGAAGAGCTGGCACACTAGCTAGATATGTAAGTCTCACCGAGAGGTGGGCAGTTGAACCTAGTTGAACTTACTGGCCATTACTGCGACATAGAAAATTAGGGGAGGTCGTGCGTTCTTAGTCCGAGGTTTCGTCAGCTCACACATGTAATTATTCTTCGATCGAGCTCTTGGGTCCCCGCCCTCCCTGAACAGAGACCGGTTTGGGATTTGAAGCAACTACTAAAGGGTTCACATAAAGCTGACAATCGAAACGGAGTATCATTTAACAGGTAATAGTACATTTACACAACTATTGAGCCCCTCTTCGAGTAACCGAGGCATCCTACCGCACAAGCGTGTCTTAACACGAATCAGATCGTGAACGAAAGAACACCATTCCACAAGCTCACCTTATTATCTTAGTTGCACAGCTCATAATGACCCTTCTCTCCGTCGGGGTGGGCAATGATACCGCAGAACTCCTTTTTGTGCGCGGTATAGACGACGCGGGCCGGGCCAGGGTTATGCTTGGGATTCTTGTCGAAGGGGTACAAGTGACCGTCAGGGTAGACGGGGAATTCCAGCAAACTGACATGGCGGTCCCTGCATCGCGTGTTGTGGAAAGCGATCCCGTCATAATTGGGGAAAGGGTGGGGGAATCCAGTAGATCCCGCTACAGGAGGCGCCGCGCGGATATTATCCTTTGCATGTTTGGCACTGATGTAGAAGTCGCCATGAGTGTTCTTGCAGGCGAACGCGTCCTTTAAAACCATCGTTCGTGAGCGCGCCCAGTCGAACGAGTAGAAAGGATGACCTACCGGTGCCTGTTGGCCGGGTTGCGCGGCGGTGGGATCAGTGGGAACGGCTAAAACTGGGACGACAGCGAGGGCAAGGCAGACGAAGCTTTTTGTCAGCTGCATAGTGTCTGCGATGGGGGAAGCCTGGGGGCCCCCCGCTCCCCGGGACTGGTATTAAATACTCTTGGACAGCTGCAGCTGCATACCCAGTCTCGCAATCCAAAGAAGAAGACTTGACCAAATACCGGCAAAAGCGGTGAGTTGATCAGCGGTCTTTCGTATGCTAAAATCGAAGAAGGTAACACTCCGAACTTCGAAGATACGTCAGCCAGTGATCAATCTACATGAGTTAGGCATCGATCATCAGACTGGCATTGCAAGAAGACGAGACTCACGTACACAACTACCAGGTACTGGGCCAGTCTAGACCAGGCCTGATCAATCTCGAGGATATTGGTTGGTATGACCTACCTCAGTGAATCGAAGAAACTACGCTATCGTCATGACTCCTGCCTTATCTTGCTTGCTTCGGGACTCGGTGTTCACTGTTGGGTGGCGGATGAAAGAAGGAAACGTACGTGACCATCAAATTGTAGCGGTTCGGTGGGGAGCTCGGGCTGGTCTCATCGCAAATGAGGTCGGTGCATGATAAAATTCGTATACAACGTGACAAGATCGTCTAGGGGATCCCCTTAATATGTCGCAAGGAGAATTTCTTCCAGACCTCTGGAGTTGACTTTCGCAAGTTGCTCCGCTGTATCTCTCGGTGATCAGAGGCAATTCGCCTTTCAAGGTCAAGTTGATGCTGCAGAATGGGAATCGGGGGGTCATACCTGCTAGTCTTTGCCATGCTTCGGAATTCAATATCCAGCATTTGGTCGCAGACTTGCGGTTCTGGTCTACCCATTTTCACTGCGTTCTTCAAGCCTCAGTAGGTCGTTCCTAATTTTGAGGTGGGAATACAACAATTGATATCCGAGCTGTCTGTGAGATACAAGTGGTATGATATGTGCAGATATTATCACAAGATGCGCAAGCCTACAGCTTGGCAGCTCTGGCAGCCAACTTCTGCTTTAATTTATCCTGCAGTCGACAGTATGTCAGCCTTCGGACGTTCAAGGACACTCAGACATTTAGTACGCACGTTCACAGCATCCATATACACGTTCGTCACTACCCAATGCTCCCTCTTCATATCCTTACCATAGATAGCCAACGCAAGATCCTTGGTCATGATGCCGTCCACGTCAATGACCTCGACGCATGCAACCTCGAGATCTTGGCAGAAGAGCCTCAGAGGCTCATTGTCATCCAGCTTCGCACGGTGCAGCAAGCCGCGTGTCCATGCGAATATCGACGCAACAGGGTTCGTCGATGTCTCCTTCCCCTTCTGATACTCCCGGTAGTGCCGAGTGACGGTTCCGTGCGCCGCCTCGCTCTCCACGACCTGGCCGTCAGGGGTGATGAGTTCGCTGGTCATCATACCGAGAGAGCCGAAGCCCTGGGCTAGAATGTCGGACTGGACGTCACCGTCATAGTTCTTACACGCCCATACAAAGCCGCCGGACGACTTGATGGCTTGTGCCACCATGTCGTCGATTAGACGGTGCTCGTAGTAGATTCCGAGTTTCTCGAATTCTGCCTTGTATTGCGTGTCATAAACCTCCTGGAAGATGTCTTTGAACCGTCCGTCGTATTTTTTCAATATTGTGTTTTTAGTCGACATAAACTACTGGTTAATTAGTGCTGTCAACTTCTTTTCCGAATAGAACTTTCATACCAGAGGCATCTTCTTGGACAGTGCCATCTTGAAGGACGAATGTGCAAAACCGGTGATGGACTACGTGGACAGAGGTCAACATTGTACGCGCTGGTCGACGTAGGAAAAACGCACTTCATCTGTATTATACATGGCCATAGCTACCCCCTTTCCTTTGAAATCATAAACATCGAGAGCGGTTGGTGGTCCTCCGTTGGCTGGGGTATAGATAAGCTGCAGTTTTCCAGGTCCCGGTGCGAGGAAATCGGTTGAGCGGTACTAGGTGCAGTGTTGGTTACTTCAAAGCTATCAAAGAGGCCTGCAACTTACTTGATCACCGAAAGCGTGACGGCCAATGACGATTGGTTTTATCCAACCCGGCACAGGCTTAGGAATCCGACTCAGGATGATGGGTTCGCGAAAGACAGTGCCGCCAAGAATGTTACGAATCTGATGCGACATTCAAACCATCAGCCCAGGAATGCAGAACATGAGAAACCAGACACCCACTGTACCATTGGGACTCTTCCACATTTCCTTCAGGTTAAACTCCTTGACACGGGCCTCGTCTGGAGTAATCGTTGCACATTTTATGCCGACCTTGTATTGTTGAATGGCCTTGGCGGCTTCAATCGTCACCGAGTCGTTAGTCTGATCGTAATAGTCAGTCCATAAAGCACTGAGGTCACACCGAGCTAAAACGGACAAACCTCATCACGGTATTCCAAACCCAGATCATAATACTTGATGTCAAGTTGAAGATAAGGTAAGATAAGCTGGCGCTAATTGGATCGATTTAGCAAGGTCGATGTTCTGGCACGAGGGATAGACTCACCTCTTCCCTGATCTTCTTCCAGATGATACGGGTCATCTCATCGCCATCGAGCTCGACGACAGGATTCTTTACGATGATTTTTTTCGTGTTCTCTGGGGGCTTTGCGTCAGCAGTCATATTCTACAATTTCAACCTGGGTGCTGATGCTGAGAGGCAAAGGCGCCAACCCCACACCCAGATCAGCCACATTACATTGAACTTGCTGATAAATTGCAGCCACCGCATGTGAATGTCATGAATACTTACGCAGTCTCTGCGACATAGCAAATCCTCGCGAAGTCGGCCGGGCTACGATGGGCGAACGCTTCGCAAGGAGGAGCGTCTGGTTGCGTAACATAGGTGCTGTGGCAAGCAGACAAACGACGACGGTAGAGGGCAGGAATATATGGGAAAACTCGGTGCAAAAATGACAAGCTGTGGATTTCTCTTGACCCTCCGGAGCCCCGAGATTTTGATTTATAACCGAACGCGGAAACGCTCAGCTACCAGCTGTCAGCTGCACACCTGTACCAGGGACCAATAGTAACAGACGACGTGGGCGGGTCGCCAGGTGCGTGGGGACGGCGCGCTAATGGGAAAACCTTTCTGCCAAATAAGCAGTTGGCCAAAGCTTTTGTAGGCTCTCGTATCCCCCTGGAGAGTCCCATGGCCCATGCGGGGAGAGCAAAGTACTACAAAAAAAGTTCAATTGCATATTGTTGCCACATGTCCAAATTGCAGCTGGCGTTTACTAAGGAACACGATCGAATTACGCAAGGGCTGACCGTGTCTACACGGGTATGTATTAGCATAAGTTGTAATGAACATATTCCATGTGACCAGCTTGATCCAAGTTGCCAATTGAGTCGGCCGATGTGCATTCCATAGCGAAGGCCGTTAGCCTCCATTGGTATGGTCTGGTCACCAGACTACATAGCCGATGTGATGCGATGCAGCGACCACAGTAGCCAACGAGACTGCGTGTAGCAGTACATTTTCGATCTCTACAGTAATAGACTCTCAAATGGGATTGCTGTACAATGCCCGATATCTATTAGAGCCCCTAGCAAAGGGAGCAAGGTAACCTCCTACACCCAACCACCATGTCCGTCATACCCGATGAAAAGAACCCCACGCCAACAAACCAAGCACAGTCTGACGAGCTTCGCGCGCAAATCTTCCAGCGTCTTCACCCACACGCTTACCTCGACCGGTTCCTCACGGAAGGCGTCAGGCCAGACGGTCGCACTCCAGAAGAGTGGAGAGACGTGTTCATCAACGTTGGTACGTTTTCCTTTGATCCTGTACCGAGTTCTCGAAGGAAGATCGGAGGAAAGCGTGTAGCTGCGCCAGGGTAAATGTTTCTGACTGACAAATAACCTTCGGTCCTCCGCCAGGCTCGATATCAACGGCAAACGGTTCAGCCCTTGTAAGGATCGGTGGAACCACGATCATTTGTGGTGTCAAAGCTGAAGTCGCGGAACCAGAGTTGGATACCCCAGACCAAGGTTTCCTAGGTAAGTTATCCCTTTCCATCGTTCGTAGCAAATCGCGACAAGATCCCGCCTCGAGCGACATGTTCTGGGCGATGTGGGTATATCGTTTTATCGTTTCCGACCCGGATTTCTCCTTCTAGTGCCAAACATCGACCTCCCCGCCATATGTTCTCCGAAGTTCAAGCCTGGACCTCCTTCGGAGGAGGCTCAGGTACTGTCTGAGCGACTCAACGCCGCGCTTATCAGGTACGTGTCCTTGCGCCTTCTCCCCCTCTCTACCGTCGTCTTAACTTCGCGTGTCGTGTCGCCCTCCCATTATATCTACACCAGCACACAACTTCTACCTCTCACGACGCTTTGTATTGAGCCCGGACGATCCGTATGGTGTCTCTACGTTGACGCCACCTGCATTAATTATGACGGGAACGCGTTTGACGCAGCCCTTCTCGCGATGGTTGCTGCTCTTCGAAACAGTGAGGATAAATCTGGTCCTGCTCGCGCCTGCTGCTGTCACTAACGGGCATTTCTTACTGCCGCTTCGACTCCCCGCATGACTCCTTTTACACGCGTCGTGCCGCGGTAGCAACCTTGCCTGAGTGCACCTATAACGAGGAGACTGGCCGTACAACGTGTCGTTCTCGCTCAGCGCGTCGTCCACTCCCTCTCAATGAAGATAAGGTTATCGTAGGGCTTAGCTTTGGGGTTGTACCGACTCCGAGTGTTCCCATGGGTCTGGACACGAGTGAAGGAAAGAACACGTGAGTCCCGCCCTTACTCCGTATTTTCTTCTCGTGCATGAGTCGACGAATGTTGATGACTCGACCTGACACTGGTCATTAGCTCCCAGACGACTGGGCCGATACTCCTTGCGGACCCGACGGCTTTTGAGGAACCTCTCCTAGCACAAGTGGTCACAGTTGTTGTCGACGTGCAGGGTCGCGTCGTCTCTGTGGAAGGTGGTGTGTGCGGAAAGTCGGGTGCGGACCATGATGAGGACGAGGGTTCGACGTTCATAGAAAAGTCCCTTCAAGCTGCTCAAGCACGGGCGAAAATATTACACCAGCTTCTACGATGATAAGTTGATTATCAAAAATGATAAACTGCATGACGGTGTAGTCCTCGTGATAGCCTCCTAGTGTCGGGCGTTACCTTAAAGCTCACAAGGCTACGTTGGAAAAGAGGGGAGGGACATTGATGAGCCAACCCTTTGCTAAAACTTCAAATGAAGCGTAACTGCTGTTCTAGACCCCCAGGCTTAGTCTCTCCCCTTCCAGGGCTTTTCTTTCTTCTTTCTCAGCATTTCCTCATCTTCAGCCTTTAACTCGGCGTCGATCTTCGCACCCTTGGATGGCTCATTTCCGTGGACTATTGCAGGTCCAAGAGGGTCTACTTTAGGATCTGCGGACCTTATCCTCGATTCATCATAGGGACGCTGTTTCCAAGCGGTCTCCATGGTTTTGCCGATGCTGCGCTCATCCCTGTAGAAGAGGCTTCAGTGCCCACTGACCACTACTTGTGCGAGTCACAATGCCTGGACGCACATGTCTTCGATATCAAAATACGACCGCTCCCAGGCCTCGTTGATCTTTTTTGGAGGGTTATGGTCTGTGGGTGGCGATGTCCTGGGGCAATGAACACAACATCAATTGGTATTTTGCAGACCGCTAGCTCTGAGGCACCGACTTTTGGTCACCGTCTTCGTATACTTGAGGATTGCCGACCTTGGACATCATTGCACCAGCACGAATGTCTTTGTGCGTCATTTCTCCTCGTTGAGCTGAGATGTGTGAATAGTACCAGTGTAGTTGACTCGAAAAACGTTGTGTGCTGGTCAGGGGCTCTGGCTCATCATGATGTAACCTATGATGCAACCCATGCGGCATCGCCGCTAAAGTGTTAATTCGAGTTTGCCAACCTCACGATCTGCGTTCGACAAGACAATATATTGTAACAAAGTTAGGTAGCTCTGCGTACAGTAGATATGTACGTGCCACCGACGACACCAGTGACCTGATGGAGATCGAATACAAAGCCTGCGCCGGCGTTTAGGGACGAGGAGTCTACGTCCTTAACCATGCTGTCTTTGCTATCTTCTTCAGTTTTTTCTGTTCCTTGAATCGCTCCTGTATAAAATAAACAATGATTCCAAGAGCATCAGTACATCCGTTCACACGAGAATCGTACACACCGCGTACGTTCCTCCCCCTCTCCCACATGGCTCAGCAATGGAAAGAGCAAAGGATCGATCAAAGTGACAAATGTCGCACAACACTCACCAAATCCTTCTTTGATGGTCTCTTCCTCTTTTTACCGCCTTCCCCCTCTTCTCTTTGTCTTTCCTCGACCTCTTTCTCCCATGCGCTCGTGTCAAAGTAGAACTCGCTCATGCGTTTCATGCGCTCGTACTCGGAGAGATGCTGAGGTGTGCGCCCATCGGCAGCAGTGAAAGCGCCCGTGCGAGCGTTGAAGCGGGCGGTAAAAGCGCCTCCCGGAGTTGCATGAGCGGGCAAGGCAAGGGAGGGATCGAGATGAGCAAGCGAGGGGTCGATGCCTGCGGCCATCGCACGGGCCTCTAGGGAATTAGGATCGTATGGGTTATGATTGGTATTTGTTGAGTGATTTGGGTCAGAGGACGTCGAGGAAGATGGGCCAGCGGACGGTTGTTGGATGGGGTTAACCCAGGTAGTCTCTCTGGTTTCTGTGTTGTGGAAATAATAAGCGCCATGTTGGGGGGAATAAATGGCCTGCCATGCACCAGCGGACAGTGTGCCCGATGATGCTGGAGTGGCTCCGGCGTCGGTGGAGGATGGGGCGGTGTCAGAGGCCGAAGAAGATTGAGCGTCGCCTGTGTCTGGCGACGTCGACCTGACCTTGACCTTGTCGCTGCTCGTCGTTGCCGCTGATTCTGGCTCTGGGGATGGCTCAGACGTCGCTCCACGCGATGCAGGCGGGCTCAGCTGGTCTTCTGGCTTGCTCGACGGCGCTGGGGAGGGACTCGTCATCGTCGCTTGCAACAAAAATGATCGGGTATTATTTTGTGTTTGTATAAATAATAATTAACATAATTGATAACAGGGTATTAATCGACGATGAGCATCACCACCGAGCCATCCACACACATGCAACTGCCCCCGCCGCCAGCTCTGCGCTCGGCACTCAAGCATCCGGCGGTGTCGCGGCCATCGTCGCCGTCCCCGCCGCTGTTGTCGCCGACGACCGGCCCACGTGATGGTAGCAACACACACCTCTCGTCTCCACCGCCCCCGACGAGGTCAACGTCAAGCTCGTCTCTGGTAGGGATCTTGCTCAACTCAGCATCTAGCAGGCCATCTACCGCCGTAACATCAGGCACCTCCATGGGCACCCTTTCACCAGGCTCACCACCGGTACCCGGTCCCGGTCTGCCCATCGCAGCTCAGGGCTACACCCCCAAGGTCTCTTTCGACACCTTCGAAAACCCCGCCGCGTCCATGTTCTCCTACACCCTACGTGTTGAATCGGAAGGCTACACACGCAACCCAGCCACCCGAGTCTTTCTTTGTGCTTCCAGCCCAGATGAGAGTGGCCGTGGGGCGTTGGACTGGGCCGTCGAATGTCTCGTACAAGACGGCGATGAGCTTATCGTATTTAGAGGCATAGACCAAGATGAACTCGGTGAGTTGCCTCTCCATATGTGTGCCTTGCTCACCGTCCTGCCATTCCATTTGGGGCATGCAGACAAAGACCATGAACTCGTCCGCGAAGAGGCACGCGAATTGATGAGACAAATTCAGGAAAAATGCGTGGAATACGATCCAGAGCGAAAGGTTCGTTCACACACACACATATATATCGATCGTGACGTGTTTCGACGCTTTGTTTAGCTGTCCATCGTACTCGAGTTCATTGCTGGCCGCCCGACAACGACCCTCGATCGTCTCATCGCCCTCTACCGTCCTGATTCCGTCGTCGTCGGCATGAGAGGACAGCGAGGTGTAATGTCTGGTGTTCTTAATTTTGGTACTGCAGGCGTTTTCAATAGTAAGTTTCCAGCGCTTTTCATCAGGTGCTGGTCTTTCATCCACTTCTCTCTCTCAAGGCGTTGGCTCAGTGTCTAGATATACTCTCTCTCACTCCCCTGTGCCCGTTATTGTCGTCCGGCCAGAGAGCAAGCTCCGCAAAGTCTTGGAAAAGCGCAAACGTGACCCCAAACGGGGCACACACTTTGACGAGTGAGTATTTTGTCGACGGGAGCACACCTCTTTTCACTCTTGTTTCTGAACCTTTCGCTCTGTAGGCTTGTCCGTGAAAAGTCCCAAAATGCAAACTTGACACGGCCATCGACGAGCAGGACCTAAGCAATCCGAACGCCTATTTTTCCTTGCCACCTGACGCCTACCCTGGTGTCCCCGACGAGTAACATATGTATTCGTTGCGTTCCAGCATGCTTTTGGATGGTATTGTCATTCGCTTACTGATGCTCTCAACTTCTTGAGGGGGCATGCATGTGTCTACTCATTTATCCGAACCCTGCACCACTCTGGACTCATTAGCCGTGTACGGTTTATTGGCTCGCCCAGCACCACACTGTATCCAGTATCCTAACACTACAAACGCCACTCCAGTACTCTCCATACTATCTAGACATATCCTCAGAATCACTTTCATTCGAGGCAATCGGGGTGGTGACGGTTCTTCCGTGTTGTGCCTGGCATTACCTGCATCGAACCTTTTGGCCGGGCCACCGTCGACCCTTGTGAACGCCGTCGCGGTACCAGTTCGCCGTCCCACCCTTCCCTTCTCGAGACGCACGGCAGATTTCTTTTCCCATGTCGATCGTCTTCCAACCGTTGTTTGCTTGGCTGCCTTGCGGGTTAAACATTAACCCCAGAAGTCCAGACACGCGCAATGCTCACATCATCAGTGTCTCCCACATTATCTCGCATATCATTCACAACTCCTTTCTTCTTTCACGTTCATCCTGCTTGGGTACCTGGGGCATTGTACATATACGAAAGCAATTTCTGGTTTTCGAACTTCGCCAATTGATATGATGGTATTACAACCGTCGTAGAAGACTACGAAGCAACGGAGCAACATTGATCAGTGGTATGTATCGGCCTGGTGGATATGACCAATTCGCGTTCCCCATAAGCAGACATGATGCCAGCCAAGCTATTTTCACGGACGAGCCAATTTAAAATCCTAAGACCTCCTTAACCGTTTTCCAATGACGTCCCTCCCACGCTTTAGTGCCACTGGCGGCGTTCTCTGGGACATCCTTATTGAGATAATTATCCCAACCCGCGCTGATTCTTCCCTCGGCGAACTTAGCTTGCAAGAACGTCTGCTTGTCAAAGCCGTCCGGGAGCTTGTCGACATGTACGGCTGGCACCGGAGGATCACGCCCCTCATACAGAGCCCCGATATCCTCCAGAGACGTGCGATCACCCTCGATACGGTACGTGGCATCGTGGAGGGATGATGATGGGAAAGTCGTGAGAGCGTGCGCAACGAAGCCTGTTCGAGGAAGTATGCACTGATTACGCCATTTTGTGAAAATACCGCGGCATACCTGATACGTCATCCAGCGAGGTGAAAGAAGCGGGCATGTTTTGCTGGCCCAGTAAATGGAATTTGCCCAGTTCGACGCCCGTTAACCATGGGATGAATTCCATGAACATGCCACACTAGATCGGACGTTGGGTATTACGGCCTTCCCCTCGTGGCATTCAATAGCAATACGTACGTAGACACGTAGTACGGGAATACCCAGTGATTTCGCGTACGCTGATAAGTAACTTATCAGTGGGAAGCCTCAACAAGTTACACGTACCAAGAACATACCGACAAACTGTGATTTGATCGCAAGGACTCCGTCCGTGGCCCCTTCGGATGGCATTCCGAACTCAGATGGCACAAGTAACTTCACGGACACAGCCTGAGCAGCCTCAGCGAGAGGTATTTGAGCCTGAAGTGCCGCGAAAGACAGCGCAGAGATGAGAACTTCCACATTGTTATCACGGAGGACAGTCGACACTCCTGGCACGTCCGCGTAGTTCACGTTTGCGATCTTGGCACCTTGAAGAAGGGGGTTAGGACGTGGGTCCGCTACCCGGACGCGTCAGCACGACTACTGATGCGCCTCTACTAATCAGGGCCTGTGATCTGTGAAATCAGGGGCTATTCATTCACTCGGAAGTCCACCACCACTGACCTTTACTATACGACCGCCGATCGTGGGCCCAGCACCTGCGACTGCGAATGATGTGTAAGGCATCTGGGGAAAAGGTCAAACTCAAGTTCTACTGACTCCGCCTCTTGGTTGTTTATATGAGGAATCAGGATGATGGTGGCACCGCGGTCCCGCTTCCCATAGTGACTCAGTATTAGTAAATGCTTTGCAATGCAGGGGACAGTGTGGGACGAGCGAAACTTACAGTGGGCCGTACTTCACTTGCCTATGGTAGAATAAGACTCCCAGTCAGAAACAAGGACAAGGGCCAGAAATCCAGTCACCCTCGGAATCGCGGTGAATCTAACCCAGAAAGCCCCAATATCAGGGGAATAAGTGGCATGGAACGTATCATGTCGGGACTTACGCCAGTAGTGCATGCATTTAAGTAAACACTTTCAGCTGCCCGCGAGCGAAACATCAACGCGCTGTGCTGTTGCCTTCTCCGTGGAAGGATAACGACCTAGTGATGGGCGTGCACGAGCGCCATTCTTCTAGTGATATGTATATCACCGGTGTGGCCCGAGGTCGCATGTCGGTGGACAGGCCAAGGGCGGGTCCCCTAAAACACCCATTCTCTACTTCGCATGGTGACTACGGACAAAGCCTTTGCAAGAGTAGTCGTCACAGAGGTGAGAATGGACAACGTCGTCATATGACAAAGGCTAACAATATGCCCTTCGCAGGGAAAAGCGCCTCTGGGAGGTAGGAATTTAGAACCGATTTGGTCCACGACGGGGATGCTGGCGGCCGCTCGAATTCATGAGAGCGGCCATTGATAGAAGCGTGCAATAATGCGCTGCAAATGAAAAGTCCACACGGAAATAATTATCGGTCGAAGTCAGACACGTTCCTCCGTAGCATAGCGCAGGGAAGGCTGAGGCCTGAGGTATGCATGTAATAATCTTCTGCCACAACATCATTCTTCAGCGAAGTGGGTGACCTCTCCATTCCGAATAAACCGCAAGTATCTTGGTCTGCAACAATTGTAGCCAATATATCGGAGATAAGTTACAACATGCCCATGGAAAGGTCGCAGGCGAATCCAGATATGTACAGAGTCCTAGTTACCATCGCAGAGCACCTTACTTGCAAAAGTCCACACCGGACCTTACCCCCCTGCAACTTATTATGTAAATGCTTAGTTTATGATAGCATAAGTATATGAGGTCGTGGCGAGGCCGACACGAGAGTTGGTGGTGTCGAAGACACTGTAGAACCGCTCGAGGAAACCCTTGCCATTAACGAAGTCCAGGCCTGAGCCAGAGTTTGATCCAATGTCGTTGACGATGAGGTACACGTAAGAGGAGCTGCCACCAATATACGTGTTGAGGGAACGGGGCCAGATCTGGCCATTAGGAGTCAGGGTATAGGTGACCTGCATAGCAAGCATTAATTAAGGGGGTCAATGCCCAAGGTGTGCAATGGGACTTACACCGTTAATGTTGAAGTAGAGGTTCTGGAGCGCACTGTATTGCGAAGTGGTGATTCGCAACATGCCGGTGGCGGAATCGCTCACGGCACCAGTCAAAGACTGGTACTGGTTGAAGGCGTCTTGTTACGCATCCATCAGCCTTCATTCTTCCAACATTCGTAGGAACTCAACTCACCCGTAGCAATGAGGATCAAAGTGGTACCAGTGTCAACAATACCAGCGGTTGTCGACAAGATGGTCGTCCAACCATAGGTAATGCTCTCGTTAATACCCCAGTAGTACGAAGCCGGGCTCGTGGTGGTGAGGGGACTCGTGGTACAGTGTCAGCGTCGCATGTATCACTGGTAGTTTCGTACTCACGTGTAAGTCAAGACACCGTTGTATTTACTGGTGTCGATACCACCGAACGTCAACTCTCCGTTCATGGATGACGTGGTGGTGGAAGGTTCAAAGGAAACACCAACAATTTCGGCGGGAATCTTGCCTTCCGTGTAAAGGTTCTGGGTAACGGTAGGGATTTCAGTGGATGGCTCATTAGTCAAACTACCCAGGGTCAAATCTTCCGGACCTATCCTACGAAGCACATATTAGCAATCTAGACATCAGAGCGTAGAGATATTACTTACCCGAGGACGCCATCTACTCCTGAGAAATCAGTCGACGTCGAAGCAACACCTATTGACTGCTTGGTTATGGTGAGAGACCCGAGGGTAACGGTGTCGGTATATTCCGTTCCTATATCAGTCAGTCATCACGCTGAGGTGCGGTGCGGTGGTCTCACCAGAGAAGGAGCCAGAGCCATAGGGGACATACTGCGACAATCGATCGGTACCATTCCATTACTGTGCGCGGCGACTACTTACTACAGGTTCGCCAGTATCCACGCTGGTATTCGTCACTTTGTAGGGAGTTCCGGCCCCAACCCAGGTGTTTGAAGATCCTGAAGACCCATAAGCGCCTAGAATAGATAAAGGGGCCTTTTTGAGTACCGGTGTCGACGATCAGGTTGTCTGCACGTGAAATCAGATTGGACAACTCAGTAAGGGTAGTTTTAAGTACACACAAGTAGTAGCGGGGCTACCAACACCAACCGCTGCAATGTAACCGGCCGCTTCGAAAGTGGTGATGGGCATGTTGCTCTGGCGACGGTCAAGACGCCCAGCGGCAATGGCATTGCCCCGATCACGAAGAGCAGTTGCGCGGACTTGATCATGCTGCAGGAGGTTGACGGTACCACCCCTTGTGTTGAGGCTCCTTGCGAACGGTAGCGTGATCAACGGAGAGCGAATCTCAACCGGGCTGGCCGCGGTGGACAACGCGAGAAGGACGGTAGTAAGCAAAGATGCAACAGGGAACATGTCTGCTGGAGTGTGCCCCGATGCTTCGAACGCAGCGAAGGGGGCTGCTTTCAATAACCAGTCCTTTTATGTGAAAACTCATAAGGCAGAGCACACGGTGAACTTGTATCGCTTATTTCGGGGATGACACGGGCTGGCACACGAGGGCACAACAGTCCATTCCGAGTACGTGACAAAAGAGAGCAAACGTACGTATCGGCATGGGAGGAATGTGCACTGATTGGTGGAGGGCACCGGTAAGCTATCATTGCACACGACAATTTCTCCTATCCACAATGAGGGCGGGGCTAACAAGTGGGAAGCTCGGCCGTGATTGATGATAACCCAATTGTCCGAGAACGAACCGAGATTGTCTTGTCGAGAGACGATTTAAACTCCCTCCAGTGTCCAAGGCTACATATCCTCTGAGGGGTAATGAGTGCACGCTGCAATGGAACGACATGGCAAAAAAAACACATGCTCAAAGGTATAGCTGTCCTCGTGGAGGACAGCATTTGGCAATAATGATACCTAAAAAAGGGGCACACCTCATCTGGAGCAAGGCAGAGTCTGCTATTCCGAAATGGAAGACATGGGTCGTGATCATAAGTTATGGTTGGGACACTTCGGACGTGTGATGCCCTCGAACAGAACCTTGACAGCTGATCGATCAGGTAGCATTTGATAATAGATCCAACGCGTTCCCTTGGGAATAGAAGTTGGAGAATTCTGGAAGGTCTTACGAAACGGTGGTGTGTACAATGTTTCGTCAAGTCATCTAATAGTCACAGTAGTCGATCTGGATCAGTGTCGAGTTGGTGATGCCTGACGAAACCAGTTTGAGCCACTCGCCTCTTGTTCCCACTATGTAGCAGGTTGTACTGTGTGGTTGTAAGGGAAACCACATCTCCTGATATTCGCTCTCCACTATGTGTCAATGTCAAAGGTCTTCTTCATTCACCTCTCAACCACTACGCAGATTGATGACATCAACGCCAAGCACCGACAGCGACAATGCGATGTGTTGTCTTTGAAGTGCGCCATGTCGGAGGGACACACGTTAGGAAACGGCAGAGCGATGGAGGAAATACCATCTTGCCAGGTTATCATCGGGAGGCCACACGCACTGAGACTCCGCACGACAAAGCGCGGGGGTATGCGCCGTCTGCTCGCAGGGCGGATTATCGTATGGCGAAGGTAACTTATCCCATCAAGATACTTCCCAGCACAGCCGAAAGTGAGATATCCAAGTTACAATGTGGCCACAGCAATTGCTGTTATATGCCCGACTGGCCTCGGGGGAACAATGAAACGCACCCACCACCGCATGGCGCAACAACACCGACATAATCGCGCCCATTGACCTCACAGATTGATTCGGAAAGCACGCAGAATGACTACAGAGAGATCAAGGAAGGCGGAGAGAATAATGGCACCCCGCCTGTGGGTCGATTTGGCGGAAGCCGATGCAAAGTATATAAGACCTCTCGCGAGAGGCACTCTGCCATACTCCAAAGGCGACAGGGCCGAAGGTGCAGCCTGTAGCTTCTTCACTCCCTTGTGGAATTCGTCGTACTCCACTCCTGCAACTTCCGCGGCAAATTCTGCATCTACGTGTACTGGTAAGGCATTCTTCGTCTCACCTTTCACTTCCTTGCTCTCACTTCTGACTCGTATGCCTTCATTCTCCTCTTCATGAACGGAAGTTTCTGATTCGTCCTCGGACAAAAGAGCAGTTGGGTCATAAGCACCTGGTTTAGTATCGAATGGTGGCAAGTGAAGTAGAAGAGTCGCGCCTGGACGATAGAGATCTTCAAGGAGTGTCCGTCCAGCATTGATGCACTCCACAACCCATACGTATTTTCGCTTTTGTGTCTGTTCACTTCCTTCGCAAGACCCGCTATTCCCCCCTCCAAGAAAAAAACGGATTACAAAATTGAACACAGGTCATGAAACCTCACATGGCAGAACAAGTGCACATGGTGAGAAGAGATAGAGAATTCAGCCCGGGAATTGAAGATAACGATTGCCAAGTAGGAAGTGATACTGCCGCTCCAGAACCATTGGCGGACAGATGATTCCTCGTCAGCCTCTACTGCCTTGGGTGTCATCCACGACGTTCATGGACTCATTATGGCCGGTTGCCGAGTTCCCTGTAGCGATGCTCTTGGTCTCTTGGCGGACTTCCTTCAACCAAGCTTTTTTTGCAACAAGTTACAGTCACGCAAAGTGTGGAAACCGACCTCGATATAACTAGTGGAACACAGGACACCGTCATTGATATTTTACTCAGTTCGGAGGAAGAACCAACAGTGCCTGCAAGCGGCCTAGTTCGATTGCAACACCTACCTTTGCGTCCTCATCAAGCGCGCTGAAAGACCTGGAAGAGTTGGTCATTCCTGCGAAACCCACTAAATCCTTTCGTGTTCACACTGTACCTGCAAAGGACAAGGTGGTCGTGCGTACTGCGCAACATCTCCAGCTGCCTATGACAGTAGCATAGGCATCTACTAACTACCGCTCACGGGGGCTAACGCTGCCAACTGTCATTTTTGACCGTCTAATATGTAACACTTTCTGCAGCGACGGAGATAACAGCATCTGGTTTCTGCGTGACTTTGGACTTGTCTCGAAGACAAGTCATTGGACTTCCGATAGTCTCATCGTGTGGAACTGTTGGCTGAAAACGGTAGGTTGCAAACATTGAACATGAAAGCCATCAATTGCTAGAGGAAAGTGGCCAGGAAGAACGCTTGGCAGAAGTAGAAAAATTGTGTACCATGTAACGCTTAGCTTCCTGTATTCCCGAGTAACCATCTTGGTCCGCAACATTTGCTGCCAATATCGGTGACAAGTCATAGCATGCGCACGGAAAAGTTGAAGACGAATCCAGATATGCACAGAGTCCTACTTACAAAAACCCGCAGAAAATGTATTGCCCTTACAACCGGCCTTACCCCCCTTGCGAGTTATTAAATGTTTAGTTTGAGGTAGCATCAGTATAGGGCGTCGTAGCAAACCCGACACGATTACTGGCAGTGTCGAAGACACTGTAGAACCGCTCGAGGAAGGTCTGGCCGTTAATAAAGTCCAGTCCAGAGCCAGAGTTTGTTCCAATGTCATTGACAATGAGGTAAATGTTAGAGGCGCTGCCACCAATGGCCGTGTTGAGGGAACGAGGCCAGATCTGGCCATTAGGAGTCAAAGTATAGGTGACCTGCATAGCAAGCATCAATTGAGGGGAACCAATGTGCAGGACGTGCAATGGAACTTACACCGTTAATATAAAAGTCGAGGTCCTGGAGCGCTTCGTATTGCGAAGTGGTGATTTGCAACATGCCAGTGGCGGAATCCAACACGGCACCAGTCAAAGACTGGTACTGGTTGAAGGCATCTTGTTACGCACTCATCAGCCTTCAATCTCTCAATGCTAGTACGAACTCAACTTACCCGAAGCAATGAGGATCAAAGTGGTACCAGTGTCAACAATACCAGCGGTCATCGATAAGATAGTTGTCGAACCATAGGCGATGCTCTCGTCAATACCCCAGTAGTTCGAAGCAGGGCTGGTGGTGGTGAGGGGCCTGATGACAGTGTCAACGTCGCATGCATCAACAGTAGTTCCGTACTCACGTGTAATTCAAGGTACCGGTGTATTTACTGGAATCAGTACCGCCAAACGTCAACTCCCCGTTCACGGATGACGAGGTGGTGGTTGGCTCGAAGGAAATGCCAACAACTTCCTCGGGAATCGTTCCCTGCGCGAACAGGTTCTGGGTAACGGTAGGGATTTGAGTGGATGGCTGATTAGTCAAAGTACCCAGGGTCAAATCTTCTGGACCTATCCTACGAAATATTATCAATCTAGACATCGAAGCCTAGAGAAATTACTTACCCGAGGACGCCATCTACTCCTGAGTAACCAGTCGACGTCGAAGCAACACCTATCGACTGCTGGCTTATGGTGAGGGACCCGAGGGTAACGGTGTCGGTATATTCCGTTCCTATGCCAGTCGATCGTCACATTTGCAAGTAAGCGTGTTACGATGGGCTTACCAGAGAAGGAGCTAGAGCCGTGGTGGACGGACTGCGACAATCAATCGGTACCATTCCATTGCGGTGAGCAGCAACTACTTACCACAGGTTCACCAGTGTTCACGCTAGTGCTCGTCACTACGTAGGAAGTTCCAGCTCCAACCCAGGTGTTTGAAGATCCTAAAACCCATCAGTGCCTAGAATAGATCAAGAAGCCATTTTGGGTACCGGTGTCGACGATCAGGTTCTCTAATACACGTGACATTAAATCAGACAACCCAGCGCAGGAAATCGGCACACACAAGTAGTAGGGGGACTACCAACGCCAACCGCTGCAATGTATGAGGTTACCTCGTTAGTGGCCGGTATGCTGTCCTGGCGACGGTCAAGCTTTCCAGCAGTAGAGGCATTGCCCCGACCACGAAGAGCAGTTGCGCGAGCTTGATCGTGCTCCAGGAGGTTGAGGGTACCACCCCTTGTGTTGAGGCTCCTTGCGAACGGTAGCGTAATCGACGGAGAGCGAACCTCAACCGCGCCGGCCACGATGAACAACGCGAGGACGACGGTGGTAAGTAAGGATGCAACGGGGAACATGTCTACTGGAGGGTATCCGGATGCTTCGAACGCCGGAGGAAGCTGGTTTCAATGACCAGTTCTTAGTTTTGTATGAAAACTCATAAAGAAAAACACACGGTCCGCTTATGTCGCTTGTGTCGGGAGAGGCGTGGGCTGAGTGCCAAGCCTAGAACAGGCTCTAATATGTGACAAAAGACAGCGAACATACGCATCAGCATGGAGGGAATCTGCGCTGATTGGTGGAGGGTACCGAACTGTCCGAGAACGAACCGAGATTGTCTTGTCGGGAGGCGATCCCAGGCCACATGTCCTCCGAGGGATCATGAGTGCACACCGCAATGGAACGATATGTCACAAAAAGCACATGCTCGAAAGTAAAACTGTCCTCTGGGAGGACAGGCATCTGGCAATAACCATACCTAAAAGGGGGCTATATATTATTTCATCTAGTGAGAGTGCGTTGTAATGTTGACATGGCACAAGCCCAATATTACAGTAATGTCAAGAATAATAAAATAGACCATGATGTCATGCACTATAGACATACAGCACTATAGCATCAGATTCAGATAATCCTATCAGAACCTGACCAAGGCGACAAACTCTCAGTCTGCTTTTGTTTGGGGAAGTCTCAGGAGGGGTCGAGAACTTCCAAATAATAGACGTACCTCAGATTGGGGACACGTTAATTCTACTGTTTCTTCGACGAGTCTGCTGCTCACTGTTGCGGAACCAACCAAGATTAAGACGTGTGTCGTATGACTTAAGTTATGGTTTGGGACACTTCGGACGCGCCGTGATTAACAGGATGCATGATGTTCGGTTCGCTGATCAGTACTCCAGTACTTGAATTCGCATATACGTACATACCAGATTTAGTTCCGTAGCCCTTGTATCACCCAGTCCCATTGGCAGGTTGTAACTTATCTGGTTTGAAGACCAAGTATTGATACCAGTGACTTGACATAGTGAACAGGAGTTTGTTCTCTGTTTTCGCTGGAGGTGTTTCCGGGGCGCTCCTGTCGCGTATGGTTTCTTCAGGTTGCGTCCCTAAGGCGACCGAAGCAGACGGCTACTTGATGTTCTATTCGCAGCAGTATGGAAAGCCGGACAATCGTGCCCCCGAACTCCCGGCAAAACGCGTTGACAGTCGCGTAGATAACGATTGATTGCCAAGTAGAAAGTGATGCTGTCGTGCCAGAATCATTGACAGATGGATGATTAAGATTACTTGTCAGCCTCTGTTGCTTTGGGTGTCTTCGACTGTATCCATGGGCTCATCGCCCGCTGCCGATTTTCCTGTAGCAATTGGACCTTGACATAACTAATGGAGCACGGGGCACCGTCGTTGATATTTTACTCAGTCCGAGGAAGAACTGACAATGCGCGTGGGCGGTCTAGTTCGACTGCAACACCCACCTTTAAGTGTCCTTGTCAAGCCGGTTGAAAGACGTCGAGGACTTGATCATCTCTGCGGAACTGACCAAATTCATTCGTGTTCACACCGCACCTGCAAAGGACAAAGTGGTTGTGCCTGCAGATGCGTTTATGGGCTACCATTCATATATAAGGGCTGACGTTGTCAGTTGTCATTGTTGACCTTGCAGCCCCACTACTGCAGGGGCTCTCCCTTAATTTATATGCAGCGACCTCCTACGGCGGCGGACATAACAATATCTGGCTTCTGCGTGACTTTGGACTTGCTAGTCTCATTGTGCGGAACTGTTGGCTGGAAACCATAGCCTGAGGTTGCAAACTTTCTGTGGTCCGGAGTAAACCATCTTGGCGTGCAACATTTGTAGCCAATATATTGGTGACAAGTTACAACATGCGCAACGAAAGGTTGCAGACGAATCTCAATAAATAGAGTCTTGCTTAAGAAGTCCACAGAAAAGTCCGCAGAAAAGTGAACAGAAAAGCCCACAGAAAATTATATCGTCCTGTAACACAGACCTTACCTCCCTGCAAGCCATTAAATGTTTAGTTTGTAATAGCATCAGTATATGGCGTCGTAGCGAACCCAACACGAGCGTTGGTAGTGTCGAAGACACTGTAGAACCGCTCGAGGAAAGCCTGGCCATTAACGAAGTACAGACCAGAGCCAGAGTTCGATCCAACTCCAATGTCATTGACGACGAGGTACACGCAAGAGGAGCTGCCACCGATGTACGTGTTGAGGGCACGAGGCCAGATCTGACCATTAGGAGTCAAAGTATAGGTGACCTGCATAGTAAGTACTAGGTGAGATCAATGTACAAGGTATGCAAAGGAACTTACACCGTTAATGTTGAAGTTGAGATTCTGGAGCGCAATGTATTGCAAAGTGGTGATTCGCAACATGCCAGTGGCGGAATCGCTCACGGCACCAGTCAAAGACCGGTACTGGTCGAAGGCGTCTTGTTACGCATCCATCAACCTTCATTCTTCCAACGTTAGTAGGAATTCAACTCACCCGAAGCAATGAGGATCAAAGTGGTACCAGTGTCAACAATACCAGCGGTCGTCGACAAGATGGTCGTCCCACCATAGGCAATACTCTCGTTTATACCCCAGTATCGCGAAGCAGGGCTAGTGGTGGTGAGGGGGCTGGTGACACTGTGTCAGCGTCGCATGCATCAACAATAGTTTCGTACTCACGTGTAATTCAAGGTACCGGTGTATTTGCTGGAATCAACACCACCGAACGTCAATTCTCCGTTCGTGAATGATGTGGTGGTAGTAGGCTCGAAGGAAATGCCAACAATTTCGGCGGGGATCGTTCCCTGCGTGTACAGGTTCTGGGTAACGGTAGGAATTCCGGTGGATGGCTCATTAGTCAAAGTGCCCACGGTCAAATCTTCCGGACCTATTCTATAAAATATCAATGATATAGACATCAAAGCGCAAAGATATCGCTTACCCAAGGATGCCATCTACGCCCGAGAAACCGGCTGATTGCGAGGCAACACCTATCGACTGCTGGGTGATGGTGAGACACCCGAGGGTAACAGTGTCAGTATATTCCTTTCCTACATCGGTTAGTCATCACATTGTCAAGTAGATGCGGTGCAGTGGACCTACCGGAGAAAGAGTAGTTGCCGTAGGTGGCGGACTGCGATAATCAATCGGTACCATTCCATTGTGGTGAGCAGCGACTACTTACCACAGGTTCGCCAGTGTCCACGCTAGTACTCGTCACTTCGTAAGGAATTCCGGCTCCAACCCAGGTGTTTGAAGATCCTGAAAACCGATCAGGACCCGGAATAGATAAAGAAGCCATATTGAGCACCAGTGTCAACGATCAGGTTGTCTAATACACGTGACATTAGATCAGACAACCCAACACAGGAAATTTTTGGCACGCACAAGTAGTAGCGGGACTACCAATGCCAACCGCTGCAATGTAGTGGGCCACCTCGTTAGTGACGAGTATGCTGCCCTGGCGACGGTCAAGTTCTCCCGCGGCAGTGGCAATGCCGCGACCACGAAGAGCGGTTGCGCGAGCCTGGTCGTGCTGCAGGAGGTTGAGGGTACCGTCCCGTGTGTTGAGGCTCCTTGCGAACGGTAGCGTGATCAACGGAGAGCGAATCTCAACCGGGCTGGACGCGGTGGACAACGCGAAGAGGACGGTAGTAAGCAAGGATACAGCAGAGAACATGTCTGCTGGAATGTGTCCGGATGTTTCGAACGCAGCGCAGGAAGCTGGCTTCAATAACCAGCTGTCCTTTTATGTGAAAATTCATGAAGGGATGGTTCAGTTTTGAACAGGGCGCTCATTCGGGTCCCGAATTGTGAGAGGGACAAGGCACGGACATTAGTTGGCCTCCCTTCTCGGTAGTCTCGCAACCAGCCCTTCTAGGAATCCGGATAAATGCGGTGCACGTCTTGCTTCCTAGAACTCCGGAAAATTTTATGTTGTACTCGAAGTCTTCGAGGGCCTTTAACTTCAGTATGGTTCATTGGACATGCCATGTACAATGTGTCAGTGTACGTCTCTGAATTGACTCCTACAGTGTAGATATCCTTGGACGTAAAGATCTTCCGACCTTTCAGATCTGCATCAGCCCTTATGTTAGGGTTGAATGTAAGACAACTCACATGTTCGTCTTTGAGCACATCCAGGGGAGAGATTACGACAGCTCCTTTATCATTACTGATTTAAACGGAGGGAATGTGAACGGCAGGGTTTTCCCTGCACCTGTTCCTGCCGCCACTGCAGTCCAAGGCTAAGGAAAAGGCTTCGGCTGCATCGAGCTGCCACATCAGTAAATTCAGCCAAATTACAGCATGCACATTAGACAGTTTTTGAATGCTCGGCAAACACTGGCGAACATTAAGCGCTTGAAAACCCAGGTTTTTGAACGCTTAGCTTTACTGATGCATGTGTATGGCTCCTGTGCATTGCACCGCTTACGGCAGGCACTAGGCATTCACCATCATGTTGCACTGCCACTCGGGGGAGTAGTCTGGAGTACGAGTTCTTGCATTGGCAAGGTTTCGGTTCTTTTTCTTCTACTGCGGCGAGAAAGTAGTAGAGACCGTAGAATCAACTGCCTGTCCACAAATTTTTGTTCTCCATCTACTGACGGAGGACACAAATGAATTAATGTCCGCTCTACTAAATCACAGCGCGTCCGAAATGTTCCGTTGAACTATAATTACGACCTACGTCTTCGTTCTGGTTGGTTCCGCAATAGTGAATAGCAGACTCTGCCCTCCGTACTCCGGATTGTGGGCACAGAAAGGTACGCGTCGAAGAGATAGGAGAATTAAAGCGTCCCTAACCCGAGGTACGTGGGTGCAGACACCATGGTCCGTTTTATCGTTCTTGGCACTGCTGTAATGCCGGGATTGTATCAAGTCAACATTAAAATGCACTCTCATCAGGTCCGAAGCTCCCCATATGAAATAATATGCCCTTTTTCTAGGTGTGGTTATTGCCAGATGCCATCCTCCATGAGGATAGTTTTGCTTTCAGGCATGTGCATTTTTTGACATATCATTCCATTGGGGTGTGCACTCATGACCCCTCAGAGGACATGAGGCCTTGGACGCTGGAGGGACCCCAAATCGTCTCCTGACATTGGGTAGTCATATTTGGGGTGCTAAGAAATCAAACCCGCATCTGCAAAAGCCAAGCGTCAAGTTGGCTGGCCAACTTGACGCTTAGCGTTTACCCGGTGAAGTAACAGTGCGTGCCGAGCTCTCAAACAATTCAAAAAGCTGTCCAAAGTGTATGCTGTAATTCGACCATTTTACAGATGACTGGTCCCTGCGGTGTGGGTAAGTAAAGAAAGATTTGCCGATTCTTCCGCACCAAGTAATATAGCTTGGGTAATACCGGAAAACCTGACTTCCTTTCCATAACGCACAAAATACATATGTGGTAAGTTGATTGGCACCTACTGACGACATTGACTCACAGTGCTTCGTGACGTCCTTGTCGATGCATACATCTTGGCGCGCATATCGGCTTGGGAACATGTGCGCCCTTGCAAGCATAAGATAGTAGACAGCTTTTTGTGATCGGAGAGGAACCAGTGATCATGGTCTTCGTCCGCCAAGAAACACCAAAGCTAGCCAACCCCTCAGTGCTCCATTAAGTCAGACTCGTCAGCATCAAAAGTAAATTATCGCAGGGCTACCCCTCGAGCTGAACTCAATGCCTATGTGTGGCTGGGCCAGAGTTCGAGTGCCGCTCTGTGCCGTCGCCTCCACATCGGACCTAAAAGGCTTCTCAATCTGTCTACATAGAGGCGCCGGCGCTCCGCGGCAGTGTTCACGTTGACTTAGCCCCACGCCTGTCAACGGGTACAAGTGGGTAAATAAAAGACGCGTACGCGGAATATCCGTAGGTCCCGGCTTTCCTTTACTCGAAGCTTCTTTGTTACACAATAGCTCATAGAAGATACTATAGTCACGATAACAACTGGGCTTGCAGACCAAGAAGGACCGCTATCAGCCAGGTACGGTACTAAACCCATTTGCCTAGGTCGTATCGGTCCCGTCCAATGATGGTGGCAGGGTGACATGTGAAACCAGTGACTGTATATGTTTAGTTACAGTAGTAGGTCCAATGCACTGCCAACGCCCAGCCAACTCTATCGTCAGCCATAGCGTTTTGAAATTTGGACCTCGATCCGTACCCGGCAACTTTCATCGAGGTTTACGACACGTATTTATGAGCGGTCATCATGCTATTTCCCAGGTTAGGCTTCTCGAAGCAAGAGAGATGGTCACTCGCCCACCGAGTTTACGGGCTTGACGACACACTCTTTACTGGACTCACGACTACTGAGAAATGTGCTTCGCATGCGGTTCCCACAGCCTCTTCACCATTCTTAGTTGGTCTCAGGTCCGGTGACTGATGTAACAGCCCCAGTCGATCGGACGTAGTACAGTATGGACCCAACGAGGCTCGGTATCTTCAAAATGCGGCAATTCATCAACATGTTTCCTAATAACGCTGGTGGCGGCGGTAATTGCCACCCATAAGTACTATGGGTAGGGTTTGGACTGGAGTTTCGGAATTCTGCCATGGAGCAAGCGCCGAGTTTCAATGCGAACCCCATCCTTGGTCCCATTATAATTGGTGCGGTGGTCTCAGGAGTACTGTATGGGGCCGCTACCGTCCAGGCATACCTGTACTTTCAGAGATTCCCCAGGGATAACTGGAAAATCAAGAGTCTGGTACGTTTGATTGTCGTTTCATATCCAAGTCTCGTCACTGATACGAACTAAGGTTGCATTCGAGATGTGGGTAATCAACCTTGCGGCACTTTTTCCAGCTCTGATGGCTCTGCAGATCGATTCAAACGATTCATCTGGCATTTGTGATTGCAGGGATGTGGGCAATGGTCGTGGCGGATTACGCCGAACCACAACAGCTTACTATTCTCCCTGTACCCACTGTCGTCACAATACTTCTTTGTTCTCCGATCGCGTTCGCTGTCCAGGTAACTTATCGCACCAAGTACGTTTGCTGCAACGAACCTTATCTCTATGCAGGCGTATTTCGTTCTGCGAGTGTACAGGCTCTCAGAGCAACCACTTCTTTTGATCTTGGGCGGCCTCCTCGCCATTTCAAAATGCGCACTTCACCTGGTGTTTGGTATCGCTGCCTCCATCGTGAGGGACGCTGTGACGCTCGCCCATAACTGGGGTTGGTGCATTACTGGCTTTCTAGTCCTTTCTATTGCGTGTGATACCTTGATTGCGATGGCGCTGAGCCACCACCTCAATCTGCGGAAAACTGGGTTTGACCGGTAAGCCACTATCCCTCTAGGTGTTGGATTGCGGCGATAAGCGAATACTAGGACATCACGGATCATCGATCGCATGATAATATACACTCTTGGTGAGTGGTCTACCTGTCCCGAAAATGCCGTACTAATCACCTGCTTGAAGCAACTGGTCTGATAACCAGGTATATCATGTCGTTTCGGCATATAACGTTCTGACTAAAACTCCGTCGAGTACGACAGAACTGGCGGAGGCCGTTTGCGTGTGTTCATCGATTTTCTCGTATCTTGGAACGTTCTAACTCATGTTTATGGTAATCACAGTTTTGGACAATGAACGACAATTGTATGTTAATATTCGAAAATTCGATTTCAGTGCTCTAATGCGTCGGGGACATAGATGTGTGGATGGGTCTTTACGTTATCGAATCTGGGCGTAAGTCAAAATCCTTTTTTAGCATGATGCGACGATAATGGGTCGTTGCCAGTGTATACGAATTCGCTTCTTGCCGCGTATGTTCCATGTCGTGATCACGGCTGTCTCTAAACCTCTCTACGTATAGGCTAAATAGTCGTGCACTCTTCAATCGGCTACGGAACTCTGAGGTGCCTTATGAATTAGGGTTTAGCCCAAGAGGTTCAGAGACTGCAGGATCAAGCTACAGGGATCAAAAGGTAGGCCGACCTATCAAACACCTTTTCGGTGCAAACGATGATGTTCCTTGCCCGCATCAAGGCTCCCCAACCTATACTAATCAATGTCACCCACGAGACCGTGTCCTCACAAGTTGATGAAGCCCCAGTAGGTTCACACGTCAGGGAGGGGGATAATGTATTGACCCCCTACGGTGCAGCTCTCACCAGTCCGAAATAAATGACATTCACGAAGTGTAAGATCGTCGACGTGTATCATATTGTTTAGCGTTATGCCCTAGTACAAGCTTATCTACTGGTACCCCAGTCTGTGTTATGGACATCTCAAAAAAAGGTTTCCGCAGACTTACTCGTGTAGTTGTTCGATCAGTCTCCTTGTACAATCAATCCCATTTTTTGACCACTGGCACCTGGGCATCCTAAATTCCACGCGTTTGCGAGGCTGTACTTAGTAGTTGAAGCCTTCATGGTACACATCCCGTAGGCGAAGGCCTCAGTGTCAAGGTATTGTTGTTGGATTATCCCAAGCAAGTTTCGCAGATTAGAAAGTAGAACTTAACGAACTACGGTTAGCCCTTATTAAAATATCAATCAGATACTTCTAGTTAACAGTGGAGGTAGTATACTCGGTCGAAGCAAACCCAATACGGTTCTGGTCAGTATCATAGACACTGTAGTAGCGTTCCAAGAAGCACATGCCATTGACGAAATCAAGGCCCACGCCGGAGGGGGTGGCAAGATTACTGACAATAAGGTATACAAGGTCAGAGGACCCGCCGATGACTGCGTTGAGAGCACGAGGCCATATTTGCGCGTTAGGCGTCAAAGTGTAGGTGTCCTATAACAAGGCATTACAACAAGAACAGAGAAATTTGGATCGGGCTCACACCACCGATGTGGAAATCGAGATTTTGGAGCTGATTGTACTGCTCAGTGGTGATGTACAATAGCCCAGTGCCAATCGGAGCCGGTGAATCCAGCTGAGCACCTGTAGCGGTCTGATATGCTATGAATGCGTCTAGTCTGCGTGATGAAGAGAATGACGCATGCATAAAGCAGTAATGAATTCACCTGATGCGAGATGGATAAGGGTAGTGCCCGTATCCACGATACCGGCGGTCACAGAGAGAATCGTGGTAGAGCCGTAAGTAATGCTTTGGTCTATACCCCAGTAACGTGACGCAGGGCTTGTACCAGTGACAGGACTGCGGACACGCGTTAGCGGTTGCACTGTGCCGGATTTTCCACCTTACTAGTACGTTAACTGGCCGGTGTACCTGGCGGAATTGGGAGCACCGAATGACAACTCGCCCTCTGCAGTGTCTGTCGAAGAAGGTTCAAAGAAAACACCAACGAGTGCTTGGCTAATCAACCCCGACTGCTTTAGATTCTGTGTTATGGTGGGAATCGTCTCAGTCGGGTTTTCTACCACAGTCCCCAGCGTTAAATCCTCTGGACCAATTCTGAATGCTAGTATTAATACAATTTGAAGCTGGCGTGTTGTAACACCCACCCCAAGATGCCGTCGTAGCCTTGAAAACCCTGCGCAAAATGGGAAAGAGCGAAGCCTTGGTTTTGGACTGTGAGACCGTTGCCAAGGGAAACGGGTCCGGTATACAAAGTACCTACTCCAGAATCAACGCGGAACGAAGTAGAACAAGCAAAAAAGCCAACCCTCCATTTGGCCAGAGCCATAAATCACTAACTGTATCCTGAAGTCAGCCAGGATGAGATACATCCGTCAGGAAAAGTGTTCACCACTGCTTCGTTATTGGTCGTAGTGCTGCTGTCTGGTGTCCACGGTTGTCCAGCCCCCACCCAGGTAGTGGAGGAACCTGAGTCACTTACAAAGTTAGCAATATCACTCTCACTCAGAATATGCTGCGTACCAGTGTCGACGACCAGGTTGTCTGGATGTTATATTAGGAGGTGGCAAACGCGAACAGTGTTGAACGCACATTCAGTAGTGCTACTGCCGAAGTTGACTTGCGCGACGTAGACAACCGCCTGACTTTCGCTTGCAGGAACAGTGGCATCGCGGCGGTTTTGTTGGCTGGTGGTGTTCAATCCTCGTTGGATTAAGGCCTGTGCCCGAGCTCTGTCTTGGTCGACCAAATACTGGGCACTACCACTCGTGTCGAGTTTCTTCGCGAGAGAAAGAGTAACGGAGCTGGCCCGAATCTCGATCGGTTTCGCCGCAGCCGACAGAGCGAGGATAGCGATGAGCAAACAACCGCAGGAGTGCATGGCAGCTCGAGTCGAACTTGCACTCGAGCGAGGAAAGGAGATCCCTTCTCTGGCCCCCTCTTTTCCCCCTTATACAATAACACGGGAATGACACGGCACCCCATCGTTTAGAAATAATCAGGTTTGACAGCTCGTGGAAGCCTTCCAGCGCACGTAACTCATCTGAAGAGGTGAACAATTGTCTTGACCAGGGAAGAGCAGATTGGCAGGCTATTTATTACTTTACTAGTGCCGCTTTATCCGCCCCCATACTCGCTTTACCTGTGGAAAAATCATAAAAATGGCCAAAATTAGGTCACAAGGGCCATCGCAGTCCATCGTTGAGCAGGAAACAAACAGACCTTTTTTTGTGGATGTCGATATTCTCAACACATACGCGAGGTCTGAGCTGGTCCGAGCCGCTGTGGCCGGGAGTGTGCCACGGGGTCGTTCGAGGCGTGTCACTCAGCTCTGTTCCGACTCGTCTCAGTGACTGCAGGTTCACATTTAGAGCAGAACTCGCTTTCGATTCCCGCGTTGCAAAGCAATCATCGACTAAAAGCTTTCTTGGACAAGCTGCAATATTAGATAGTATCTAGCCCCACATAGTCGCTGTATCGGAGACCCGAAAGAATCATCCGGTCTAAGGAAAAATGCCCTTATGCACTTGCCGCCGAGAACGGCGGTGGAGTAGCAATCCGAGCAAGCGTACAGTTAATCGATGGTATTAACGCGAGTGCTAGGAAAGTTCAAGCATGACCAGGAACTCCAAACGCGTTCACCGAGGGTCCACTGAACGACAGCAACACCCAATTTATGCCAGGTACATGTAGGAAGTCTGGCACGACGAGGCATGGCCTCGAATCCTATCCACATGCAACCACGGTCTAATGTGGAACGCACCAGAGATATGCACCGGTACTCACGGTGATCGGTGTGAACTGTAAGACCACGTACTTGTGTAAGGCGACGCCACCGGAGAAGGTGAACGTGCCGTTGTAGAGACCCGCGTCATTAATGAGAGATTCACCTTGAAAAGCGGATATGGGGCAGGCATTCAAAATGCTATCAACACACACGAAATTCACGACGGCGATGCAGTGATATTGAAAAAAGGGGGAAAGGGCACATATGCTTCGTTCTATTAACGACAACACCAACGGAGACCGAGGAAGAGAATGTATCCCCGCTACCTCCGCGAACGATACCGAATCCTTCACGTCCAAGGAAGATTTGCAGCTGGGGAAGAATTCAGCACCGAGGGACCTAGATGAGTCAAGGTCGGAGGGAGTCCAGGATTTGTCTTCCGCAGGACACTGAGGGAACTGCTCCTGGTCCCTTCACCAACTGCGCCAGCTGAGGTTTAGAGTCCACATAACAGATCGGATGAGGTCCTGTTGGGTGCACGCTGAAGTGACTGAGATCATCTCCATCAGCCATGCTCTCAACGAACACGTTCATGTGTCAGAATACCCTCAGGTGCCACCGATATCGATCACAACCAAGTGGCACACCCGTGGTACAAACCGGTGCCCTAATGTGGCACACCCGTGTGATACAAAACTGGTACCACTGGACCTGGACTAGACTGCATCCGGAAATGACCTGAATTTCAAACTCCGCCCAAACTGCCAATGAAGGTCACTCCACACAGCCGTTTACAATCCCCTTGAAGGACCCCTGTATCCCCGCTAGAATTCCGTGGGCGTGAAGCGATGGTCTGTGATGAATCGCTGTTCTCGACAGAAGGATGCGTTGAATGCAAGGTGCCGTGTGCGCTGAGGTCAAGGCTAGAACCATCGCACCCTCAATCGGAATCTAGGTTCCGAGGTGGTGATGCGGTTCCGAATTCATATCAGCACCTCCAGCTGATCAAGCCACCACCGGAGTGTCAGGCAAGGTAGAACTTACGCCCTCCAGCACCGCCTGGTGTCCAAGTGTAGAAGTCACGGAGTGACACTACGTCCGCTTCGCAACTATACCCAAATCTGTTCCCCAGTCCATTCGACTGCTATAATCTGAGGCATCTGTTCCTGCAGGTTATCTCCAAACCACAACATGGCGCAGGTACTACCGATCGTCGATGTGAAGACCTTCCTTGGTCCGATGGCAGTTGGTTCTGTGCTCTCAGGAGTAGTCTTTGGGTGTGCAGTCGTTCAGACTTACTCGTATTACAAACGATTCCCTAATGACAGCGAGTACATCAAGGCGCTGGTGTGTATCGAACGAATATTCCTTGACCGCTCAGATACTAACCTATGGGACGAATACAAGGTAATTTTCGAGATGTGCGTACATTCGATCCATTCGATCCCGAAGGTACCAGGTGCTTGACGGGATAGCTGCAGGACGTTGCAGACGGTACATCTCGTCCTCATGTTGGCTGGCCTGTGGCACATAGTGGTCACAGATTATGGGAACTCCCCAGCGTTACTTTTCTTCCCAGAAACCATAAATGTCACCCTAATCCTCTGTTCCCCTCTCGCATTCGCTTCGCAGGTAGGAAGTTCTAATGACAGGCCAGACTTGACCTTACGTTCAAGCAGGCCTACTTCATCTTCAGGTTGTGGAGGCTCTCTCAGAACCTGATACTTGTCGGATTTTGCCTTTCGCTCGCAGTGGCCCGCTTTGCCTTCCACATGGTAGTTGGCATTGCTGCGTACCTCATAAGGGATATCTTGTCGGTCGTGCAACAATGGAAGTGGTGTATTACCACTATGTTCGTCATGTCGATTGCTTGCGACACAATAGTTGCCGTTGCTGTTGCCTACATTCTGAGGGACCAAAAGACAGGGTTCAGGCGGTGAGTGTGTTTGGTTCTAGTGAGAACGGTGGCCGACATCACAGTCAGGACCTCTTGGATCATAGACAAATTGATATCGTATTCCGTTGGTAAGAAAGAATCCGTTATACCGATCTCTGCGATGTTAATTTTTTGCTACTACAAGCGACTGGTCTCGTTACAATGTAAGTACCTGGCTCCTATCCCTTACTACCAATCTTTATGACCAGATGATAGCGCATTCGAATTAGGCCAGGCACTATGTGTGAGCACTGAGCGCATCTTGCACAGCTGCAGATCGACTAAACCACGTTTATTCAGTTTTGGACGATGCCTCGTAATTGTAACCCTATGTTTCCTCTCCTCTCACTCCCCATCTAAACTCGCAATGTACTGGAATATTGCAGACGTCTGGTTGGGATTCTACGCTATTGAATCGGGCTGCGAGTATCGTTCAGTCTGGCATCACATGGGTTTCCTTGACATGATCTACCCCAGTATACACAAACTCTCTTCTGGCAGCGTATGCTAAATAACCCGACCGTCCGTGAGGTCCTCATCCATATTTGTAGACTCAACGGCCGTTCTGTCTTCAATCAGTTGTGGGCTCCACAGCCAAGCTCCGATCCTGGCACCCTTCCAAGGAGCCCCCAATTGAATGTCGGTGATAAGGTGCTGCTACTCACGACATTCTGAACTTCGAACGTATTAAAGCAGCTTTCCGACAGGGGCCGTATTTCTCCATTCACTCGGATGGGGAGCGATCGGTAGGACTGAAGGAGTTACCAGTTAAAGCGGTGTTTTGAGGCAGAGTGCTGGGGTGGTCCGTCTCCGTCTACAGAACTTCTATGTTTTTGTTTTGTTTTTCGATCGCTATCGTGTGTATCATACGTCTGAAATGTTTCATGGCTGTGCTCCGTTAAGGCGAAGGCATCGCCATAAGGCACCGTGGGGAGATCAGTCAAAGTGCGGTACTACGAGGTCGGTGGATCCAATGCCTTGCCTTTTAGAGTGTGAATGAACCTAACGAAAAGAGGATGCTGATATGAAACCCGCCAACCATCGATGAGTCCGGCCGCTTGTTGCAGACTTGCAATACGGACAGTACTACCACAGCTACACGCCCGCTACTTGCCCTGCGGACTGCGTAACAACATAGGACGTTTGTATACGATAACTGGAGGCCACACACGCGTATCAGACCTAGGGACTAGCCATAGTGCACGACGGTAGCGTTCGATATGACGCTGCTTATCTGGCCTGTGAGCGTTTCGCTCGTGCTTTCCGGAGTGATGTATGGATGCGCGGTGATGCAGATATGTGCATATCATAAATTATCTCCAAGGGATAACTGGAAACTCGGGACTTATAGTATGTTATTCATGTAATTAGTACTACTTCTCCTGGCCGGGTTCTCGATATGCTGACGGTCCAATCATTTCCAAGATTACATCTGAGATGTATACATAGGGCTGTGTTTCTGGGTTTCCGCTTGCGTTGATGGGGAACCTCGCAATTACCCCGCACGACAAAAATGTCGCGGTTGATAGATCAGAAGGTGAAACATTTCCAGATCGTTTTCTGATACTTTTTCCATGATTTGATTGGTTGCAACTAAGTGGGACTTACTACAATTGTCCGTTGATGATAACATGAACCCCAGCTCCCCGAAGCCAAAAGGGGTTTTCTGCGGAGGAAACGGTCAAAAATGTGGACTCTGTGGAAGTCGAACCCACGACGTCATGCAATCTACGGTATGAAGATTAATGCGCACTACCAACTGTTGTCGTCATTTCCCCTTCTGATCTCATACCAATTTCTCCATCTCCGGATTATTATGGCGTTACCATCCGACCGCAATTACTTCCCTGCTGACGGATTCTTACAAGACTACCGCCACATGTTGTGTCGTCCTCTGACATCGCCGACCTAATTCTTTTGTCCACGCTCAGCAAATACCCAGGTCTTAAGCTTAACCTGGAACTGCTGTCCGCCTCCAAGGGACTGCTATACAACAGAATCTAACGTTGTAAACAGTGCCTACAGCTACAAGATGTAGCTGCTGCTGAATTAGTTCTCCGGAACATAGAAGCCGGATCGAACAGTCGCGCGGCGTTGCCTGAAAACTCGGGTGCGTAGATTCAACCAGGCATGACTGAATTTGTCGGGGGTGGATTTCTGAAGAGGCGTTCCTGAATTGCACGCGGAAAAGATAAATCTGGGTGACTGGAGGCCCATTTCCAGGAACTGTTCGGGAGGAACAGGCCCGGACATGGAGGGGTGAGTACGTACCAAGCCTATGATCGTGAGTCGATAGCTTGCCAGGGAAATGGGCACTCGTCAGTGACGCGGCCGCAGTGGCTGGAGAGTCGAGACATAGCCTCGACGGACTCTCTGCGATACCCAAGTGGTACCTCTTCTATACTGGTGCAACTAAACGTGGACGTAAGTTCTAAGTTTGACATGCTCTGCAATACTAATAGTGACTGAGGTTGCATCTCCTTTCACCTTACGTGGCTATTCAGTGGTAGTAACGTGTACCATCATGACAATGTGATGCCTCTGCCAGGCTCCTGATGTGCCCTGTTGTGTGATCGACTCCACAGCCATTCGGTCATGTTTCGGTCATGCAACTGGGTGTAGCGAACCTCTATTTCATGTACTTACCAACATGTCTTCAGGATTGCCTTTCCGCAAATGCCGACTTTTCAGCAAGTGGTTCGAGTAATAGTTCCGCAACAAGACAAGCCAGTAGTAGCAACCTCGAATTTTCCAACAAGGTATCTACGGCACGTTACATGCCAAGAAAGCTACATATGCATAGTCCAGGTTCAGGCCTATTTATTTGACGACAAGAAGTAAGGATAGAAATGTTCGAGGTGTCTTAGGGAACCTCCATCTCATCTATCAAACTAAACGAAAAGATATAACATCGCAACAACTAGATCACAGGTCGCTGGTCCTGTCATGTTTCACAGTGACCGCCTCTGTAGTTTACGACTGCTTTGGCACAGCTTCCCGCGTAGTGTGCACGTCAGGCCCATCAATGTCGTGAGCACCATCTTAGCCCCGCACCGCACTGTTCCCATGTCTACCACATTGGCCCAATCATCAGGTAAGTGGGAGTAAGGGCTGGGCATCAGAAATGACGTACCATATGAAGGACCTGGTTGGAACTTTATTCTCTCATTCTCCTAAGGGTCAAGCACACGATCGTGGGGGCCGAATCACAGCGGTGTTTGGGGGTTATAGCGGGGTGTTCTGGAAGTCCGCCAAAGCAGGCATACCCCGGATAGCAGTGAGAATCTTCCGTAGAGGGTGTATTAAATCAAAGACTTTTTGTAAAAGATGTCACCTCAACGTTCCAATATGGCGCGTGAGGGCAGAAAGCTGGTGAGAACGACACACCCAGAATGGTGGCTGACCCTATCATATGCAAGCTTCTCCCGCGGTACCATCACAATCCGGCCGTGTCCTGCCGGTAGTCGTTGCGGATCAGACTGCATTCCGATGCGAAAAACCCGCCCTCTACAATCTTTGCCACGCCGAAGCGAACGTACCGGGGAGAGAAGTAAAAGGGAGCTGGGTCAAGAATCCCGACACCATTCCAGTATGACTAGACCTGAATGGGGAGGTGACACTGGAACCGTTTAGAAGAATCTGGATCGTAGAAGATGTTCCCAGAAGGGGCAATTTCGAGGGCGCGTCATATTGTAAAAGACGGGTGCATTCTAGATGCAAAGGAGACGACGACACGTCACATTCGAAGATACCAGAGCAGGGAGAGTAACTTACGAGGTCACTGATACACATAATCTGCAGCACACGTAATTCCTGCGTCGTTTCTTCTGCTCTGCCAGATTAACTTGAGGACGCCGTCAACGCAAGGCAGAATATCGTTCATGAAGATTATTGTATCAAAGAACTCATTGTTGGCATCCCTAAGTTCGTGAAGAGGGTCGAACGCCTGATTCCGGACGTCAGCCAGGTATTCGGTACAGTGATTGAACGCTCCTCTCGTGCGGGACAGACGTCCGTATGGATACTCCGAGGCCAACACTTTTTGTGATTGAATCGAACATGCAAAGGAACGCCTTGGTTTGGTCACTCGAACCGTTCTCGTATATGGATACGAAGTCATTGTGATAGCCCGGGGTAGAGCGGTCGTAAGTTGCGGGTGCATTCAACGGTGTGGTAGGGCGAGGAGCTCAAGCACACGCTTGCGCTGGTCGACATTTGGCAGAGTGAAGTGCTTTCGTGCAGAGAGCCGTGAGACAGACACGGGTGTGTTGCGCCGTACCAATGAAAACCCAAAGAGTTGCCACTGGTAAGTTCGTCGGTCGCATCCCCGCGCGCACTCCTGTAGACACCCAACAGGCCCAAGAGGAGGTCTACGAAAAGTGCCAGTGGCATTGACACTCGCCGCCATAATCCCTTGCAAGGCCTTCATCAACGGTGCGCGCGTGCTAAGGCTACTCCCGCACCGACTGAGTAATGAGATCTAAGGTCTGAGATGGTGTTGTGGCGATTCTGTGGCCATCAACACACACCGCCAGCTGATCGAGCCACAACTGGCGCGTTAGGCGAGGCGACCCTGGAGCCACAGGGGAAGGTACCGTGGGCGCGAATGACCACTCGCCCCTCTTGCATCCTACACGCGTTTACGACCTCCCATGACTTGCGATCGCGCGAACACCGTGCCGCCGGCCCGATTACATAACACCACCGGAACGCCAGGGGAGGGCTCTATCTTTTTTGGGACGCCCCTGAGGCCTCATGTAGATACTATTCCGTACACTTACGCCTCCCACCTGCACCGCCAGCCATGGAGTAGGTCACAGCACTGACAGCTTCACACGATCTGATTTCTAATGCACTAGACAGCTATAGTCTGAGGCGTCTGACTCTTCCTACAGGTTATTCCAAACCCCATCATGGCCCAGGTAACGACAATTGATGTGAAGACCTTCCTTGGCCCGATGGCAGTCGGTTCCGTGCTTTCAGGCGTCGTCTTTGGGTGTGCTGTCGTCCAGACTTACTCGTATTACAAACGATTCCCTAATGACAACGGATACATCAAGGCGCTGGTGCGTATCAGACATTCGTTGACTACTCAGATCCTGACCTATGGACAATTGAAAGGTAACTTTCGAAATGTACGTACATTCGATCCCGAACCAAGCTACCAGATTCTTGACGGGACGCCCGTAGGACATTGCAGACGATACATCTCATCCTCTTGTTGGCTGGCATGTGGCATTTGGCGGTCGCGGATTTCGGGAACCGCCTCGCGTTGCTTCTCTTCCCAGAAAGCTTGAACGTCACCTTAATACTCTGTTCCCCCCTCGCGTTCGCTTCTCAGGTGAGAAGTTCCACTGACAAGCGAGAGCTGCCCTCACTTTCAAGCAGGCCTTCTTTATCTTTAGGCTGTGGAGGCTCTCTCAGAACTTGGCACTTGTCGGATTTTGCTTTTTGCTTGCAGCCGCCCGCTTTGCCTTCCACATGGCAGTTGGCATTGCTGCGTACCGCTTAAGGGAGATCGCATTGGTTGTGCAGCAGTGGAAGTGGTGTATTACCACCATGTTCGTCATGTCGATTGCGTGTGACATCATAGTTGCAGCTGCTGTGACCTACATTCTGAAGGAGCAAAAGACAGAGTTCAGGCGGTGAGTGTATTCGATTTTAGTGAAAACGGTGACCGACATCACAGTTAGGACTTCTCGGATGATCGACAAGTTGATATCATATTCCGTCGGTAAGAAATAATCTGTTATACCGATCTCTGTAGTGTTGATTTTTTGCTACCACAAGCAACTGGTCTCGTTACGATGTAAGTACCTGGCTCCTATCTCTTACTACCAATCTTTATGACTGGATGACAGCGGAGGCGAATTAGCCCAGGCATTATGTGTGGGTACCGAGTGCGTCTTGTACAACTGCAGATCGACTAAACCACTTTTTTTTTCAGTTTTGGACAATGCCACACAATTGTGCGTCTACGTTTTCTCCCCTCTCACTCCCCATTTAAACTCGTAATGTGCTGGAATATTGTAGACATCTGGCTGGGATTCTATGCTGTTGAATCAGGCTGTGAGTATCGCTCAGTCCGGCCCCATGCGAGTTTCCCTGACACGATCTATCCCAGTATATACAAACTCTCTTCTGGCAGCGTATGCTATATAATCTCCCGGGCGTCCGTGAGGTCCTCATCCATTTTTGTAGACTCAACAGCCGCTCTGTCTTCAGTCAGGTGTGGGCTACACAGCCAAGTACCGATCCTGGCTCCCTTCCAAGCAGCCCCCCTCAATTTAATACCGGTGATAAGGTGCTGCCTCTCACATGATTCTGAACTTAGGTGTTAATGCGGTTTTCCGATAGGGGCCGTACTTCTCTATTCACTCAGACGAGGAGCGATCAGGACCGAAGGAGTTACCTATTAAAGCGGTGTTTTGAGGGGGAGGGCTGAGTTGGTCTGTCTCCGTCCATGAATTTTTCCTGTTTTTTCTCTCTCTTTCTTTTGGACTGCTATCGTGCATGTTATCTAATGATTCACAATTGAGCTCCATTAAGGCCAAGGCACGGCAGGGATAATGTGATCAGTCAAGGCGCTGGTACCGCGCCGTACCGCTTAGAAGGTTGGTGGGTCCAATGTCTTGCCGTTGGTGTGTGAACCTGATGAAATAGGCTGCTGATTTGAAACTGATACCTACGATGAGTCAGGCCGCTTGTTGTACACTGCCATAGCCGCATGCCCGTTACGTGCGCTGCAGACGGCATCAAAATGTAAATGTAGGATACTTGTTTATGACAACTGAAGACCACACAACGTATCAGACCCGGCACGACGTTGCTTATCGGGTCCGCGATCGTTTCACTCGTGCTTTCTGGAATGTTGTGTGGATTCGCGATGGTGCAACCATGTGTATATCATAAGTCGTTTCCGACTGATAACTGGAAAGTCCGGACTTTGGTATGGTTCTCCTGGCCCAGTTCTCGATACGCTGACGGTCCAATCATTCGCATTCGAGGCGAAGGCTGTTTGTGCTTGCGTTGAGATCATAGGTAAACATTTCCGGATCGTTTTCTGACACGTTTTCCATGCTGGTTTGGCCACAACCAGGTGGGACTTATTTCGTCCATACTACAGTTGTCGAAGGAGGTTCCTGCAAGTATAACCGTGCTTTTGGCGGAGGTCTTCGTACGTCAACAATATGATTCCCAAGTCCTAGAAGTCAAAAAGGGTTTCCTGGAGAAGAGATGATCGAAAATATGGACTTTGTGAGAGACGACCTCATGCATGCGATCCATGGTGCGAATAATGCGCCCCACCAACTGTGCCAAAAGCGGCGCTTCCGTCAATTTCCCTTTTGCTCTCATATTAATCGCCTTGTTTACAAAGGTCACTGCAACTGGAATTTGTCCGGTCATTTTTCGACAACCGTGAATTTGCTTCAAACAGCCTCCGATTCAACATTAGCCAAGCAAGTCCAATACATATGGAGTAAGGAACTCTGCAAGTTGCTCTTGATTTCGTGGATTTCGTAGCTGCATGGCCGCATGTTCTGATGGCTCTTGTTAGTGCGGTCGGGTATCTTTGGCGCAGCCGTAAACAAGGTGTCTGCCGCCCACAATGGAGCTATTATCAAGTTCATCTCGTGGTTATTATGGTGATGCCATCTGATCACAATTATTTCCATGCGGACGGATTCAGGAGGGACAAGGCGCAGGCTGTGTCATTCCGATATTACTGACCTCTACGGTCGGCAGATGCCCAGGAGGGACAGGCGTTGAGCTTGAGCTGGAACTGTTGTTCTCCTCCAAAGGCAGCTGTATGACAGAATCTAACATTGTAAACTGTGCCTACAGCTGTAAGGTGTGGCTGCTGACTGAGCCAGTTCCCCGAAAGCTAGAAGCCCGATCAAACAGCCACTTGGCATTGGGTTCCTCTTCTGTGCTGGTACAAACCTTCAAGCTTGACATACTTTGCAGTACTAATAGTGGCTGATGTTGCATCTCTTTTCACCTTACGCGGGGTCACATATTCAGTGGTAGTAACGTGTGCCACCTGATGCGCCCTCTCAGGTTCCTGACATGTCCCTCTGCACTTTGCGTTATCAAGTCCACGGCCATTCGGTCGCATCCCGGTCCCGCAACTAGGTCCTCCATTTCGTGTACTTACCCGCATGTCTTCGGGATCGCCTTTTTGCCGATAGTCGACTTTTCGTCAAGTGGTTCGAGTAATAGTTGGGCGACTAGCCTGTGATAAGACAAGCCAACTGCAGCAACTCCAACACGTAGTGATTGAGCATAATGCAGTTACCACATTCGCCCTTCCTGTGTATGAGCTTGGGCAAGTTATTGATTAGCCTTCCAGAAGTGTTCTCTGATTCAGGTCAAACAGTCTCCACCTGCAATGAAAAGCAGCCTTCATAGACGATCTGGTGACCAGACTAAGTATGCAGACTCAGGGCATGTACAACATATCAGGATGCTTGCGCATCACCTGTCGAAGTAGCATTGTGTGTAAGGTGAAGTCACCTGCCTGTATCATATCCAGTACCAGACAAAATCTCGTTCCCGCAGTGAAGATTAATGACCTCCATTTATTCCGCATCAACGACGGTTGTTTGGAGCCCCTGTGATGGTATAGTGTTAATGTAAGTTGGATGGGTGCGCAATACGAAACCTACCTTGAAGGAAGTGACAGGAACATGCATAGCATATGTGTAAAGCTTCTCCTTTGCATTCTCTTCGTCATTTCGTTTACCTGTAGCCAAAAGAAAACGGGCGTGCTGTTAGATTTGTTCTTTGCGTGTTGCACCCCATGCACACTAGAAATCCAGAGAGAGAAGTGAGACACTCACGCTCAAGCTTTACTCGTATCCGGTGAGGGACGGACTTGATTCCCTGTACCCATAGTGCTTGGTTGAGCTTGGGGTCAAGCCGTACGTCTGAAGTGCCCATTGCTTTCCGAGCAAACTCGACTACAGACTTGACGGCCCATGGTGCCCGCTTTTTGAAGGAGCGGCCGTGCACGCGCTTGTGCAGATGAATCGTGTATTCACGAGTGACGACGTCTTGAAGGGCGGAGCGTTTGCCGGTCTGGAAGACGAACAGATATAAGCGATCGTGGGGATTTGCTCGAGTGAGGTGTGGTTTGCGCATCTACCTTTGTTTTCGCCTACGAGCATAGTCAGTCACATTGCCATACAAATAAGCTGGTTGAGCACGTACCATATTTTGAGAGTATCGGGATCGATGGACTGATGACTGCCGTCTGGTCGCTGGGTTGTGGCAGTAAGGTTTCGGAGGCGTGAGAAGACGACGATACAGTACCACGGCACATTCCGTGCTTGACTAATCGTCGATATTCCCGCGGATGCAGAAGGGGTTATTAAGACAGCTTCTTTGTTCTTGATTTGGCAATCCCCGACCATTATTGTCTCCGGGGAATTCCCTTTGTCTGTCCAACCGTGGGCATGTTTACGGCATGTGTGAGACGAGCACCCAGAGCTGTATAAAATCCAACCTGTTTACCAAGGTCCGCATTTTAGTTGACATTGTTGTGATTCCACACTCGATTACTATGCGTTTCGCAGTCGCTCTCGTTGCCTTGTCTGCCGCCCTCTCCTCTATGGGTGCTGGCCTCATCTCCCGCCAAAGCCTGCCCTGTGCGTTGTAACCCGGGGACGGCGATGATATCCTTCTGATTTATCTTGTAGCTTGTGCGGAGCCGTGCATTACCAACGCGAATTTGGATGGTTGTTCCGCCACCGACGACACCTGCTTGTGTAACAGCCAGACCTTCGTCAATTCTGCTACCTCCTGCATCGAGTCTGCTTGCACCGGCAGCGATCTACAACAGGCAGAGCAATTCGCGCAGTCTCTTTGTCTTTCTGTGGTATGTTGCTAATTCAAATCTTTTAGTTTGCTAATACCCACTAATTGTGCAGGGGGTGACGCTGACCATCGCCACACCGTCCGCAACATCCTCCGCAACATCCACTGCAACATCTACGTCAACTACGTGAGTGCCCATGGGTTTCTTTGGTGATATGATATGTTGATTTTTACGACCTCGCAGTCCATCGGCCACCCACACAGGCAGTGCTACATCGTCTTATGGCGTCAATCCACTCGCAGCGGCTGCCGCCGTTCTCGGCGTTGGTCTTGCCCTCTAGACTGTTAGAGCTTGTCAGGTTACTACCTGCTGCTTCGAATCATTGTCCACACAACTTCCCCATTTCGTTTTCCTTGTGGCATATTTCGGAGCATCGTCTTCTGGTGTATTTAATTTACTTTTGGGTGCTTCGTTGTAACCGTGTAGCCATTTCGTCCTTAATGACCAACCGACCATCTTACGATGGTGTTTTCGTGCCATGGCAACGTCTTGAGGTGGAGTGTGAACTTAATGTGCCAGCAGAGATGAAAAGCGGAGATGACTACCATTGTCGGTCGACAGATGGTAGGCTGCGGGTGATGTGTTTCACTACATGGCGAGACTGGCTGGTCTGAACGAAAGGGCATTTCTGGAAACCTAATTGCCTAAGCTCACAATAGCTGCCGGTGATCTCGATGGGGATATTTCCCACGATAGCCTCGACTACCGAATGTGGTAATCGCATTTTGCTCATTCACTGTTACTTGGTCAGTGCGAGGGCTGCCTTGGCGCGCGCACACTGTCGATGAAGGCCAAGAGGTTATGGCGGCGAGTGCCAACGCCACTGGCACTTTTGGTAGGTCTCTTCCTCGGCTTGTTCATCGGGCGCATCCTACCACCCTCGGTATGTCACTTCACCCCCGCGCGCACTCCTGCAGACACCCAACTCACCAGTAACAGCTCTTCGGGTTATCATGGGCGCGCCCGAACACACCTGTGTTTGTCTCGAGGCTCTCTGCGCGAAAGCATTTCACTCTGCCGAATGTTGACCAGCGCAAGCGTGTGCTTGAGCTCCTCTCGACACTTTCGCCCTACCACACCGCTGAATGTACCCGCAACTCACAACCGCTCTACATTCAGCAAGTCAGAGACCGCTATAAACCCCTCGTAGCGAGTAGATCTCCGTCATCGCCATCATCTTGGATGCCCTCCCTGGGACTTGGCCTGTCCGACCCAGATGGCGTGTATGTCTCTCCCGCCAGAGAACACAAATACTATTTTGCCATCAATCTATACAACTCCTTCGATATCATCCCTGATCTTTTTGCTACTCTCTTCCGGGTGTCAGCCATTCTGGGCTATCACAATGTCTTCGTGTCCATTTACGAGAACGGTTCGAATGACCAAACCAAGGCGCTCCTTCGCATATTCGATTCGATCACAAAAAGTGTCGGCCTCAGAGTTACCATACGGACGTCGACTCGCACGAGAGGAGCATTCAACCACCGTATCGAATACCTGGCTGAGGTCCGAAATCAGGCCTTCGACCCTCTTCACGAACTCAGAGACGCCAACAATGAGTTCTTTGATACGATCATCTTCATGAACGATATCCTACCTTGCGTTGACGACGTCCTCGAGCTAATCTGGCAGAGCAGAAGAAACAACGCGGGAATTACGTGTGCTGCAGATTATGTGTATCACAATGACCTCGTAAGTTTACTCTTTGATCCTGGTAACTTCGATTGTGACGTATCGTCGTCTCCTTTGCATCAAGAATACGCCTGTCTTTTATGATAACTGGGTATCACGCGACATCAACGGTACTGCCCTCGAAAACGCGCCTTTTGAGAACATCTTCCACGATCCAGATTCCTCTGAACGGTTCCAGCGTCACCTCCCCATCCAGGTTCAGTCGTGTTGGAACGGTGTCGCGATTCTTGACCCAGCCCCTTTTTACTCACCCCCATACGTTCGCTTCCGCATGGCAGAGATTGTAGAGGGTGAGTGTTCCGCGTCGGAGTGCAGTTTGATCTGCAACGACTACTGGAAAGCGGGGTACGGCCGGATTGTGATGGTACCGCGGGTGAAGCTTGCATACGATAGGGTCAGTATCTATTCTAAAAGTCTTACAACTACCTTTCCGCCTGTGCCCCCCCATATTGCTAATGTTGCGGTGTCATCTCTTACAGAAAGTCTTTGATTTGATACACCCTCCGCGGAAGAATCTCACTGCCATCCGGGGGTATGTTCGCATTGGTGGACTTCCGGACGACCCCCGCTATGACCCTCAAGACCGCTCGTGGTTCGGCCCCCATGATCGTGTGTTCGACGTTCAGGAAAATGACGAAATAGAGTTCCAGCCAGGTCCTTCACACGGTACGTCATTTCCGACGCTTGACCCCTACCCCTACTTACCTGATTATCACGGACATGGGGATAGTGTGGTGCTGGGGCTGGGACGGTGCCGGCGACATTGACGGGCCTGACGTGGACCCTATATGGGAGGCTATGCCAAAGCGGTCGCAAACTACAGAGGCGGTCACTGTGAAACATGACAGGAGCCTCGACCTGTGATCTAGTATTGCGATGCTGATCTCTTTTCGTTTGGTTTGATAGATGGGACGGAGATTCCCCAGGACATGTCGAACAGTTCTATCCTTACTTCTTGTCGTCAAACAAACAGACCTAGACCTGGACTATACATATGTAGCTTTCTTAGTACATAACGTGCCGTAGATACCTTGTTGGATAGTCCGAAGTTGCTACCGCTGACTTGTCATTCCACTATTACTCGAGGCACTTGCTGAAAAGTTGAAGTCTGTGAATATGCTCAGGAAAGGCAAATCTGAAGACGTCTAGGTACATGAAATTGAGGTTCACTACACTCAGTTGCGGGACCGAGATGCTACCTAACGGCTGTGGACTTGATAATGCGAATTACAGAGATAAGTCAGGAACCATCACATCAATGTCATGGTGGTATCATGCCAGGCTCGCATTTTACGGACCAAGAATAATGATTTCCATGCTAAGTTTAACGTATGTGTATTTCAGCAGGTACTCACGCCCTATATTCGCCGTTTATCCATACAGGGAAGGCAGACCCATGGAATGCATGTACCTACTGGCGATGAACTGCAGACAAGGGGAGAGATAAAGTGACCCGAAAAATTAACGCACTCCGATGAACTGAACGGCTTGTGTTTCTGATCAAGTTTACCAGACAAACCAAATTTGCTCTGGACAGACGGATCAGCGAACGCGAATGGGATTTATGGGTGCGATGTGGTGCAGGACGCAAGGCCTCAAGTTCCACAAATTGCCGAAGCTATTGACGAAAATAATGCTCTTTCTGGGTTATCATCAAACGGACACTATCATACCCTACCAAAGGAGTCACCATAAAATTTGGTGACAGGCGATATATTGCATGACAGATGTAAGAGGCTCACCACTGACTAAATCGTCAGTCCGCTCTCAGCAAGGTAAATTCATGTGCCGTGATCGGCCGCACCGCGTACCTCAGTATCGTTCGTTTCTTTTGGGAATTCTAGGAGTAGAAAAAAGCCTGTGTCCAGGACGTGACTGTTCCCCGCGCGCAGAGGAGACGCTCACCCGGTAAACGAAAGGACAGAATGTTATTTCACGAGGTGCAGCCATCTGCGGAACTACCCAGGAGCGGGAGAGGATCCAAATTTTGCACTGGTCAGTCCCACCCTCGGAACTGAAATGTCAAAATTTTTTGGGCCTGTCCCATGTTCGAGTTTGGGCAATGCTTGTGTCAAGCCTCCTGAAAGCTCAACAAGCGGGGACCTTCTGGCAACTTCAGCCTTACTACAAAGTTTGTAAAGTTCGGAGCTTACGCCCGTGTTTCCGCCGGTACGGAAAGGGCATCCAGTTGTCGCCAAGGGCCCGCGGTAAACTAGCGAAGACCTTTCTAGCGTATTTTGGCGACGTCTCCCGTCGCCACGCTGTCGAGTACCTGTTTCCCTGGCCCAGTATCGACTCACAGTCATAGGTATGTGCACTTTGCTTCACGTTTTGGCTCGTTACCCTCTGATGGTTTCTGGAAATGACATCGAAGTTGCCTTCAGCTAAGGGTCTGGATTTACCTTTTGTACGTGTCAGGAACGTCCGTTCAGAAGTTCCCCGAGTGGGATGAGTCTACTGTGCGTGGTCGAATCCACACGCCTAACTTTTCAGGCAACGTCGGGTGGTTGTTCGATCAGGCTTCTAATTTCCAGAGAATGGTGTTAAAGAATCCAGTCACCAACAGCACCTATAGTTCCCGTACAAATATCAACCGGGTATACTGTAGCTTGCAACGAGAAAGGAATTATTGAGGGGCGCAGAAGTGATACTTCGTTCGAAAAATTGGCAGTGGCGGTGAAGCGTGCCTGCCCACTGCGGCGGGCGCACGCACGTGACCTGAGAGGCCGGGAATCCGTGATGTCATGGGCCTCAGCCACCTCAGCACCATGGCTGGCAGGGTTGGCATGCCATTGCATGCTGTTGTTTGGGCACCTTGCCCCACATTTAGATCCAGTTTATGTCAGTGTCACAGTGATCACATCTTGTGATTGAGACTCCCAAAGCTTCTGCAGGATCAAAGCAGTTATGTACTATGGTAGGACTGTGTTAGGTAGAACAATACATGATGGTATTGTGTGTGCATGTGCATGCTCAGGATCTGTGATGATAGGTGGACAAATGATGCTTGTGATTCATAACATTTGTGTTGTGCATTGCATACATATGACAAGTGTATGACAAGTAGGCTACTGCACATGTATGAGTATGGCGACTAGTGACGTATGTAGTACATCACGAGCTCAGGTGATGCTGGGGTGATAGTATCAATAGTATCAACAAGTGGATGATGGATGTATTAAGAGAAAAAAAGAAAAAGAAAAGGAACAGGATGGCAAGTGTGATATGCATCATCATTGCTGCTCACTGGCACCTTGGAGCACCAAAGAAGAATCATCACAGACTTCTTCACTTGTGAGGCAACAACAGTGCTCTCCAGCTCCACAATACCATTTGCAGGCAGCCAAGGTCACTTTGAGGAGCTTTGTGTGTCCTTGACCAATGGCACTTCCATAAATCTTGAGGAAGGTCTCCTTGTCCCCCTGGAATCTGGGGACCATGTCAGGGAGACTTGGGCAAGTGGTAGGAAGTGCAACAAGTCAACTTACTCATCAAGGAATTCTGTCATGATGATGCATTGCTGAGAGTACTTCATGTTGAATTGATGGCTGCTCTTCCCATTGTAGTAGTGATATGGTCAGTCCTTGAGTGGAATGTGCAGGTCAGGCTGTGGCTTGCCCTCCATCCAGTGGTGCACTATATCCCTCCAAGAGTCCAACTTTGCAGTCCATGTCCCATTGGGATGCAAAATGGGCACATCTGGGATGACAACTCCCAGAAGGGAGGTAGAGGCATGGGCCTTGGTCCTCTGGGGTCCAACCTGCAAGGGGAGGGATGTCAAGAGTGAAAGATCTGATGGCTGGACAACTTGTAGCATCCTGAACTGCATTTGAGTTGGTTGTAAATTGAGCATAGGTAGGTATATTTGGGATGCTGGCATGGAAGCAGACTGGATCACTGGGGGCAACAAAGCTGTGGTCTGCACAAGTGAATGCTGGTGGGCTGATCCATGTGGCTGGTCAGTCAGTGCAATGGGAAGTCATAGAATGAATGAGACTCACCCACTGTTGGAATGGAAGCAGACTGGATCACTGGGGGCAACAATGTTGTGGTCTGTGCAGGTGAATGTTTGTAGGCTGATCCATGTGGCTGGTCAGTTGGTGTGGCAGAAGTCACAGAATAAATGAGGCTCACCTGCTATTGGCATCACTTGAGTGTTACTGCTAGTAGTGTCCTGGCACAACACAGGTCCAGAAGGGGCTGAGCATGCAGAGGCCAAGGTCAGGGCCTTTGTGACCAGGTTGCTCATGTCACTGAGCTGTTGGCAGATCTCCCTTACATCTACTGATAATGAGCATGAGGTTTCCTTCACTTCCTTCATGGTCATGTGTAGTGCTGCCATGTTGGATGTTATCAATGCATGTGCCATGTTGAGTGCCTCAGTGGATGCTGGCCAGACAAGCACAGCTTTGCCTGTGAGTGAATGATCACCTTTGCACAGGACCAGTTGCAGTGCATCACTGTGGTCATTTTCATAGCAATCAAACTCATTGAGGAGGTAGCACATCAGTGTGTCATGCTGCATAGTTGTGTGGAGCAAAAGGCAAGGAGTTGGTTGACTTTTACTACACACCTGGGTAGGAAGGAGGACAAAGTACTCACATGTTCACCTTCATCCCATCCCCCCCCCACCAGACCTGTGCAAGGGTCCATTGCTGCCCCACTGGTGCAAACATGAAGCAATACTGCACTCCACCATGACAATAGCAATGGGTTGTAAATGTCCTGGGAGTTCCAGACCCCACTACTGCCTTGTCAATCCATTTCTGGATCATGTCATGGGAAAGCAGCTCACCTGGCTGTAGCACACTGTTTGTGCCAATCATGGGGGAAAGGAAGTCTTTGTTGGTCATTGGTTACCCAAGATGGACAAGCTCAACCCACTTCATCCATGACATAAGGCACAGGAAGGTGTCACATGCTTTGCCCATATCCAGGCATGGATAAATCTTGTAATGATTGCCTTGTATATAGCAATAAAAGGAGATCAGATGGATAAGATATGTGAAGATGGATATAAGGATGGACTTCATAAGTTGGCCTCCCTCATCCCCTTATCCAACTTTCATTGCCATCCCTTATGATTCTTCAGGTGGATCTTGAAGTAAGCATTGTGCTCATTTATGGTGAGGGAGACTTCTTTGCCTCAAAGATATTTCATGAACACACTGTCACACACCAAAGGTGTTTGGTGAGGTGGACATGGATACAGCTGATGAATGGAGATGAAGACCATAGCCCTCATGCAAAGAAGGACAGCCAGAAATGTCAGCAGTCATCCCTTGCACAAGAACAAGTCATCAGTGCCAAAGAAAAAGAAAGGGAGTGAGTTAAGTGCTGGTTAAAATTATTCTTAAGTGCCCATGTATGGCATTCTGGTTTTTGATATATCTCTGCTGTTTCTGCAGATACTGAGACCATTCCCACACTCACTTGTAGTGCTCAGCCACATGATCCTACCTTCCAAAATTGGAAAGGATTTGCACACTCCACACATTTCTACAGCACTCCCTCCAAAAGATGCTCATTTTGCTAATTCTTCTGATATGGCCACCTCCACATCAATCATTTTGCTTGTCCCCTTTGCTAGGAAACATGGCTATATATATCTACCAGGAGTTCCTACCAGCTTCCATCCTGAAGCATCCTGGTACATCCCACCCTTGTCTGCACCCTCTCAGCCCATCCAGCTTGGACAGTGTGTTCTTTTTGTCAGTATGACCTCTAGGAGGATGTTCTTTGGTTGCCTCAGGTCTGTCACTTGCTTGGAAAGGTCTTATGTGGTCATTTCAGTCTCTCCAGTCCAAGAAGCATATGGATCCTTCCTTCCTGTGGCCTGCAATGTCTTTGTACCAGTCTCATCCATCATTCTTCCAAGATTGTGACAGCTACAGTATAATCTACTGTTCCCCACTCTCCCTGATTGCATCCATGATGGGTATGATGCACATCTTGCCTCCTTGTTGCAAGATACAGCAGATGGCACTCCCCCTTCATCCTCTCTTCCAACAGAGCCTCATTCATGAAGTTTTTATTTGCTTCACTGAGAGGATGGTTTGGGGGGGAAAGTTGCAATCCCCTATGCTCCTGTCACCCCACAGACCCCCAAAGCTTGACCCCTGTTGACATCTGACTCACCCTGTCCACTTTTGGATGTACTATATTGGCATCAGATCAGCACTGCCTCTCTGTCATCCCACCTTGGCCTAGAAGTGATCTCTTCAAGATGTGACATGCACAGCCTCCCCCTAATGTGATTCCAGTGTGCTTTCCCAGTTCCTGACATTACTTGACTCATACTTTGATGATTCTGACTGTCTTTGACTCACCTATTGCCAATACTTAGCAATCTTTTGACTTTGCTTACTGATTCTTTGCCTTTTGGCTTGCTTATCCTTACCAATGCTTGCCAATGCTTTCCAAGATGATTACCCATCACTTACATTCCTTACTCATCAGTTACCAATCACTTACCAAGTGTTTGCACCTTGTTTTCCATAGGCAACACCCCTGTACTGTATATAAATCACTGTACTTAGATAGCAAGAAGAAGAAGAAGAGGTCAGAGAGCCCCTCTTGCTCACATTTTATCATCACTCAGTAATTCATTCAGCAGCTTCAATAGTTGAGACTTTACTAAGGGTCTAACTATCATCTACTTTGCTTATCCTTGTCTATCATCAATATACTTCACTCCAAGCCCTCCCTGAGCTCAGTGCAGCTTAGGACATTGAATTAAGTCACCATCCATCCTTCTGTAGGCTGACAGCAGTCTACCCTATTGCTTTCTATCACATTCTTGCTCCCTCTTCATCAGGAGCACCCCCAACCCTCAGTGCTTGTCTTTGAGTGTTGTAGCTTGCAAAAACCCACCCAAATCAAAGGTTCTACCATCTAGGTACCACATAGGCACACCACCACTCACTCTTTTTGTCTTTTGTGTTGGTTTTGGTTGGTTTTCACCACTGAACCACACTTTGACTCACAATGCCATCTATGACAGTCCAGTCAAGTTTGACATCCCCATGCTTCAATTTCAGCAGCTTTGTAGTTCCTGTCAGATTCCACCATCAAAACATTGTTGGCAACACCACCTACTGGTACCTACCTTGTCCAGAGCATGAATGCAACAGTGCCAAAGGCAAGGTGTTCAAGGTGCTGTGTGACTGCTAGCCTTGCCTTCCTGCTTGGGAACTTGCCTCATGGCAGTGTTTTGCAGCCTACCATCACAAGATGGATGTACTGGAGTGGGGCATTGAGTGGACATAGTGATCCTGACCAGGCAAGTATTTTATCCATGTACTCCTTCTTCATGGCTCCTGAATGCTTCCATTCAGCTCCTTCAGAATTTACCTTGTGTCTGATAGATGCAATGATATTGTCAACTTCTGCCAACAAGACTGGGTTGCCTTCCCATCAGTGATGCACATCATTGTGATGCCAGTTCCTGTGGAACATCACACCATCACTGTTGGGAAGAAATGCACACTGAAGGTATTTCTCTATGAGCATCAAGGGAAACTGAGCAGTCATGACACATACACTTCATCCCACAACATCTTAAATCCCACTTGAACTCTGTCAATAGTGCTCTGGCTGCAATTCTCCTGGAACCCTCTCCATGAAAGGTAAAGTGCTAATGCCTTATCCAAGCACCTATTTGGCATGCACTCAAATGCATTCCTGAATTCTGGATTGCTGTAGATCTCAGAATCCTCTCCAGTGTGACTTGGAGTCAGTGGCACTCCTTCCACTGGAAGATGGCTCTGCAGCCATGAGTGTGCTTGTTGGAACATGCCCCACATATGCCATCCTTGTCTTTGCTGCCCAAAGGTGAGTTTCTTTGCTGGCTTCTTTGATTTGGTGGGTGGTTTGTAAGCTGGGTAGTTCCTTTGCAGTGGATACCCTTGTCCCCCCTTTTGGCTTGTCTGGGGACAACATGATGTGCTTGGTACCAGCTCCCTTCTGTCTGACCATCATGGCAACTAACATTGCATTAGCAGTCCTTGATCTGGCAATGTGGGAGTTGTGATGTCATGAGTGCTAGCTATAATGTCACCTACTAGTCATTTGCAATATATATCTAGATCTCTCCTGGTCCATGAAATTGATTATACTACCTCATGAGCTGCTGATAATTCTTGCTAAAATGGCACAGTGAAGCAAAGTCAGTTTGAAGTACATGTAGTAATGGATTGAGGATTCCTTATACTAGTATCAATACATGCAATTGTAATTAGATCTTGCCCTTGAAGTTGACCATGGCACCTCATCCATCAGTAGCACTGATGACTCACTCCCCAGGGCCAACATTCATTTACCAAATGGTGGGTGACACAAACTGAAAACATCTTTGTCTTCAATGATAGGGTCCCACAATTATCACTTGTTGTACCAAATGGCAAGTGATGTGAGTGTGAACATCTTCTGACAGAGATGTATTGTATGAGTGCTGTGGCAAGTTGTACCATTTTAAGCAGGGCTAGAAGGTGACCACTGTGGAGATTTTGGGCTGTACACAGGAGGAACAGGAGCCACTAGGCATGAATGATCAATAGTCAATGACATAGGTAGAACCAATGCTGATGTTATCAGTAACTTACAAGCTGGAGGATATGTTGGAGAAGTCAGAGTGATAGAAGATAAAAGTTGCTTACACCTGGGAGATGTGAGATCAAGTGCAGGTGATGTGGAGGAGTATGTCAATGATGTATCCCCTCTGCTTCTCTTGTACAATGGGGATGTCCCACATCATGACCTGCCAAATAGTGAGACATGAGATTGAGTGTGGGTGACATGGAGGAGTACACTGGTGACATAGCCCCTCTGCTTCTGTTGTACAATGGAGATGTCCTGTATTGTGACCTGCCACACAGTGAGATGTGAGATTGAGTGTGGTGATGTCAGGGAATATGTCAATGATGTAGCCCTCCTACTTCTGTGCCAAATGGTGAGACATGAGATTGAGTGCAGGTGACATGGAGGAGTATGCTGGATGATGTAGCCCTCCCACTTCTGTCATAGAATGGGGATATCCTATATTGTGACATACCAAATGGTGAGATGCAAGATTGAGTGCAGGTGATGTTGGGGAGTATGTCAATGATGCAGCCACCCTGCTTCTGTTGTAGAATGGGGATATCCTGTTTTGTGACATGCTGAATGGTGAGATGTGAGATTGAGTGCAGGTGATGTTGGGGAGTACATTGATGATGCAGCCCCCCTTGCTTCTGTCATAGAATGGGGATATCCTGTATCATGACATGCCAAATGGTGAGACATGAGATTGAGTGTGGGTGATGTCAGGGAGTACATCAATGATGCAGGTCCCCTGCTTCTGTCATAGAATGGGGACATCACATAGAGTGCCATGCTGAAGAGTGAGGTCACTCTACCATAGGATGTATGATGATGTGAGCAGTATGCATTGGAAAAGCAACCCTGCCCTTTGACAGTAAGTGGTGAGAACATTGCCGATTCACCCTTGAAGTTACACTCTGACCATGCAGGTGAGTTCATGTCATATGGTGTCATTGCTAGAACACACCTGTACCCATAGGTGCAAGCTGGCTGAATATAACATTTTCTGCAATGCTGTGACAATCATCCTTTCCACCAACAGCAGCAGCTTCCATCAAAATCTCCACCATTTCCTCAAATGGGCAATGCATCAGGGCACCAGTGTCAGCATGGTTAATGCCATGATGAGTGATTTCCATAAGCACTCTACAATGGGTCATGAGGTCACAGAGCAATGTCAGGTGGCAGTAGTTCAGGTATGAACTGTTGAATTCGATGACTCCTTGCTCACTGTGTGAGCAGCTTCAATCCTGAGCATGTTAAAGATCTCAACACAGTTGTTGGAGTACACATGAGTGAAGTTGACACCTGGAACACATGTCACCACCTCCAAGTTGACACTGTCAGTCTCCAAAACCTGCTCCTTCATCTTGATGGATCCCTTATCATGTTCTCAAGTTGGCAGAAACTGACATATTTTTCAACTGTGCCCTGCTCATCATCATCCTTGTCCCCACCAGAGGGAGCCTGGGAGATAGATATGACATCCTCCAGCACCTTGACAAGACATCATTAGAAAAAATCTGTTCACACAGACCTGGAAATTTGTTGAGAGGTCAGGCTGTCAAAAGCAAGTGAGGCAAGGAAAATTACGTAGAATGAGATCACAGCAAGTGCAGCTGAGTTCATAACAATCTGGGTGACAACACAAGCTGAGGCAGTAGGAGCAATGAAGAGGAGGCAGTCATCAGGGTGCTAAATAGGCAAGGAAAATTACCTAGAATGAGATCACAGTGAGTGTGACTGAGTTCATAACGATCCAGATGACAACACAAGCTGAGGCAGTAGGAGCAATGAAAAGGAGGCAGTCAGTCATCAGGGTGCTAAATATACAGTGCAGGAACAAGAGCAGGCAGGGAAGTGGATGATGCAGACTCATGCAGACCCAGCCATTTGTTAGGAGGTGGGGAGCAAGGCAGTCTGCACAAGGGGAAAATAAAATAAAAAGAAGAAAGAAAGAAAAAACTCATACCTTGTGACAGTCTGGTATGAGGTGAGTATATTCTTTGTCAAGCTTCACTTGCAACTCCAGGGAGCTGTTGGGCAGCTGTCATCAATACCAATCCTTCTACACTCTGTTACCTGACACAAGTACTCACCTGTGAGTTAGTGTTGTCCTCCAAGTGCTCTTGCACACATCAGCCCAGACTGATTGCAGGCAAGGTTGGAGGTGATGACATCACATGACAATAATCACAGTGCATGGCAAACAGCTTTGGATTGTGTAAGGGATGGGATGAACAGTGTATGCAATGTGCAACTCACAAACTGATACAATGTTACAAAAAGTGCTAGGCATGAACTAGTCCTCACTCATGAGATTGACAATGCCAGTTTGTGTCTCCTCACCATCTGTCAGGTCAATCACTCCAGCATCAGGAGATGACACAACCAGGTTAACTATGGACTCAAATGGCCAATGACCAGCATCCTCATCCACCAACTGCACACAAGATGACTGGGAGGATGCATGGACAAGGTTATGTACTAAGTCAGGCCTTGAGTACTCCAACACAACTGTTGGGACCTCTATTTCATAGAATGCATCACTGTTAGCATCCTCACTCAGTGGTGACATATGCACAACAGGTGACTGATCCACATCCACTGGCATTGCTAGGGGCCAACTTGGCACAGAACCTATAGGTGGGCAGTGGCTTGTCAAAGTGGCTTATGACCTGAAGGCCACATCGCAGCCCCTCACCATCAACATTACCCAGGAACTGTATATGACAGATGATGAGGTTGGACAGGCATATTTAGTATGGCTGCAAGACTCACCTGTGGAAGTGCACATGTAGCTGTGCCAACAGAAGTGTCAACCAATCTTGAGTGGATGGTATCCAGTGACCAGCTGAGACACTGTGAGCAGAACATTGCCAGGGAGGCAAGATTAGGCTGACAAGATGTCATGAAGGCAATGGGGGAATGTCCACCATCCAACCATGATGTGAGAGGTAATAGGTACATTGCCAGCACGGAAGAGCTGTTAACAGCTGCGTCGCGTAGCTGTTTCCCAGATGTACTAACCCTAGCACACCTCCCACGCCACGATCGACGATGCCGGTGCCGTCACGAGGCATCAGACACTCCGAACGGCCGTCCCCACCGCCGAGGGCGAGCCACTGTGGCTGGGAGGCCGGTCCAAAATTTGCAGCTCCCACGCACCGCCACCTGCGAATTTTCTAGAATAAACTGACTTATGACAGGGGTTGCAGCACGGGCTTTTGGCACAGTTGGTAGCGCGCATGCTTCGCATCGTAGATTGCATGAGGTCGTGGGTTCAAATCCCACAGAGTCCACATTTTTGATCATTTCTTCCTCTTTTTTTGGACTTGGGAGAGCCACCATATAATTGCCGGCTTCGGTCTCCCCTTTTTTTCCCTCCTCTCTGCTTTTTTGTCCGGCTGGCTCATGCAACGACGATCGGGCCTCAGCAAAGGTCTGGCCCGTATCTCTCTTCCATCCCAGCACCGTCTCTCTGGCATGGGTGCGGTCGACCCGTCGTTGCGCCCTCGGTGGCAGCACCGCGCTTTCGGCGTCCCCAATCGCATATGGGTCATCCTCCTCCTCGTCGCATTCCTCGCATCCCTCACTCGCGTACTCCCCTCCTACCATCAACCAAATACTCAGGTCTCCACCGTCGGTCTGTTACCCAAAAACTACTTACGCGAGACGTCTATCTTTTCCGTCAACGCTTCTGAATTAGACGCCAATACCGCGGGCAGCTACCCTTTCGACTTTTGTCCCGTCTTCGGCCCCAATGACGACTTGGCGCAGAGGTATGGCGCTTTGGCTCTTACTCAGAGCCGGTTGCACGTTGGCAGCGGAGGAAGAATACACCGTGTGCTCCACAAGGCCTTTCTTGGCCGGCCAATTACGATAAGTGTCTTAGGTGGATCAGGTGCGTTACACCTTCTAGATAGAGTTGTCATCATCTTGGTACGTCGTGGTTAAACCACTCGAACTGACTCTTCTGTGCAACCAGTTTCTGCTTGTCATGGCGCCGGCGACGATCCGTTATCTTCGCAGTGCTATCCTTCCATGTTCTTCCAGTGGTGGCTAAACGTATTCCCTCACCCCGCGTCCGAGCTCACCAATGGAGCCATGCGGCGGACAGACTCCGGCTACTTTGGCTTCTGCAGTGCTCATCATGTCCCAGAGCATACCGATCTTGTGATATTGGAGTTCGATGCGGACGACAAGGGGTACGCTCCACTCGTTGGATGTTCAACTTCACACTTATATCACATCCATTAGTGATCAGTACAGCATGGAAAACTTCGAACTGCTTGTTCGTTCCCTGTTGGACCGTCCAGATCAACCCGCCGTCCTCGTCCTGGGCCACTTTAGCCCACAAGTTCACGACGAATACGGTTTTGCCGGACCAGAGCATTGGCATAACATCGTAGCACAGTTCTACGACGTGCCTCATATAAGGTACAGTTGCCAGTGACCATGACCATTATCAACAACTTACGCTGCTTCAGCACGAAGCCTATCCTCTATCCCTCTTACATGGACGATCCAGATTATATCAAACCGTACTACGCTGACCCAATTCTAGCTAACTCCCAAGGACATCGAGTTCTTGCAGACGTACTCGTTTCGTTCCTCCAATCCCAGATCTGTAGCGTGTGGTCAGCAGTGGCTGGCCGATCCTTCGACTCCATTCCAATCCTGATCTCATCTGATCCTGGCGGAATAGGTGCAGAGCCCCACCTTTTCGGTGGCGCTGGGGCACGGATGGGCGCCGCGCCCCCTGAGATTGGTGGTGAGATTGACGAAGCCAAGAAGACCCCGCGCCCTCCCCCCTCCGTTCCAATATATCCTGAATTAACCATTCCGCCTGTACGGATCAACACGCGAGCGCGGTCGGCTGCTCATTTCGAGGAGCCTGCACCGTACTGTGTGTCAGCGAATGACCTTGTGAATCCCGTTCCACCTTCGTTGTTCTATGGTTCGGGTTGGGAAGTTGCCCACCCTCCGCCTGGCGTATCGCCGTTGTTGACGGCGGCGTATTACTGGCACAGTACGACGGCCCTGAGTAGGTTACGGGTGCCTATCCGAGTTGGGGCAGGCGATGTGGGCATATATTATTTAAAGGAACCAATCAGGGATATCGGGGAGGGAAGTCAGCTGGAGTGTTGGGTGGATGATAACTTCGGAGGGGCTGTCACTATCGAAAACTCGGGTGACATTTCAAGTCCGATCCCAGCGTGCGTCGTATCCCTTATTTCTTATGTTCTCCTCTGAGATTTGACTCTGACAGACTCGAAATGATCGACCAAATGGTCTCTCGTGGGTCTCACTATGTCGAGTGTCTGCTTATAGGAGACCCGGGACAGACTATTCCTTCATTCAAGGTCCTAGGCGTTTTCTCGACGTGACCCCTCTTGCATTCGGTTTTGTCTTGTGGAAATGAGAGTTATGCTGAATACCTTTGACGCTTTGAATAGACATTTGCATATCTTGTTCGCGCACTAGGATGTAGCTTTCGATGGACTACAGGTATCATAGTAAAAGCACTGCCACCGCTGGATCGTGGGAACGTTCTGGGTTCCGCTGGTGACGCATCTGCGGCGCAGCCTTACGAAGCTGTGAGGACAACAAAAACTCAGCGGGATCCTTGCATTTGTACCATATCCTTGACGAACGACACACGACAGAACTAACGAACCATGGCAGGCAGAAGAGGTCCTCCAACGGGTACGTAGACAAGGACACCTCTGGGTGACCCTATCTCTGACTATCCCGTCTTCGACGCACAGGTGCTCCACCGGCATATTCGTATGTGATGAGGGTTTACAAACGGAGTCTGCGACCAGTCGTCCTGGCGAGTAAGCGTCAATTTCGTCCTCATTTTGTGATCCTGTGGTCTCAATATCGGATGCAGCGGCCGTCGTTGCTGCCTTGTGGTCTCTAGCACTGTAAGTATACCCGCACATCGTGATAATTGATGGCGGACCATCGTTCACTTGGTGCTCTTTTTAGTGCTGTAAGACACCCGTCCTTGAACATGATCATTGACTCATCCCCGATATCGCCTCAAGGTTTCAGGCTATAAGGAACTTACCACAGACGAGAATGGTGTGTCTCTCGGTCTATGAAAATCCTTATGACGCTGACACACGGTCAGATAACTTTCACAAACTCGTCCCGTTGGCAGCCGTGCAGGGCGCCTTGTATACCGTTGTCTTACTCTTCCAGGTGTTCGGGATAGCGGCGGCAGCTACGGTATGCTCAGCCATCGTGGTTGAGGCTAGCCATTATCTGACGTCAGTCTCAATTAGCAACGCACCAGACTCATCAGGATATTCACATACCTGTCCGCCCTGTCAACGTTGTTAGCAGTGGGGGTGGCGTTCATGCGTGTTATCACTCATTTCACATTCAAGGTTCGTGGATTTCGGATATCATTGTATGTTTCTGGTATATTCATGGTATCTCAGAGCGACTTGATTGCCGAGTGCGAGGTTCTTGCTCATGAATGGAAGTGTGGACTCGGTAGGTTGCAAGTTGGTGCGCTTACACGCCAGTCGGTTTATGTGCCTTTTTTTTTTTGAAGATGTTTGGGTTTTGGGAACCTAGTCCAGGATCTGACCTCGATGCTAGTGATGCGGTGTCATGTCAGTACTTATGGAAATGGTATGGGCGAGTGATTGACCTGCATTTGCTAGATTGCAACGACCAGTGGTCCCACGATTCTTGGGCTGAAATTCTCTTGCTTATTTTGCTGATCGGTCAGTCATGATCCCACTAACCGGCGGGATGCAAGATGGGGTACTGACCCTAATTCGATGCAGTTGTCGGGCTGCTGTTTACCTCGATTGCATTCGCTTACTACCGCCAGGCGATCGATCCCACAAGTCCTGTCAACTCCTCTCGTGCACCAGCAAACCAAGTGAGGATGGACGAGTTCCCCTCCTACAACGCTCCATATGACGTTCCTGCCTATGCACCACCGGCTGGCCCACCACCGTTTGAGGGTGAAGGCAAGCCGCCGCAGTACAATTACGGGGGTTACACGTCCTTCGAAGATAACAAGGCAAAGGAAGAGGATTCCAAGAATGATCCGTTTTCAGATTATGTGACGCCGCCTATGCCTACTCATTGGGCAGAAGAACGAGATGTCACCTCCAGCAAGTGAGCTCGTGCTCCGAAATACATGGAACGATTCCCTTTTTTTTTCTCAGCTCGTACATTAGCCGAATGATGAGTACTGGAGACCATACATAAATATATGTCTAGTTAGTCGCTACACCTTGTGTCATATACCGCTGTTCTTCTGTGAAAGCTGTGCTTACCGTATGCCTTCTGCAAAAGCGAGGACCAAAAGAATTGTTGGGAGCAGCACAACAACAAATGAATCTCGACGAGGCTTCTTCCCGTTCTTCCAGTATGCCTCCATCGTCGGCGTGCATGTCATTCTCGTTGGTTTCAGTGCTCTCTATCTTCCTCAGTCAACTCGCCTGTTCGGACCACTTCCCGTACGAAAGACCGACAGGCCTCAGTCTGAGTTTATGGAAGCGCTCACAGCGCGTCCTGCGGTGACGGCTGCGTGGATACTAGCTGGACTATGCGTTCTGCAGGTGTGGTGGAGCACTTGGGTAAGAAAATGGTACTTTGGGCAGAATGCGATCGGAACACTGGACGAGATCAAAATAGCCAGAGCAAAAGTCAATGCGCTCTGGTTCTTGGTATGTCGCACAGGTTTGCATTTCTGCGGGGCGCGCATAAACTAGACACGTTGCAGAGACTTCGTGAAGCCGTCGGATTCACTCTGTTTGCAACGCTGGTTGCACACATCATCATCGTTCTCTTTGGGGCACCTATGTCAAGGCATGTACTGTGACCCATTTTTTTTTAGTCGGTGCAACCCTGAGCACCTTTAAAGCCATCATCTCCAAACGGGTCTCCTAGCTTCTACAGTCGCAGTCTTGACAGCCTTCGTACCCGCTTTCGTGTTTGGGTACCCCTCTCTCGCGTCAGACACGCCTGCATTGGCCAATAGGCTGAATTGGATCAGACTCTTCGCTGAGCTTTCGTGGGTGCACACGGCAGTATGACCTCTCCATGTTCGGTTTGCTAATGTACTAGGATGTAGACCTAGAAACGCAATTGAACGCGCTGTGGTTCACCCAGCTGTTGGAACTGTCGTCGGTGCGTGGGTCGGTGCCATTCCTATCCCACTCGACTGGGATCGACCCTGGCAAGTAAGTACCTGAATGTTCATGTTCATAATAGTTGTTTCATAGTCCCTCGTACTAGGCTTGGCCTTTGACTCCACTGTATGGAAGTCTAGCAGGTTATATCCTAGGCTCGTTTGTGGCACTCGCCATCAACTCTATGAAATGGCTGGCGAAAGAGCAACTGCGTTCGGTACAGCCGTCTACGAGGTACAAATCTAGTTGAGAGCCCACAAAGTGGTGGAAAAAATTATTTGGTGGGGGAATACCCAATCCTTGCTTTGCATAAGTCTCTATTACGACGACTCCGCTGAACGCAGGTCCCCGATGGATGGTGTGACGTAGTCGGGCACGATGGTGGAGGCGTTCGGGCCAGTGATATGATCTTCTGAGGTGACACCTGCCGCGCGTAGAACGAACGACTTCGTGAGTAACCTCGGGAATCCTGGTGGACTTCCGACGTACCTGTCAGGACAAGAAGAGTGGCGAGACCACCGGCTTGCCCGAACAATATGTCGGTATTCAGCCTGTCGCCTATCATGATCGTACGCTTAGGATCGAACTGAACCCTGCCGGAAAGGCGTCAATCTCTATCTTTCTGGATGAGAATAGAGGTGTATACTTGGCTTGAATGCAGTCTAACATGGTCTTTGCCGGCTTTCCTATACTGAGGGGGTCTCTGTTCAGGGCAAATCGTAGTGGCGCATGGATAGCGCCGGCTCCAGGCAGAAGACCATGCGCGCTTGGAAATGTACTATCCTCGTTCGTGACCAGGAATCGACAACTCGGGTCACGATGAAGATAATGAAAAGCCTTTGCAAGCTTCGTGTAATTGATCATGCTATCGAGACCACACAGCACTGCAGCAACGTCTGGGTCTGGTGTGAAGTCGGCCAGAGAGAACGGTTCCAGCGTGCAGTCCGCCGGATCCTAGTGTCGCCGTATGCGTATGAGATGCCCGAGGACATGGTAAAGTAAATGCGAGGCGACTGACTGACCGTGCCGCCGACGTAGGACACGCCCTCGTTACACAGCTCTTCCTCGATTCCTGACATACCAATGACGAATACCTTTTTGTCCTTAGGGAGCTTCATCACGGAAGAGATGTATACTGCAGCTGCGTATGCAGATCCATATATTTCGTCCTGATTAAATTAGAGAATTCCGGTTGCATTGGCACGACAGATCGGGACAGAACAATATGTCGCGACACCTACCACGTGTGCTTCAATACCGAGCTGATCGAACTTGGTTTTGTAGCTTCTCCGGGACTTGGCTGCATTGTTCGTCACGAAGAGCAGCCGCTTTCCTGATGGAATAATGCCAGTTATCTCGGGGGTTCGCGACACAATAGCCACGACACAGGGGCAGATAACACTTCACGACGACTTGCCTCGTTTGCGTAACATATCGAGAACCTCGACTGCACCCTCTATCGGCCGATCGCCACGCCAAAGTACCCCATCACAGTCAAACATCCAAGCATCGTACTTGTTGAGGAGAGCCTCATATTGCTCTGCAGCAGAGAGTCTGACAGCCATGTCTGTCTGATTTGAGTGGGAGACTAGAAACCAAGGATACCCGGGAGTGAACCAACCGATTGCAGTGAACGCCTCGCTTGCGTGCGGTATGGATCAATCGTACACGGGAGGTCTCCCAAAATTCCGACGACGTAGTCATCGGCACAAACACCAGCACACGCGCAGCCCGCTTAGCTCAGTGGTAGAGCGCATCACTTGTATCATTGCGATGATGAGGTCGGTTGTTCAATCCAGCCAGTGGGCATTTACAGGTTCGAAGGTCCTTTTTTTGTTTCAATATCGCTGCCCGATTGATACGGAAGTAGTTTCCGTTTGATACGTAGATTACACCGTCAGTGCTGAAAACGTACACAAAAACGTATTTAGATCTTCGACGTTGCGAACGTCCGCCTCTCTCTTTCATGGATCCACGCACGATGCCGCTGCCAGCTGCCGACCTCCATCTGCACCAATTCGCGCAACTCTCGCAAATCAAACGATAAGGACGCATCTGCCTGCAGTGCACCTACCACATATGATCTGTCAACAGGGGGGAAAGGACTTCAGCACAAGGGTTAGATGATGAGGCAGGGTGATACAGACATCACCGTGCTTGTTTTCAGGGGTTCAGTTCGCCCGCCGGTCTTTAGTTCAAAACACATCTTATCAAGGGGTATCTTATGCTCGTACCACATCTTGTAAGCGCGCAGAAACTGTGGACTAGCAGGTTCAGGTATGCAGTAATCTCGAAAGGAAGGCGGCCCGGTAACAGACGAGCTGGAGCTGCTACTTGTCTCCCAGGCAGTGGCACGGGATTCTACGCCCAATTTGACGGTGCGTGGGTCGATGTCGCATGAATACACCGAAACGTCGAGGCGCTTCCCCTCCTTAGCTGCCTTCTCCACGAGTGTATTATAGACCATGACAGCACAGTGACAGTCATTTGCGGCATCTGCATGTGCAATAGTGAATTCGCGGATCCGGAGTAGGCAAGTCTATGGCTACCTACAGTCTACCATTTCGCTGGTAAGTTTCGCTTCCCAGTTCGAAGTACGCACGCTATTCTTCACCAGGGTCTTCCCGAGATATACGGAGACCATCTTGGCAAGACTGACGACCTCCCGCTTGTACACAGTTTTGAACTTCTCATCAGCCTTAGCAGCAAGGGCACCCAGCTCTACAAGACCGCGTGCGCGAATGCCGAAGTCGCGATAGAGTTTCTCACCGTCCTCTGTCGTCAATACTGAGAGTCATACCCAGACTAATTGGAGGTCTCCACGTACTCTTTATATTGGCACCTGTCTTCACGATGTTTGGACACTCTATTACCTCCTAGCATTGTGTGAACATGACATTTTGGCGCCCCAGGAACGGTAAAACATATACCAGAACTTTCCTCGGGAACCCTTACGGACAAACGTTAGCACCGTCATTACAGCGCAAAGATAAGCGATAAGTCATTACTTTTCATATTGCTGATATGGATAAGCAGAATAGTCTGGTTGTCACATAATTGGACCAAGGCTGTCCTACGCTCAGCGGCGCCCGCTTGCCACATAACCCGCCATTCCATATCGAAACCCAAGGGACTATCGAAAAGGAGCCTCGCCATATAATTTCTGGGATATGTATGTATATCTCACCTTTCGAGGGACTGTACGAGATCGTTGGCTTCGTCCTCGCATTGCGTATAGAGGACCGCGGCAGGTGGATTTCGGTAATCGAGATAGCTGTATGTCGGAGTGGTAGAATTCTTCGCATCGTTAGATGGTTTGTCACAGGACAGCTTTCGTGCGGCAAATGGTAGAACCAGCTCCACAGCGCTGGAAGTTTGGCTGGGCTTCCTGATCGGAAGATGGACTGCCCGAGAAGACTCATGGGACTTCTCGGGAATCCGAACCGCACGCTTTTTCGAATGGGCACTTTTTTCACGCTGAGAGCCATCATATTTGGAAAGGATATAACGACTCACCGATTGATGTTCACTTTCTTAGCCAACTTGAAAGCGCGTGGAGGTGGTGGTTCGGGGCGGCTTCGGTCTATTGGTCTCTCAGTAGCTACCATGGAAAACCCCGCGGCAGGGTGCACCGACGTGACCGTGTCTTTGGGAGCATCACGTTGGTCAAACTGGGTGAAATCCCCATCACATTCTTTGCTGGGTGGCACGCCGGCTTCACCTTGAACCAGCCCAACGGCCTGGGTGCGATAGGATTGGAAAAATGGATGTGGCCTGTATATAGGCAAAAGGAAGTTGAGCAGCTGCTGGAGAGCGCGTATCATGCCTTGGTTCACATACGTTCGTGCAGTATTCAACCTGTGGCACGCGTCGGACTCTTCTTGAGCAGTTCGTTGTTTGTTGTCTTCCTTCAGGCCGGCGTCTTTGTTGGGTAAGTATATTCCTTCATAGATTTCTATAGACCAGTCGGATTCCCCGTTCGTTATCATTGGCTTCTGGTTCAGAGCTTCATCCATGATAGCTGGGTAATAAGTAATTAACCGCACGAAACGTTCCAAAGACAACGCGACGCGTTCGTCACGTGGCTGTCTGTCTCGGCAAATGCCAAGGTTTCATTTTGTCATTTCATTTTAAGCTTTAAGGACGGACGGAGCGCAGCGCTGAGTCTCGACTGTGTATGAAAGAAAAGGTTAGTGTGCTTTGCGACAGAAAACACCCGTGATCGATAGAGTGCCGCGATCGGACCGTGATCACGCGGAGCTTCGCATCTGCCACCAGGCACTGACGTTATAGAGGATGATAAGATGTTGATACTACCCCTCGTATGCCGCATGCCCCTGTCGTCAATCTGCAGCTCGTTACGATACGACGGCAATCCAAAGTGTGCATCCACATAGCTTGTCTGCGGAGGACTTGAACAGATGTCCGTGGACCACGCGCCGTCCTGACTCGATACGGTCACATGATGGGTAGTATTTCAACACTGGTACTTCGGCTCCGTACTGTAAGTACTTCAGCTCCCTCTTCTGCTGTTTCAGTTTGGTACTAGCTGGTTCTGACGGGGTTCTCAGAGAGGTTCTGGCCGGAGCTCAAAGTCGTAATACCGAAGTCAGCCGCATCATTGGTGCCTTCTGAGTTGAAGTCTGTGTGTCATGGAGCAGATACTCCGCTCGGATCTCTTACCGCAGCCATTACGTGTGGTCAAGTGAATGCCTTTATATAAGCAGTACGGCGCAATTGTTTTCTTCTTTCTTACTTCCACACGACGGTTTTCTCAGATCGCTCAATCCCGCACGTTCCCACTAGTAAGCGTCGAGAACCAGCTTGTTTGCAGGACTGTGGTTGTTCTGTCGCGTCACTTCTCAGGCACTGCATTGACGATGTCTGTCCTTTGCACCCCGTCTTCTGCGCCGCAAGATCGTGGTGCGCTAGCTCACCATGTGACCAGTACCGTCGACCATCACTATCAAACACAACTAACCCATTGCAGACCTGCCCCAACCATCCCACTGAGTGGCACTTGTGCTGAGCTGTCATGCAGAGCGTTAGAGACAACACCGCTGCTCTCTCCCGCGGTTCCATCCGCGCGGAACATGTTCTGGGATGAACTGAAGATATTGCTCAAGTATTCGCTCCCTATCTTTGGGTCAGTTACTTGCTTGATCCGTACATGGGGTTTCGATTGATCGCGAACTCGGCAGGATTCACGCCTTTGAATACAGTATGATGATGGCTACGGTGATTTCCATTGGGCATATTTCCACAGTCGCGCTTGCGGCCGCTACCTTGGGTTTCATGACCGCTAACGTTACCGGCTTAAGTATCGTTCAAGGAATGGCCAACACCCTCGATACAGTCCTTCCGTCGGCATGGACTTCTGATCAACCCCAGTTAGTCGGGCTCTGGATCCAACGGATGAGTAAGTTCACGCACGTGATAGATGGACGTAACTGACTTCCAGTACAGGTATTCTGATTTCCGTTGTATTGATTGTACGTACTCGCATTTCCCATCTGCTTCGTGTACTGATTCGCCCTAAGCCCGTGCTTGCATTATGGTTCCACGCAGAGCCCATCCTTGTAGGATTGAATCAAGATCCCGAGGTTGCAAGACTGGCTGCCATCTACTTGAAATGGGCATCGTTAGGACTCCCTGCCTACGCTTTCAATTGTGTATCCAGGTACGGCATATGAACCCTGCGGATGCCATAGGCGCTAATCACTTGTGGCCAGACGTTACTTTCAATCACAAGGTAAAGTGGAAGTCTACTGGCTACCAAAAGATAAATTGCCCACTCTCTACATCAATGCAGGACTATTTACTGTTCCAACCCGTATCATTCTTTATGTTGCGCCAATTAACATATTCTTGAATTACCTTCTGGGTAGGTGTGGTACTTGCTATTGCTGATCGAGGGTTTGACCATGTTCAGTATGGGGACCTGAGCCATTCTGCTTAGGCTTTATAGGGGCGCCTATTGCAACTTCGATTTCCTACAACTTTGTGGCTGTCGCATCTGTCGTTTATGGGGTCTTCTTTGTTCCGAGAACCGCCTGGCATCCGATCTCAGTGAGGGCATTCACGAACTTGGGTTATTTGTCCAAACTAAGCATTGGCGGTGTTGGTAAGCACCTCACGGATGCATCTGGACTTCTTTCACAAATGGCTTTAATACAGGGCAACTTGCGTCCTCGTGGTGGTCATGGGAACTCGTTGGACGTGCGTGGCTATATCCTTCTATTTTACTGACTTCATATCTGCCGACCGTCGGTCACAGTCGCCGCAAGCTTGTGAGTTTGTGACTAAGTTGCTCCCACGTAGTCCTGAGCTTCTTTCAGCCTTGGTCCCACCACTTTGGCGACCCAGTCTGTCCTTATTACGACCTCCTCGGCTTTCTTTCAAGCGCCTTATGCTCTGGGCATCGCTACTTCTGTTCGGTGAGTGCTTCCTCTGTGTGCCGTCATTTTCCTTTTTTTTTTTAATGCATCCCGGTTGCAGCATTGGAAACCTCTTAGGAGAGCAGAACGCGAGGCGCGCCAGGGCTGTCGTCAAAGCATCTTTCCTGCTTATCATTGTACTCGTAACCCTCTTCAGGTTCGTGTGACATGAGAAATTGGCGTTGGTACCCAGCTGTTTATGTGTTATCTTTGCAACAGTTCCACACTGCTAATTTTCCGCCGATCGTGGGGTTATTTGTTTAACAACGACCCTGGTATGAGTTCCCAAAGCACCCTTTACGATGTACTCTGAACATATATTGGCAGAGGTCATCGAACTGGTCGCCGCTGTTCTTCCACTTGTTGCGCTCGTGCAGGTATTCGACGATAGCAGCGCGGTAGTTGGTGGTATACTTCGAGCCCGGGGGAAGCAGGTAAGATGTTTTGTGCAACCTAGCTTTGGACGTTCTATTCATCGAACCATGCCAGGTTCTGGGTGCAACGCTGAACATTAGGGAAGTGGTTCTCATATTTAGGTTTTGTCAATACTGACGCTCTTCGTTTTTACAGTGCTTACTACGTTATAGGCCTTCCCATTGGCCTATGGCTGACTTTTAAGAGAGACCTCGGGCTCTTCGGCTTATGGTGGGGTCTCAATCTCGCTATGGCATACGCGACTTCGATCGGGCTGTACCTATGCTTTACCACTGACTGGGACAGGGAAGTGGAGAGAGTTGTGGCGCGTCTGGCCGTGGACAAAGGGTACAACCCGATGGACGAAGAACGCGCACATTAAAAATAACTGATCGCGAAGGATTGTTGCAACTGCGGCTGCCTGTGCAAAGTAGCGGGGAATATGTAAACGGATCACAATACGTAGATAAAAACGACTTGACACGGTGTAAAAACCTACAGCTCGACAAGATTACTACTCTTTCGCTTGCCTTGGTGTGTGGTGCCCGATCGGCCGCCGATAGGGGCATTTTACAGGCATGTCCCTTACAAGGTGCGGCGATACAGTATAGAACGTACCTGGAACGAAATATCAGCTGGCTTTACAGAATAGCCCAGCTTCGCAGTGTTAGCTATGGCTCTTGATCAAAACATACCATCTCGGAAGGCCTAAACATCTCCGATGCCTTGATACTTCTCTACTGAAAAACGAGCTGATTTACGCATTGAAATATCCGCAAAGTGAAGCCCTATTTCCGGCACTGAATGCATGTGTATCCAAGACTAATTGATACTCAAATTGACGTCGTTACCTGAGACCCACCGTCCTGGAACTGTGGGGCCGCTGATATGACCATAGTTACCTCACGTGTCCAAGATCCACAAACATTAATGAAGAGGATAGACTATGCCGCATCTACGTCGCGGGAGGGTATGCACTCCTGAGTGGCCTTTCCCCTCCAACTTCGTTGAATAGAACTGTAACTTGAGAGCGAACGCGTCAAGTTGAATGATTCCCTGCGTTGCACAGTAGGGACTGCGGGCCAGCTGGAAAGGCGGCCCGTTGACAGACTCAACGTTTGTATGTCAGCCCTGCGCACACACGCAGGGTAAAAAAAAGGAATTCCAGAATACAATGATTTTGCTACCGCCTACTATTGTTGACCCTGTGAGTGGTGAAAGGGCCGTCTCCTGCAGTGCGAATGTTGCAAGAAATAAGGCCGCCGGCGGAGTACGGTGATCATGAGTCACTCCTCTGATCGGAACAGCGGCACAAGATTGAGTTCCAGCGCAACAGACCGGGACTAGTGCGTCCGCGTACTGGAACACAGCAGCGTCTGTCGATAAGTAGCTTTCCCACCAAAATATTGGAAATAGTTGGGGTCAATCCGGGAGTATGGTAAGTAAAAATACTCTCATGACATTACAGTATGATGTATGAAGACGCGCTGGGAAATATGCTAGTAATGTACAATGAATTGTCGGTGCAGGCAATTGCACCCTAAGAATCCCAAACCAGTATACACTTCCAGAAAACCAAAAAGAAACGATACGATAGAAACTGGAGGTCGGGGACCTAGATCACAACTTCGCCATCGAAGGCTGCATCTTGTTGAGATATGCTGACGCGACGATTCTTCCCGTCTGTTTCTCGATGATCTGATCAGATAGGTGTCATCCGCGTCAGAGTGACGGTAATCAAGTAGAGATAAAACATACCTCACATCTGGCGCTCATGATGCGACCCCCCATTGCTACTGATGTGCTGATTATCCGAAGACACGAACCACTGTAATTGTTCCATCAAAACCTTCGGATCTTCAACTCGCGTCGTGACGTAGACTTACCCAGGCGCTGGAGAGTGGAAAAGGATGTTCATGGCCTGCGTGACGCCAACACCGTTGACATTTTGCACAAGCCCCAAAGCAACCAATGGGGTGCTGCAGCAACTAAAAAATAAAAGCGGCGTTGGTAGTCAAGAACGAAAATAGGCTTGGACCTTACTTGTCAATCAAGAATGCGACGCATCCGCCATGTAGCATCCCAGCGCCATTCAGCATGCCCTTGGTTACATCCACCTCCGCCACTGTGGTTGCATTCATTCTCCCATGCTTTTCCTTACATTTGGAAATGCTCATGTCGATAAATTTCACAGATTTGGCAACAGCGTGTCCAAAGCAACTTTCGTCGCCAGCTCCGTAAGCCATAAACGTATTCAAGATGAGCTGTTTCATGTGTGGCGTAACATTGCCACTGATCTTCGAAACATCACCATAGTTGGACAGCGAAGCCGGGTCAACCCAAGCCGTGCGAGAAGATGCGTTCGGTGACAAAGGGGAGTCCTCGAATCTTAACTTGTCGGAAGATGATGGTAATGGGGCATAGGCATCCTGGGTAGGAGCGGCGCCGCTTGCGTAGGCAGTGGAGGCTGGTCTAGGAGACATATTGGAGCAGGTGGTCGAATGGTAGTCTGAGGAGGTAGCAAACCGCATGCCAGGCCCTGCTATTTAACCATAACCACATCCAGATGCGAGAAACGGTCCGCTTCGCTAAATCGGGTGGTAAAATTTGTGTGAGCGTGTCAAAAATTGTTTCGTCAGACCAGCCTGATGGGCGAAGCTGGCGGAAGGCGTGGCACAGGAACTGACTGCGTAGTACAAGCAGGTTCATAACCCTTGCATCTGGAGCGGAATTCTCCTCAGATCGGAACAAGATCCATACCAAATCGGTCGCTCTCGCAACGCCACGTGGCTGCTCGTGATAAGGTCTTCCGACCTCCGCTGCCGCTATACTCGCACCTTCGACGTCTTCGCGAAGGTGGGCCCTCGAGGCAAAATATGATTGTTTCTGCAGTCTAGCTTCAGCTGATCCTGCCAAGAACGAAGAGAGCTACATACTTACCTGGGTGGGGCCACCAATATTCGTCATATTATCTCTCTTAGGGCCGAGAGCAAACAATCACAGTAGGATCGTAGGAACCTTGTTTCCAAAAATTTTCGACGTTACCCTCATTGGTAGGACCCTTCCGGGTGTGGTCTTTTTGCCTTCTCACGGCTATAGGGCCAGAAACGAACCAGTGGAGACCGTATCAAGCTGTGCTTGATGGTGGTGGCATTTTATCCCGCGACCCGTAATTAGAGCTTTGCAATTATAGTAGGATCAACACTCCTAATACGCAACGGGAAACCTTTGACAGAGCGTCCGACAGACTCGATGGTCTACAAACTGTAGTCAATGTTCTACTTGGTTCTCCAAATTTGTTAGCCGCGCTCTAACTTCTGACAGTATTGTTCACATGCATGGTAAAACATGCACTCGAGAGCCCCCGTGTCGTCGAAGCCAGTAACGTGTGGTTCGAGTACCGCCGGGCACGAGGTGCATGTACCTAACCTGCCCAGTGTGGTCAGCCAAATCAACTCGTCAGTACCAGTGCTGTGCAGAGTTCGAAAAACAGGGTGTGAACATCCCTCGCAGCTGAGCGCAAACACCAAGGTTCCGACACATGCACCATTGCTTACCTACATTTTGTCGCAACTTCGCGGAATGCAACGACTTCTCACGAGAATGGAGGAGCAAAGCGGCCAGACGTTCACATGGAAGGGAAATAGTAGTCGCTCGATCTAAGTATATAGACGCAATTCCGGGTCGCACGAGCAATTGACGCGGTCCCAAAAACACCATCGGATCGTACAGGATGTCTGCCTTCCGTTCGACACTATGTGAGAGTCTTGATCGGTGGTAAGGGGCATAAAAGCTTGTCGCAGTATCACGGCCGATGTGCTAGCACGATATCAGTCTCGGATTTGGGTGTTCAAATTTACATCTTCCAAAACGCCTGTGAAGGCACCTCGTGGACAACGAAGAGATACCCTTTATCGTGCTAAGACTTCCAAGTTCCTAGCTTGACGTATTCAACTGTTCGGTGAATAGGCCGAAATCTAACAGGATTTGAAAGGCCGTCAACAAAAGCACGAACGACGTGAATTGCCAGGCCTCGCGCTGTTATGCCAGAGCAATTGGAAAGTCTGAATGTTGGACGTGGCTCGCAGCCCCGCAGCAAGCAATCTTCGCCAAGTAGACTTAGCTAAGCAAATTAATCCGCAAAAATAATTTGGAAAATAACTCGGGCAACGCGCGTCCCCTGTCAGTGGTAAGGCATTCGAACGCGTCACATTCTTAGTTGTCCACCACAATTTGCATTCGATACGATGGAGACTTCGTTCGCTCTCACAGGCAAAGGCTATGTAATCGTTGCAGCCGATACCACAGCGGCCCGTTCCATAGTCAAAATGAAGGTCGACGAAGATAAAATCAAGGAATTGGGCACGCACTTGTTGATGGCATACTCAGGAGAACCAGGTCAGTCGTGGTTGAACTGGGTATCAACTGAAGATTGAGCCAGATCATATTTAATCCTCTTCAGGTGACACCGTTCAGTTCGCCGAATACGTCGAGCGGAACATCCGCCTGTACCAAATCCGCAATCTCTACCCGCTTCGTCCACCTGCCGCTGCCTCTTGGATACGTCGTTCATTGGCGCAGAGTCTCCGATCGCGCAATCCATACTCTGTGAACTTGCTCCTCGGTGGATATGACCAAGCTGAGAACAAACCGAATCTGTATTGGATAGATTATTTGGGCTCTGTGGTCGAAGTGCCGTTTGCTGCTCACGGGTATGGGAGCTACTTTGCGTTGAGTTTACTGGACAAGTAAGTTTGTTTTTGTATGCATTGTCGCGGATGGTTGGTTGCAGTCCTCCGAAGGAGATGCTAACGAATTACGCTGATCAGGTACCATGATCCTGAAGCGCCTTTAGAAGAGGGCTTGGCCACGTTGAAACGGTGCCTTGACGAGGTCACGAAACGACTAGTCGTGAGCCCAAGCAAGTACATGGTTAAGGTGGTCGACAAGGACGGTGTACGGGAGGTGGAGATTTGACGCTACTTTCTTCTGTCAAGCAATGCTGTATTCGCTATGTGACATGACTTATTATGCAGATGAACCAATAAAAGCGACGATATGAGCATGTCTCGGGAGGTGGCTGCTGCCTCGACAGCATCATATTTCGGTCACCTACCATCTGGTTCCAGGGGACTTGGTGCAAACTAGACGGGTATTCGCCTAGGACTGAAGTATTCGAGAGGCTGCTAGTATGTCGACTAAGACGGTGTCTCTATTATTCTATCTTGCTTCAAAAGCCCCTTTGAAACCCTTCGGTGGTTATGGCGTGTCCGTCTGTTCACGTCAGGCACAACTTTCATATATTCTAATCGTACAACGCTAACGTCCATTGCTGGTAATGAAATACATTCCCCAGTAGAGTCCCGAGTCCCTTCTCCGGATACTCCATATCAGGAAGCGAATAGATGGTTTAAACTTGTTTAAACTCGTCACTGACCGGTCCTGACCACGATTCCGTCATTCCCTGTCCCTTTGATGCAGAGATTCTACTGGGGATCATCGCACGTGTACCTTGCCAAGCAGCCCATCCATGGAGTTATAATGCTGATAATAATGCGACGTATCTGAGGGACCCATCATCGAAGAACGACACAAAGCCCCATAATTTTAACACTTAGTCACTATCAATCTGGGTCACCGTCAGAATTGGCAATCAAGACGGTAGTGAAGGTACTCGCAGTAGAGGCCATTTTGCCCCTGGCTCTAGATGCAGCAGCTCTCGTAGATCTCCCTGACGAGGCAAACGCGAGTGTCGATTGTGTGGAGTCCTTCGCTTTTGACGATGCACCACGTTTAGCGGGAGCTCTCTTGGCAGGTTGGCTATGACCGTAATTCCATCAGATGATTATCTGTTCGAGAAATGGAAACTGCAGTAACCCTCACCTCAAAACTGCCGCCCGATTAGTCCTTTTCGTCGATTTTGGGGTTGGTTCGTCTTCGTCTTCATCTTCGATACTCTCAAGGTCTATCACTTCCTCCTCTTCGCTCTCTACAGCCTTTTTTCCTCTGCCTTTTACTGGTGCCTTTTTTGCAGGGGCTTTGGTGGTTGTTGCTCTTTTTGGTGCAGTCTTCTTTGTTGGTGGTGGTACATCCAGGTCTTCGTCATCATCAAAGTCCACATCCGAGCCGCCACCGTCCACTTCCATCATCATCGAATCCACTGACGCGTTATCAGAATCCTCATCCCTTGCCTTCCCCTAACACAACCAAATTGAGAACGGCAGATAACGTGAGCGATAGTGGAATCACAGGTTACCTTTCCTTTTCCTTTCGCAGTCCTTCCTGTTCTGCTTCGTTCGGCATATTCCGTTTCGTGTTGCTCCCTGACTTTGACAAGCTTGAAGGTGTCATCATGTGCCCTACGCATCAAGGTTTGGCAGGGTCGACATACCACATTATCGAGGTCGCCCTCGTCCACCTCTCCGTTTGCTTGCACTCCTTTCATGAGGGCCTTTAAGGCGGTTGTCACATGCCTGGAATAAGTCATGAGCACCGGCCACATTGAGAACAAGGTTCCACATACGTTTGAATAGCATGGGAGTCATCTTTCTCTACGAACATTTGAATCGCATCCGACATCCCGCCCTCGCCCAAAAGCTGTAATTCCTGCGCTGCCAAGTATTCCTTGACGAGCGTCTGCATGCGGACCTTGGATAACTTTTCGGTGATGCTAAGTTCTGGGTCGTCGATGCTAAGCTCCGGTTGGTCAATCGTAACCTTGGAAGAGCGAGTTGTTCTTTTTGCACGGTGGAAGACAAGGACATCGCGCGGGTTTGCGATCCGTCCATGGAACTCCTGGCCAAACCGGATGGGGTTCGACATTTCACTTACACCCGTCGTATCAACCTTGGGGGAAATTAATGAATCGTGTCATTTCCAAGTGAGCCTCGACACACCTTCAATCGAACAAGCGGAAGCATAGGAGGCAGGGCTTCATCTCCATCCTCGACGGCTCGGGCATTGCGATCATCCCAGAGTTTGTTTGCCTGGTCAATAAGTGCGTTGACCTTAATAACTTCAGATCAACGGCCATAACACTGGAAGAAATCTATCATACTCGTGATTTCAAGAACTTGGAAACAGCGATCTGATCATTCAATTCGAAGTCTTCCTCTTCGGCAGCTTCGCTTAACACCACCTCCTCTAGCACGAACGGGCGCACCGTGCGGAGGGGGATAGGCTTCATTTCAAATTCCTTGTCTTGTATTTGGAGTAATGCAACGTGTCTGTGGAACGATTGTCAAAATCTATATGCTATATAGTAACTGGTGTAAAGCATTGATCCATACTTCTCAATTGACTCGCCGTCTGCCAGTGAAGTGGCAATCGAAGATCCGGGTTGTGTGATGTAATACGGTTTCCCTGCTACCGGCTCTGGTACAATCCGACAGTCGTGTTCGTGGCCCCATACAACCAGGTCCACGCTGTCATCGAACATCCCTTCAGGCACGGACTCTTGAGCTCCGTGCCGTACGCTGTTGGCAGGAATAATCGAATAAGAGAGAACCACGTCCTGAATCAAGAACGCGCATACCGATTTTGGTGAAGGAGAAGGATATTAAACCATTCGTCTCTGTTGCGAGGCATGTACATTCGCACACGGTTACTACGAAGTTCAAAGTGCATGCGTTGATCCTTGACGTTGCCGACACCATACAAACCCAGATGCGTGGTTCCTTTCCGAAGGAGGACGGGTCTTATGGCGATTCCTGCGGTTTGTGCGTCCGCTTCTGATAGCGGCAAGTCAAATTTCCCCATGTAGTTTATGAGACCCGAAGCAGACAGCACATCCAAAGCGCATAACGCCCCTTCCTAAATGTTGCGGTTAAGACTGCGTGCAGTTAATTGATTTGCGACCTACTGGTCCGGCACCTTGAGGATCATCGTGATTTCCGTGGATAGAAAAGATGGGTATGGCTACATTTAGGTTTGGGTCCTCGTAATTGATTGCTGGGAAACTGTAATCCCATGAGCAGCGTCACGATTGTTATGCTGTGTGCTTACTCATAACTTGCGGCTTTGCCTTCGTTAGGGTCGCTGAGCAATTCGACTTGAATCGGTTTATCACCCATAGTATATTGCCGCAGGAGACCGGTGACTTGGTAGAGACAGTCTCGCGACGGTCTATTCTCATGAAACAAATCGCCAGCCAGTAGGATGAAATCGACCTGTTATGGTTTCAATCCCTTGTTCGACAAGAACAGGCGTTGAATCCAAGGTAGCCTTACGAGCCGTGCGGCCACCGTACATTGCAAGAAGGATGCTCACATCGTGTTTGACGGCCAGTTGCAATATTTCCTTGAAAGTGTTGATAGAGTCTTGGCCACGGATAGGGTCTCGCTCTAAATAACCAATGTGGTTGTCCGTCGCTAGCAGAATCCGCATGGTGTTGTCTGGATCTGATCTTGCATTCGACAGCACCCTAGAGTATGATCAACAGTCGCTACGCACCTGCATGACGCAACGTGGGCGCTGGCGGCACTGAATCTCGGCCTGCGTCTGACATCTTCCTAGTCTTGACTTTCCAGACGACTCACGCCGGACGCGACGCGGCAGATTATATTGGCCCACGTGACCCCCAGAGCGGAAGCAGTTGTTTCGACTCTGAGACTGCTGCGCTTGACTGTCACCCCCTGGACACCCGGCCCTGCAAACTTTTTCCCTCACGCTCCTTCAATACCAGGCAAAACTAAGTAAAGGACACAAGACCACGGCCTGGTTCATTCTTTTATATCGAAGGCTGGAAATCGTCGGTATCATACCATCGTTTCCCTCTCAATGACCCCCAGCGACTAAATCTCGTCCAGCTTCACCCTTGTTACCACACCTAATAATTCGTCGAACAATGTCTCCCCATCACAATGCCCGGGCCCAGCAGCAAAACAACCGGTTACTCGTTGTAAGTGGTGTGCGAAGGATTATGATACTTGCAGGCGCTGAATTGGGGTAGACGGGAACCGTGTCGTTTTACTTGATTGCTGCATTGGCGGTAGGCACCTGTTCTTCCCATGTTCAGCAGCTCTCCAACATCCGGTTTCACTTTACAGATGGTCATGGCGTACGCATGTTTCCCATGTTCTTCATGTTGTTGATTAATATGGAACCAGCAACAAATGGGTGTTACAGACGACCACCGTACCGCTGTTCTTCTTGTTCACCCAACTCGTGATTGCAGTTGTCCTTTTCCTTGCATCTCATGCTGTCGGTCTAGTGCAAATACCACTCTACATTGATGGCCAGCTTATCAGGGGTCTTGCCGCCACTGTCGGTCTTAACGTGGTCGGCCTCAGGTACGAGTATCATAATGGACTCGTATGCTTCTGCACACTCTATCTTTTCCCCTAGTTTCAGCAACTTCACTCTTAAATATGTAGACGCGTCCTTTTACCAGGTTGCTCGCGGTCTACTATTACCCCTCACGGTTGCAACATCTTACTTATTCCTGCACTCACGGCCGTCCTTGCGCATCCTCCTCTCCTGCTCAGTGGTAACGCTTGGTTTCTTCATCGGTGTCTTCTTGGACGCAATACCTATTTCTTCTCTTGGCCTAGCCTTCGGCGTCACGAGCTCCGCCATCACCGCCGTTCACTCGGTAGTCATCAAAAAGAGTCTTGACGTTGTCCATGGCAGTGCGATGCATCTGTCCTGGTACACGAATCTATTTAGCGCTGTTCTCATGATACCTCTTGTCATCCTCGCGGGAGAGTTGCCTGGTATTGCAGAGCTGTTCTTTGGAGAGACTGTAGCTGTCTTTCCTGCCGACGGTGGACTCTCTCCATTGAGTACCTTTATCTGGGGATCTCTCATCACGGTGAGCACTGCAATCATTGTACACGTATTGTAGCCCTGACTGACAGGTTAATGTCCCAGGGATCCTTTGGCTTCTTGATGAGCGTTGCTAGTGTCTTGTCTATCAAGGTCACCTCTCCTATTACGCACATGATATCTTCTGCTGTTCGTGGTGTGGCGGCATCTCTCCTCGGGATGTGGTTATTTAATGAGCTCTTGTCGGGGTAAGCATGTTTGCTTCTTAAAATGTACCTCCAGGTTGAACTCTCACAACTTCAGCGGACGTATCTCTTCCATAGCTGTTATCCTTGCTGGTTCTATTTACTACACTTGGGTAAAGCACGTCGAATCTCAGGCACCACGGTCAGACGCGAACTCGACCAAGTACGAAAGAGTTCCACTGGATGACGTGGAGGTTGGGAATGGTACGCCTGTGAAGCCGGAGTAGAGATGTCGATTTTAGTTTGTTGTTGGTGTCGACCTTAAATACCAGGCGCCTACTCATGGACCCTTCGGACGGTCTGGACACGACGTTCTCCTGTCATCGCTCTTTATAATTGTGTATCCTAATAATCATATTGCGTGAGGGACTGTTTCCGGTTGTTCCAGTGCACTGAGCAAGTTTCGATCTTGTTCGAGAACCAAGTGCGCGTTTCGCGAATGTGGCTGTAATCCATTTCATATCGACTGCCAAATGCCATGCCCTGATATCACCCTTGGCGCACCACTTGCTGCGAACACTTCGAGCACCACTGTCTCAGACGCTTCTCCCTCGCAGAATTCACCCGCACGATATCGCAACAAGAATGTTTGGGTGTTGTGTCGCTGGTCGCCTTCTCCAAACGAATCTCCAACAAGTTGACGAGACACACGCACTGTTTGAAATACCTGCTGCAGAAAAAGTGAACCATATCTGCGTATTCTTATTGGGAACGAGTGCGTCGTTTCCCATCCCAGTGGACAACTTAGCTCTGACAAGCCCACAGTTCCATTCCCAGATGGCTACGGCTGCACAGTGCACTTCTTTTGGCCTGGGAAAGGCTCTCAAGTTCTCGGAATGTGGGTATCTTATCCGGACTTTACCAGCCATTTCACAGTTTGATCTGGATGACATCAGGCTGTCTAACGAGAAACCCTCTGCAATCTTCCGTTTGCGCTCTGCTTTCTCCACCCCCGCATCCGGGATGAGCACACCGTCTGCATTTACTTCAGCGGCATCCTCGACGACCGGAGAGGTTACGGCCATCCTCGGTCTCGCAATCGAGCCACTAGAAACAGTCATGGCACAGATGGCGGCACTTCCTGCACATACGATTAACTCTACGCTGAACGCGGCGTCATCGTCAGTCACTAGACCACTCGATCCGACCATCTTGGCGGAGAAAATAGCCAAGCACCTGTTTAATTATGTGTCTGGGTTTTCAGGGATGCAGAACATCGGGCCAGATAATCTCGTCCCGATCGGCCTCATTGCCAGATGGTATGAGAACTTTACAAGTAAACTCAAGACAGTTGGGGCAGGATTCTTGGAAAGATTGGAGTAGGCGAAAGTGTACCATCTTTGGTTTTGATGAAATAGTTGCTCTCTCGATCCACTATGTAGGTGATCTCTGCTGCCGGCGGTCGTTCTGGGAACCCTGCGCAGCATCCACTAACTTTACCCTGTACCACGCTACTAACGTTTGTGTTGTTTGACCCAGGGGATAGGGAGTAGCCGATGAGGTCTCTCCTGTCATCATGTCGAGTGGAGGGGGGGGGGGGGGAGTGAAGAATACTCAAACGCCATCCCACTGGTGTCCTAGTGGACAAATGACAATTGGTACTATCCTTGTTGCGTTCTCAATGGATAAGATTAGTCAGACTCAACATACAGGAGTTGTCAGAAATGACATTTAAAAAACTGAGGAAGCAGAATCGTTGGTGTGAAACTACCCAATGCGAACACTTGTCAGAAAGAAGTGGGTTATGTCAAACGAGACAGACAATTCAAGACAGAGAACAGTTGATGACAGGACGGTTGGAAACAAGGCAACCAAGTGTCAGTCGGGACCCAACACCCCTGTATCGAAACAACTGCCCCAAGAACGATTCCCAGATATTTCTGAGGAAGGCAAGTTAACCAAGTAGACTACGCGAATGCGCTTATTACAGAAAGGTATGTATCTGTATCTCAGGAGAGACCACGGCGCGCGATGTGGGAAAAAAAGGCCACTTTGCAGCAGGAGCTTCCAGAGGACAAAGTACTCGGTTTCCTCGTTTATGCGCAATAAGGACGATTCAGCTACGTGACACCTTTGCTGGTTCGGATCTTCAGAGATGATCTTGACATAGAACAGGCAAGACATAGCTCGGGAAACACTACACACCACAGGGGTGTCGTACTTTGCCATACAGTTCCATCCAACGTGCCGTGAAGAGATGACCGCACATGCTCGGCCTGTGAAAAGGACCCGTCTTGATTGAGTCGTTTCCAGCCAACCCGTCACTGTGCATGCAACGGGTGGACCAAAAAAAACATTCATCAATAGTATATCTGGGAAGCACCCTTCCTGGCATGCACCGGACGGATATGATGGTGTGAACATGGCGAGAGTCATGCGTGATACACACGATGCAGAAAGTGACGATGTAACAGGGTAAAGATAAGCCAAGACTCACTGCAGCCCAAGTAGCACTCCAAGCAGAGTGGGATTAAGTCCCATGCAGGTCAGGCCAGCTGGAGCACCAGATGGACGCAACGAACACAGCGACTGGGAGCACATTATGATCCGCCTGGACATGGAAGTGTGTAAATGCAGTACGGCTGCCGTATGCAATTCACGGTGTTCTGCGAGTACATACTGACCTGTTGCCGAGGATGATAGAACGAAGTGAAACCGCCCCTGCCCTGCACGAACGTTCGTGATTCCGACGACGGGTGTTACGACCCTGACAGTGACGATGACGCCGGCGAGTGCCAATCATAATTGGGCGATGAGCCCAGTTCAGAGTTCAATTGCCAGGTTTTGAAGTATGTCATTGTCGACCAGTGTAGACAGGTCGTCGGTTTGTTCCGGTGTGAGTGGCGCCAGCGACAGGGACGCTCACACAGCCGTGGCAGCGAGCTCGGCCGTCTCAGCCCAACTGCCACTTGTTCTATGTTTCGTCCATCTTCGCAAGTAATCCGACGAGCTTCTCTTCGGCGGGGGATGCTACCGAGACACTCACAAAGTCGCCCAACTTCCAGCTTTGTGAAGATAGTCGAGGTTGGTCCCCGGGATGGTCTCCAGAACGAGCAGCGCCCGATTTCCCCAGCTATTAAGGCCGAGCTTATAAACCGACTTGCTCGTGCTGGAATGCGAAATATCGAAGTAGGGAGTTTCGTTAGTCCAAAGTGGGTTCCGCAGGTAAGTATGTGATCTACAGCCAGTATCATAGAGTGGCTGCTTCACTCTCAATGCAGATGGCAGGTACATCAGAGGTTCTGTCCTTGATCGAACCAGTAGCTAACACGAGCTACTCCGTCCTGGTACCCAACCAAAAGGGCCTCGACGATGTCCTCAATCTCCTCTCACGGAACTCTTCCCCACCACCCATCACTGAAATAGCTGTTTTTACCTCAGCGACGGACGCTTTTTCCAAAGCTAATACCAATGCCACTGTAGCTGAGTCATTGGCTCGTCTAGCTCCCGTAGTGCGTGTGGCCCTTGATGCTGGCCTGAGGGTACGCGGCTACGTCTCTGTCATCATAACATGCCCCTACTCCGGAAGAGTAGACCCACGGAGAGTCCGAGAAGTAGCACGTGAACTGCTGAAGATGGGTTGCTATGAGGTTAGTCTGGGGGATACCACCGGTGCAGGCACGCCCGCAAGTGTCCGTGCTGTTCTGGAAGAAGTGACAAAGGACATCAGCGTTAGCCAGTTAGCTGGACACGTGAGTCTCTATACATGGTCCACGATGAGTCCTGACATCTGCTGATGCTGCGTAGTTCCATGATACCAACGGCACGGCACTCGCCAACATCAAGACGGCTCTTGATTTTGGTCTAAGGGCCTTTGATGCCTCCGTGGGAGGTCTGGGAGGTTGTCCGTACTCGCCAGGTGCAACGGGCAACGTGGCTACCGAGGACGTCGTGTATGCCCTCGTGGGAGAGGATTCGTATGGTGACGTTGGTGAACCTTACTCAGGTGAGCGGCTGAATCAGTAGTCACGTTGAGTCTAACTCACATGCCGCTTTATAGATAGCCCTGTTGTGCAAGGGCCTGCGTGGGATGTTGGACCAGTCTCTCTTCCATTGCTGGCAGACACCGGCTCATGGATCTCAAGCGTTCTTACGAGAGAGACCACAAGCCGAGCCGGAAAGGCTTTGTTAGCTCGTAAGGAGCGCGAGCGGAGACTGTCGGAGTCGGCCCAGGCAAAACTCTAACGCAGGGAGAGGTGGGCTTCGCCATTGGTACGCTTTTTGGTTCGTGGACTCTTTCTTTTGTACCTGTAAGGACGACATTGCTATTCGTGGAAGCTTTCGTTACTGTCTGTGGTTTTCCTTGCACTTCCCATGACTTTTAGAACAAACATTATCACAGGACCTATCAAAGTACTAGGAAACGAAGAGTGTAGTGTAGGTAGTAGCGTGAGTTGTAGTAAAGTGTGGTAGTAGTTGGATGTTGTTCACGCTGTGCTGTTTGGAGATTGCATCTAATCTGCAAACCTGACAATACTTTTCTGCCTTCTCTGCAGCCACGAACTCCATGGCAAGCGTTGTGCTTCCTCCGGGCACAGCGCCAGTTAAGACCGAGTAGGATCAGGTCGTTATTGAATTATCGCAGCTCACATACTACTGCGTAGATTTCTCCTCCATAACATCAATCTGCCAGCCACAGACGACGATGCTGCCGAGGGATCAACCTCCCACGCGGGGCGGGGTCCATCGAGACCTGACGCGGACGCTGATTCTGCACCCGGCGGCCGCAAGAAGCTCACCAAAGAGCAAAAGAAGGCGCAGAGAGGTGCCAATAAAGGTCGGAGGTTTGGAAAGGTGCGCGACGAACTTGAATTATGCTGGCGGATTGCCAATGGTACTATCTGTGAACATGGCACCGAGTAGGTCGTCATCATGTTCTCTTTTTTCGTTGCGTGGTTTACGTCGCTCATAGGTGCCGCTTCACCCACGATGTGGATGCGTATCTCGCTGCGAAGCCAAGAGATATCCATTTCCCACCGACCAGTACATTGCGAGAAACTCAACCGTTTGTAGTTGTCAACGAACCATCTCAAAACGGAACGGAAGGAGGAGAATCTTCCTTGGACTTTGGTACTACTTGTACATGCTTTGATGAAGCTGGGGAATGCCGTATGGGATTCAAATGCAGATTTCTCGGAGCTCATGCACGCAGAGGCGACGGCGGCGCTGTCACGCTTGTGGTCGACGAGGAGAAGAAATCAAGGGTCGCTCTTACAACTACTGAGCTTAACCATGTCAACTCGGAAACCTTGAAAATCGTACGTGCACGGAAGGTCAGTTCTAGACGTTCTGTCCAGTTATTCATACGGAAACGAGGAGTCCAGTACCCGACGCCAATCGCAGACGCATATCTCCAAGATTTGGATGCTATTGTCAACGGAAGCGGTGATGTGGAAGAACCCCAAGCTCAAGAAAGTCAAAAAGCAGGCAACGCAGGGAATGACCCTGTTGGCGAGCTTATCACCCAGCGCACTGGCGAGACACGCTCCCAAGCCGAGACTCCCGACGTTCCCATGCGCTTCTCTGAGAAGAAGCGACTTCATTGGACGGGAAAAACTTGTAGGTGTTCCCGTGCTCTCGTTGGAATGGCTTTCCTTACGACCGACAGACCTCGCACCCTTGACGACGGTAGGCAACCTGGTATGTCGAGAGAACTGCTGTATCACCGTCTATCTAATCTTTCCTAGCCGTTCCGGCGACTCTGCGTGTCACTCGGCGCTGATATTACGTGTGGTGAAAGTAAAAAACAATTATTAATCCTACTAGTAGTCCTTCCTTACCAACATGATTTCAGTGGGACTCGCTACGTCTTTTCTGGCCGCCTCGCGCGAAGAATGGTCGCTTGTGCGCCGCCATCCGTGCGAGTCCATTTTCGGGATTCAGCTAGCGGGTAATAAACCATCTACGATGGTACCTACTGCCGAAATTCCTGGGAAAGGAATTTGCAGGAAGTATTGATTTTGTCGACATCAACTGTGGATGTCCCATTGATCTAGTATTCCGCTCTGGAAGCGGATCTGCTCGTGCGTTTCTACTTTCGCTCGCCATCTGGGCTTCGGAACGACGGGCGTTCACACAGTGCTCGACACCCCGGGGAAGCTGGGTAAGATTGTTGTGGGCATGAACAAAGCCCTGGGGGAAATTCCTGTCACTGTCAAGTTGCGCACTGGAGTTAAAGACGGCCGTAACACGGCCCACAAGCTCATGCCGAGGCTTGGCACAGAGTGGGGTGCTGGATGTATTACTGTACGTCTGGCGTTCCTTCATTTACATGTGCCACAACAATCCACTTGATATCCAGTTGCACGGGAGGACGCGGCAGCAACGATATACAAAGCTCGCAGATTGGGACTATATAAGACAATGTGTAGAGGCTGTCAGGGCGCGCGAATCTGAGGAAGGATGTAGGTGTACCTTGCACTCTCATAATATACTACATCCGCTCATCCTTGTACAAGTGGCCTCTGTTCCCATCTTCGGCGGCGGGGATTGTTTCTCATCCCAAGATTATTGGGAGAAAATGGAAGGTACTGGAGTAGATGGTATCATGATCGGCAGAGGTGCATTGATCAAACCATGGATCTTCACTGAGATCAAGGAACGTAGGGAGTGGGATATCAGTTCCAGAGAACGCCTAGAACTTATCAGGAAGGTGGGTACCGAAATCGTGCTACCACGTAGCGGAGGATTGACGTCGAAATATGTGTGGTGGTGCTTGAATTTCGAAGCTGGCGGAGTATGGGTTGAGGTAGGCGATACTCGATTCCGAAGAGTAAGGTCATAAACCTCGTTTTTTCACCAGTCACTTTGGAACGGACACGGCGGGTGTGAACACCGCGCGGCGCTACCTCTGCGAAGCTCTTTCCTTTCAATACCGCTACATTCCGATCGGCCTCCTGGAGCGACTTCCGGCGCGCATCAACGAGCGTGCTCCCGCGTTTAGGGGTAGAGATGAGCTCGGTGGGTTCAGGGAGATGTTTCTGATCGATACACGACTGATGTCATCAAACAGAAACCTTACTTGCCAGTCCGAACAGTCAAGACTGGGTCAGAGTGTCAGAAATGTTCTTGGGACCAGCACCAGAAGCATGGTCATTCACTCCCAAACATAAGAGTAATTCGTACTCGGACGAAAGCCAAGGATAAGCAGCAACAAAACAGGGATGTGCACATGTATCATCCCATGCAAAACGGGGCGTCTCGTTTGCAATCAATGTTTAAAATGTATGCCTTGAGCGAAGTAGGAGTTACTACAGCCCTCGACTTTTCGTCTCTGTGGTATTGGCGTGTTGTGACCTTGTCTTGTTTGCTGACCCAATAGAAGTATGATACGCCCGTGGAGGATATTATGCCTGCATGCAGGGCAATATGCCTAATGGCAGAGAATTATGCTTTGGTCTCGTTATTGCCATCGCACTGTTCTCTGTCGTGACATTACTCTCCTTCGCTCCGAGCACAGTCCGCTTTCCGCCCGCCCACCTTTGAGTTTCCACCAGTCTTGTTTGCGTATTTTCATAGAAACCTCCTTCCGAAGGTCCAAGTGCGATGCGATAAAGCTTGCGTTGTGCGTGTACCATCTTCGCAAGGACGTGTGCGGTAAACCAAGGATGCCCCCGAATTATGGCTCACAGCTACATACATCTTTGTACAACTATGTGTTCCGCTTGCTGAAAAGCACAAGTCGCTGAATGCAGCCGCGCCCGTCCAGCTCCTCCAATTTCACCAGTTGTTTGCGTCCAGGAGGCCGGAGGACTTGTGGCACCAACTACTGAAATATTTTCGTGTCGGTTAACCTTGGTCACTGAATACCAGTCCGACTTGGTTCTTCTGATTTGCCACACGGCAACCTCGTGCCCTCAACCACAACTATGAGCATCGATCCCTCACTCCAGCGTTGTCGTTACTATTCTGCGGGACGTTGTAACAAAGGTTCAGATTGCAACTTCTCACACGGAAGCGAGGACTCTCTGGCATCGGACTGCTGGGGTGAGTCTACCAGCGTTGTTGAAGCAGTTAACCACCTTGCTACTCACTCCCGGAACGAGCACCAAAAACTTTGTCGCTACTGGAAAGCGGGCAAATGTAAAAGCGGTTCCGACTGCAAGTTCTCACATGGAGCCGAGGACTCTCTAGCATCTGACTGCTGGGGTGATTCTACCGGTGCTGTTGAAGCAGTTAACCCCCCCGCTACTGGATCCTGGGACGAGCGTCGGAAAACCTGTTCCTACTGGAAGGCCGGCAACCGTAAAAATGGTTCCGACTGCAAGTTCTCGCGTGAAACTGAGGACTCTCTGGCGTTGGACTGCTGGGGCTCTTCTACCAGTGCAGTTAACCCACCCAATACTGAATCCCGGGGCTCGCCCCGGAAAACTTGTTCCTACTGGCAGGCGGGAAACTGTAGAAATGGTTCGGACTGCAAGTTCTCACATGGAACAGAGGGCTCTGTGGCATCGGACTGCTGGGGTGTTTCTACCAGCACTGTCGAACCAGTAGACCTCGCTACTGAATCCTGGGACAAGCGCCAGAAAACTTGTTCCTACTGGAAGGCAGGCAACTGTAAAAATGGTTCCGACTGCAAGTTCTCGCATGGAACTGAGGACTCTCTGGCATCGGACTGCTGGGGCACTTCTACCAGTGCAGATAACCCACCCGCTACTGAATCCCGGGGCGAGCCCCGGAAAACTTGTTCGTATTGGAAGGCAGGCAACTGTAGAAATGGTTCGAACTGCAAGTTCTCACATGGAACAGAGGACTCTGTGGCATCGGACTGCTGGGGTGCTTCTACCAGCACTGTCGAACCAGTAGACCTCACTACTGAATCCTGGGACAAGCGCCGGAAAACTTGTTCCTACTGGAAGGCAGGCAACTGTAAAAATGGTTCCGACTGCAAGTTCTCGCATGGAACTGAGGACTCTCTGGCGTTGGACTGCTGGGGCACTTCTACCAGTGCAGATAACCCACCCGCTACTGAATCCCGGGGCGAGCCCCGGAAAACTTGTTCGTATTGGAAGGCAGGCAACTGTAGAAATGGTTCGGACTGCAAGTTCTCACATGGACCAGAGGACTCTGTGGCATCGGACTGCTGGGGTGCTTCTACCAGCGCTGTTGAAGTAGATAACCCTCCCACTATTGAATCCTGGGGCGAGCGCCGAAAAACTTGTTCCTACTGGAAGGCGGGCAAATGTAAAAATGGTTCGGACTGCAGGTTTTCACATGGACCAGAGGACTCTCTAGCATCGGACTGCTGGGGTGCTTCTACCAGCGCTGTTGAAGTAGACAGCCCCCCTGCTACTGAATCCTGGGACTGCTGGGGTGCTTCTACCAGCGCTGTTGAAGTGGATAACCCCCCCACTACTGAAATCTGGGAGTGCTGGGGCGCTTCTACCGGCGCTGTTGAAGTAGATAACCCCCCCGCTACTGAAACCTGGGAGTGCTGGGGCGCCTCTACCGGCGCTGTTGAAGTAGATAACCCCCCTGTTACTGAATCCCGGGGCGAGCGCCGGAAAACTTGTTCTTACTGGAAGGCAGGCAACTGTAAAAATGGTTCGAACTGCAGGTTCTCACATGGAACCGAGGACTCTCTGGCATCGGACTGTTGGGGTGCGTCTACCAGTGCTGTTGAAGCAGTTAACTCCCCTGCTACTGAATCCGGGGGCAAGCGCCAGAAAACTTGTTCCTACTGGAAGGCGGGCAACTGTAGGAATGGTTCGGATTGCAAGTTCTCACATGGAACCGAGGATTCCGTGGCATGGGACTATTCGGGTGCTTCTACCAACGCTGCTTGAAGCAGTTAACCTCCCTATCACTAAATCATGGGACGAGCGCCGACAAACTTGTCGCTACTGGAAAATGGGCGACTGTAAAAATGGCGCGGACTGCAAGTTCTCACATGGAGCTAGGGACTCTCTGCCATCTGACTGTTGGGCTGCTTCCACTAGCGCTGTTGAAGCAGATAACCCCCCCACTACCGAATCCTGGGGCGAGCGCCGGAAAACTTGTTCCTACTGGAAAGCGGGCAACTGTAAAAATGGTTCAGATTGCAAGTTTTCACATGGAACCGAGGACTTCGTGGCATGGGATTGCTCAGGCGCTTCTACCAGCGCTGTTGAAGCAGTTGACCTCCCTGCTTGTCGCTTCTGGAAAATGGGCAACTGTAAAAATGGCGCGGACTGCAAGTTCTCACATGGAGCTAAGGACTCTCTGCCATCTGACTGCTGGGCTGCTTCCACTAGCACTGTTGAAGCAGATAACCCCACCACTACTGAATCCTGGGGCAAACACCGGAAAACTTGTTCCTACTGGAAAGCGGGCAACTGTAAAAATGGTTCGGACTGCAGGTTCTCACATGGAGCCGAGGACACTCTGGCATCTGACTGCTGGGGCACTTCTTCCAGTGCTGCTCGAGTGGTTGGCCCCCCCGGTTCTCTCTCCCAGGATGAACACCAAACAGTCTGCCGCTACTGGAAAGCGGATAATTGTAGCCAAGGAGATTCTTGCCGGTATCGTCACGCCGATGATGTCCGTTCATAATTGTGCCTGCTGGTTCCTAAACTCACAAGTTTGCTTAGGTCCCTACTGACCCAAAGATGGCACAGGGGGAGGCAACGATAGGCCGGCTCGTGCAAGGCTCTATTGTCACTTTCAGTGCAGGTCTAGACGTCATCGGCCTTACTACTGGTTTTGAGTTGTGCACCCTACGTGTGAAGAATATTTCCGCAGACGTAAAGGAGGATGATCTCCGTGCATTAATGTCACAACAACAGGTGGATCCCAATCGTTTCTACCCTGTCGACATCAAGAGTGTAGGCGGAGGAAAGGTCGAGGCCGAAGTTGTGACGGACGGGGAACTAGGATGGGTGTTGTTGGCGATATTCGAAGACAACGGACTGGAAGCTGAAGTTTCAGGATTCAGCACATCGCAGGGGATGGCTGCATCATCGGCGCAGGATGCCACTGTCTTGACCCTATCATGGCCTTCCCCTGCCGTGCGATATGCAGTGATGTGCATCGATGCAGCTGCCGCTCAAACTAAAGTCCATGAATTAAATGGCTGCACTTACAATAATCGTCGCGTCAAAGCTCAAATGAGCAACGAACCTTTTAGCTGCACTCGTATACCGCTTGGACCGGATGCCATCATCGTCAGTGACCTTCCCCCGGAAACAAGTGACACTAAAATGATGGCGTTTTCTGGATCGAGTTCCGTGAAACGATTGGAAAGGACACCGTCGCTCAATGTTCGCGAAGTCGAAGACCATCTATATGATGTTATATCACGTATCGCCCCCGAACGTGTTCGATCTCTCGACCTCTCGTTGATGCCCGACCCGAGTGGTTTTCTTTCGATTCGTGCTTGCTTCTGCTCTCGAGAAGATGCCCTTGCTGTCCAACAAGACTTCGAGGCCAGCGAATATGGGAAAGATGTTGGGATGTGGCTACGTGTCCCGCGTCCGATGGATTTTACTATATCCCTCGACCCGGAACAATACAGTGCGCAGAAAACTCAGTGGGACGCCCTGATGAGCGGCATCGAAGACCCGAAAGCATGCATGCTGAACATCCACAAGCAAGGCCACACTGTACGCATACGCCTAAGCGGATCTGAAGAGGATCGCCTTGGGACGTTGAAGGTCAAGGTCGAGGATCTAGCTAGAGGTGAAACAGTGCGAGGTTGGCATAGGACTTTGGCACACCCCAAAGATAGATTTTCGAAGCAGGTTTACGTTGAAACAGGAGCATATGTGCGAGTAGACCGGAGGACCCAGACGATAAAGGTATATGGCTCAGCGGCATCGATTGAGCGTGCTCGAAAAAGGATCAGCGAAGAGCTCGATAGATTGTCCTCTATATCGGACTACACGGTCACCGTCCCGGAACCAGCAATCCAAAGCTTGTTAGCGAATGGAGGGGGCCTAGCTCAACTAAAGGAAACATTTGGCGAGGACGCCGTCAAGTTCGACACAACATCTAGGAGGATCACCATCACTGGTAGAGAAGAAGCGGAGCTTGCATTGGATAGCATCCTCCACACTGCGACGGGAAGTAGTCAACGGCCCTCCACTGCATCACAAACCAAGACAGCGTGCCCGATTTGTCTTGACGATATCTCTATCCCATTTTATCTGGGATGTGGACATGCTTACTGTGTCATATGTCTGCGTCGCTTCTTACTATCTGCTCTCGAAACCTCCGATTTCCCGTTGCGATGCTATGGTAATGATGGCCATTGCGGTGATCCCATCGCCATCTCAACTATCCAACGTTTCGTCCCACCAGCATCGTTCAATCACTTGCTCGATGCGGCGTTTACTTCCTACATCTCCAGGAATCCAGAGCAGTTGAAGTATTGCAAAACCCCTGGCTGCATACAGATCTATCGTTCCACCAGCTCTAAGGCTTCAATGCCTCTTCGTTGCCCGTCCTGTTTCTCGACCATCTGTTCATCATGTGGTGAATCGCACGGCCGGCTTCGGCAGTGTGCCGAAGAGGAGGAACGACAGAATGACGCCTGGATTGCCGCACAAGGCGGTCGTATCAAGAACTGTCCACGGTGCAACATATTGATAGAGAAATGGAAAGGATCCAATCACATGATGTGCAGGTTGGTACTTTGACCTTGTGCTCCGCCAATAAGACTGCTAATCTGAGAAAGGTGTGGTGCTCACATCTGTTGGAGATGTATGGGAGTTTTCACCGTCGGCGCCATATATAAACACATGCGAGAGGCGCATCGAGACTACTGTGATAATTGACCTGCCTTGTTGCAGCAGATGCAGCAAGATCGGGAAGGGAGGGAATTAGAGGAAGGCAGACACTACAAGCTCGCGAGAGGTAGGAGAGGCCAGAACGTCAGGATCGGAAATGGCGGGTAGCTGAGTAGCAACAAAGAGAAGAACGGTTGAGGCAACTTGAAGAGCAAGAACAGCGGCGAGTCGGCGGACGTTGCTGGATAATGTAAATTCTGAAGTAATCGCATCCTAACAACCTTCCATGCTTTGTGTCTTCATCACACATTATGGACACTTCTGCTAAATGTCTGTCAAAACCTGTACAAATACCACCTCCCCCTTATCACGGAATTCGTCATTGCATTTTTTTTTTACTTCAGACGGAGTTTTTGCTGGATTCGAAACCTATATCTCAGTGGTTCTCCACTATCACGAGGCCCGTGTACTCATCCCAAGTCCGTCGGTGCGCAATCCGCACTCAAGAGCTGAAGCAGTGAGAATGTATGGGGGAAAGCACTCCTGAACGCTGAGCTTACCAGGGCGTTCCCCAGACTCGTTCAACCAAGTTTGCCTAGGAGGAGCACAATATCTCACATTTTGGATCAGCGGCTACCTGTCTTGGACATGCTCGTGGCAATTGGCAACGAGACTTTGGCATGAGGATTGCACGTGTGTCCGAAGCCCTGCAGCATCCCTTGCCATAGCACCATGACTACCACCGCCACACAAGCCCAATACTGCGCGTCGCCGCCGGTTAGCCGTTTTTATGCACGGGGGAGTCTTCCCATGGGGTCGAGCAGCGGGGATACGGGCGAGGATTCATCAAGAGTAAGTACTCACGCTGAACCTTCTCTCCTGAACTGGTTGACCCTGCCATCGTCAGGAATCTACTGCCAGTTCATGTGGCCACCCTACAAGTGAATCTAGCGATCCAGACGGAGCGATGACAGAAGGAGAGACATTCGAGACAATATCTCGGTTGGCCCAGGGTTCCATCGTCACTTATACAGCAGGGCTAGACATTCTGAGCCTCACCACTGGTTTTGAGTCATGCACCTTTCTCATCGATAACATTCCCGAGGATGCAAACGGCGAAGAAGTGCTGGCGTTGTTTGCGCGAGGCGGTCTGGACGTCGACCAGTTTTATCTTGTCGATATTCAGACGGCCGGTGCAGGGAAGCTAAATGCAGTGATCGTAGCCGATGCAAGAACTGGAGAAGCCTTATTCACCAGTTCAGTTGATCTCAGATACAGGAATGACGTACTGGGAGTCGACATGTCCCCCCCTTGTAGTTTCAATGGCGCGAATGGATCGTCGGTATGCGATGCGACCGCCTTAACTGTAGCTTGGCGTCCCCGCCTCGCGCAGTTTGTCCCACAATACTTTGACGAAGCCTCCGCACTGGCCACAGTGCAGGACTCGATTAGCGGAAGTTTCGTTCACACTTCCCTTGATAAAACCATAGGGGATGTTGAGCAAGTATGTCCGATTTGCTATGATAATACCCTGGAGCCCGTGCAGCTGGAATGCGGACACACCTACTGTTCCGCGTGTCTATGCCACTTCGTCGTGACTGCCCACGAGACCAATGTGTTCCCATTGAGATGCACAGGAGATGATAGCAGCTGTAACAGGCCTGTTTCCATCCCTACCATTCAACAATTCCTCGCACCGGCAGCTTTTAATCGGTTGCTCGGGTTCGCATTCACCTTCTATATATCCCAGCGCCCAATGGAATTCAGGTTCTGCAAAACGCCAGACTGTGTCCAGATCTACCGCTCTGTACCTGCTGGCGCTGTAACAGTCACCATCCGTTGCCCATCTTGTTCTTCCGAGATTTGCGCAGCGTGCGATGATGCGCACAGAGGAGAAACGTGCGAAGAATTCCAGACACGGAAGTTGGAGGAACGGGTAGACGCGTGGATCAACGATCAAGGAGGGACTGTGAAGAGGTGTCCACAATGCCATATACCAATAGAGAAGATAGCAGGATGCAATCACATGGCATGCCGGTCAGCGTTCCCTCAGTCTCTAGAAATGTCATCCATGGCTCACATAGGCGAACAGATGTGGAGCTCATATTTGCTGGGAATGTAGGGCAATTTTCGATGCCAACGCCGTTTACAACCACTTACGAGAAGTACATGGGGGATACTAGGAGGGTCAGCTCGCCTATGCGTAGAAACTAGCACGGATATTTGTCCATACTCACCGATTCGAATCGGCGTGGACATGTTTCCACACTTCACCATTGCCCTAGCCAATGCTCTTGGCCTATCAACGATATCAACTTGACGCCTGTTATTTTCACTGCCTTGTCCTGTTGAGGGTTACGTGTTTGCCCAAATTGCACCGCCAAGCCCATCCTTCGGAACAGAGAGTAGTTGTAGGAAGTTCACTACCCCCGGCACTTCAACAGCACCAGCAAAGGAGAATGATCTGAGCTTGAAGTCAGGCTTTCATATCCGGATCTGGCCTTCCCAAGATCCTTTATGAACGTCAGCAGGGGGATGCAACTTCAGCAAAGATGCCCTCCTACCTGACACAAATATGTTTGGGTATCGAAGGCATGCTATCGATATCATCCGATGCGACGTTCGCACGATACCCTCAGTGGTGGACTCGACTTCGTGAAAGCCATGGCATATTGCTCGAGTGAATATTGGTTTCTTTTTGCCCGTGCTTCATAAACATGTCGATTTATTACGTGGTGGTCGTTACCTTTTATCGTCTTTGCCAAGAATAAACGGATACATACCCAGTATCGCCCCCGTTTATGAAATTGGTTTCGTCCATCAGTGCGGCACATTCAATGCTCCCCTCAACGAATCGCTCTGAGTATCAGCGCCTATTTTTGACTTGGCTTTCTGGCTCATTTCCTCATCTTCGTGCCCCTCAAACGCCCTCCTTCGAGTAGTTCTCTGATGGTATTGTTCCCGCCGCCACGGAATACGAGTTGGCTCTCCTCGGGTACTTTCTCCTACGACAGATACATCGTAAAGCTTCACGGTACGGTCGAAGGAGGCTGAACTGAGATATTTCGTGTTCTTCTTATGGGCCATTTTGTTGACAGGTTATCCTCTGTTCAAATCGTGAGGACGCGAGGGTGATGTGCCAAACTACGAACTGAGTGAGAAGGAGAGGGAGGAGTAACGGTACTGCAGCCACGGACATAGGAGTTCAGAGCAATCCATTCAAGCTACACGGTCTTCGTTACTTGCCCCGTTCTCAAGTTACGCGCTACCTATATCATTATCGTACTGGGTTCCAGTATCACATACGCATACTTACAGTACTCGGTATACCTGTACGCAAGGTAATATATCCGCATAACGGCAGAGAGTTATGGCTCAACCTCGTCAGTGTCACTGCGCTGTCTTCGTTCGTTCTCTGCCATAATATCGTTCTCCTTCGCCCTGAGCGTGGCCTGATTTTCCGTCCGTCCACCTTCCAGTTTCGACAAGTTCGGTTTCCGTAATTTCATACCCAGCTTGAGCTTCACGGCTGCTGCATAACCGCCTTCCGAAGGTCCCAGACCAATGCGATAAAACTTGCGTTGTTCAGGTGTCATCTTCGCAAGGACGTGCGCAGGCGGGCCTTGTCGCATTCGTGTGATTGTCAATTCCAAGTACAGCCCTCGCGCCTCTCGGTCTCGTTCGCGTGTCTTGTTGGCGACTCTGCGTTGTCTCGCTCGTCTTGCTGCGCGTAGCATTTCAGGCGAGTATGGCTCTCGAAAACGCTTGATATCACGTAACAGCGCGTCTTGTGTGATCTTCAGCTTGTCCCGTAGCGGTTGTACTGTACTTCTTCGTTAGATGGCGAGGCCGTGATGGTATGTGCACGAGTAAAAGTAAACGTACGCCATCCGGTCTGCGCACTCCCATAATATTCCCCTTCACGCTTGTAATGTCCACGTCCAACCGCTGCCAACTCGAATCTACACTCCCTTTTGAGATCGTCCATCCAACCACGGAGCTCGTCCTTGACTTCCAATCGCCGCTCTCGTGCTTTGCGTCGTCGACGGATCATGCCGCCTATATGCTCGGGCTGTGGTATGATACGCGACAGTAGTTTGTTGCAGAGAGATTGTCGGATGAAAGAGCCCTTGTGTATTCGGTGGGTGGGTGCGGATGCCTCTTCTTAACCAAAGCCAAAGTCGAAAACTTGGACTTCACATTCACAGGGTCCAAAGCTCAACCTTGCGACAAAAAGGTAAAATGCCGATGCGCACACAAGTAGGGGACTTGATGTGCACCGAGAATGGGTATTGTTCCACTTCCGTGGACCTGCGCCACTCCATGCGTTGTCCAGCCTTTCATCCTCGTGGTTAGTCTAGTAAGGCCCTTCCGTCACATCGTACTAGCTTCTTGCCCTTGACCATGATGAGCATGATTAGTCGTCCTGAAACCGACCCATCATCCAGACTTTGTCGTTACTATTCTGCGGGACGTTGCAACAAAGGTTCAGATTGCAAGTTCTCTCACGGAAACGAGGGGTCTCTGGCACCCCCCTGCGAGAGTACTTCTACCAGTGCTATTGAAGTAGTTAACTCCCTCGCAACTCACTCCAGGGACGAGCGCCGGAAACCTTGTCACTACTGGAAAGCAGGCAACTGTAAAAAGGGTTCAGACTGCAAGTTCTTGCGTGGAAGCAAGAGCTCTCTGCCGTCTGACCGTGGGGTTGCCTCTACTAGCGCTGCAGAAGTGGTTAGCACCCCCGGTACACCCTCACAGGATGATCGCCCATCGCCCTGTCGCTACTGGAAAGCAGGAGGATGTGAAAAGGGTTCTGATTGCAAGTTCTCACACGTAAATCACGATTCTTCGGCATTCCACAGTGAGAGTGCCTCTACCAGCGTTGGAGAGACAACGAGAAATCGCGACGATGCTATTGCGCGCTGCATCAAGGTAAGTAGTTTTTAGCTCATTCAACCAACATGCCGATTAATCCGCATCAGGCACTCAACAGTGAAGGGTTGGAGTGCGATGGTGTCCCAGGAGTACAAGCCCGAACGTGTCCTGACGGCTCTCGTACTCCGGGCGATACGTTTCAGCAGCCTCATTGGGGCCATAGCGTTTGTCGTCTTTGGAAAGCGGGTACTTGTACTCGAGGGGATAATTGCTGGTACCTCCACGCCGATGATGTCCGTTTATCACTTTGCCTGCTTGTTTCCGAACTTACAAGATTGCTTAGATCCCCACCGATTCGGAGGCAGCGCGAAAAGAGGCGACCGAAACGATTGGCCGAGTGGTACAAGGCTCTATCGTTACCTATCGTGCAGGTCTTGACATTGTGGGCCTTATCTCCGGTTTCGAGTCATGCACCCTGCGTGTGAAGAATATTCCTGCAGACGCGAAGGAAGATGAAGTCTGCGCATTGGTGACACAACAAGGAGTGGATGCCAATCGCTTCCACCTTGTCGGCATCAAGAGTGGAGGCGGAGGAAAGGTTGAGGCCGAAATCATGACCGATGAACGACTAGGACGGATGTTGTCCACTGAATTGAATGGAACGATATTCAAAGACAACGAACTGGAAGTCGAAGTTTCAGCACCCAACACATTAGAGGGAATGACTGCGTCATCGGTGCAGGATCCCACTGTTTTGACTCTATCATGGCATTCCCCTGCTGTGCGCTATGCAGTAACGTACGTTGATGCGGCTGCCGCTCAGGCTAAAGTTCGTGAATTAAATGGCCACACTTACAATCATCGTCGCATCAAAGTTCAAATGAACAACGAGCCTTCAGGCCCACTTGCATCCCGTACCGTCATCATCAACAACCTTCCTCCAGAAACAGATGATACTGATGTGGTGACATTTTCTGGATCAAGTGCCGTGAAACAGCTGAAAAGCACACCCGTACTTAGTGTTGATCAAGTCGAAGGCCGTCTTCGTGGCCTTGCACCATTCACTGTTCGTCGAGGTTTTCGATCTATCGACTCCTCATCGATACCTGACCCAAACGGGTTCCTTTCTATCCGTGCTCGTTTCCACTCTCGAGACGATGCCCTGATTGCCCATCAATACCTCGAAGCCATCAGATATGGCGAACAAGTTGGGATGTGGCTATGTGTCCCGTATCCAATGGATTTTACTATATCGCTCGACCCAGAACAATACAGCGCACAGAAACCGCAGTGGGATGCTCTGATTGGTGGCCTCGGAGACCCTAAAGCCTGTATGTTGAACATTCACGAGCACGGAGACGCTGTACGCATACGCCTAAGCGGATCTCAAAATGATGCTGTTGGTGCATTGAAGGTCAAGGTCGAGAATCTCGCTAGAGGTGAAACAGTGCAGGGTTGGCATAGGACTTTGGCACACCCCAAAAACAAATTTTCAAAGCAGGTTCTTGTCGAGACTGGAGCATATATGCGAATAGACTGCAAGACGCAGGCGTTGAAGGTGTATGGCTCTGCAACGTCGACCGAACGTGCCCGAAAGATGATCAGCGAGGAACTCGACAGACTGTCCTCTGCCGACTTCACTACCACGGTTCCTAAGCCAGCAGTCCGGAGTTTAATCAACGAAGGGGGCCTGGCTCAACTAAAGGAGACATTTGGCGAGGACGCTGTCAAGTTCGACATAACATCCAAGAGGATCACCATGTCCGGTGGAGAAGTAGCGTGGCATGCATTGGACAGTATCGTCCGCACCACAATGAGAAATAATCAAAAGCACTCGACTGCATCACAAACCGAGACAGCTTGTCCCATTTGTCTTAACGATGTCTCTGTCTCGTTCAATCTGGGATGTGGACACGCGTACTGTGTCACATGTTTGCGTCACTTCCTGTTATCCGCTCTTGAAGCCTCCGAATTTCCCCTGCGATGCCTTGGTAATGATGGTCGTTGCAGCATCTCCATCCCTATTCCAACTATCCAACATGTCCTCCCACCAGCGTTGTTCAACCGCTTGCTCGAGGCTGCATTCACTTTCTACCTTACCAAACATCCAAACGAATTCAAGTCCTGTAAAACCCCTGATTGCACGCAGATCTATCGTTCTACCGGCTCTGAGGCTCGAGTGGCCCTTCGTTGCCCGTCCTGTTTCTCGGTCACTTGTTCGTCGTGCGGTGAATCGCACGACGGGCTTCAGTGTACCGAAGTCAGGCGACGCCAAGCGGAAGAGGAGGAACGGCAGAATTCGACCTGGGTTGCTGCGCAAGGCGGGCGCGTCAAGAGGTGTCCACAGTGCAGCGTACTGATAGAGAAATTGGAAGGATGCAACCATATGACGTGCAAGTTAGTACTTTTGACTTGTTGTTAGCCCATAAGACTGCTAACTCGAACAGTTGCGGTGCTCACATCTGCTGGAGATGTATGGGAATCTTCACCAGGGATACCATATATACACACATGCGAGAAGCGCATCAAGGCATCTATGATAATGAACCTCAATTATTCCAGGGAATAGATATCCTAGAACGGCATCAGCTCATGCAGCAAATTCAGCAAGAGAGGGACAGGGAGGAACAGAGAATGGGGGAAATGCAGGCACAGCGCGCTCGGGAAAGGCAGGCAGCTGAGTTGGCCCAACGGCGTCGGCAAGAGAGGGGCAGGATGGTGCAGAGGCTAAGGGAAGTGCACGCTCGGAATTTGCGGGAAGCTGAATTGGCCCAACAGCGTCAGCAAGAGAGGGACAGGGAGGAGCAGAGAATGAGGGAAACACAGGCACAGCGGGCTTGGGACAGGCAGGAAGCTGAATTAACCCAACAGCGTCAGCAAGAGGGGGACAGGGGGGAACAGAGAACGGGGGAAATGCAGGCACAGCGAGCTCGGGAAAGGCAGGCAGCTGAGTTGGCCCAACGGCGTCAGCAAGAGAGGGGCAGGATGGTGCAGAGGCTAAGGGAAGTGCACGCTCGGAATTTGCGGGAAGCTGAATTGGCCCAACAGCGTCAGCAAGAGAGAGACGGGGAGGAGCAGGGAATTAGGGCAAGGCAGGAGGCACAGCGGGCTCAGGAAAGGGGGGAAGCCGAGCGGGCAAGATTGGTTCAACAAAGAGAGGAACAATTGAGGCAGGTGCAAGAGCAAGAGCAAGCGCGGTCGTGGGGCGGAGGCTGTTTGATAATGTAAATTTCTGGGGTATTTGCACCCTAACAGCCTTCCATGCTTTCCGTCTTGATCCCACATTGTGGACATTCACTAACTGTTTGTCAGAACCTGTATGAGTACCACCTTATCTCTTGACACGGAATCCGTCAATGTGTTCTGCACCTCAAAACAGGGTTTGTGTTGGATTCGAGAGCTAACATTGCATCTCGGTGGTTGCATGTGCACAACTTACGCTCACGACCTGAGGCGTTGAAGTATAGGGGTAAGCACTTTTGAGCTTGCAAGGACGCTCCTCAGGCTTGTTTAACCAACTTCGCCTGGGAAGTGCGTAATATGCGTTTTGGATCAGCGGCCGCCTGTCTGGGGCATGCTCGCGGCAATTGGCAACAAGCGAGACTTTGACATGTGGCGAACTACACGTGTCTCCAGAGCCCTACAGCATCCCTTGCCATAGTACCATGAGTACCACCACTACTCAAGTCCAAAACCGTGCATCGCAAGTGGTTGGCCGTTTTAATGCACGGGGGAGTGGGAGTCTCCCCGCGGGGTCGGGCAGTGAGGATGCGGGGGAAGAATTATCAAGAGTAAGTACTCACACCGAGCCTTCTCACCTGAACTGGTTGACCCTGCCATCGCCAGGAATCTACTGCCGGTTCATGTGGCTACGAAGATAGGAGTCCAGCGAATCCACTCAGGCTAAATGGTCTTGGTTACTTGTCTCGTTCTCAAGTTACGCGCTACGTACATCATTATCGTTCTGGGCTCCAGTATCGTATATGTATACTTACAGTACTCGGTATACCTGTATGCAAGGTAATATATCCGCATAACGGTAGAGAATTATGGCCCAACCTCGTCAGTGTCACTGCGCTGTCTTCGTTCGTTCTCTGCCATAATATCGTCCTCCTTCGCCCTGAGCGTGGCCTGATTTTCCGTCCGTCCACCTTCCAGTTTCAACAAGTCTGGTTTCCGTAATTTTATACCTAACTTGAGCTTCACAGCTGCTGCATAACCGCCTTCCGAAGGCCCCAGACCAATGCGATAAAGCTTGCGTTGTTCAGGTGTCATCTTCGCAAGGACGTGCGCAGGTGGGCCTTGCCGCATTCGTGTGATTGTCAACTCCGAGTACAGCCCTCGCGCCTCTCGGTCTCTTTCGCGTGTCTTGTTGGCGACTCTACGTTGTCTCGCTCGTCTTGCTGCGCGTAGCATCTCAGGCGAGTATGGCTCTCGAAAACGCTTGATATCACGTAACAGCGCGTCTTGTGTGATCTTCAGCTTGTCCCGTAGCGGTTGTACTGTACTTCTTCGTTAGATGGCGAGGCCGTGATGGTATGTGCACGAGTAAAAGTAAACGTACGCCATCCGGTCTGCGCACTCCCATAATATTCCCCTTCACGCTTGTAATGTCCACGTCCAACTGCTGCCAGCTCGAATCTACACTCCCTTTTGAGATCGTCCATCCAACCACGGAGCTCGTCCTTGACTTCCAATCGCCGCTCTCGTGCTTTGCGTCGTCGACGGATCATGCCGCCTATATGCTCGGGCTGTGGTATGATACGCGGCAGTAGTTTGTTGTAGAGAGATTGTCGGATGAAAGAGCCTTTGTGTATTCGGTGGGCGCGTGCGGATGCCTCTTCTTTCTGTAACAGACGTAGACGTAGACCATCGGTAAGGCACGCAACATGCACGTTGAAGGTTACAGGAATGATATGTCGCGTCAGAGATAAAGATTGGTTATGTCGTGCAGAAACAAGGATACGCACGAAGACCTGATGTATGCGTTCTCTCCACCTGTCTTCTTCACGCCTGACAGCCAGTATTCGGTCATACCGATCGAGGATGGCTTGCAGTTTCGTGTCCCCGGCCTTGGCACTTCTAAAGGCGTCCAGCCACTGTCCAATGTCCAGAGATTCTCAAACTACAGGGATCCCGCACATACCTTATGACCTTGGCTTAGTTGTTTCGTTGCCTGTACGGCAGACGTCGTATGTCTGTTTTCCCGAACTAACGCTCGAACACGGTCCCTGACCTGGTTGCAGAGCAAAGAATTCCAGTGCAATAACCCGCCGAAATTAGCTGCCGTCAACCAGGTTGTTTCTATTGTAGATTCAAGTAGACCTTGTGCACGCACATTTTCTCGATCGGCGTGTCGTAGTAACCCACGGTAGAGTGTCCAGAGTGTTGGGATGCGGTGTGCTGCGAGTTTCCAGAATGGCACCCTTGGAGTGACACGACGTAGTGGGGACACGAGCTCGGCGATTTGGGCGCGGTGTTCCAGCGATGCGGCCGGCGGTTGTAGGTCCTGCATTGTCTGGTTACTTACGGGGTGTCAACGTTTCAATCATAAGTACTTCCAAGTCCGGACATCCCCCTATGTGCAACCTAGAAATTATGCAACTACGCTGAAAGGTGATACACAAAAGATGTGTCAACAGGGAATCTTAAGCCTACTCTAGGCATCTACGGGAATCTATTACGAGTACTGCTTCGTGAAGTCGAGGTGGAACTTCTCCAGTTTGCCGACGTACTCGTCCACACCGGGACACAGGCACGTCAGGCGGTAGTGGTATTCACCCTCCTTCTGGCCAAATCCGGAACCGGGCACGACGCAAATACCAGTAGCGTCTAGTAGAGCAAGCGCATAAAATGCGTCGGGCTCTTTTCCTGCAGCCTTGGCAGCCGCAATCGCCTTCTCGGGTATCTCTATCCTGGGGTATAGATACAGTGCGCCTGGAGAGTCAACACAAGATACGCCAGGCAGCTTATTGAGGCGTGCGGACATAGTTGCGGTGCGCTCTGCGAGGGCCTTGTGTATCCTGTCGGTCTCCTCTTTCCAAAGAGGGTAACTCTCCTCGCCTTGCTTCGGCGGGCGGACCAGGCAATCCACTCCGATCTGACCCTGCAGAGGCGGACAAAGTGTGACGCTAACCATCTTGTACATCATGGCGATGACGTCGTCGGACAGGTTCGTACACTCGAAATAGCCTCCCCGCCGACCGCATTCACCGGTCACACCCTTGGATATCGAGTGGAATGACACAAGAGGAACAGGTGAGTTGAGGTCACGAACAACCTTCTTAAAGGACGTGAATGGGTGGGTGGCTTGGCGGTGGAGGTTGGACTGATAGACTTCATCTGCAAGGAGAACGAGGGAATGTTCCTCGCACAGCTTGACTACCTCCGCTTGCGTCTCTTTGTTGAGAAGTGCACCAGTAGGGTTACCCGGGTTGATGATGACGAGAGCTCTCGGCTCGATGCCGTCTTGGACAGCCTTGTCGATAGCAGCTCTGATTTCGTCAACCGAAGTCGACCACTCGGCAGGTTCATCGAGGTGATACGGGATAGCGGCGCCAGAGCACTGAGCAAGGGTTGCTGTGTAGAGGGGATATTGCGGAATGGGAATAAGGACACCGGACTTCTTCGGCTCTGATATGAGCATTGATATCAGGAGGGACACTCCGGCCGAGGCACCTGTCGTAAGGAAGATGTGGTTAGGATTGGATGGATATCCGTCCCGATCTGCGATACTAGTCAGTATAAGGCATGGATGCGGCACGTGCCAAAGACATACCACTGATAAATCTTGCGACATTCTGTCGAATAAAGGGGACGCCTTGAGAGTGTGAGTAGGCGCCGATGGAGCCGGTTTCCTCATGGAGTTCCTTAGCACGAGCGAGGACGTCCTTTGGGAACACCTGCGGTGCAAGTTTTGCAAGGTCTGGCCACTCCATCAGTGCAGCGACCTGAGGAGGAAATCAGCGCCCGCCAGTGTCCGCGAGATGGTGACTAGAACACACCTGTCTGACAAAAGTGATCGGGGGTTGGTCCAGTCCCTTCTGCTGAGGGTTCCCGATGTTGGATGAGATAACACGGTCGAATGGAAGACCATGGTCAGCGCCATTTTCCTTGAGTCTGACGCGGTGCTCCTCAGCCTTGATGGCCAGTTCGCCTCTGACAGCGTACTGGACGCTGCGTACGGCTGGATTGAGTGAGTCTACGGTGAGTGGACGCATTGGAGGGAGTCGGAAGGGACGAGACAGAAACAGGCGTGCTAGCGGGGATACAAATAGGCTGCCTGGCTGTGACATCTCCCTCACACTCGGGGACGACTCGGAAAGGAACACAGAGAAGGATCGTCACGTGGACACTCATATGCTGCACGTGATATCCTCGGCACTTGCCACCTCTCTGCGAGATTTTTCGGGTGCGCGGGTTATGAGGACACATGCAGGACCCATTTTTTGCGACGACGAAAAAGCGAAAGCGGACGGCAAGCACGGGAAATGCGACCAGAAAGATAGCACGGAAAGAAAAGCATGTCAAAGTTGCCAAGGTAAACGGTATGCGTCCTACAAAGTCAGGGAAACAGAAGAGGGTCGAGGATGAGGAATTGGAATCGGACAGGACGGACGAGGATGGCATTGACATCGGCGATCTCGACTTACGTGCGGAAGACATACCAGTGACCAGTGGGGACGAGGACGTAGACGAGACACCCGCCGAGAAACGACTGCGACTCGCAAAACTTTACTTGGACAACGTCAAGGAAGGTCTCGGTACGTCCCCATACCCTTTCACTCCTTGTCTATCTCACTGTCATTCAAGCTGAAGGGGATTATGACGCGGCTGAAATCGACAAGGAACTGATCTCTGCTCGACTTCGTCAAGACGTCTTGGACCATTCCGGGAAGGTCCATCTGTTCATAGCAGACTCAGTGAGTCCACTGCGATATGCAAAAGTGTGACATATTGCTGAACGTTTCAACCAAAGTATGACTTCACTGCTCCAACTTCCAAGCTACGGTGCAAAGGTCATCGTTTCTCCGTGACGTCTGCTACAGCAACCGAGGATCTCAGGTGGTTGTTCACCTCGGGGAAGGAAGGCCATATTAACAAATGGGACCTCAAAACTAGCGCTAAAGTCGCTACTTTTTACAAACAACGACTTGACGCGAAGGGTAAGGGAAAGGAAAAAGCTAGTCCTCTGGATCTCGAGGGACACTCGGACGAGGTTTTGGCATTGGCCGTGTCGAGCGATGGTCAATACCTCGCGAGCGCTGGAAAGGATAGGAAAATATGTATATGGGATCCCGCCAAGGATCAATGGGTTAAAAACTTTGGCGGTCACAAAGACTTGATTTCTGTATGTACATCATACACCTACCCACCGCGAGTTTCCTGTCCACTAATAATATTAGGATCTCGCTTTTCGGAAGAACACGAAACATCTCTATTCAGCCTCTTTCGACCGTACCGTGAAGCTTTACGATCTATCCGTCATGGGATACGTCGAAACCCTATTTGGTCACCAGGATACCATCGTATCGCTGGATTCTCTTCGGGGAGAGACGGCCGTAACAGCGGGTGCACGAGATAGAACAATCCGATATTGGAAAATACCCGAAGAGAGCCAACTCGTGTTCCGTGGCGGCGGGAAAAGTGCCATCAGAGAGCTGCTCGAAGGGGGGGCGTTTGAGGGGCACGAAGATGAGGGAGAAGCGGGCCAGCAAACCAAGTCAAAAACAGGTTCTGACCCTCAAAAGCGATTCGTCGAGGGGAGCATCGAATGTGTCGCACTGATAGACGAAACCAATTTCATAAGCGGGGGCGATACTGGGTATGTATCCGTTTATTCTTGGCAAAGACGATGAAAGGTAACGATCACCACGTGATAGATCGATATGTTTATGGAACACGGGAAAAAAGAAACCAATATTCACTCAAGCAATATGCCATGGCTTTCACGAAGTCGAGTCTGCCACCGAGGGTATCGTGCGGACGCCGCGTTGGATAACATCGATAGCATGCCTTCGATACTCGGACATATTTGTATCAGGTAGGAGGGCAGCTTTACTGAGGTTGCATCCCTCTGCTGACGTTCATAAAGGATCTTGGGAAGGCCAGATCCGGATATGGAAGCTTGACTCCAAGCTTAGATCATTCTCCCTTGTTGGTGCTGTTGAAGTGCTGGGGGTAGTGAACTCTTTACAGCTACTCTCAGTTCCGAAGGGTGGGCTTGGCGGCACAACTTGGGCAAAAAAATCGCAAATCTCAACAGATAAGACAATGAAAATAACAGGCGTCGAGTCGATATTATTGGTGGCAGGAATAGGCCAAGAGCATCGACTAGGGCGATGGTTACGTGTGAAAGAGGGTGTGTCGAATTCGACGGTCGTGATGGTGTTCTCTCCGCGGACTCCATAGTACGTCATCGTGTATTCGGGCGACTATACAGCTTGCGGCTTTCTAGCACTCATAGAAGTCCTCTCACGGAAACAACACCCACCTCAGGACTCTAAGTGTAGAATCATTCAACTTGGTACGTTTACCCATCTGGGTATCTACGCTCACGAATCAGTACATTACGTTACCATTTCCGTCAAATGCGATAATTAACATTTTACAGGATGCATTGAAACATGCAACATGCCCACGCCGAATCGAATCAGTGAGTATGGACAAATATCTGTGCTAGTTTCTACGCATAGGCCAGCTGATCCTCCTAGTATCCCCCATGTACATCTCGTAAATGGCCGTAAGCAGCATTGACATCAGCGAAGGTTGCCATACACCTCCAGCAAATATGAGTTCCACATCTGTTCGCTTGTATGAGCCCTGAACGGCACTTGCTTGTGGAGACGGAGGAGAACACTGACCGACACGTCATGCGATTGCATCCTTCTATTTTCTCTATTGGTACACGGCATTGTGGGCACCTCTTCACAATCCCTCCTTGATCATTAATCCACGCGTCCACGCGCTCCTCCAACTTCCGTGTCTGGTATTCTCCGCACGTTTCCCCTCCGTGCTCATCATCGCACGCTGAACAAACCTCTGAAGAACAAGATGGACAACGGAGGGTCACTGCTACAGCGCCAGCAGGTGTAGAACGGTAGATCTGGCCACAGTCTGGCGTTTTGCAGAACCTGAATTCCATTGGGCGCTGGGATATATAGAAGGTGAATGCGGCACCGAGCAACCGACTGAAAGCTGCTGGTGTGAGGAATTGTTGAATGGTGGGGATGGAAATAGGTGTGTTGCAGCCGCTATCATCCCCAACGCATCTCAAGGGGAATACATTGATCTCGTGGGCAGACAGAACGAAGTCGCGCAGACACGCGGAACAGTAGGTGTGTCCGCATTCCAGCTGCACGGGCTCCAGGGTATTATCATAGCAAATCGGACATACTTGCTCAACATTCCCGGTGGTTTCAGCAAGGGAAGTGCGAACGAAATTTCCGCTAATCGAGTCCTGCACCGTGGCCAGTGCGGAGGCTTCGTCAAAGTATTGTGGGACAAACTGCGTACGGCGGGGACGCCAGGCTACAGTTAAGGCGGTCGCATCGCACACCGACGATCCATTCGTGCCATTGGAACTAAAAGGTGCGGAAATGTCGACTCCCAATACGTCATTCCTGTATCTGAGATCAACCGAACTGGTGAATAAGGTTCCTCCAGTTCTTGCATCGGCTACGATCACTGCATTTAGCTTCCCCGCGCCAGCCGTCTGAATACCGACAAGATAAAACTGGTCGACGTCCAGACCGCCTCGTGCAAACAACGCAAGCACCTCTCCACCGTTTGCGTCCTCGGGAATGTTATCGATGAGAAAGGTGCATGACTCAAAACCAGTGGTGAGGCTCAGAATGTCTAGCCCTGCTGTATAAGTGACGATGGAACCTTGGACCAACCGAGATATTGTCTCGAATGTCTCTCTTTCTGTCATCGCTCCGTCTGGATCGCTAGATGCACTTGCAGAGTGGCCACATGAACTGGCAGTAGATTCCTGACGATGGCAGGGTCAACCAGTTCAGGAGAGAAGGTTCAGCGTGAGTACTTACTCTTGATGATTCTTCCCCCGCGTCCTCGCTGCCCAACCCCACGGGCAGGCTTCCCCGTGCATAAAAATGGCCAACTGGCAGTGGCGCGCGGTTTTCGACTTGGATGGTGGTGGTACTCATGGTACTATGGCAAGAGATGCTGTAGGGCTCTGGAGACACGTGTAATTCGCCACATGTCGAACTCTCGCTCGTTGCCAATTACCACGAGCATGCCCAAGACAGGTGGCCGCTGATTCAAAACGTAAGTTGCGCGCTTCCGAGGCGAAGTTGGTTGAACAAGCCTGAGAATCGCCCTTGCAAGCTCAGGAGTGCTTACCCCTATACTTCAACGCCTCAGGTCGTGAGCGTGAGTTGTGCACACGCAACCACCGAGATGCGATGTTAGCTCTCGAATCCAACACAAACTCTGGTTTGAAGTGTAGAATACAACGACGAATTCCGTGTTAAGAGATAAGGTGGTACTCATACAGGTTCTGACTAACAGTTAGCGATTGTCCACAATGTGGGATCAAGGCGGAAAGCATGGAAAGCTGTTAGGGTGCAACTACCCCAGAAATTTACATTATCAAACAACCTCCGCCCCGCGACCGCGCTTGCTCTTGCTCTTGCTCTTGCACGCGCCTCAATAGTTCCTCTCTTTGTTGAAGCAATCTTGCCCGCTCGGCTTCCCCCCTTTCCCGAGCCCGCTGTGCCTCCTGCCTTACCCTAATTGTCCGCTCTTCCCTGTCCCTCTCTTGTTGGATCCGCTGCATGAGCTGATGCTGTTGGGTCAATTCAGCTTCCTGCCTTCCCCTAGCTCGAACTGTTTGCATTACCCTAATTCTCTGCTCCTCCCTGTCCCTCTCTTGCTGAATTTGCTGCATGAGCTGATGCTGTTCTAGGATATCTATTCCCTGGAATAATTGAGGTTCATTATCATAGATGCCTTGATGCGCTTCTCGCATGTGTGTATATATGGTATCCCTGGTGAAGATTCCCATACATCTCCAGCAGATGTGAGCACCGCAACTGTTCGAGTTAGCAGTCTTATGGGCTAACAAGTCAAAAGTACCAACTTGCACGTCATATGGTTGCATCCTTCCAATTTCTCTATCAGTACGCTACACTGTGGACACCTCTTGACGCGCCCGCCTTGCGCAGCAACCCAGGTCGAATTCTGCCGTTCCTCCTCTTCCGCTTGGCGCCGCCTGACTTCGGCACACTGAAGCCCGTCGTGCGACTCACCGCATGACGAACATGTGACCGAGAAACAGGACGGGCAACGGAGGGTCACCTGAGCCTCAGAACCGGTGGAACGATAGATCTGCGTGCAATCAGGGGTTTTACAGTACTTGAATTCGTTTGGATGCCTGGTGAGGTAGAAGGTGAATGCAGCCTCGAGTAAACGGTTGAACGACGCTGGTGGGAGGAAACGTTTGATACTTGGAATAGGAATGGGGATACTGCAACGGCTATCATTACCAAGGCATCGCAGGGGAAATTCGGAGGCTTCAAGAGCGGATAACAGGAAGTGACGCAAACATGTGACACAGTAAGCGTGTCCACATCCCAGATTGAACGGGATAGAGATATCGTCAAGACAAATGGGACAAGCTGTCTCGGTTTGTGATGCAGTCGAGTGCTTTTGATTGTTTCTCATTGCGGTGCGGACGATACTGTCCAATGCGAGCCGCGCTTCTTCTCCACCGGAGACGGTGATCCTCTTGGATGTTATGTCGAACTTGACAGCGTCCTCGCCAAATGTTTCCTTTAGTTGAGCCAGGCCCCCTTCGTTGATTAAACTCCGGACTGCTGGCTTAGGAACCGTGGTAGTGAAGTCGGCAGAGGACAGTCTGTCGAGTTCCTCGCTGATCATCTTTCGGGCACGTTCGGTCGACGTTGCAGAGCCATACACCTTCAACGCTTGCGTCTTCCGGTCTACTCGCATATATGCTCCAGTCTCGACAAGAACCTGCTTTGAAAATTTGTTTTTGGGGTGTGCCAAAGTCCTATGCCAACCCTGCACTGTTTCACCTCTAGCGAGATTCTCGACCTTGACCTTCAACGCACCAACAGCATCATTTTGAGATCCGCTTAGGCGTATGCGTACAGTGGCTCCATGCTTGTAAATGTTCAACATACAGGCTTTCGGATCTCCGAGGCCACCAATTAAAGCGTCCCACTGCGGTTTCTGTGCGCTGTATTGTTCTGGGTCGAGCGATATAGTAAAATCCATTGGATGCGGGACACGTAGCCACATCCCAACTTGTTTGCCATATCTGATGGCTTCGAGGTATTGATGGGCAATCAGGGCATCGTCTCGAGAGTGGAAACGAGCACGGATAGAAAGGAACCCGTTTGGGTCAGGTATCGATGAGGAGTCGATAGATCGAAAACCTCGACGAACAGTGAATGGTGCAAGGAGACGAAGACGGTCTTCGACTTGATCAACACCAAGTACGGGTGTGCTTTTCAGCTGTTTCACGGCACTTGATCCAGAAAATGTCACCACTTCAGCATCATCTGTTTCTGGGGGGAGGTTGTTGATGATGACGGTACGGGGTGCAAGTGGGCCGGAAGCCTCGTTGTTCATTTGAACTTTGATGCGACGATGATTGTAGGTGTGGCCATTTAATTCACGAACTTTAGCCTGAGCGGCAGCCTGCATCAACGTACGTTACTGCATAGCGCACAGCAGGGGAATGCCATGATAGAGTCAAAACAGTGGGATCCTGCACCGATGACGCAGTCATTCCCTCTAATGTGTTGGGTGCTGAAACTTCGACTTTCAGTTCGTTGTCTTTGAATATCGTTCCATTCAATCAGTGGACAAAATCCGTCCTAGTCGTTCATCGGTCATGATTTCGGCCTCAACCTTTCCTCCGCCTCCACTCTTGATGCCGACAAGGTGGAAGCGATTGGCATCCACTCCTTGTTGTGTCACCAATGCGCAGACTTCATCTTCCTTCGCGTCTGCAGGAATATTCTTCACACGCAGGGTGCATGACTCGAAACCGGAGATAAGGCCCGCAATGTCTAGACCTGCACGATAGGTAACGATAGAGCCTTGTACCACCCAGCCAATCGTTTCGGTCGCCTCTTTTTGTGCTGCCTCCGAATCGGTGGGGATCTAAGCAATTTTGTAAGTTCGGAAACCAGCAGGCAAAGTAGTTATAAACAGACATCATCGGCGTGGAGATACCAGCAATTATCCCCTCGAGTACAAGTACCCGCTTTCCAAAGACGACAAACGCTATGGCCCCAATGAGGCTGCTGAAACGTATCGCCCGGAGTACGAGAGCCGTCAGGACACGTTCGGGCTTGTACTCCTGGGACACCATCGCACTCCAACCCTTCACTGTTGAGTGCCTGATGCGGATTAATCGGCATGTCGGTTGAATGAGATAGAAACCACATACCTTGGTGTCGCGCGCAATAGAATTCTTGTTGCGATTTCTCGTCGTCTCTCCAATGCTGGTAGAGGCACTCTCACTGTGGGATGCCGGAGAATCGTGGTTTACGTGTGGGAACTTGCAATCAGAACCTTTTTTACATCCTCCTGCTTTCCAGTAGCGACAGGGCGATGGGCGATCATCCTGTGAGGGTGTACCGGGGGTGCTAACCACTTCTGCAGCGCTAGTAGAGGTAACCCCACGGTTAGACGGCAGAGGGCTTTCGCTCTCATGCAAGAACTTGCAGTCTGAACCCTTTTTACAGTTGCCCGCTTTCCAGTAGTGACAGGGTTTCCGGCGCTCGTCCCTGGAGCGAGTTGCGAGGGAGTTAACTACTTCAATAGCACTGGTAGAAGTACTCTCGCAGGGGGGTGCCAGAGACCCTTCGTTTCCGTGAGAGAACTTGCAATCTGAACCTTTGTTGCAACGTCCCGCAGAATAGTAACGACAAAGTCTGGATGATGGGTCGGTTTCAGGACGACTAGTCATGCTCATCGTGGTCAAGGGCAAGAAGCTAGTACGATGTGACGGAAGGGCCTTACTAGACTAACCACGAGGATGAAAGGCTGGACAACGCATGGAGTGGCGCAGGTCCACGGAAGTGGAACAATACCCATTCTCGGTGCACATCAAGTCCCCTACTTGTGTGCGCATCGGCATTTTACCTTTTTGTCGCAAGGTTGACACGGAGCGCTCGGCTTTGGGACATCCCAAATTCCCAATTGAAAGTCTAAGACTAGTGATTCTGCAAACAACGACAAACAGAGAACGCGGTCGCGTCTGATAGGACTCCAAGTGGCACTACAACGACTTTGCCTCTGCTACACATCATCCTACTGATTGATTGACAGCCAGATGGCCGACATTGCATCGTTACTTCAAGCATCGCTGCAGCCCGCGACGAGAAAGCAGGCAGAGCAACAGCTCGATCAACTTACTCCCCAGCAAGGCTTCCTAACTCATCTGCTACGTCTTATACTCGACAAGACACAAGATCGCTCGATCCGACTTGCGGGGGGAATATATCTAAAAAATATTACCAAGCTTAGATGGGAAGAAGTCGGTCCTTCATTCTTTGACGACTTGACACGCTTCAGACATCGTGCCACAGGAAGTTGCACCTCTGTCTGAGCAAGACAAATCCGCCATTCGATCAGAATTGGTTCCTACAATGATAGCCCTTTCTGATCCTACAGAAAAATCAATCCGTGCACAAATCGCGGAGTCAGTCGCGCTCATTGCAGAACTCGACTTCCCCGCAAAATGGAGTAATCTCATTGATGTACATCTACGTGTTTCTCTTTCGCAATGGTGTCCGAGTCTGACATGATTCAAAAGCAACTCGTAATGTCTCTTTCTCCAACAGATTATAACGTTAATATCGGCGTTCTCGAGACTGCCCACTCTATTTTTCGGCAATGGCGTCCGCAAGTGCGCTCAGACGCACTTTTTACGGAGATCAACTTTGTGATCTCACACTTCATGGATCCATTCCTCCTCCTTTTCCGTCAGACAGCAACGATCGTTTGCTCATCACCCTCTCCCCCTAATCTCAGTCTTGTGACACAAGCACAGATCCTTCTAGCAGAGATATTTTACGATTTCACCTGCCAAGATCTCCCCCCCGCTATTGAGGACTCCCATGAAGAATTCTTTGCCCCGAACGTCGGCTGGTTCCACCGCTTCCTGACCTGGGATCCCCCTGAACTGAGAGGAGATGTGGGTCTGCAATTTACCATTTACCTCAAAGTCTCTCAAGATCCCCCATGCAGCCTGATGATGTCAACCCTTCCCTTCCCGCGCGATTGAAGACAGTCATTTTTGAAATTGCCGAAGTTCGTATTACTTCCATCCGCTAACGCATCTGACTGAGGAGGTCTAGCTTTACATCAAACTCTACTCCGACCAACTGACTCGTTCACCTACCATCGAGTCGTTCGTTCAAGGTGTATGGGAACTTGTTGGGTCCAACAAACTTCCCAATGTAGCCAACGACCAAGTAAGAAAAAGAAACTCTGCCAAAAGTCTTGCGATTCATGTCTTCTACCCATAGCTTGTCTCCCAAGCCCTGTGCTTTGTTTCGTCGGCAATCCGATCCGGCTTCTACAAACCATTATTTTCGTCCAAAGAGATTATACATTCTCTCGTGCAAGGAGTCGTTGTGCCGAATGTCGGTTTGCGTGACCACGAGATGGAACAGTTTGAAGATGATCCACTTGAATTCATCCGTCTTGACCTGGCACTCCCTTCTGGTTCCGGCGGGGCAGGATCAGCAGAGGTATCCACGAGACGGCAGGCCGCAGCAGATGTACTGCAGGCACTGGTTGGCAGCGGATACCAGACTGAAGCGACTGAGATTGTGGGGTCGTGGATCAGCACTGGCCTACAGCAGTACAACTCTAACCCTGCGCAAAACTGGAAGTCTAAAGACTGTGCTGTATACCTCCTGACCGCTATTGCAACAGAAACTTCTACGGCGAAGGTGAGAATATACGGGTAGTGTTTCAGATACGGATAGCCATGGAAACTGACTTGGACGCCAGCTGGGTGTGACCTCAATCAACGCACAAGTTGATGTGGTGAAGTTCTTCTCTGACCATGTGTTCCAAGATCTGCAGGCCGCCCAAAGCAGCGTGCACCCCATTTTGCAAGTTGATGCAATCCGCTTCCTTCTAACCTTCCGTAACCAGGTGAGTGGCGCTGGTTTGTTGGTTTCCTCATGTGACCCTTGACTTTGATCAGTTAACGAAGGAGCAACTACTATCTGTCTTGCCTCTTCTTATCAACCACCTGAAGTCGGATAATTACGTTGCATACACATATGCTGCCATCACCATTGATCGTATCTTGTCCATAAAAAAGGGCTCACAGCTCATGTGAGCATGTTTTGCCGTAGTTTGCTTCCTCGCCCACACTGATCTTGTATAAGGTTCTCCCAAGCAGACGTTCATGACTTTGCTGCTGACCTGCTCGGTGTCATCCTAACAAAGATCGAGGGAGCAGGGTCGCCGGAGAAAGTGGCGGAGAATGACCACCTCATGAAATGTGCATCAATGTTTAACTTATCTCGGAGGAGTCCTACTGACTGTCTACGTTTGACACAGGTGCTATGAGGATAATTATTACGGCACGACAGACGTTGACCCCATTATACCAGCAAGTCCTTCAGAAGCTCGTTACTATTCTTGGTGTCATCTCCAGGAACCCAAGCAATCCCAACTTCGACCAGTATATTTTCGAGAGTATATCGGCTCTTATGAGGTTTGTCTACTGTATCCAAAACGGAGCTCTTGACAACTCTCGCATACAGATTCGTTGTCCACGGTACTCCTTCAACCCTGCCAACTTTCGAACAAGCACTGTTCGGTCCTTTTACATTCATCCTTCAACAAGACATCGATCGTATGTTTCATTCCAATTCCACGAGTTCTCGGTACTCAAGAGTTGTGGTATAGAGTATATCCCCTATGTTTTCCAGATTCTGGCCCAAATGCTTGATATGCATACTACCAGCGTTCCAACCGAATACCATGCTCTCCTTCCATTCCTCCTCATGCCTGCGCCGTGGCAACAGAAGGGTAGCATCCCTGGTCTCGTCAAGCTTTTAACAGCGTTTCTTGCGCGCGACGCGAACGAAATGGTTACGAAGAACCAAATAGTATCAGTTCTTGCCATCATTCAGCAAAGGCTTATACCATCGAAAGTCAACGATGCTTGGGGCTTTGAGCTCTTGCAGGGGGTTATGCTACACGTACCTCCGTACGTTCCCACGACTTACCAGTCATATGCTCTGACCCCATGCGTCTCTGTAACAGTACCTACCTGCAACAATACTTCAGGGTCTTGCTCATGACCCTTCTCACGAGGTTGCAGACGAGCAAAACCGATAAATACGCATACCATTTCTCCCATTTCCTACTGTTCACAATGGCCATCAACGTCGAGGGTCTTGGTCCAAATTATGTCATATCTACCGTTGAAGGCATTCAACCTCAGTATGCCTCCAACTTTCTGATTGCTTTCTGCAAATGACGTCACTTATCCGGCACGCTCGCAGATTGTGGTCGCAGATCTTGACGACTTTCATCATTCCGCAAGTTCCAAAAATGCCACACAAAGATCGCAAGGTCGCCGCTATTGGCTTAACGCGAATGTTGACCGAGAGCCAAGTAATGCTCACGGAGCCTGCTTCGCGCAACTGGTATGTACTACAAAGCATCACTCATATCCCAGTGAATGTCGATGACATTATTTGCGTTGGGTATCCTGTAGGCCGTCTGCATTCACAGCACTTGTGAAGCTCTTCAACGAACCGCAATATCTAACCAAGACTTCTACAGAAGACGCCGCCGCCGCCACAGGTCTTACCGAAATTGACTATGAAGAGCAAACTGCAGGGTATCAAGCTGCGTACTCTCGCCTTGCGGCCGCCGAGAGTGCCACTGTCGACCCTGTCGCGTACGTCAAGGACCCGAAGGAGTTCCTCGGACGGGCACTGTCCAGGACCAGAGCCGGTGCACTAGTGGCTTCGTGCGACCCAGGTACTGTACAGCCGTTCGTACAGAGTTTGGCAGCAGAGGGCTTTGTTATTCAATGAAGGTCTGTCATTTGGTAAACGCGGTGGTGAGGAAATGAGTGTGTAGTTAGATAGTGATCGATTAGGGAATCGATAAAAAGTATCATTGCGTCGTGCAAGGCATGCTTAAATGTAGGAGAATACGATACTGCTTATCTGCGCTGTGAGGACCACAAAATGTGAGCGGGAAGTTACATTTTCGCAGTGCTCAACTTCCCAGGAATTCGCCATTGCGTACCAGGGGCAAATGTAGGTGTATTACTTAGATTGCGAACCTTTGCAGTTTGGAATTGCCATCTCCCGAGGTACACTTTTGGACGCCTACACTGCACGGGGTAGATGAAGACAATTTGTCAATAAATGTCACTGTCCATACCTTTATACCAAAAACAGTCTGATGATTAGCAATCCGAACTACTCTTTGCTGAAAGGCGTCAGCCTAAAATGTGACAGTTCCCGAGCAGGCGATCACTGACAAACCCTGCGCATTGCCTTCCGTCCAATTCGTACACCCGCAATCGTGACCCGGCAGCAGCTGACAGAAGTGTCCACGTTGATTGAGCCTGTTACAATGGTGAGAAGGGTCACAGGACCATATGCAATGCGACATACGCAGCTAAGAAAGAAACCGTATACACTTCGCCGTGGTCCGGTCAGCTCCGTCGCGGAACGAAACAATCAACGCTCACAGCCAGACACAGCGATCCAAAGTGACATCCAGGTACCTGCATTGCTTGTAGTCTAGAGGAACTGCATACAGAGGGTCCGAAAAGGTCAAACGCACAATTTCCCGGTAGTGCCCAGAGCTGTGTTGTAACTATGATTAGCAGGACCAAGGCAAGGCAAACTATACTGAAACCTACGCAGACGACTGTAGTTAATTCGGCCGCACTGTAATGGAACTGTTTAGCGCAAGCGACCGAACGAATGAGTATATACCCGCCTAGTCAACAATCCAGTAGCTGCGGCGCGTTCAATTGAATCAGGAACTAGGGTAGAAACAAATTGGAGAATTTACCGAAAGTAAATACGATTATAAGATCAATAACTTCCGACGGCCTGTGTCTACATCAGCATCCGCACACAGACCACATCAACTTCGGATGACGCACTGGGTGGAGTCTATCTTCTGTATCTTCAGCCGGTGAGTGAGCGAAGCGGTGACGAACGTATCACATATGATTGAGAGAATCAGGATTGCCACGATACACCAGTACCACTGCTGCACCAATTCTCCCGTATTTCTCGTACCGTAGGACGCAACGCCGATTGCGATATGTAACACGAATCGCGAAGCGGTCAGGAATAAATGAATAGTGAAAAGTATTGGCCGCCGGGAAAGTCTATATAGCAGCACTGAAAAGGTTGCCTGCCCGAGGTTGAATCCCTCCCCATGTAGCGAGGAAAACCTCCTTACCTGTACTAAGAATGCGATCGGGGCACTAAGAATTATCACAGTAGCCAAAGATGTGGGAATGAAGACTTGTAGTTGTGATTGTTCATAGTCAACTACTGCCACTTGCCATATCCCAGTCGTGAGCAATGCAGTTCGCACTAATTGAAGTAGCCTTAAGAACATTGAGTAACCGGCCATACTGGCAGACGCGACGCCCTACATCTCGGTTACAACCTGACGAAGGGCGATAGGTCAGGGACCACGGTCAGGCTAGTAAAAGCAACTTACGAGGGCTTTCAGGAGCCAGCTATCAGCAGGGAAGCTCTTGTAATACGAGTTCGTCTGGACGATGGCACACCCAAATAAGACTGCTGATACCACGACCCCGGCAGTAATGGGAGCAACGGCATTCTTGAATTCCAACTCCTGGAAAGAACTCATACGGAAAGAGAGGATGTCGAAAGAGAGGCGTTCTCCAGTGGGTTTCTGCCGTCCCAGTTGCGATAGTGAGATCACCAAGCTGTGTAGACTCACGGTGCCAGGTCACGGGAGTCTGCTTTCACCCCAACGATTATATGTCAACGGAAGGCGTCCCGCATCCATGACGACCGGGGAGTAGCACACTTTTGTGGTTCAGCACTCACAAGCACTCAGAGTTAGTCTGATAGGGATAGGTGTCCGCGAACCGGGGGAAACGTTGCCAGGTTGCCATATTGCATTACTCCATATGCTATTCGTCGCCAGTTAGAGGGCTTGATCCAGGTGCAGTATTGACGACTTGCCTGATCTAATCGATGTATCATGAGGTGGTTAATACTTGTAATTCCTTGGCTTTGCTTCTTGAAGTGCTGGTACGTGCCAATTGGTGGAGTTGCACGGCACGGAAAAGATATTGCGCCAGGTCCATGTTGCGAACGGTTTCGACTCGGTGGTCGCTGTCCGCTCACCCATTCCATCCCACCGTACTACCAGATACCAGGTTTCCATACGTGCATCGGCGGGGGAGCAGTGAATGCGGAAGACAACTCATGCACGCAAAGCAAGCATGGTCCGACAATGATCCGAGCGAATGGAATAAAGCTCCGGGAGGACACCTTCACGACCCGCTCATGCACACATCGAGTCCACATGTATGAACTCATTTCCATTCCATGACACACAGAAGCAGTAAGCTGAGCATGGTGAACGAGCGCATTCGTTCCTGATTACACGCATTATTTGTGACATATGTATATTGATTGGGAACTGGATGTAAGAGAATAAGGGACGGAGACATTCATATACCCCTCATGCCATCGGATGTGGGAGAAATTCGGCCACTTGCTACAACGGAACTGAAGGAGAGGTTTCAAGACATACGAAACGTGTCTTCACCACAAGGTGCTCGAGTCGATGGCTGCATCCACAAGGTCCGCGGGAAGAACCTTCAAGCTACAAGTTCAAGTCTTTTTGGAAATGTGCAAGTCACCGGCCCTGACAGCGAATTATGCCAGATAATTGGGTTTTCCGAAGCAGTGGGACGGTCCGTGCACCAACAATGCACTTCCTTGCCATGCTCGAGTCGTCCATTGTTATGCTCGGGGTTACTGTCCATGAATTGTCCTGAGACCAGGGGGATGACTCTTAATTTCCGGTCGCCATCGCTAAGAAGGCCGACCTCATCGTCAACCTCGGCCATCGACAATATTTGCCTGTGGTGGAGTCTATTATGACCATTTGTATTAATGAGGAAAACGTCATCTTTTTCGCCCTTTAAGATGCGTCCGTCAGGAACTCCGAGGGAATTAGTACTTCTCTGTATGTTTATGTGCAAATTGGTCTTCAATAACATTATCACGGCTTGTAAGTACAACTTACAATAACCTATCAAGCCAGCAGATGCAGACTAGGCGTAAAAATACATCGTGACGACATAGCGTGTGCATGAGAGAGCGACTAGCACGACCTGCGAACAAGAACACGCCTCACTGAACGACGACAATGAATGCGTGAAGCTAACTACAGAACGAACGGTGTCAAGTAAAGAACAGTTGCTACATGAAATTGCCCGCGGGACAATCTCTGGCTGCTAAAGCTTGCACAGCAAGCAGTTACGGTTACGTATCGGTATGGCAGGACCGACCTCGCACAGACCACGCTGCGCTTCCATCGTCAGCAGCAGCGAGGCACCGGAGTGTTCAGTGACGCCACCGTGCGGATCTACGTCTGTGTGGCTGCTGGTTCGCGCTTCGTTTGACAGCCCGCTTACAAGTCTGGCTAGTTCCTGCGGACGGAGACGAAGATGGGTAAGTCGATCCGGTATTGGCGACGGACGAGGGAGAAGTGGACGATGATGGTGCATATACGGAAGATGTGTTAGTAGGCGCTGTTATGTGACATGAGGAGGGGCATATAGAAATGAGAAATAGCACGTACCCATTGAAGACGTCGGTGAGCCAGTAGCCGCAGGACTTGATGTCGTCCCAGAGCCAGAGCCAGAACCAGAGCTCGAGCTTCCGTTTACGAAACCGGCAACAGGGGGACCTGGGAAGGTGTAGGTGATTGGAGGGTTGTAGATCTATGCGTCCGTGAGTATACATACGAAATTCAGGTAGTGATGCTTACGTTGGGAGTGTATATTCCGGGATCCGTGTCACTGTAGCCGCCGGGAAATTGGCACACCTCGTTGCTTTGCGGAGCACCAGTGCCTGAACCTCCGATTGTCAATTGGATACAGGCCGGGTAGAACTCGGCCCCGCCGACCGACGTAGCGATCTGAAGGGAGATGATTTCGGAGCGCAGTAAGTAATTACCAGGCTCGATGTTGGAAGGGATGGTGACATTTGCAGGCTGTCCAACGTCTGAAAATCGGTTGAGACACGTGAGACGCTCGAGCAATAGAAAGAACGGGCATATCACGAACCCAGATTAGCTTGATACCACGTGTCACTCGTTTCGAGTCCCAGCTCGGAGATCTTGAACCACTCGGCACTCGTGGAATCGAAAGACGAGCAGGAACCACTACACTGGGTCATGTAATGCATAATAGGTCCGACGTTGTGCGGCCACTACTTGAACATCCATCATTCGCACGAGTGGATGTGAAATCGGATTCTGTGTCGTACCTCCGAATCGCCAGTAGCACCACCGACCCAACTAACGAGAATCTGGCTCCCGGGATTGGCGTTGGCGACGTCCGAAGCCATGGTAGCGTTCATTCCACAGTTCAAGGACGGGTTAGTGGCACCCTTAACGGGGTCGATAGTAGAGACCTGTCGAAAGGTGCATGCGTTAGATTGGGTGACTGGGTCCGGCGATAGGATATGGGATCCTCGAGGTGAGAACACAGTACCTGTCGAATGACACTAGGATTGGCGGTACCCCCAGGAACGTTGCCCTGATAAACTTTCCCGTCGATGGTGACGGATCCTACATAACCGTGCGCCGACACGGACACGGGCAATAGCAAGAATAAGAAAGATACGATATTGAAGGTAGCAATCATAGTTGCTCAAGAGAAGAAAACCCGCTCAACGGGGAGGAAGATGGAATACGAAGGGAGCGAGGGATGTGGAAGCGAACAGCACAACCTTTCAGTGGACATGCCCGCTCTTATAAAGGGCACTCTGAATGAAAACTTCTGCATGGCAATATTGTGATGTGGAGCTGAACAATGGAACCCCCGTGTTGGTAGCGGCATATTGTTCTTTCGTTTGATTAGTCAGCACTCTGCTTTTGTTCTAGCACGAGCAAACAAACGTTTAACCTTCGCCATAGAAACTTTGGTCGATACCATGCACATACTCACTCAACAGCGTCACCGGCGAATGGGGCACAAAACAAGTGCAGACCAGATTTTACATGCCACGTGAAAACCGCACATGAAGTTGCTGGCGTGCATTGTCTGACCTCCGTCACGACTGGGCTGCGGCCATTTTGACGGTGCGTCGGAACTGAGTACTGCATCTCGACCGCATGGACCAAACTTGTCTGATATGACAATTCGCCAGTTGTTCCTCCATGCCTTTTCACATGCGGCGTTCCTTTCCATTGTTCACCTTCGCACAACCGCATTCGACACGTTCAATTGGTCCAGTGGTAAGTACATGCACGAAAGTAACAGATCCGTTCATCTCCGGAGTCATCGTACTATTAATCACGCGTTCATGTCTGAGCGTTGGCAACCTGGTATAGGTATTCGCCGAACACTCGGGTCTGCCACCAATGTGTCAGCGTGACGTTACAGCGTGCAGCAAGACAAAGGTAGTACCCCATTTATATAGTTGCTGATGTCCAACTTTTCAAGTGAGGAGCTGTAAATGCGCGCAGTCAGGGGATGACAAGGACTCGTTAGTGATGCGACCCACTGAGCACCGTCGTCAGATTGTCCCATAGGTAAGAGCAATACATTTTTGCCGAGCTTCTCGCTAAATGTCAAGGTAACAGGGATTGACCCGCCCTCGCGAACGTAGTTGGGATACAGACTACTCCCCCAAACAGCCTGTCAGGCATGGAAGACCGCCGCTCACGGTAAACGGCCAGTTGTCTCCATTCCAAACATGTCGGATGCACGTACCTGGGTGGCAGCATCCGCTGCTTGGTAGTTCCAATGATTACGCTCTCCAACCCATGGTAGGCCGCCTCCCTCGTACTTGACTTCTATCTCGTTCTTCGAATTCAACTTCGCAAACTCCGCCTTTAGGAAAGCGGTAACGCGAGGAATAACATAATTAGGTGTCAATGGTTCAACGAGTCTGACGTGGTAGGTTCCTTTGTGCACAACAATCATTCACGAAGGAACTTACCTGAGACTGAACCTCGCAGAAATGTTGGCGGGGATTATCGTCTTTAAGCCATCATTGGTGTCGAAGGTACCTCTGATACCATGGATAGAAAGCGACGGGTACCGCATACGACCCATTAAGAGTTCAGCGGTGTCTTCCGAAAGTTCAACCTACAGGATGGCGGATCAGATGCATCGTATGTGACCTGGAGATAAACTCACTTTACGGTCTCCAGTATCTTTCCAAAGGTCACTCAGCTGGTAATCCATAAGTCTATAGGATTCCCTATTCAAGTTGGTGAGTTGAGCGGGCAAGGTATATATAGAACTCGAGCACCTCTCATCATCTGACGGCGGGGGTACTTGGTTCTCGATGTCGGGGACGGTGATAACCCCCGTGGTCTCAACGAGCTTACTGAGAAGCTTTACCATATCCGTCATCGGCTCGTGTATCATTCGTCCATATAGCCCAGAATGCATGTCATCCTTGGCCCCTGTGATATCCATGGAAAAGTAGGCAATGCCTCTGACGCCGTAAGTCAACACCGGGCGGCGGGTGGTCAGCCAATAGTTGTCCGTCTATGGATGATGATGACAAAACTGCCGTGTCGCCAAAGAAATTATGACGGAACGTACAATGCACACGCAATCGACTCCCTTGAAAAAATCGCCATTATTTACTTCGTCGACGATAAAGTTATCCAAGCCAGGACTTCCGACTTCTTCCATTCCTTCGAAAAGGAAGCGGATGTTCACCGGGAGAGGGAGTTGCAGTTTTTGATGTGCCTCCAATACATTTAGCCATCCCATGACAGGACCCTTGTCATCAGTCGAACCACGCCCATACATCTTATCGTTCTTCACATCGAGGGTAAATGGGTCGCCTTCACCTGTCCAGACATTCGCCTGCATTTCTTAGCTTGTCGCCCAGCGAAGTAATATCACTCACTGGCATCACATCATAATGGCTGTAGACGAGCACCGTCTTCTTGCTTGCGTCTGTTCCAATAGATCCCAATACAAGGTAAGGAAGCTGAAGATTGTCCTGCATTCCAAGATCATGAAGCTTTACGGTGACGCCTAGGTTCTCAAGCTCCCCTTTGAGCCAGATGCCCGTATCGATGAGGTTTTGGCGCAACGTGGAATCGCCACTCACGCTGTATGATAGTGTAGCGGAGGAGGAAGCGGACAAAGGAAAGGAGTACGCACCTCTTGTGAGCTACAGCAGTCCTGAGACGATCGATAAACGCGTCCGTATGGTTTTGGACGTAGTCATTGAAGCTTGAAGGTGCGGCCATGTTATCGCTAGTGTTGAGAGACGATCTGAAGCGGTCTCCATTTTATACTTCAACGGCGATTATCGATGGGAGCCTGGAATCTGCAACCCATGACCACAGCGTGTTCAAGAGGACCCGTGGGTGACCACCCCCTGAAAGTATGATGTTTGCAAGAAACCAATGGCACAATTGTAATGGTTCGGCGGTCAAGCCGCAAGGCATATCATGCATCATGGCAGATAAGATGGTCCACACTTGGAAAGAATGATCGACAAATTTGCATGCTTCAGCCCAAATTGAGTTGGACTGGAGCCGTTCGAGTACGTCGTGTCTGATCGGTGCGCGCCCATGTACAGCAACCAGTGTATCGTATGGAAGTCGACAGTTTTTGGAATACGCCATCCAGAAAACCTTGGGAAGATGGTGGGCTATTTGAAGATCATATGTTTCAGCGATCCCTTCGACTTCTAATGTCCCGACGGAGTTTTAGTACATCATGATGGTGATGGCCTAGTGGGCTCCGGCGGTGATACAGCTTACCGTAACTCGAGTAGGTTGCGTCGTTTCCCAGAGGTCGGCTGGGACCGGTAGCCGATTCCATGTCAAAGGTTCTCTGAAATCTTCAAAAGCTCCGGGGGGGTTTTCATGTCCGCTACGTACTTACATAGGTGCATGGTTAGCAGAAGTTACCGGACTACTGATTATCTGACACACGTTCGACCATCTCGACCGAAAGGCCTAAGTAGTTCTTCGGATCGCACAGTTGTTCAAGTCGCGCCTTTAAAAGTCCTGCTGACATCACACGTTCGTCTGCACACAGGAGGTGGAGCAAGTCCACGTTGTTTTCTGTGCTTTGCCGACATATCTCATACACCACGTCGTGCGCCACTTGCCTCCCGATTTGTGGCGCGAGTCCCATCATGACAGCCTCCGCAACGATCCCTCCTTTGGTGATGTCCAAGTTCCTCATCATAGTTTCGGGATGGACTTGCAAACCTGCCACAAGGTCTCGTGTATGTTTAAGGGCAGCACCTGTTAGAGTGCAAATTTCTGGTAAAACAATCCATTCAACCTCCCATGGCCCTGTTGAGCGTTCATGGTCCGCGACCATAGCTTCATAAATGGTGGTCGAATATTGCCGCACTGCAGTTGCGATGGCAGATACGTATGCACATGAAATGGGGTTCCTCTTCTGTGGCATAGTAGAGGATGAGCCGCGATGCTCGTAGAATGGTTCCGACACTTCTCCAATTTCCGATTGCATGAGAAGTTTCATGTCCAATGCGAACTTGGCGCAGGTGCTGGAAAGTAGCGTGAAGAACCCAGCCAGTTCGGCGAACCGGTCTCGTTCTGTGTGCCAGGCAATTTCTGGAGGTGCGAGCTGGAGGGCTTGTGCAAGTGCTGCCTGACACTGCAAAGCTTTGTCAGCGGGAAGGGTAGCCAGAGTGCCGGCTGCACCACCGAACTGGAGGACGAAGAGGCGAGGTTTGAGTTGTAAGAGTCGTTCATGGTGTCGCTGGAACGTGCACAAGAGACGAGCAAGTTTAAAACCGAAAGTTATGGGAACAGCTTGTTGGAGGTTGCTTCTTGCGGCCATGGGCGTGGCTTTGTGAGCATTTGCGAGACTGCGAAGATTGATGATGATCGCATCAAGTGAGGCGGTGATGATGCCCACGGTTTGGCGGAGTTGGAGGACCGTAGCGGTATCCGTAACGTCCTACATACATATAATATGTCAGTTCCGAGGTACTAATCAGGGGGCCCACTGCGATCTATGAAGGCCCTGTGGGTATAAGTACCTGGGTCGTAGCGCCCCAGTGAGCCCATTCACCGCAACCGGGCGCCTTGGCATTCACATGGCGCACGATTTGCTTGACTAGACCTAATACAGGGTAACCGATTTTCTCGGTCTGTTCCCTGAGGTCCTCAAGGTCAACGTTGGATACGTCACTGCAGAATTCTGCTATCGCATCTGCGGCCTCCCTAGGAATTATTCCCAGATCTGCCTGCACGAGTGCCAAGGCACGCTCGAACTCGAGGTAGAATGAAGTCCGTCCGGTATCTGACCAGATGGCTGCGATCTCTGGGTGGGATAGTATGTTTTGAAAGATAGCGCTCATAGTAGTATTAGATTGCTATAGTTGGATCCAAAGCATCCGGCGAGCTTCGATGATATGTCAGAGTCCCTGGGAAACAAATAAAACGAAGGCGGAAACGACGGAACCCTGACTATTATTACTCGGAAGCCAGCATGACACCCGATGTTGACTGGGAACACCCCACCAGAGAAGGCAGAACATTATCATATACGTATGTGCATCTACAGGAGGTTCCGACGGAACCATTTGTTGCACGCCCAGCTACTGACGGTGTATTTTAATAAGACTGTGGCTAAGATTACGGCGAGGTCACGTTGACTCTCGGGTGGGCAGATAGCGGGCCTAGTCTTGAGTCGTGCCGTCGGAAAAATGGTTTCAGACTAGTTGCCGTACATAATGAGCCTATCATGTCACCAGCACCACTTTTCTCTTCCTAACCCAACCTGCCACCTTGGTTTCAGCGCCGTCCAGATCTGCAATCTGGGCAAGCCGTCATGGCATCGCTTTGGACACTGTTCGGGAAAATGCTAGGTACGTTTATTGCACAACCGCACCTTGTTCGGCGTATAAAACGTGAACGTTCCGTGACCGTTTTCTTCCTCTCTCTCACAGGTGACATGTCTCCATCGCCCCAGGAAGAGAGCGCTGTTGTCGAGGCGCCCACGTTGGAAGCACAAGCCCCTTCCCCTTCCCCCGCGCCCTCCGCTGTCATCGTCGATGAAGGTGGCGCAGACGAGGCTCAGCCTGGGCAGGATGTTGAAAACACTCCCGAGCCGAATACTAGTTCAAGCGCCGCTCTTGATACCTCAGATGTTCAAGTCCCTCCTTTTGTACCCCTCGATATACCCGACCAGGCCAGTGTGCCCAACTCGCACGAGCTTCAGGTTGGACAGGATGTTGGAGAAGTCTCCGAGCCGCATTCCAGCTCAAACTCCCAGAAGACCCTGGACGTACCAACCCCTCCTGTGCCTTCCATTGTCTTAAACCGATGCGACACTCAAGAATATGAGCCGAACATTAGTTCAGGCGCCCTCGCAACTTCAGAGATGCCAGCCCGTCGTGTGCACATGGCTGAGGCCAGCAAACACACAAGGACCACCTCTGCCTCTATGCTCCATCGCCGTTCAGGCTCTCGATCGATCCTTCGACCATTGTCTACGGCAACCTTCACAACCATTGGTGATGACAAAGATTTTCGGCTCGAAGAATGGATGAAGGATCTTTTCAGGCGGTATGTATTTTCTTTGGTTATTTCCATCAGGAATTCAGTCCCCTTTGAAGAGCGGAGGACGATGGGCTTAAGTCAAGCGAGCTTGGAGTGATGTTCAGGGATCTGCGTGTCGTTGGCGTGGGTGCTAGCACTGCGTTACAACCTACAGTAGGCTCCCAATTCAATCCACGCTCGTTACTTTCGATTATCAACAATTTGCGCCACCCACCACTTCGTGATATTCTTTCAGGATTCGAAGGTGTCGTAAGACCAGGGGAAATGCTTCGTGTGTATTGAGCATCTTTTGTCTCTTATTAATTTATTGAGGGCTTTCCTAGTCGTTCTTGGTCGTCCCGGTTCAGGGTGCTCCACCTTATTGAAAACAATCGCCAATCAACGGGGCGAGTATCACTCCATTTACGGCGACGTCTTTTATGATTCCCTAACCTCGAAGGATATCGAGACAAGGTATCGCGGGGACGTCATCTATTGCCCAGAGGATGATATCCATTTCCCAACTCTCACTGTCGAGGAAACGTTGTCTTTCGCTGCAACGATGCGTGCCCCACACAATCGCCTAGAAGGTCAATCACGAAAAGAGTACGTCAACATGGTGACCGAAGTCGTGATGCGTGTCTTCGGCCTCGGTCATGCTAGAAACACAATGATCGGAAACGCTGCTATCAGAGGCATTTCAGGAGGTGAAAAGAAGCGCGTTTCTCTGGCCGAGGCTTTGTGCTGCAGAGGTAGAATCAGTGCTTGGGACAAGTGAGATCTTCACCATAGTTCCGGAGATGCCAGTGACTCTAATTTGACTCCCTTAGCCCGACAAGAGGTTTGGACGCGTCAACAGCCCTCGAATTGATCTGTACTCTTCGTCTTGCGACGGATATCTCGAAATGCACGACCATCACCTCCATATACCAAGCTGGTCAACAATTGTATGACCTATTTGACAAGGTGTGCCTCATACACGAGGGGAGAATGGTGTACTTTGGACCCGCAAAGGACGCCAAACAGTATTTCATTAATATGGGTTACGAACCCTTCAATCGGCAAACTACCGCAGATTTCCTCGTTGGAGGTATGCTCAGGACGTTTATGTTTGCGCAATTTTGTGGCTTAACATCGACAATCAGTGACGGATCCAAATGCTAGGAAAGTCCGGGAAGGATTCAATGGTGCTCCTCCCAAAACCGCAGAAGAGATGGCTGTGTACTTCAAATCGTCCGAGTTTGGAGAACGCAACCGCTCGGATGTGGAATCGTACTACGCAACCTACGTCAACAAGCCTGAACTAAGAGAAGCATACGCAGTCAATGCCCGTGCGGAGCATGCGCGCCATGCTCCCGATAACAAGCCTTACGTTATCTCCGTCCCGATGCAAGTTCGCGCTGTGATGCGACGACGGTGGCAGATATTAAAGGGTGATTGGCTCACACAGGTGGTCAATCTTGGGTAATTGTCGAGCTCATCCGTCTTGAGCCTTGGCTCAAATTGTCATTTTTAGAGGACAAATCTTTCAAGGTCTCATCATGGGCACCGTGTATTTGAGGGTATCCGACTCCACGAGCGCATTTTTCTCTCGCGGCGGTGTTATGTTTTTGTAAGTGAATGGTTTGCTCCTTGGTAGAAGAATTTGTTGACATCTCTATGTCAGCGCTCTTTTGTTTAGCACTGTCGCTGCAATGGCTGAGATCGACTCTCTTTTCGCTCAGCGTCCAATTGTCCTTCGGCAACGTAATTTGGCCATGTATTACCCTTTCATCGAGAGTCTCGCGCACACAATCGTCGACTTCCCCATTGCCTTGCTCTGTCAGCTCGTCTTCGCAGTTGTTTTCTATTTCTTGGTTCGTCTGCAACAATCGGCTCAGCAATTCTTGTGCGTCGCATTTTTCCTTCTGAGTTTGCCAGTATTAACCAGTCGTGCAACAGCATCTTTGTTCTTCTCACTTTCGCGGCAACGATGGTGATGAAAACTCTTTTCAGAGGTGTTTCAGCGTGCTTTAAGACACCTTCTGGTGCCATTACTATAGCTGGATTAGTGATGGTATTCGGTATTCTTTGCAGTGGGTACGTAATTCCGCCCAGCGAGATTATAGGTGCTTTGAGATGGATTACGTACATCAACGTGCGTCTTGCATCATATCATCTCCTTGTCAGTTCTGACAGGCTTGGACCTTAGCCTATCCGATATGGCTTTGAAGCACTGATGGTCAACGAGTTCCACACCATTCAGGGAATGTGCACGACGCTAGTCCCTCAAGGTCCTGGATACGAAAATATTTCGAGCGCCAATCAAGTGTGCACGACGGTCGGATCCCAACCGGGTCAATCAACCGTGGACGGGAACACTTTCTTATATTATGCCTTCGGTTATAAATACGATAATCTCTGGAGGGTAAGTATTTCGCCTGCGCAGCATGAGTTGAATGTTGAGCTTTTCTGCACGCAGAATTTCGGTATCATGTGTTCATTCCTCCTAGGATTCCTCATATTTTTGCTTATCATGACCGAGAAGAACGTGTCCTACGCGATTACAACGTCTATTACCCTCTTCAAACAAGGGACCAATCTCATGTCTGGCAGGAATGACGAAGAGAAATGTGTTCAATCCATGTCGAGCAAACTCGAGACGCCTGTTATAGAGGCACCGAATGAGAAATCAGCATTAGATCCTCATGTTCACCCGGATATTTTCTCGTGGAATCACATCGAATACGTTGTCCCTGTCAAAGGTGGCGAAAGGAAGCTTTTAGACGATGTGTCTGGTTACGTTGCTCCCGGCAAACTCACCGCGCTCGTGGGAGAGTCTGGAGCCGGCAAGGTGTGTTGGCCTCGACATCCTCATGTTATCGTTCGCATTGACAATACCTATTCAGACTACATTGTTGAACGTTCTCGCTCAGCGTGTTTCGACTGGCATTATCTTGGGCGATCGTTTCGTCAATGGACGTCCTCTCCCCGCAAATTTCCAAGCTCAGGTGTAAGTGCATGTCACACTAACGGGTTGTTTATATTCATCGGGTATTTAGGGGTTATTGTCAACAAATGGATACCCACCTTCCAGAGGCAACAGTACGAGAAGCGTTACTATTCTCTGCCAAACTTCGTCAACCAGAGTCAGGTTCCACTAGAGGAGAAAGAAGCCTAGTGAGTTCTCCGTACTTCTGGCACTGTTCAGTCGCATTCTGACCTTCGATATAGTGTCGACAAATGCTTGAAGATGGTTGGCCTGGAGGCGTACGCTAATGCAATTGTTGGTTCGCTGGGAGTCGAGCATAAAAAGAGAACTACCATTGGTGTTGAGTTGGCCGCCAAAGTAAGTTCAGCAATTTCGCGCACTGGTGTCACGATAAGCTTACATGCATGGTAGCCCAAGTTATTACTCTTTCTGGACGAGCCGACCTCAGGTCTGGATTCCCAGTCAGCATGGGCTATCGTCAAGGTTCTCCGTGAACTAGCTAACCATGGACAAGCTATCCTTTGCACGTGAGCGCTTTTTAACTTCTTAGACGTCGTTCTCCGTCGACCTCACCTATTTCATAGTATACACCAGCCTTCAGGTGAACTTTTTCAAATGTTTGATCGCCTGCTTCTATTGCGCAAGGGCGGCCAGACTGTATACTTTGGTGATATTGGCGAGATGTCATCGACCTTACTAGGTTACTTCCAAAGGAACGGTGCTCCCTCATGTGATCCTGGCGCGAATCCGTAAGTCGTCCTGTATGCGCCTCCCGACTTTGGCAGTGACCGATTGTCGTCTAGCTGCTGAGTATATCCTCGACGTTATCGGAGCGGGAGCCACTGCAACCTCTGAAATTGACTGGCACAGCAGTATGGAAGGCATCCCCGGAAGCAGCTGAGCTTGCCAGTGAAATTGAGCAGCTTACACAGCAGGACAAAGTCGCCCCGTAGTTGAAATCCATGTTACTCACTTGTGTTCAAGATTTGCAACATCCTGGATGACGCAGTTTCTGATGCTCACTGAACGTGGTTTGGTCAGTTATTGGAGAAATCCGACATACATGATGTCCAAGGTCGTACTTAATATTGCTGCGGGCTTTATCATCGGGCTTGTGTTCTTCCAAGCCAATGACACTATTCAGGGCACGCAAAACAAGCTCTTCGTGAGTTATTCTACATGTTGGCTGCGCATTCCGTGCTTATCGTGTCCGGATAGGCTGTCTTCATGGCGTCGATGTGTTGCGTAGGTCTTGTGCAGCAGATGCAATCCGTATACATTTCTGTACGACAGATTTACGAAATCCGTGAACGACCCTCACGGATGTACTCCTGGACGGCTTTCCTTACTTCTCATCTCATCATTGAGCTACCCTGGAACGTGCTTGGCGCTTCTCTGTTTTTTGTCTCTTTCTACTGGACTGTAGGCCTAGCAACGTCTCGCGCCGCTTACTATTTCCTTTTCTTTGGCGTCATTTTCCCGATCTATTATACCACATGTGGCCAGGCGTTCGCAGCACTGGCTCCAACCCCAACCATTGCCACTATGCTCTTCAGCTCGCTATTCGTGTTCACCATTATCTTGTAAGTCTGCACAATTTTCCATCGTCAGCTGGCTTGTGGCTAATCGGTATTGTTGACAGTGACGGCGTACTTCAGCCCTTCTCACAGTTGAAATGGTGGAAGTGGATGTATTGGACCTCTCCTTTCTCTTATCTCATCGACGGACTCATTGGTGAAGGTATGTCAATAGTAAGATGCCTGCGGATTCTATGGAAGTTACATCCCGCTTTGCAGCCGTTGGCAACATGGATATCAATTGCTCCACCACAGAGCTTGTGGTTATCCAGCCTCCCTCAAACATGACCTGCGGAGATTATATGACGATGTTCATCAGTGAAGTGGGCGGATATTTGACGAATTCTTCAGCAACGTCAGCATGCAACTACTGCCCTTATCGCCACCACGGATCAGTATCTGGGTTCGAACTTCAACATCATGTACCAGCACCGCTGGAGGGACGTTGGAGTACTGCTCGGCTTCACAGGCTTTAACGTAAGTGAACTCAACTAGGCATGGTGCAATTAAAGGAGACTGACCCAAACCTTTGCTCATTAATTGGAACAGACGGTAGCTATCTTTGTGCTGACGTATTTATTCCGTCTCCGTACTAAGCCATTCTGGCCGACAAAGCGAAAGTAAACAGCTAATCATTGGTGACGGTTAACATATATGATGATGTATATACGGTAGACAACGAGACTGATCATACATGTCCTACACTAATTATAGGCAGACTTAATATATGTGACTTGGATGCAAAGTTTGGTACTTCGTAATGTAGACACAAAGAGACTTCCTCAAGTTGTGCTATTTAATTATCCAGACTCTGATCTGTAGTTTAAAGTAGGGGGAAAACAGTAACCATCCATTATGTGTTACAGGCCCTTTTATATACTAGGAGATAGGCATCAAGTGTCAATGTAGATTGTGAAGTCTGAGTTTAAGTCCACTTGAATTCTCTGATGAGGCTCACAGAACTGGTGTCACATTGTTACCAACATACCTTCACCAACCTTCACTCCCAGTGAAAACTGGTTATCACATTGTGTATTTGCAGAGGTCTCAGAAGAGGCAAAGATGGGTGATTGCAAGGCAGCAAAAAACCAAGGACTACTATGGTGTTGGATCTGCATATTTATTCCTGCATGTTTTGTAGCACTGCTGCTTTTTTTCCCAGTTTGTTATGGAACACTCCAGGTGACTTCATCAAATGGACTAGTCATGATAGAGGCAGAGGCACCTGAAGGCCAAATATGTCATAGCCCCTATGGTCCACCACTTAATGTATGAGTCATGTGACTTCCTCTACTTGAAGTGGTCCTTGGACACTTGGCTTTGTGAGGATGACCCTCAGAGGCAACAAGTATGGTAGAAGGGAGGTGAATTGTAAGATAGAAAGAATCTTGGGAATACAGAGTATCATCTTGGGGTTATATACCTATGGGGGGTGGAAGTACAAACTCTAAGTATTCAACACAGCCATCAGTAAACCACTTTGTGTGCTGGCAGTCCTAGGGAATCTGTCCAGTGCTGGACAGCTCTGGACAGCTCTGGCCAGCAAAAGTGATTTACTGATGGCAGACACAAAAGGAGACAAATAAATGATTGTATCTTAAGACACTGCCATACTGACCACAGCAGCACAGGCCCATGCAGTGAGGGGCAGTGATACACAGCAGAAATGAGTCAATGTCACACCTGCATCAGGGGTCTTTCCTTTTTTGACTCCTCGCAGTCATGTGCATCACATGTGCCTTGTTGCATCTCTCATAATCATTGCCATCCTAGGGGTTTGCATGCTGCATGGGATGTTTGGATCTCCCACTGTCAAGGTATTTCCAATACCTGTTGAGACCACACCCCTGCTTTGATCCAGTATTCCACTGCCCTCTCTGATGGACAACATGTTATGTTTTTACCTTCTGACTCCTTTCTGACTCGTTTATATTGCTCTGATGTTGTACTATAGCTCCAGTGTTTGGCTCCTCGCTGTGCATTGATTGTGCAGCTGGTATAGCCTTTGTTCCCCTGTCTATCCCCATCATATGACACTGTATGACTCCCTTTGACTTGTTTATTTGACTGATTGTTCTGTTGATTGCTGTGGATATGTGTCACAACATGTCTTGTCATGACTGGTATGGTACTCATACTTAGGGGTATATAAACCTACATACTTTACCTTGTATCCTCAGTTTTTTGATAGCTTGCAACTCAGCTTCATCCCTTTGCTTTCATCCTTGTTTTCTCTCCATGTGACTACCCTAGCAGATCACCAGAAGAGTGAACCTCCATCGGACTTCAGTGATAACTGAGCCATAGGGGTTACAACACATTTGGCCTGTAGACTCCCCCTTGTGTGCTTTGTGCCTATTCCATTTGAAGAAGTCACTGTGCTTGGGCATAACAAAATTGAAAAACTCTTGCAGCTTTCAGGACTTGTCAACCTCTTCACAAAAGTCTACTTGTCCCTGGTTACTGAACTTCAACAAACCATCCATACTCCACACAAGGCTTGTTGGTCTCCCTCAGTGCAAAGACTAACTCGCCTTCATTTTACTCTCTTGAGTGACAACATCGAGAAACACCCCTCTACCCTTAATCAACTTCACTGCTCTACAGGCAGCCACTAGGCTTTAATAGATCACCTCCCTAGAGTCAGTGCTTGTGCCTCCCTATGTGTAAAGTCACTCACACTACAACAAATACCCCTTTTACACTGACAGGTCTCTTTCAAGAGATAAATCCTCCCTCAGCCTTTGTTGTCACTCTCTGTAAAAGTGTCTAACCTGCAGAAATTGAAACCTCCAGTCCCTCCTTGACCTAACCTGCTTGGACTTGGATGGAACCCACCTCTACTGCCCATCCCTTTAGGACAACTTGGTCCTTCAGTTACTGTGACAAATCCCTGGTTATCTTATTTATCCCATTTTAGGGATTCAGAAATTGTGCTTAGTTCAGAAGAAGAAGATGATCAGAAGTCTGAGACTTCTTTCAGATCAGTCCTCAAAGAAGAACAAGAAGCACATGGTAAAGAAGAAATGTCCATGATTGTCAGTCACAGAGAGTTGGTTCCTGAAATGCCCCTGAGGACCATTTCAGAAGAGGAACTGAGACAAAGGTTGGAAGAACAAAGAGTTGCTATGGTGGAGGAGCTCTGCCAGGCTGTGCATGCAACTGCGAGTGACCCATTCCCAACAGGTATGCCTATGGACTCAGCTTTGAGAGAATGGTATCACAGGAATTTCAGAAAAGCCATACCCCCAGAGTTACCCACTGGTGGCAACAGTAAGGGGAAAGCTAGAGCTGATGAAGATGATGACTACTCAAGCTGCCCACCCAATGGAGGTTGGGAGTTTAATGTCGGGCATCCCAGAGAATACGATGGAAGCCACAATGGGCTTCAGACCTGGATTATGCAGGTCAAAGGGTATCTGAACCTTAACAGACACATCTATAACATGGAGTCCCTCAAGATTTCATTTGTGCCTCACCTACATGACCAAAGGCACAGCAGTCTCTTTTGCTGAGAATTATCAAAACAAAAACAAGTTACTCAATGGCTCAATCTACTACACCGACACCTTTCAGAGGTTCATTGAAAGGTTAAAAGCTACTTTTGAGTCAGGTGATCAGACCACTCTTGCAATCTTGCATCTTTCGGACATCCAACAAGGCAAACAGGAACTTGAAATGTATATTGCCAAGTTCACTGGACTTGTAAACAAGGCTCAGTTGAAAGAAGAATCACATGAAGCAGGGATCTTCTTTGGGAAAGGCTTAAACAAGGAATATCGTGACTGGGTTCTCAACTCTGGACATGCCCCTTCCACTGTCATCAAGTGGATACAGTGCATGGGAGAAGCTTGAACCACAATCACAACAAAGCATATCCTAGAAGGGAAGGAATCTCAGTATGAAAGGAAGTTCATTCATTACTGTGGAGGTTCCCAAGATCCTGATGCGATGGACATCAACAAATGTAAATGGAACATTAGACATTCCAGCTCAGAAATTAAATGCTTCAATTGTGGAGCCAAAGGTCACATCAAGCGTGACTGTAAAATCAAGGTCAAGACTCAACTGTCTAATGTCCACATTGTCCTCTCAGAGGATGGAATGAAGACTGCCTATGTTGGAGATCATGAAGCAAATGTGGAGGAATGGAAGTTGTTGGGTTTTTAAAGGGGACTGATGAATCTCCTGCATCAGTCAGTCCCTGTTTCAGTGTTGTCCACTAAATGTACTTCTATAGATGATGAATCAAATATGCAAATTCATTCTCCTCTTGGGTTGGTCATTTTACTGGACTACAAGGCAGGAATATGGGCCTGTATCGACTCAGGTGCTGAAGTCTCCCTCATCTCAGAGAAGATGGTCCAGAAACTTTGGATCCTGACATATTGGGTCGAAAAGAAGTTCAAGATGACCTCATTTACCAGAAAAGATGAAGAGTGGGTAACCTGCAAGGTAACCCTGAAGATGGAGATCAAGGAGCAAATTATCTGGGTCAAGTGTTATGTGGGCCCTCTCGTTGGAGAAGAACATGTCCTTCTTGGGATGCCATTCCTCAAGGAGTTCAAACCAAGAATGAACTGGGAAACTGGCAAAATTACATGTTGGGATGATGGGTATGTGTATCCTGAAGGATCTGACTATTTTGTCAAACAGGTAGTATCTTCAGACATGGACAGTGCGAAGGAACCTTCTGGCCTGTCCCTGGAGGTGGTAAAACAGGGTTTGGGTGAAACCCCTGAAGTAAAAATTAATAAAACTACTTTGTCCACAGAACTTGAGGCTGCCTTGGCTGCTGGTAAAGAGGAAGTCAAGCTTCCGGAAATTTACAGGGAGTTCACCAAGGTGTTTGCAGAAGACAACATTCCACTCCTGGTGCATCAGCCAGAATTAGATCATGAAATACAACTTTGTGAAGACTTCAAGCCAAGGAAAGTGGTGGTATACCCAATGTCTCCTGATGAACTTAAGGTTTTAGATGAGTTCTTAGATGAAAACCTCAAATGTAAGAAAATTCGACCATTCGACCTCACCACAAGCGGCACTGGTGTTCTTTGTAGCAAAGAAGGATGGTAAAAAGAGGCTTATACAAGACTACTGCTACCTCAATTCATTCGCCATCCTGAATGTGCACCTGCTACCTAATGTGGCAGGCCTTGTTTGATGAGTTGGTCGAGTTGAAATACTATGCCAAGTTTGACATTTGGTGGGGTTTTACTAACCTCAGAGTAAAAGAAGGAGATGAGTGGAAAGGAGCATTTATCACCCCAAGAGGGCTGTTCAAGCCCACAGTAATGTTCTTTGGTCAATGCAACTCACCCCCTTCTTTCCAGAGATATATGGATAAAACCTTTGAGTCACAATGAGGAAAGCAAGTAGGTTACATGGATGATGTCACTATCCATGCCAAGACAAAGGAAGAGCTTTGGAGCCACATTCACAAATTCCTGAAGATCTGTGAAAAGGAAGGATTGTGCCTCAAGATCAGCAAGTGTGTCTTCGAGGCCAAAGAAATAGAATTCCTTGGAATGATAATAGGGAAGGGGCATATGGAGACTTCGCCTACGAAAGACTGATGCCATCAGTACCTGGGAAGCCCCTGATAATCTTACCAGGCTTCGCAGATTCCTAGGGTTCTGTAACTTCTACCACAAGTTTATCCCCTCCTTTTCAAGCATCACCAGACCCCTTCATGACCTCACAAAAAAAGGGGTGTCCTACCAGTGAACTCCGGAACACTGATGCCACATTTGAGAAGTTAAAGCATTTGTTATGCTCCTCTCCAGTCCTCACCATTCCAGACTTCTCGAAGCCCTTTGCACTCTTTACAGACACTTTGAAGCTTGGAACTGGGGCCATTTTAGCCCAGAAAGGAGCTGACAATGA